ACAGGGTTCACCGCAAGGGTCTTCCTGATAATATATGGGGAACTGGTGTGTGCATCCAAACCCCATGGGGTCCCCCCCCCAGTTTCTCACTTTGCCAAAAATTACCCTTGCAAATGAGGAGTGCTGTTGTTGTGACTTACCTTGGAGCACCCAATGGATGGGTGGCTAAATCAGGACTTGCTGAGGTATTCTTCAGCCACACTGGAAAAGGTCCTTAATGGTCCTTTCTGTTCTCTTTTCCTCTATTTTGTAGATAACTGCAAGAAGCTAGGTCTGGTGTTCGATGATGTGGTGGGCATTGTTGAGATCATCAACAGTCGGGATATCCAAGTTCAGGTAATTGCACTCCCTCGCCCCCACCCAGTTTTGTTTTCCCTTAACCTCGTAACGGTCCTCACTCTGCCTTGCCTCTTTTGAAGAGCAGGAACCCTTAAACAGATGAGCAAGAAGAAGTAGTCTTTGAGGGGGGATTCAGGGTCTTCAGATTCCCTAACAGAATCAGAAACCCATCTTGCTCCTCAACCCATGCACACACACATTGCTCCAAACCCAGAAGTGACCCAAAAACATCCCAGAAAGGGGTGGAATGGTGTGTTTGCCAGCTTTTTCAATTGCAATTTCACTTAACTGTGCAGTGTCTTGGAACATAAGCCCCATGTAAATGGGGGAGGGGGTTGCCTGTACAACAATTACACGCATTAAAAATGCGTTAAAAATGGCAAAGGACAGAATACTAACAGCTAGGATAAATGTTTTAAAATGGCAACCTGTAGGATTACACACAACTTTCAAAGGTATGGACGAATAAAAAGGTATTCAACGGGTGCTGAAAAGTTAGCACTGGGCAGGCCTCTCCATGGAAGGTGTTCCAAGGAAGGGCAATTGCTTCCTGTGGAAACCCCAGTCTTGGGTTACTGGGTCCTGCCATCTTGGGAGTGAGACAAAGAAGGGCCCCTCCAAAGATGATGTTGCATCCAGGCCAGGTTCATGTTGAGAGCAAGTGGCACTTGAAGTACAAGCCACTCGGAGCTTGAAAAGAGAACATATTGAATTTTGTTTCCCTTGCTCATAGGATTCACCACACTACTGTTTTATGATTTATTGATAATTGAATGTGTTATTGATGGATCCATTGTCTTCATTGATGTGTTATTTATATATGATATTATAAAGAGTACATATAAAGAGTATTGATAATGATGTTTTCAGAACAAGGAGAAGTGAACTCCTGTCTTTCTTTCAGACTTCTAGGGTGGTAGGCGCTCTAGCCATGTCTGACATCCTTGCCTTTCTTGCTAGGTGTTGGGTAAAGTGCCAACCATTTCCATCAACAAGACAGACGGTTGTCACGTCTACCTGAGCAAGAACTCATTAGAATGTGAGATTGTCAGTGCCAAGTCCTCAGAGATGAACGTCCTCGTTCCTACAGACAGTGGTGATTTTGTAAGTTTCTTTCTGGTTACTTGGTGTAGAAATCAGACGCTGGGAGAAAGCCACTTTGCTGTGGGTGGTGGTTGTTGCTGACATTGGGAAGAAGCTGTCTTGGGATGGCTTGTGGTCAAAAGTCACCAGGCTGAAGTGCTGTGTTGCCAAAATGATTTTAGCTGGCTTTCAGAAGCCCAGGCTTAATAAGGCAGGCAGGCTTTCAGTGGTTGGGATCAGTGTACATCTGCACCACACTTTTAGGATTAAGGAGCATGAATCAAGAAGCAAAGCTCTAAGGAGCTTAATATTGGGGTGGAGAACTGGATCCACCTGACAGGCTGAATCCTGCATTCCCTCACCCTCAGCAGGCTACTTTGACAGGTGGAACGGGCCCTGCCCACCTGCATTAACCTGGTATCGCTATGTCAGATGAATAGTTTCTTCTCTGTAGCATGGCAAGCCCCACTACAAAGGTTCCAAGCCCAGCCAAGCAGGGCTTGAAGCTACTGCTGATTGGTGCCAACATCATGCTCCTCTTGGGTGGGTGGGTGGCTAGCTAGCTGCATTGCAGATCCTACCAGGCTTGCTGTCACCACCTATCAGCTGATGGGCATGACAGCAAGCCTCCTTTGCCACTTAGCATCCTAGAGCGTACTTTAAGGGCCCCAGTTGTGCTTTGGCAGCTACATCTACTTGACATTGCATTTGAAGTCAGGTGTGTGGTAGGGGGACATGGCTTTGCAGGCCAAAATTGCACCTGTGCCAGATCTAGGCCAGAGATTCCCAGACCTGGCTTAATTTGGTACTTGCTCTGTTTTTTAAGTTGATATATTGAATGGGATGTTAATAGCTTTGTTGCAGAATTAGGCCTCTTTGCAGTTTTCTCATGTCTCCACCCCTGGCATGCAGCTCATTTAGACAAGATATGTAAGTGGAAGGTCTGCATTCAAGACAGTGTTGCCCCTGAATGCCAGTTATGGAGGGAGAGGGGAGCAGCCAGGCAGATTAGTACCTTGCTTGCGGGCTTCCAAGAAGCATCCTTCTGGCCACTCTTGAAAAGCAGGATGTTGAGCTAAATGGGCCTTTGCTCAGATCCAGCAAGGCTCTCCCTATGATGGCAGTAAGCTTTTGTGTTAGAGGTGTAGCTGCTCTAAAGGACAGAGAGCACACAGGGGCTTTGAAAGCTGTACATCTCTGCAAGTCACTTCCATGTAAATGTTACTGACTCCAATATTTTGTTTCCCCCTAGAATGAGTTCCCAATCCCAGAACAATTCAAGACACAGTGGAACGGGCAGAAGTTAGTCACCACTGTCACGGAGATAGCTGGATAAGTTGACCTGGCGCTCGACATTCGCCCCACCACTGCTGTGGGACAAATCTGCTTTTTTTGGGATGATTTATAGATTTTCCTGTACCTTTTCCGCTCTCAATCTGCTTCTGTCTTCTCCCCGAGAGACTTGCCTACCTGCCTTCACTGAAAATACCTCAGGCTAGGATTTGGGGTAGGGTGGCAGAATCATTTGCTTCTATCAATTGATCAGCAGGAAAGTGTGGCGTTTCCCCTTGGTCAGGCAAACCCACATCACCAATCAACTTCTGTCTGGTCTTTCTTTTTGTGCTCTCTGGAGCCAGTATCTCAAGGACTTGGTTCCCCTTTCATTTTAAGCAAAGGAAGACGGTTCCTCTTGGAGTAAAGCGAGTTATCAGGGTATAGAGTCCCCAGTGATATGTGTGTGTGAGACAGTGTATCTGGAAGGTGTGGGTTGGGGAAAGTACAAGGGAGTTGACTTCATTCTGTTTAATCTAATTGGGGCTGTTCAAAGATTCCAGGAATGGCTTTGCTGGACCAAAAGCTGAAGGACTGGTGCATGTATAGCATTCCTCCCCCACCCACCTCCCCATTTTTCCCTTTACGTGCTCAGTGTAAAATTCTGTGTTGTGCCATGATGTTGGGGGAGACCTCTCAGTTACAGGTGCCACAAGACTACCATGGGACAGGCTCCCCCCTCGCCCCTTCTGGGAGTCTGTCCAGCGGCTAGAAAACTGCTGCTCACCCACTTCCATTCAAGCCCTCCTTTAAAGGGAAAATTGTGCCCAAAGGGTCCCTCTTCTGAGCAACTGAGCGTTGTCCAGGCTTTCCAGGACAGGTTTTTCCTTGGAGCCCATCTCTCTCTCTTTTTTTTAGGGAGGGATGAGTCTTCTTCATTCCAGGTCCAGTATTTAATTATTTGTAAGCACAAGTTCATTCCAATCCTCCATCTGAGCTTATTTACCCTGTAGAGTCTGGAAGACTTTCTCTGGCTGTCCTTCTCTCTGTCGCTCAGCTTCTTCTCCACCGGAAGGCCAGTGTGTGTGCGTGTTAGCATGGCACTGCAGTGCTTGCGCCGAGACCAAAGGCATGGTACTGTACTGACCCACCAAAGGGAGTTGCCTGCGCACCAGAATCATAAGTGTTTTTGGATAGCATATGCATATCTTATTTCCCTCTTTGCCACATTAATGATTCCCCCCCACTAAAATGAAACTTAACAAAAGATATGCAATTTCTTTTTATTTTGAAACTGTCCTGTGACTTGTATTTCTCTCCCGAGGCTTGTGGAAATAAAACCTTTCTTATGTACTTAAAATTATACTGAAGATAGAATAAAGTTAATGCCAAGTTGCTCCTTAACATGGTGGTCCTTCCTAAGCTCCTCTGCAACCAGCTTCATCCAGAAAAGCTGCAAATCTCAGTTTACAGCTTCACTCAATGCTGCTCTCTTTCAGCAACATTTCCAGCTTAAGCTTGTCTGAGGAGTCCTTGGGAGTGTTTTCACACTAGTCTCTCAGAGCCCGCTGTGGCTTCACTCAGAATTTCATTGTGGCTAGCGGCAGTGGTGGGCAAATGCATTCATGGAAATGTTTCCTGGCTTTGTTAAAAGCTGTTACCACAGAGGCCACTGACATCTGTTGTGTTGGCAGGAAGGTCTTGAACTAGCCCGACAGCCTGCCTACGTCAGCCTCCAAGTCCAGAAAGCCATCTCTCCACTCACCAAGGGATTGTAGTGAAATAATTCAGATGTTTCAAATGAAGGGCTTCTGGAATTTTGAGAGTGAGTACTGTATGCATAACCCAACATACTTATAATGGGTGGGGAAACTGTTGGCTACCCAACTTCCTTCCATCAGTCCTATCAAGCAGAGCTAGCGGTCAGGGATGGTGTAGCAGATGTAATCCAGCAACAAGCAAGTTTGCCAGAGTCGCATGTAGACTGCAACTTGGAAGATGCAGTAGTTGCTTCATCATCCAGCCTCTGCCCTTTAGAACCCAGGTGGGAGTTTGGGGAAAATGGCACTTCTGCTTCTTCTGAGTATCTACTGAACTGCAGATCTTGTGTTTTGCACCTATTGCTAGATTACAATTCCCATAATTCCTCATTAGCCATAATGGTTTGGCGGGGTTGAAGGGAGTTTTGAAACCAACAACATGGGAAACAGTACCTCTTCTGTTGCCTTCAAGAGGAATGTTGCTTCATGCTAGGAGTGAGGATGCAATCTTCCTCTACAAAGAAAGCAGTGCTGCTGCTCGCTGAATCATCTTAGTTAAACCTTTTTATTGGAATGTGTTGATTTTTGTGTGTGCTATTGCTTATAATACAATACAAAGCCAAAGAGCTTGAATCATCATTTCTTAACATCCTGCCGTTCACACGGCCCAACAGTATTGTTGCACGTATAAGTCACCTGTTTCTCTTGTGTACCACAGACCTACTGCCTGCTTTCAGACTTGCAGTCTGGTGAGAGAAACGTAAGGTAGCGCACCACCCCACCCCACCCCCATTTTATCTCTTGTTCTAACAAGAGGTATTAAATATCCCATCCCTGAGATCTGCAAAAGGTACACTGCAATATCGCATCCTCAGTTTCACACAGCCTTGCACAACATGCTCCACAAGCAAATGTGTTCATTTTGATGGCTGCCTGTCCTAATAAAATCACTAAAGGAGGAAGAAGACAAAGTGATCCTCCCCTCCTGCTGTAGTCAAAACATTTGGGGGGCAGGAAAAGGTTGGCACAGATCCCAGAAAAGGAGGCTGATAAAGCATTGTAACCCACATCAATTTTGCCATCCCAAAACAAATACGAATGACTTTTCACATAGCTGAAAGGACTGTTCTATTTCAGTGCCTCTGCAGGGCAAAGCTGATAGAGGTCAGGCTGTATTGAATACAGGTGCAGAAGACCTACTGAGAGAGTTCAATTAATTGGTGTTAATCTTTATATCAAGCTAGCCCCTACCTAGCAGATTAGTGAGAAGTCTCTCCCTTCCAGGCAAGCGCTATAAAGGAACACACCAAACACTCTCATCTCCAGCAACACAGAAAGGCAGGCCCAGCCTGTGGGTCATCATCAGCTTCACTGCAAGAATGGCAAGATGTTCTTGTAGAACCATTCTTCAGAAAAGTGGAGGTGATCTCCTTCTGCGCCCAGGAACACCAGCTTCCCTGCTTTGTCCATTTCCTTCAAACCCAATCGATCCTGAAAGAAGGAACACAGAGTAACAAACAGATGGACCTCAGCTAGAAGTCACCATGCAAAACTTAGGCATGCAGAGAAGGTGGTTTGGAATCTACTGGTAGATTGCTGGCTGAAAGAGTGTTTGCTTCCAGCTATATGTCTTTTGACTTGTTAGCAGATCTTAGACTTCTAGTAAAAAAGTAGGCTGAACAAGTCCACTCCTGCCCACTTTGAGATTTTTCTTACAATCAAGGGGTATATAAATTTTATTAAATAAAATCAATCAGTATTAAGATCCTGAAGCTGCAATCATAAGCACTGGAGTAAGCCCTATAAATGGAGCTTCTGAGAAAATACAACAGCAAATGTTTCCACAGCTGCATATATAGAACAATCCTAAACTGGCTTACATCCAGTTTAACTATCAAGACTTCCTCTGAGCAGATCCTGGGCCAATCTAGTTTGAGGGCACCAAGGAAACTACTGTAAAAATGCTAAAACCTACCATTAGAACTAAGCTGCAGTCTAGGGGGAAATTCCACCAAGTTAACTGGTGTGAATTTACACCCTTAACTTCATTAAGTTAAAGGCAAGCAGCAGTGACAAGAAAAGGGTATAAAGAACCAGGCTGTTAATTTTTATCCTCTAACTCCAAATCGTTCAGGGTAGTATCTGTCCATTTGTCCAGATGTTTTGCGGCTCACAACCAGTGTATCAGTTGCACTGATTCAAGAGTGCAGGGATGATGCTCTTCAAATATTTCTGCAATTTATCTTAAGTTACATCCACTGATTTCAATGGGTCTATTATTCTGAGTACAACATTGTTGGACCTCATCCAATGTGTTGTCCCATTAACCAGGGCTGCCTTTTTAATTAATTCACAAAGGCTTTCAGTCACTTAAAAGGTTGCAGTACTAATCCAACCAAATTCCTTTAACTGGCCCCTGAGAGGAGGCAGTAACTGTTCTTAAATACTGTATGCATTCCTAAAAGCTATTGAAGTCTTAAAAAAAAAAGACACACATTTGCCTGTTGTTTTTGGAAGCATGCACCCTGCTCTCTCGTAAAAGCTTGGAAGGAACATGCTTCCAGTGGTCAGCACATCTTCAGGTTTGGAAGATTATCTCTGTTCAGTTACACCAGCTTAGACTCATTTATCACTTTCCTGTCAACTGTCTCAATTTCAAATTCTGCAAATCAGTGTTTGTAGAACAGTATTTATGCAGCTCTTTAAGCAGACAACTTTTGAGTGGAATTTACTTGCATGCAACTATGCACACCTGCAGCACAGGAACCCAGAAGAGGGGAGCACCCTAGAGTGTCCTCTTGGCTCCCCATAGCCCAAAGAGGACGGTCTCCTTGTGAACCACAAGCATGCCCCACTTAAATAAGAGTGCTCCCCACTTATACACAATTATGGGCCCCCCAGAACACAACCCCCCATGCAAGTGGGGAGTCACCTCTCTCTTCTGCAAGTTATTATCTAGTTACAAAACAAAACTCTTCGTTCCAACAACTGATGGGATGTCACACAGCTGGTTTGGTGTCAAATTCTTGATAGGAATAATAGCAGCATTCGGGATAGTTACCTCTGTGTACAGTGAGGTCTCTTGCAAGGGAATGGTCTCCTTGGCCTGACCGCTCCGGTAGTAACCAAACCACTGGGGAAAGAGGAGAGCAACAAAATGAGCCACTCACTGTTGCAATGGCCAGTTCATACCTACATGCACCAGGCCAGCAAAGGCCTGTCCCTTTCGGGCTGCTTGTTCTTCCGCCACCGCTGCCGCCGCCACCAGGTTTGTGGTGTGGTGAACCTGCTTATAGTCAAGTCAATAAGTTTTCCCAGTTTTTTGTGCTAAAATTAGGTGCCTCAGCTTATATTCGGGTCAGCTTATACTCAAGTATATATGGTATATCGGGTTTGCAAAATCAGCCCCCTTCCATTTCATCAGATTCTGCATGTGTTTTTCACACATATATATGCGTGCACACACACACAGAGCTGCCCACCTCAGATGCAGGAGGGTCCACCATGGTATCATTGAGGAACTTCACCATCACAAATTTCTTCAAAGACATCAGGTTTTTCTTATAGGTACTGTTGTTGCTCTGGAAAGAAGATGGGGGCACAGAGGGAGGAAAAGACAGAGAGAAAAGAAGATTTAAGAGAATCCCAAGCTACCTTGGAATCTGCTTTGCTGATGACACTGCAGAAAATGCCATGCAAATCCTGACCCAAGTGTGCCCCAACAGTTTAGTCATGCTGGCCACATGACCTGGAAAGCTCTCTGTGGACAAACGTCGCTCCTTCAGCCTGAAAGCGAGATGAGCGCCGCACCTCACGGTTGCCTTTGACTGGACTTAACTGTCCAGGGGTCCTTTACCTTTTATATTATTATGCAAACATATTGTTTGGGTACTAATTGACTACATGTTTAATAACTCACCCTTCAAAACAAGGCTTATAGTACATAACAAAACAAGTTAAACGTCAACAGCAACCCTTCCTCTAAGGAAGCATAAGCGTGTAGCTCACAGGCATTCTTCTTTCTGGTCACTGACCAGGTGCAGATCTTACAAGACTCAGCAAGGCTGCTCCATTGTGTGCCTATGGACCATGCCCTGCATATATCTGCTTAATTTCTGCATGTTTTATTCTACTTTTTCTAGCTTGTTTTTTTCTTTCTTGAGCCCTTCCAGGCCTTCACAATTTCACGATAAACTTCCTGCAGTTTACAGGGGTTGTTTTTGGATTTGATTAGAGGGGTGGGATGAGCAGCCAGACCGGCCAGGCCCAAACCTATCAAACTTACCCGCTCTTGATTGATGTCAGCCAGGAAAAGACTGTGCTTCCGGTATTCCTCTTCATTCAGTGGGTCGTGCCAGTACTGGGCTTGGACCAGGCTGTAGTGGAGGGAGAACTGGGAGTTCAAAACACAAGCCAGAGCAAGCCCTTGAGCCCCAACCCCCAAGCACATGTCCCCACCCCATAACATTCGACTTCCGCCAAAGTGAACTCACCGGTTCTGGACCACTGCAGTATAGGCCCCTAGGTCTAACATCCTTCGGATCCAGTCACAGAGGTGAGAACTCTCCCCGGGACAACGCGGAAAGCCATACACACCTGTGGCAGCAAGATACCAATTTGCAGGCATTCAGGATGTGAACATGACACCAGCCATTAAGATTAATGGCCCTTAGTCATGCTTATTACTTTAATAATAATTGTTGTTGTTTTTATTATTTCTACCCCACTCATCCGGCAGGGTTTCCCCAGCCACTCTGGGCAGCTTCCTTCTGGCACGTGCAAAAACATAATAAATGTCAAACATTTAAAACTTCCCAATACAGGGCTGCCTTCAGATGTCTTCTAAAAGTTGTGTGGTTCTTTATCTCCCTGACATCGGATGGGAGGGCCCTTCTGCCTGGTTCCCTGTAACTTTGCTTCTCTCAGTGAGGGAAACGCCAGAAGACCCTTGGAGGTGGACCTCAGTGAATGATAGGGGTGGAGACGCTGCTTCAGGTATACTGGGCCAAGAGCTTTAAAGGGTCAGCACCAACAATTTGAATTGTGCTTGGAAACGTACTGGGAGCCAGAGAAGATCCTTTAGGATTGGTGTTATATGGTCCCAGCAGCCACTCCCAGTCACCAGTCTAGCTGCCACATTCTGGATTAGTTGTAGTTTCCGGGTCACCTTCAAAGGTAGTCCCACATGAAGCACATTGCAGTAGTCCAAGTGGGAGATAACTAGAGCATGAACACTCTGGTGAGACAGTCTGCGGGCAGGTAGGGTCTCAGCTGGCGTACCAGGTGGAGCTGTCCTGGACACAGAATTGACCTGTGCCTGCATGGACAGCTGTGAGTCCAAAATGGCTCCCAGGCTGTGCTGCTGTTCCTTCAGGGGCACAATTACCCCATTCAGAACCAAGGAGTCCCCCACACTCGCCCAGCCCATCCCAAAAAAACAGTATTCCGTCTTGTCAGGATTCAACCTCAATCCGTTAACTGCCATCCATCCTCCAGCTGCCTCCAGACACTCACAGCAGAACCAGGGACAGCTTTCCCTTCTGTCCCTAGCCCGTCGGAGATCACTGACCAGCGCAGTCAAGGCAGTTTCAGTCCCATGATGGGGACTGAATCTTGATTGGAAGGGATCCATATGGTCCGGACCTCCAGGCATAACATCCTCTGTAGCTATGACATAACTTTCCCCACCTAAATCTGCATTCTCGCTGTCTAGAAAACAAAAGACCACTCAGATGGGCTTACCTTGGTGCTGACCTCCTACAGAAATCAGATTGAACATTGGGGGAGAGGGACATCTCTGCACCACCGCCCTCCTGGAAAGGGGGGGGGACAAAAACAGATTAAGCAGCAACCTCCAAGGCAGAAGACACATTGTCCAGACAGTTCTTATATGCCAGGGCAGAACGTAGAACTGGCAGGATTATATTGACTTTGATTTAATATTGATCTTGTAATGCAATTTATATACGTTAGATTTTATTATACTTCTTATTGGAATTCAGGTTGGGGAGGTAGGGTGACCTGTCAGATGTTCCCATCATCCCCAGCCAGCATGGCCAATGGCCAGGGGTGGTGGGAAAGGACACTTGATGTCATCTGGAGGCCTGCAGTTCCCCATCTTTAAGGTATGCAGTACTGAGCGGGAGGGGCCAAGGGCCTGGTTCTGTAACCTATGTCACAGATAGGTCATTCCATATCAAGTGATTCAACTTTTTTACCTCATCTCATCCAATTTTCTTAATATTTTGTACACTTGTTGAATGATCAAAAATAAGCTTAAATCTAAAATTTCATTTTTTTTAATCTCATCCTGTTTATGAGTTATGAGGGTTTGAAATTTCAAAAAACTGACAATTTTGGCCTTGCAGAAAAACCTGAAAAGCTCAGTCCAGAACTGACATACATCAAAACTAAAAACACCAATCTCTTCAGAACTTCGTGGGCTTTAATATGATATGTCACATGAGGGACTTAAATTTAAAATTAAAGTAAGTTACAAAATTGAACATTTAAAAAAGTGATTTTAAAAAATTAATATGATTTAAACATTCAAAAAAATTCTATTGATTATTTAACATTTCTAAGAGCCTTCTGCATGCAACACACGTGCTCTACCACTGCATTCTACCAAAAGTTGCCCCCTTTCATCCAAAGCTCCTTCCTCATTCTGCAACGCTTGAGACACTTACAGGAACTGCCCTCCCTGTGAGAAGCCCATGGCATTGTAGCCGCCTCGAAGCTTCGGGTCCTTTGCGAGTTCATCACACACGAGTTTCACCTGGTCATTCACGTTCATGAAGAAGCTGTTCTCCATGTCCTGAAGAAAACGGAGAACTTGAAGAACAGGAGACAGCCAATGACCTACACATGCCAAAGTGTCACACACTGAGCAGGAGGAAGGCAAGTCCCCACAGGGAGATTGCAGCTCCCTTCCCCAGACAATCAGCCCTCCTCCTTTCTGTTCAAAAAGGAAGTCGCTAACCCAGGGTTAGGGAACCTGTGGCCCTCCAGATGTTTGCTCATTTAGGAGTATTTGTGAAGCTTACAGTATATTAATAATGCAATGATACAGCAGTCACTAGAGTGGGACAAGTTTGTATATAGATTTCCCTCACTAATTGTCCAAGTGTCACTCTGCAAATGAATCTCCTGGTCTCGAAGGAACCAGGTGTTAGTCCTTCCCAGGCCCAGCCTGCCTCACCGGGCTGAGGACCACCTTGAATTTGGCCCAGGAACAAATCAGTCATCAATGCAGATCTATGAGCTGAGGATGTAACATGCTGGCAGGATCAGCAAACATGTTGCAGTGTTCTGCATTAACTGTTATTTCTGGACCAAATGCAAGAGGGGTAGATGATAGATAGATGATAGATAGATAGATAGATAGATAGATAGATAGATAGATAGATAGATAGATGATAGATAGATAGATGATAGATAGATAAGATAGATGATAGATAGATAGATAGATAGATAGATAGATATAGATAGATAGATAGATAGATAGATAGATAGATAATAGATAGATAGATAGATAATAGATAGATAGATGATAGATAGATAGATGATAGATAGATAGATAGATAGATAGATAGATGATAGATAGATAGATAGATAGATAGATGATAGATGATAGATGATAGATGATAGATAGATAGATGATAGATAGATAGATGATAGATAGATGATAGATAGATGATAGATAGATAGATAGATAGAGATAGATGATAGATGATAGATGATAGATGATAGATGATAGATAGATAGATATAGATAGATGATAGATAGATAGATAGATAGATAGATAGATAGATAGATAGATGATAGATGATAGATAGATAGATAGATAGATAGATAGATGATAGATATAGATAGATGATAGATAGATGATAGATAGAAATAATGGAGAAGTAAAGAGGGAGAGATGAGGCTGCTGTGTCTCTCCATTGGCTCTGCTGGACAGCAACTCCATCAGGCTTCTCCTAGCAGCCAGCAGCCGTTCCATCAGGATACAAGAGGGAAAGGGAGAGGGAGTTAGGGGGACTACAGGGTTCTATGTCTATGGCAAAAATAGGAGGTGAAACTTTAGCCGAGGTCACCCAGAATATATGCCTAGCTGCTTCCATGGGAAGTCGCTTTGTCCAAGTGCTTGTGTGATTGTGTCTGGCCCCACTCACTACTGGGATGCAGCCCCCGACAGCTCTCCACTGGGGAAAGGCAGCCCTCAATGCTTGGAAAAGTAACGCCAGGGTGGAATTTGATTCAGCACCCAAGTTCTGAGCTCTGCGTAGCAAAACCAAAGGCACGAGCGTGTGGGAGAGCTGGGCGGCTCAGCAACAGGACCAAATCCATTTAGAGATCAGAGCTTAGGCACAGACAAGGCTTAGAAGAGGCCTAAGTCAGAGGCCATCATGGCTTCAAGGAGCTCATAAGCAGATCTGCGTCCAAATCCAATTACAACCCGCAGCTTTGGGGTTACTTCATGGGAGTCTGCCCTTCTTACACCCTTACTTGCTCACATCTGTTTTAAAGGTGTCCATGATGATGCCTTTAGGTTCTCCCCACCCCTACTCAGACATGCACACCCAGTGTGATTGACAAGTCCATTGGGTCGGGGGGGGGTGGAGATGGGGATGAGAATCCTGCTCATCAACAGGCAGGTCTCCTAGCCTTTCTCATGAACCAGCAAAGGTATGAGTGGGAAGAATTAAACTGCCCCAGCAGGGTCCTCCATTTATCCCCACTGGATTCATGAGATTACTGCTCCTCACCATACCATCATTTCATCCTCTTTCAGGCAGAAGAGATGCTGCTTTGTTCTAATGGCATTTCCCTACAAACACTCCCCCGCCCCTGTTCCTCCTCTAATGCCAGTCTTCGCATCAAGACTGATTGCCCCAATGCACAGATCCTTGTTGGAAGCAGCATGGCAAAAACATGCAGCGCTGTCCACAATGTTCTGCACACTGTCCTTTAGAATTGAAGAGTTGGAAGCGATCCAGATGGTCAACTATTCCAGGGGTAGGCAACCTAAGTCCTGTGGGCCGGATGCGGCCCAATCCCTTCTCAATCCGGCCCGCGGATGGTCCAGGAATCAGCGTGTTTTTACATGAGTAGAATGTATGCTTTTATTTAAAATGCATCTCTGGGTTATTTATGGGGTATAGGAATTTGTTCATTTTTTTCTCCAAAATATAATCCAGCCCACCACATGGTCTGAGGGATGGTGGACCGGCCCACGGCTGAAAAAGGTTGCTGACCCCTGATCTAATTCAACCCTCTGCAATGCAAGAATATGCAGCTGTCTCTTAAGGTGATCGAACCTACAACCTTGGCGTTATTAGCACCACACTCTAACCACCTGAGCTCTCCAGGCTGATAGCTGGGGCTCAAGTTAACAAAGTATGAGGAGCACCATTTTAAACACCATGCCTACTTGAGAAAATTCACAATAAAAATGACACCACCTCAATTAAGTTGCTGCCAATCTTCAAAGACAGAACGTAAATCCCTGGGATTTTCTTCTCCACAATTTTTTTTATGTAACCCATGCTCTCAGGATTGCAGCAGCTGTCACCTGGGATTAAAGGGGAAAAAGCAGATGAGGGGAAAGATTTGGAATCAGAAATTCAGCAACGGGACTGTTGCAGTAGGATTCTTTTTTAGTCTAGCAAAATATATTTGCAAATTATAACAAACGTAGACCCAGCCCATGTGTTGCTGGGGTCCCCAGGGAGCTATAGGGAAGCCCCATAGTCGGCTCCCACCTTAACGCAAGTCAGCAGGGTGGTCAGCTATTAAGACAGAATTTTTAGTTGCTCAATTATCTTTCCTGAAAAGTTAATGGATTACATTAAAAGAAAATCCTGCATTTTACAAAAACTGCCACATAAATATCTTCTTGAGATACTGAAGGACAAGGCATGTAATAAACAAAAACACATCTCAGTTCCACACAAACAACACAATTATCATTCCTGACCATCCTGGGCGAGGCATGTTGTTTCTTGTGCGAGGGCTGCCCGAACGTCATCCTGGACTACACCTGGGAAGATAACAGTGATGATAAAGTGGGTTTATCCAAAGGGCGTGCATCTTCTCTTGCCAATAAGTCAGAAGACTGACACCTCCCACGTAGAGAAAGGCAAAAGGAACATATAATGTTTATAATACTCCCGTTTGTGGAATGCTCTCCTCAGGGAGGTTCGCCATTATATATATTTTAGGTGCCAGGTGAAAATGTTCCCCTTTGGCTGATTAACATTCTGCAGCCTTTTAAATGTGTCTGTGGGAAGTGGGCAGGTTATTGTTTAGCTGTTTTAATCATGTGCTTGTTTTAACCTGTATTTTATTCTGCGAACCTCCCTAAGATCTTATAATGAGGGGTGGCATATAAATCTATTAAATACAGTGGTACCTCAGGTTAAGAACTTAATTCGTTCCAGAGGTCCGTTCTTAACCTGAAACTGTTCTTAACCTGAGACACCACTTTAGCTAACGGGGCCTCCCACTGCTGCTGTGCTGCCACCGCACAATTTCTGTTCTCATCCTGAAGCAAAGTTCTTAACCCGAGGTACTATTTCTGGGTTAGCAGAGTCTGCAACCTGAAGCGTCTGTAACCCGAGGTACCACTGTAATACTAAAATATAGCAATGGATTTCTGATTTCCTGACAAAACTTCAGCCATTTTGATCCAGATATATACAACAGGCACTTACTTGAACAGCTGTAACCCAAAGCCCCATCCAAAGAATGGGGTGGGGGAGAAGAGACAAGAGTATGGTTTTAGACACACATAGGAATACTGCACTTCAAAATAAATGCATGTCGAATGTGGCTTTAGACACGGCCCAGAGTTTCCTGTACCCTTGTTAATTGTATGCTCATGACATCAATTTAGATTGTTTGCCATTGAATATTAGTCCCAGCAGAGAAAGCGTATCAGGATTTTTTATTCTCCAAGCACAGGGCTGAGACTTCAAAGGAGGCAGGGAACTGAGGACACATTATCTGGCAGATCAATGGTGTTGTGAGAATTTTATATGAAGGGAGAGGGTGAATCTATTACTAGAAGGGTAGCTCCTTTTAGAAAGAAAAAAGAAAGAAGAAAGAAAGAAAGAAAGAAAGAAAGAAAGAAAGAAAGAAAGAAAGAAAGAAAGAACAAGTTTGGTAATCAAGATAAAAGCCCAGATAATATCAGAATGAGGTCTGGATGGATGCAAAATTTCATACTATATCTAACATTTCATGTTATTCCAGTTATATTTCACAATGGGTCTATAACTGCATATACATCATACAGTTGAAGCACATTTCTTCTCCAAAGAATCATGGGAACTGTAGTTGAAGGGTGCTGGAAATTATAGCTCTGTGAGAGCTAAACTACAAATCTCAGGATTTTGGGGGGGAAAGCCATGCACTTTAAATGTATTGTCTGTGTGCAGCCTTAGACCATATAAAGAAATCTAGCCTGATCTCATCAACCTGGGACTCCAAAAGAGCCTGAGGGAAAGAGACAAGATCAGCAGGAAACTGGAGGAGGATCTTAGGCAGGGAAGCTGTACATATCATCTTCCCCTAAGGAAAAAATATTAATCGCCCAAGCAGCTCTGTCATCAGTTTCCTAGTCATTAGTCCCTCCCTCATTTGTGCTCCATCCCATGGATAAGCGCAACAGATTACAAACCGTTGGGAGTAAAAGTCTGAAACAGAATCAAAAGTGCAAGAGGAGAGTGCACATCCAAATTTCAAACCTCACTCACAGTACTGAGTGTGCTTAACATCTTACATGGTGATTTGGAGTGAGTAAGAACCCTAAGACAAGAAGTCTGGAGCCTTGGACTTTTATAAAGCTGAATGATCACACAAATGCAGCCATGCTATAAACCAGTCTTTAATTGAGGCTGAAATCACTGTGAAGAGTCATAGAAGTCTGGAGCCTGTGGCCTTTCAGGAGATACAAATATTCTCTTTTATACTGTGGCTGGAGGGGCCTGGAGCCAGTTCCTCTAACTCTTTACCCCTGGAAAAGAAATATTATCTCAGGGCAAAGTGGACAAAACTGTGGCTCCTCCTGATGTTGCTGGACACCAGCTCCCATCAGCAAGGCTGGTATTCAAGAAAGATGAAAGTCCATGAATATCAGGAGGTGCTGAAGGTCCCCTGCCCCTGTCCTAGAGTCAGCAACTACCTTGAAAGGAAGCTGGGCAAAAAAGGGCCACCCTCTACCCCCACCCAAAGTGGACTAACAAGTAAGCCTCCTAATGTAGCCCATTTTGCAATTGGTCCTCTTTTAAGGTTGGAGTTGGTCATGGGGCCTCCAGTTGCTAACCCCGATTCCAAGACGTCTTGCCATTTCAGGATGCCTTTCCATTTGCAATTTCTCAGCAACTGCTTTAGGGCAGGGCGAGGGTTAGGGAAGAGAATCAAACTGGTCTTAAGGAACAGCGTTAATGCTACCTGCCCTTTCTCACTGTCTTATTCAACTGTAAATGCATATAACACTTGCAATGTCATTGTCTGGAACTGGATGCTGTGTTTTGTATGGCATTCTTCCAATCTTGTAAATTCCGTTTTTTAAAGTTTCATTTTCTCTTCTATTTACTTTCAGTTTTTTAATGATGTTGGTCAGCATATTTCTTTGAGAAACAGTGTCCCATGATCCCAGTTACAGAGGCAGGAAGCCCTTTTCTTCTCAAGGGCCACCTGCTTCTGGGAGATGAGCAGGGCAAGAGGCAAAAGTGGGCACAGCAATCAATTTAATGTTTACCTTTGTTCAGAAGGCTAGTTTCTACACACATCCCTCTCCATCCTCATCCAAACAAGAAAGAGGTGCTATCAGAGTTCAAGGACACATTCCAGCCAAGCAAAAACACTCAAGAAGGGTGCAAACCAGGGCCAGCAAGGGAGGGATATGGGCTGGGGAGAGTCCCAAGAGCCAAACAGAGAGCCCTGGAGGGTCTGGTCCTGGACCTTCAGTTCCCCACCTCTCATTAACACAAATTATAATAAGATTTTCCTTGACTGAGATGAGCTTTGAATGCCCAGCTCTTTTCACACCACTCCAATTATTCAACCACCCCCTTGTATAATCCAATTAAGTGATAAGATCATAAAGGGAAGGATGGCACTTGGCCAGCTTTGAACAAGCTTCGCCAGATTTCTTGCCACCTGTCTGTTTATGCATCAAACATTGCTTTTAGACTAAAGCCAGCAGATAAAAGAGGTCACTGTTGGCAGGATAATGACACTGAGGTAGTTGTTAAATATTACTGCTATATTTATAAAAGCTGCTTCCATTTGCACTATTCATGCAGAATCAAGCTTCATTTGTGCGCACGTGTGTCTTTTTATGGTACGCAATTGGCAGAAGGATGAGCTGTATCAATCCACTTTTCAACTAATGTAGTCTACACATCAATCACAGCAACCGAGAAAAAACTGTGAACACCCAAGAAATGCTAGAAAGATTGTCACTACAGACAAGTCCTCTCTTAAGGAAAACCACTAGGGAGAAATGCATACAAGCTTTGCTTGGTGAAATACTGGATCAGTTTCCTGCAAGTTGATAACCTAGTAAATCACACAGTGAGGAAAATGTGATTGGCCAGGCTACTGGGGAGTACAAGACTGGGGTCAGCAAACATGGGCTACAATAAAAAACTGACCCTCTGCTTTAGATACTAGTCCCTCCAGACCCTTTAGACTGCTTAATGACAAACAGGAAACAGTGACTTGGAGGAGACTTGTTTTTTAGTTTCACAGTCATAGTGTAACTGTGCTGCTTCTGTTCTCAAAGCACTACAAACTTATGATTTTCCAGATAAGGAACTGAAGTTACAGGGCCATCAGGTAGTTACCACATTACCTTCCTTCTGAAACTGAAACAAGAAAGCCACAGAGTTTCACCCTAAAAGAAACCTTGCAAGGTAACTGAAGTGGTGACACTTTGAAGTAGCAGAACCCATACTTGAAGCCATGTCCAACAACTAATTAACACTTGCTTTGCTCCATTTTTTCTTCATTTTTTGCTTGACAAGAGTTAACTGACAGTGCAAACCTATGCAGATCATCTCAGAAATAATTCCCAGCAAGTTAAATGGGGCTTATTCACAGGTAAATGAATAGCCTCCTGACAATTAGCAACCTGTTGACAGATACTAAACTACGAACAAGCCCACACTGCTGTTAGTAAGGCTGGGATCCCCACTTACCTACGAGTAAGAGCCACTGAATTAGATAGGCCTTACTTCCAACCAAGTAGACATGGCTAGGATTGTGCTACAATTCGTTTTGTTAAAGCACCTCATAGTACATGCTATACAGATGTTCCCAGTGTTTTACCACAACGAGGCTGGAACTCCGTGGGAAAGCGTTTACCCACAACCAGGGTTCTAATTTGCATTCAGCCACAAAGCTAACTAGCCTGGTCACTCTCTTGTAAGACTCTTTCAAGACTGCTGCGAAAGCAAAAAAAACCCGGGATGAACATTTAAACCCCCCCTCTCTCTCTCGACAAAGCATCAGCCGAGACCCTGACTAGATCCCGCTCACTCACCCATGCCATGCCAGATGACCAGCGGCACCGGCCCCGCCGAGCTCCCGGGACTCAGCCAGCAAAATCCGCTCAGCAGCTGGAGCAGCAAAACTTTCTGCAGCCTGGCCGACGCCATCTTGGATCTGTCATATGACACAAATCCCCCCCCGCCGCCGCAGCCGAGGAAAATATGCCATGTGCACAGAGAAGAGGCGGGCCTAGACCAGCCTTGTCGCCTCTTCAGAAAGGAGGAGCACTGGGAACGGGAGATTGGAGGACTTGGGTTGGAGAGGCAGCCAATTAAATAACAAAACGAAAATCTCATTCAGGTGTTTTGTTTTTAAATAAAAATTGGTAAATATTTAATAAATATTTTATTAATTTCCCAATATAACAAAAATAAAACATCAATACAAATTCAATATCAAACAAAAAATTGACTTCCCCCCCATGTCCCTTCCTTGGTTCCAGTGTCTATCAACATACCGCATGTCCAATGTAAGTAAAATAAAAACCATTAAAATTACTTATTGTTCATTCATAATCTAATTACAAGTAGTGCTAGAACCCTGCCAATATATTAACCTGTGTACATTGCTTCTGTATATATGCAATAAAGTCCTTCCATTCTTCCTTAAATTCGTTGTCATCTCTTTTTCTTAGTTTCATTGTCATTTTTGCCATTTCAGCACGTTCCATTAATTTAACTTGCCAATCGTCTTTAGTTGGGACACTTTATTCTTTCCAGTGTTGTGCAAGCAGTACTTGTGCGGCTGCAGTCGCATACATAAATATGTTATTTTGTATTCTAGGTATATCTACTCCTGTAATAGTAGGGATGCTTCTGGTTTTTTGACAAAAATTGGGTTTTTTTTTAATCATTTCATTATAAATTGTTTCCCAATAGTTGTTTTTTTTTACTATTTTACATTCCCACCACATATGAAAAACCTCCCTTCCGTTGTTTTACATTTCCAACACTTATTTTCTTTAATTTATACATTTTGCTAATTTGACTGGAGTTATATGAAAATGATTTATAGATGGTATCTAATTTTCTTCAGTCGCCACACATGCTGTAAATTTAATCCCACTCTTCCATAGTTTTCCCCATTCCTCCATCTGAATATTGTGTCCCACATCTTGTGCCCATTTAATCATGACTGATTTAACCTCTTTATCTTTCATTTCCCAGTCTAGCAACAGATTGTACATTTTTGATATTAATTTCTAATCAGAAAATATTCAGTTTCATGCTTCAGCCAGTCTTCACACTTACTGCATTTATACCGCACCTTTTTCTCAAAGTTGCTGTACACTGCCCCCCCCATTTAATCCCCACAACAACCCTTTACAGTAGGCTAGACTGCTAGAGGTCGTGACTAGCCCAAGGTCACCCAGTGAGGTTCATGGCTGAGTTGGGATTTGAACCCTGGCTTCCTAGGTCCGAATCCAGCGCTCTAACCACTACACCACACTATTGGCATAAGAGGGAGGTGTCAGAATGCAGAGGAGGAAGGCAGGGCTCCTGCACCCTATAGTTGTATAAATGAGATAATTTCAGCAGGTGCAACTTGCCATGCAAGCTGTGCAAGGCCAGCAATAGTTAGTAGCCGCAATGGGTATTTTCTGCCTTTACTGTTGGACACAGTGTGCCACTGAATACCACTTGCTTCCCACACAGGTGGGGAGAACACGGTTGCAATCAGGTCTTGCTTGTGGGCTTTCTAAGAGACATCTGGACACTATAGTAACAGCATTGACCACATGAGTCTTTGGCCTGATACAACAAGACTCTTCTATTCTTGTAAGTACAGTAATATATCCATTGAGTACAATGGGACTTGTAAATACACCTAGGATGCTGCTTCAGAGGTGAAAGCAGGTTTCAAATAACAGATGAGGAAAGAGTGGCCCTCCACATGCTGTTGGGCCCCAGCATCCCCACCCATTAGCCATGCTGCAGCAGCTGATGTGAGTTGGGAGTCAAAACAGTACCTGGAAGACTGTAAATTTCCCCACCTATTTTAAACTGGCAGACATGCCTGACCATTATGCCTGTTTGCAACAAACAGAACAAGCTTTCCACTGTCAGATTTGCAGTGCAACTCTATAAATGTATACTTCAAAATAAGCCCCTTGATTTCAGACATATGGTAAAGGTAAAGGGACCCCTGACCATTAGGTCCAGTCGTGACCGACTCTGGGGTTGCAGCGCTCATCTCCCTTTATTGGCCGAGGGAGCCGGCGTTTGTCCGCAGACAGCTTCCGGGTCATGTGGCCAGCATGACTAAGCCGCTTCTGGCGAACCAGAGCAGCGCACGGAAACACCGTTTACCTTCCCGCTGGAGCGGTACCTATTTATCTACTTGCACTTTGTGCTTTCGAACTGCTAGGTTGGCAGGAGCTGGGACCGAGCAACGGGAGTGCACCCCGTCACAGGGATTCGAACTGCTGACCTTCTGATCGGCAAGTCCTAGGCTCTGTGGTTTAACCCACAGCGCCACCTGCATCCCTTGGACTTGTCAATTTTATTATTTTAGGAGAGACCAGATAACTTTCCTCTTAAACGAGCCTTTGGTGCAAGATGACATCTTTCTGTCCCACCTGTTTTGAGAAATATATTATGCCCTGATGTCCACCTCTCACTCTCCTCAATATTGAAAGATACAAAGACTGGAAAGTAAATACATGGGGCAGAGGGAGGATGGTTTAAACTTTAAGCTTAAAGCTTGGAAGGGAGAAGGCAGCTGGGTTTGAGCCTTATGGAAGAATCACCTTGTACTCTTGCTTATATTTTTCTGGATATCTTCATTGCTGGAGAGTCCTAGGAGGAAGTCACTGCCTGAGGTCCAGCAATCCTGGTAACTATGCATGGATGTTCATGTTCTCTACTTTTTAAAGTATGGCTGGGTATATCTAGGTTAGACCTAGATTGTAGAATCATCCTCTTACCCCCTTCTCCTACAAGCAGAATCCTCATAATTGCTACTGCAGTCAAATAACACTAGCATTTGTTTAGTGCTGTAGATGCAGCTTTTAAGAAATCTCCAATCCTATGCACACTTACCTTTAAACTCAGGGGTCCTGACTTTTGAGTAGACATGCAGGATTGCACTGATAACCAGTACAGTCCTTAAAACTAAGGATTATAAACAGGCCAATATACTCTCTTCCTCCCCTCCACCCAACTGCAAATTGTACATTTGGACGCAAGTATTATAATCTGGTTATGGATGCTATAACAATGGAGAAACATGGCAAATTAGATGCACATTTTTATTTTTATATATTTAAGATATAAATATATATATTTATATCTAAACCCACCACCCACACAGAGTGTCCAGTTTCCTTCAAGATCCTCTTCCGCTGCATGGCAGTGCTCAGCCATCAGTCCAGTTTGAGCGAGGCCAGGCTCCAGTCAGGGATCAGAAAGAGCCTAAGCACCAGCTGTTGGTGCTGGGGGGGGGGAGCAAGAAGCTGTTCACTTTTTACTGGCCTTTATGGCAGACTTAGTTATTTTAGCTGCCCCACTAGCCTTCTTCTCCACAGACTTAATTACACCCACAGCCACTGTCTGCCTCATGTCCCGCACAGCAAAACGACCTGCCAGAGAGAAGAGATCTCATTAGGGCACAGAAAGTTCAATGCAGTTTCTGGAATCTTTTTACCTATGACCGACAGGTTTGAACAGCCATGGCTTAACTGCAGTTGCCAAGAGTTTGAGATTTGTAGCGCCACTCACAGAATTACCAGTTCCTAGTATTCCTTAAAAAGAAGGACTGATTATTAAACTAGTTTTTAAAGCTGTCACACAGATGTAGCTATAAATGGCTGTAGAATGCAAAACCGCAAGCTAGAAGAGTGCACCATTAGCAAGCAGCAGCCTTCCTAAAAGCTAGAAACAAATGCCTAACCAAGATGGGGGTAACCTTTGGTCTGCCAGATGTTGCTGCACTACAACTCCCTTCAGTCCTAGGAAGCATGGCCAGGGATTATGGAAGTTGTAGTTCATCAACATCTGGAGGGGCAAAGGTTACCTACTCTTGGGCCTAGCCACTCATATCATACAATAGCCACTAATAGTTAGCATGTGGCACATTTAATAGGAGGATACAGTCAAAGATCATCTCTCAGTGCCAAGCTTCAAAGGAGGACCTGATTCATCACAACTGACCACGGAATGATTCATTCTTTGTTTATTTGGACGATTTATGTGCACTGTTTTCAAGTTCAGCCTACTCAAAACGGCTACTGAGGCAGACAGGAGAGGCCTGAAAGAAGACTCCTAAACAGACCCAGAAGGTCCTACAGAGGCAGTTATTCTTAGCAGAATACCACCCTTACATGAGCAACACACATCAAGTACAAACCTACTCAAAACTTCCTGTTATAGCAAACTCTCAAACCACATTCCGCAGCCACTCCCACAATTCAGTCTCATATCCTCAGCCAAGGGCAAGATGTACTGGGTACAGACTTAGCTACCCCAAAATCTAATTTTTCAGTCCATTTTTTAAAAAATCCAAGTTGCTAGCCCTCATGGCTGTGGTGGTATGTGCACATGCACAATGCCCCTTAGTGCCAGAGGAAAACAGGAACATAGGATGCTGCCTTACACCACTGGCCCATCAAGCTCAGTACCATCTGCCCTAACAAGCCAGAGTTCTCCAGGGTATCAGCCAGTGAGTTTCTCTTCCAACCTTACCTGGAGATGCCTGGGATTGAACCTGTGACCTTCTGCATGCAAAGCAGATGCTCTGCCACTGACCCAATGGCCCTTCCCCAGATCAGGGCCTAGGAATAGCTGAATGATCTGAAAAGGCCCTTGCACAACCTAGACCCTCACCCTTCCACATAATGAGGAAAACCAAAATGATGCCCATTAAAATGGAAGTACAGACACTTTTACATGATGGTTCCTGAGACCAAGCAGAAGGGTTTCATCTGTGGTTTTTTGATACATTTGGAAGTCATTTTTAATCAAGATAGTGGACTGAACCTTTCTAAGCTACACCAATTTCAAAACTGCCCTGATGTTTTAGTTTTTTAGAATTCCTAGCCAATCCCAGATATGAGGCCACGAGTCTCTGATAAATGCACTGCAAACTTACCAAGAGGTGGGTATTCAGAGAAGCTCTCCACACACATGGGCTTGCCAGGGATCATCTGAACAATGGCCGCATCACCAGTCTTCAGGGATTTGGGGTCATCCTCCAGCTTCTTGCCAGACCTGCGGTCAATTTTCTCCTTCAGCTCAGCAAACTTACAGGAGATATGGGCTGTGTGGCAGTCCAGGACTGGGGCATAGCCTGCTGAGATCTGGCCCGGGTGGTTCAAGATGATCACCTACAACATCAAGATCAAGGAGGAAGAACATGTAGGACTTCTGGAAACATTCACTCTATCTGTACAGCAGCCTTTCCCCAACCGGGTGCCCTTCAGATGTTTTGGACTACAACTCCCATCAGCCCTGGGAACATGGGAGATGGCCTTTTCGGTGGCTGCTCCTAAACTATGAAACTCCCTCCCTGGTGAAGCTAGACTGGCACCCTCCTTGCTCTCCTTCTGCTGGCAGGTAATATTTTTTTTTCTCCAATAGGCTTTTAGGAATTGACTGCTTTTTATGAAAGAGCTGGTGCCGTGCTGTTTTTATTGTAGTTATTTGTAAGGGTTTAAATAAATTGTATGTATGTATATAGCTTTTTGTTCTATCAGTGTTTACTTTTTTAATGATTGCTTCCCCCCTTTTTTGCAGTTCTTATTTTCACTTTTTTTAAGTCACCTTGAGTCCTGTTCTGTGATGATGATGCTACACAGCAGAGGCAGGAAACTGCCCACTTGACATTGGATGATTGTTCAACTTCAACAGATTCCTCTTGCTGTTTATGCAGTATTCCACAAGCTTTGTTTTCTTCTCTGAATGCCATGCCACCTGGGGCAATTCCATGTTTCTGACCAGGACAGTTCAGGATTCAGAAAACTTGTAATGCAAGGGCTTGATCTCAGTGGTGACTGGAGCCCATGGGGAATGGGATGGCTTTATTATTTACTGTATCAGCCATGTTGATCCTTGATTCTGGCCTTGATTTTAAGGTACTTAACCTGGGCAGACTGGAAATGAGAATTGAGCATCCAATGAAGCTTGGCCTTTTTACACCTGATCTGGGAGGGTGGGGCCTCAGGCTGCTGAGGTGGTGTTGAGGAGGGAGTTGTTGCTCTTATTGCTAGGTTGTTGTTGTTGTTGTATTGTTTGCTTGATGTATGGGAATTGTTCGGTTTCGTTTTGTATTTTTGAATTTACTACTGATGTCTACTTTTGTTATGTTGTAGTTATGTGTTTATTCATTATGTAAGCCGCCTTGAGCATGGCTTGAACTGTGGAAAGGCAGCATACGTTTGTATGTATGTATGATTGATTGACAGGTAGTAAGTTGGCCTGTGCAGGTGTGGGGAGATAAAGGCCTGGCCCACCAGGCCAAAAAGGTCCCCCACCCCTGCTTTATGGAGTTACAAGGATGTGCAACCAAGCATTATGGGAAGGGCTGCAGCTCAGTGGAAGAGCATCTGCATACAGAAAGTCCCCAGTTCAATCCCCAGCAACTCTAGGTAGGGCTGGGAGGGAAACCAGGCCCAAATCATGGAGACCTGCTCCCAGTCAGTGTAGACAATACCAAGCTAAATGGACCAATAAGTGACTAAATATGGAAGCTTCCTCTATCTCCCAAGACCCCTCTGGCCTTGCCCACCCCTCACCTGGGCTGAGAAGCTGCCTGCCTCCATGGGAGGGTCGTTCTTGCTGTCCCCGGCCACGTTCCCACGACGGATGTCTTTCACCGACACGTTCTTGACGTTGAAGCCCACATTGTCTCCTGGCAGGGCCTCCGCCAGCGCCTCGTGGTGCATTTCCACAGACTTCACCTCTGTGGTGATGTTGGTGGGGGCGAAGGTGACCACCATGCCGGCCTTCAGGAACCCTGTTTCCACCCTGCCCACCGGGACAGTGCCAATGCCTAAGGGTAAAGCAACAGGGTTACCCACTGAGCTACACAGCTAATGGCCTGACAGAGTTACTCCAAGCTCTGCCTCATAGAACAACAGCTGTCCCCATTCGAGTAGTGAAAAATATGGCCTAGTCAGCCTCAGGCAACCCACTAGGCTTCCATATGTAAAGTAGTACTATTTAACTCTTAAGAATTGGTGGCCGAGTTTGTGTTTCTCCTCTTCCATCCCAGTCTCTTTTCCCTTGTGTGCCATGGCTTTTAGACTGCAACCCTGCAAGCAGGGGCTGCCTTATTTCAGTTGATTCTATGTAAGCTGCTCCGGGAGCCTTTTTGGCAGAAATGCAGGCTACAAATGCAGACCAGCAAGGACTTGGTATTCTTCCTGAAAGCTGGAATATTTGCCTGCATTGAATCACTGCACTGTGCATAACTATTGAAGCGCAGGTCAATATCCTTTTACATTATTATCCCACCAGTACAATAATGCATACCACCAATCTTGTAGACATCCTGCAGAGGAAGGCGAAGGGGCTTGTTAACAGGGCGGGAAGGAGGGATAATAGAATCCAGAGCTTCCAGCAAAGTGGTGCCAGAGGCATTGCCTTCCTTCCTGGTGATGCTCCAGCCCTTGAACCAAGGCATCTGCCAACAGAGATGAAGAGCATGTGCAGTTTTGAGCATGCCTGCAAATATTTGTGACAGCCTGAAGTCACATCATGCAATTCTACAGCTGGAGACCTCCTGGTCTTTGGAAGTGGGCATGTTCTCCTGTCTCTCTCCTGGGAATGTGTTCCCAGTTTTTAGGAGGGGGTAGGAACAAGCTTGGCAAGTCTAGGTTTAATCCCTGGGATCTTCAGTTGGGAGCTTACCAAAGACCTCCTTCATGGTACTCTGGAGAACTACTGCCAATCTGTATTAGCCAAAGTGGGTCAGGTGGCCAAACAGCCTAAATCAGTATGAGCAGGGCTATGTGTCTTCTGCAATTCCACTGGATGGTGGAATTCAGCTCACCAAAAGCCTGAGCTTTTATTTTCAAAGGAGGGGGGAAATGAAGTTTCTAGTTCTTATGACTGCAGGGGTATGCTTGAAAGTGGGCAGAAGATGTCTGCTTAAATCTCCAATGCCAGAATAGATGCTTAAGTAAGATTTTTAGACATGGGATAAAGAAAGGATGAGGTCTTGTGACCCTCCAGATGTTTGACTCCAAGTCCCATCAACCCCAGCATATACAGTCAGGAATGATGGGCGTTGTAGTCCAAGAGCATCTGGAGGACCACAGGTTCCTTTGTGCTGGAGAAATACCACTGACCTCATCAATCTAAACTTCCCTACTGAGTAGGTTTGAGGAAAGGGGGAGAAAAATACTGTAGGCTACTCACATTACTGCTGGGCTCCAACATGTTGTCTCCATGCCACCCAGAGATGGGCACAAAGGCCACAGTGGCTGGGTTGTAGCCAATCTTCTTGATGTAGGCACTCACTTCCTTGGAAATCTCCTGGTAGCGCTTGCTGCTGTAAGGAGGCTCTGTGGAGTCCATCTTGTTCACCCCAATGATGAGCTGCTTCACCCCCAAAGTATAGGCCAAAAGGGCATGCTCACGGGTCTGCCCACTCTTGGAGATGCCAGCTTCAAACTCACCCATGCCAGCAGCCACAATCAGCACTGCACAGTCAGCCTGGGGAGACCAAGAGACAGCTCTGGAATACTGTCTGGAGTCTAGGGACTCCCAAGGAGTCAGGGTAGAATCTAGGGGACAGTTAGGGCAAACCAATATGGCAGGCGTAAGTCATTTACATTCATCTAGAAACTATTAGTGCCATGAAATGGGATACAAATCTCTAATGGAGTTTCAAGAGTCCTCAGCAAACTACAACCCATGAGGTTGTGTTAGGGGAAAGGTTTGATTTCCAGACTTTTTATCATCTTGGTAGCCCTCCTCTGCACACGTTCCAGCTTGCCAATATACTTCTCAAACTGTGGCGCCCAGAACTGGCCACAGTACTCCAGATATGGTTTGACCAAGCCTGAATAGAGTGGAACTATTACTTCCCTTGATCGAGACACTATACTTCTGTTAATGCAGCCTGGTTAGCTTTTTTTGCTGCTGCATCACATGGTTGACTCAAGTTAGGCTGGTGGTTTACTGACAAGCCAGATTCCCGCCCCCCCCCCAATCTTATTTTTGTGCAGCTGGTTCTTCCTGCCTTTTCTTTAAAAAGTTAAGTTACATTTTACTTTGCACTGTTTTGCAAAGAAAAAAAGAAGCAGTGATAACTAATGGCACACGTTTCCTCTCCATGGGAGTGGAAGACGGCAACATTACCTGAGAGGTCCCAGTGATCATGTTCTTTATGAAGTCCCGGTGGCCGGGAGCGTCGATGATGGTAATGTAGAATTTGCTGGTTTCGAACTTCCACAGGGAGATGTCGATGGTGATCCCTCGCTCACGCTCAGCTTTTAGCTTGTCCAGCACCCAGGCATATTTGAAAGAGCCTTTCCCCATCTGTAAGGAAGAGAGAAAACTACTTTTAGCAACCAAACTATACATGATGCAAAATGTATCATCAGGAAGCCAACTTTCTTTGTTTTTTAATTAACTGCATGCATGGATGGTGATGGGGGGCACTATAATTAGGACTGCAGTGCAGCACATAGGAAGATTTAAACTTTTCATTCTCTACCACATTCCTTATTAAAATGACATACCTACTCACTGCTGTAGGAGCTGTTTCTTTCTGGAATTAATAGCATGTGAGGGGGATTTTCAAAATGATTGTAATGGGTAGAAAGGGTTAACTCTTCTCCATGGTCATATGCCAATAACAATAGCCTCTTAAGTGAATTTAAATAGTTAGCAATAGTTTGTTAAAACAAAACAAAACCCTGATCTGCTTGCTGTTACGCATTTAACATCTAAGCCAGCTTTCTCCTGAATTTTGTGCAGTTGCAGGAGGTAGATGAAGCTGTGTGTGTGTGAGAGAGTTAATATATTGTTACCGGCCACCCCAAACTCTGCCAAGCGGTAGCAAGATTTCAGGGGTCTTGGCACTTAACCGGGGTTTGTGTTCCTTTGGAATGAGGCATGGCAGAGCCTGTAGTGTTTTTAAGATATATAGTTTTATTTACACATACATACACCTTAGACTTGAAGGTGGAGGCTACATTAAGTTAAGTCAGCATCTTAAATAAATAAATGCACACTATTTCCAAAACACTCCAGCAGGGTGAGAAGAGGACAGACAAGGGGAAATAGGATTCCTGGAGCCGCCAGTGATTAATTAAAAATAAAAAAGAAGTAGCAGGGCCAGTGGTTCAAAGCTACCCCAATATCCTAGTTGTGCAGGCACAGTCAAGGAAGTAGGAATGCCCTCTGCACATACCTAGAGGCACTGCCTTTCATTCTAGGCCTGAGCCCCAGCATGAACTCACCTCAGCTGCCTCCTTCTCAAATTTCTCTATGGTACGCTTGTCTATGCCTCCACATTTGTAGATGAGGTGGCCTGTGGTGGTCGACTTGCCAGAGTCCACATGCCCAATAACCACTATGTTGATGTGGGTCTTCTCTTTGCCCATGGTGACGAGGCTGAGGGAGCCTGTAAGGATTGGAAGCAAGAGGACAAAGCCCAGATGTACCTGGAAGAGGGGGGAAAGTCTACAAACATGGTTCAAACTGCAGCTACACAACCACATTTGCAGGCCGCCAGCTGCAAAAAAAGGACTCTGGAGTCCAAATTATGCCTCCAAATTTAACATCCAAGTTTTTCTACTTATGCCTGCATGCTTCCCCCCAGCATTTTGTGGGGCTGGGAGGGAGGGGCGGTAAGTAGAAGTTAGTGGCCCCAATCAGAGGCTGCTAATTTAAGATGTCCATGCCCATCTGATATGGCAAAAAACCCCTATCCAGGCTTGAATTCTGGTGCATGCACCAAAGTTACTGGAGTGAGACCCATTTAGATTGCTGTAAAGATGTGCAGTGAACACACACACACACACAGCCAAGACAGAGCCTTGGATCAGAGAAAAGACCAGAAGGGAACAGAATAAGCAAGATATTTTTAGAGGACCACTAACTGAAATCTGGGAAAAATATAAAAATTTGCTGGGACCAAAAACGCCACATTGGCTTTCACCTTTGGAAGTAATGTGTGTAAAGACTATTAATATGAGAAGTAACTGGGCAAGATATAATCAGCTAATAATTAAAGAAGACGGTAAATGGAAGGTCCGACCATACGATCAGGTTAAAGAGTATGTTTATGACTGGTTACACCATCTCCAGGTGAATCAGATGTTTAGGAAAGATCTTAAAGAAAGAGGTTATGGAGAGAGGGAATCCAAGTTTCAGACGGAGATTATAAACAAAGAAGAGAAAATTGTATCGAAAATGTATAGGATACTGCTAGACTGGAGTTTAGGAGACGAGGAAGTCAAATGTGTGATGATTCGCTGGGCAAAGGACGTAGGACATAGTATACTATTTGAAGACTGGGAGAGATTCTGGAAAGAAGGATTAAATTTTACGGCGTGTATAATGATAAAGGAGAATGTATTGAAGATGTTCTACAGATGGTATTTAACACCTATGAAACTATCAAAGATGTACAAGGTGGATAACAAGTGCTGGAAATGTAGGGTTAGCGAGGGCTCTTTCTACCACATGTGGTGGGAGTGCGGAAAAGTGAAGCAGTTCTGGGAAAAAATTTATATAGAATTAAAGAAGATCTTAAAATACACGTTTTCAAAGAAGGCAGAATTTTTCTTATTAGGCATGTTAGGCCATGAGATAAAAAAAGGAGATTGTAAACTAGTGTACTATGCAGTTACAGCAGCAAGAGTAATGCTGGCTCAGATGTGGAAAAGGCAGGAAACACCAACGGTAGAGGAGTGGAGATCTAAACTACTAGATTACATGGAAATGGACAGACTTACAGGCAAAGTAAGATATATAAGAGATCAAAAATTTACCAAGGATTGGGGAAAATATGTAGACTATCTGGAACTTATTAGTCAAGGGAAAATAACGCTAAAGGGATTCAGAGACGCACTGTAAATGAGTATGAGTTATTGTTTGAAGACAACAGGAGTACAAATAATGTATAAGAACAGTATATATTAAGAAATACATATAAAAAAGTATAATAACAATATATACTAGGAAATGTGTAACTTAAAGTATTACTTCGAATGATTGTCGGGAAAGCTAAAGGAAGTCCTGAAAGCGATAATCTAACAAGGAGTAAATGTGAAAATTAAGTTTTTGTATATATTCTTTCCACTTTTATTTTCCTTCTTTATTGGGGTATGATTGTGTAAGATTCCTATTTTTATCCGTTTATGTGTGTGTATATATATCTTTTGTTTATTTTTCTTATTGAAGTAAGCAATAAAAACTAAATGGAAAAAAAAATAAGCAAGATGGGCAGAGACCCCCACCAGCAACTGGCACCTTCACTGGTCCAGTTTGACAGCCCTATATGCTGCATTATGGATTCAGAAGTCCTATTCAGAAATCCTATCCGGTTCAATGGGCATAAAGTAGGTGGGTTATGAGTCTACAATTTTAAGAACTAGCGAGTAAATCCTATTGAGCACAGTAAATATGTATAGGATTGCAATGTTTAACCCCAAAGAAATTCACCCAAATAGCCACAGTTGGGGTGGGCAGGGGGCCAGATAGGGCAGGTCTCCTGCACCTTTAACAGGTATGTAGAATTGAGGATCTCTCCTCCGCAGGTGTGTCTGGGATGACAAGCTGCTAAATTCGCTCCCCTACACAGATATTAAAGGCACAGGAGCACAGCCCCTTCGCCCAGCCACCCTAGTCGCAATTTCACGAATTGAGCCCTGCATGCACGTTTCCGAGTACACCTCACCTCTCCCGACCCGAAAACCAAACGCCCCCTAACCGAAACCGAAGCGACTTCGAAGTCAAACCAGACCAGGGTCCCTTCACCTTGCTAAGATCAGCGGGGGATACACACACACACACACACCGGCCAAGCATCGGTTTTATCGAGGGTCTTTGAAAAGAAACACACATCCCCTTTCCAGCCTGCGTGTAAACGGATCAATTCGAATGAACCTCGTAAAAGACACCCAGCCCTTTCCACGAGCAGGTGCCAGCCTCGGCACGTGCAGAAGTGAGCCCATCTTTGCAACGCACAAGTCACTCGCGAATAAAACGGGTTGAGAAATCCCGCCGTCCTCCCGTTCAAACCCCGCATCACCTTTCTCCACGTGTGAATCCCAAAGGCCCAATATGCACGCAGTGCTTTGGTCCGCGGCTTTTAAGTCCTCGAAGGCGGGGCCGAGTTTGGGCAGAAACCAAAAATCCCTCCCGCCCCCCATCGCTTCTTTTCAGCCATCACAATGGATTGATGGGAGGGCTGGGTTGACGGGAAACAGAAGTTTTTAAAGGTGGAGGGACCAAACGAGAGAAGGTGACACTGGTGTCTCGCTGTACTTCGGAAATTAATTTTTTTACAAACTCTTACTTTCCGGGAACAGTGAGGGCTAGAGAGTTAAAATGATAAAATCAGACATTCCCTTCAGTTTTAGCGGTGGATCTGTTTTTCTACAGGGAAAAGGGTGCTATGTGCGGCCACAATGCAGTACAAAAACACGTTTTTGAGGCAGCGGCAAGGCCAGAGCTCCAGCTCCCATCTGCTCCAGCTGGCAATGCATAACCATAGGTCAAGGATGATGGGAGTTGTAGTGCAGCAATATCTGGAGGGCCACAGGTTGCCCAGCTCTACAGTAAACCTGCATGAGTTCATGCTGCTCCTGCTAGACCAGGGGTGTGTGGTTTGAATATTAACATAACTCTAGACAGATTTCTAGTGCAGAATTTATATACAGTGGTACCTCGGGTTAAGAACTTAATTCGTTCTGGAGGTCTGTTCTTAACCTGAAACTCTTCTTAACCTGAAGCACCACTTTAGCTAATGGGGCCTCCTGCTGCTGCTGCGCCGCTGGAGCACGGTTTCTGTTCTCATCCTGAAGCAAAGTTCTTAACCTGAGGTACTATTTCTGGGTTAGCGGAGTCTGTAACCTGAAGCATATGTAACCTGAAACGTATGTAACCCAAGGTACCACTGTATATATATTGGGGGAAAACACTTCTCATTGGATTCTTCCATTTTAGCTGCCAACAGAATATATTTATTTTTGATGGATCAGTCTCAATTTCCCCTCTGAATAAATGCTGCACAGAATGTAAAGCAATTTTCCATTGTTTAGGCTGTATAATACATTCAAATTCCTTAATTCACACATCTCGTAAGATCCATTAAGTTTGTATGAACAATGGCTACAGGTTCAACTTTCTTTAAGGATCCAGCTATTTCCTCCAATGATTTAGGAGATGTCACTCATTTTCCCTTTTAATCTAACACCCAGGACCCAAGGTTTGACTAGCCACACCCATTTGTTATAGATGAGAACCAATAATTGCTCTAGATTGATCAGTTTCCAGTGAAGTAGCTTTGTGGCACTTTAAAGCCTCACAAATTTGTCATGAACAGTTCTCAAAAACTAATGCCATAATGAATTTGTTGGACTTTTAGGTCCCACAAGACTCATTGTTAGCTTTGCAAGATTGGTAAGTCACTCTTCCTGCAGAAAAATAATTAGGAAATGAACACTTTATCCTGAGTTCACCCCCACACACCCCCACACCCCTTGCTCTTTAGGCAAAAAAGCTCTCAGAATAACATAACACGTGAGATAAAAGGAATTGAGAGGGAGGAGGAAAAGCAAGTTCAAAGACAAATTATTCAACTTATAGAGAGTAGTTCATAATGTAGTTCAAAGAGAGAAGGTTTGGTGTAGCTGAGCATACATATGTTTACTCAGAAGCAAGCTTAGTCTGCATTTAATGGGCCTTACTCCCAAGTAAGTTTATTTTATTTCTGTATCAAAATATTTAGAGACCCCACTTTAATAAAAATACACAAATAAGGTATGCAGCATACAAAACAAGATAAAACATCAAACATTAAAAACTTCCTATGAAAAACTAGCTCCAGTAAACTCAGAGGCAAAGGATTGCTAAGAGGTTTAGCTATCTATATGGAAACCATCTAAAAATGTTACCACTAAAGACCAACTAAGAAGACATGAATGAATCAACAAGCTTTCGAGTTTATCATAATTATTTATCAGCAAAGGAAAATGTTGGTTTTGTGGTTTGTGTGTGTGTGTGTGTGTGTGTGTTTTGTGTTGTTTTTTTTTTTTTTTTTTTTGGCAGAGATACAACATAGTATGAATGAACTTTATTACGTTATTTAATATTGTATTTTATTCGGATGTTTTATGCCTGTTTCTTTGTCCTCATTTGCCCTAACAATTATCGGTCAAAAAATCCTAACTGCTATTTTATTCAACATAGTATTTCTGGGCATGAAAAAGCGTCTGATGAGATGAGCTCTTGTCCACGAAAACTTATACCACTGCAAGGCTGAAGCCCTGTACCCATTTACTTAAACGTGAACCAAACTAGTTCATTTTGTAAATGGACTAACATGGAGTGGAATCAGTTCCTTTGGGGACATGTTGAACTTGAAATAATTCCTTTTTAAAATGAACTTTCCAAGCTCCAAGCAGCCCTCCTGTCTGATCAGGAATGTTTGCTCCCTAACATTCTGAGGGGTTTGGGTTTGACCGTTGGAAGTGGGCAGTTGGTGATCTCTGGGGTAAGTAAGGCTCCTTAGGAAACTCTGTGGGGTTGGGGAATTGCAAAGGCAGGTCCCTACTAGTGAATGTAGGCTAGGGGGATTGAAATATAGTAAAAACAAAGAAGCCCAACGTACAGATCAACTTCCCTACAAACCAAGAGTAAGTTCATTTAACATGAAACAGCTCCATCTTTATATTTGCTAGCCTTTTAGTATCTCTTCACTAACTTGTCAACCGTTATTTCGGTAATTTTATTGATATCTACTATGCTTTTATGCTCCACACACTTGTTGGTCTGTTTATGTACTATTCTCTTTTGTATGCTCAATGTTATTGCAGGAAAACTCACTTTTAAAAAGTCTTTCCTCGTCTCATTCCTCTTACACCAGTCTCCCTGCCAGGCCTGCAAAATGTGCTGCTATTTGCCCCCTCTGGCCACAGACTAAGCAAAATATTTCCTTAGCACCCATCCATGCTGCAGGATGTGAGATTACTCAGGTAGTTTTAGGGCAGCCTGCCCCAAGGTAATTTTGGACTACAGCTCCCATCACCCTCAACCTTTCACTGTGACAGCTGGGGCTGTTGGGAGTTGGAGTCTAACACATCTGGAGGGCATCTGGTTGGGGAAGACTGGCTGCTAATCTTTCAACATGGCTTCCAGAGCGGTCTGTGAAACTAGGCCCGGTTCTCATTCCCATTCTCAACAGCATGCCTGTCAGGAATGGCGAGAAGATGGAGAAGAGGTCTCAGAGTAAGAACAGAGGGAGGACATGCACAGAGGCCAGCGATAGGGAGGTGCCTGGCTACAAAACCCCATTGCTATCAGCAGGAGAGTCCAAAGAGCCTGCAGATGGGAATCTGCAAAGTCCCAATGTGCCCCAAATCCCTGAAACTGTGGAGCATCCTGGGACACCAGCCCCCTGGTCCAGACGGAGGGCAGACAGGCTCAAGCAGGAGCCGGCAGGTAGGTTATTATCTTGCTTATTTTATGCTCATTTTACTGCTGGTGCCACTTTTGTATTAAACATTTTAGATCGGCCTTCTTTGACCTGATTCCCTCCAGATGTTATGGACTACAACTCCCAACAGCTCCAGCCAGCACAAGGATATTGACTCCAGTCTTCCCTGCCCAATGTGTATATTTGTAAAACATGCACAAAACCTCCAGATATTAAAAATACACCATTCATCTCACAAGAAAACTAATTTCATGTGGCAGCTGTTCCTGGAACCCCCCACTATCTTAGGAAGTGTGGAATGTAATAATAATAATAATAATAATAATAATAATAATAATAATAATAATAATAAAACCTTAGCAAGTGAACTAAATACAACTATGATCCGAAATGTTTTTTTGTTCTAGCAGGTGATGGGTGGGTGTCCAAAGATGCAGAGGCTTTGTCTGCAGTGGCTGTGGGAGGCAGAGAAGGAAACCACCAAACCCTGCAGGCAGAGAGCAACACACTGGTTCAAAAGAAGGCAAAGCCTCTGCCCCTGAAGGAGCCAGACAGAGCCCAGGCAGCAGATGTGCTTGAGAACTTCCTCAGTCATTTTCTCACCTATCTGCATGATTGCCCAGACAGGCCTTACTTCAGGGACACCAGGGAACTTGTTCCAGGCAGCAGCTATGAGTTTGAAAAGGTAATGTATAACAAATGCCAGGTAAGCAGCCTTATCCAAACCTGGGCAACCTCTCAGTTGTTGTTGGGATGCAATCCCCAACATTCCTAGTCAGCTTGGCCAGTGGTCAAGGATGATGGAAGCTGAAGTCCAGCAACATCAGGGGACCCAAGTTGTAGAATAGGGCTGGGAAAGCTGTGGTCCTCCAGATGTTGCTGGACTCCAGTTGCCATCAGACTCAGCCAGGTGACCAATGATCAGGGATGATGGGAGTTGTAGTTCAGCAACATCTGGGGTACCAAAAGTTCTCCACTCCTAGTAGAATTAGTTAAACGCTCCTTATCTCAGTGCTGCTGCTCTGATCAAAACTGAGGACATCTCTGCCCCATAAAACTTCAGGAGATCGAGCCTCCTACACCTTGCCTAACTGGGCTCTGAGGAGGAAAGTTCAAAAATCTCACCTAAGCAGCAAACTCACCATATGGCCTCAGGTGAGCTGCAAGCTCTCTCAGCCTCAGTATGCACTTGATCTTAGCCAAAAGGCGGAGAAGCCTCAGTCTGAACCCATCTGCTGCATGGGGATTCAAATTGCAGACAACAATCCATCACAGAGTTTCACTTGCCTAAGCCCATTAGAACCAGTGGGTATTGTGCCATATGAAGATTGTAATAGCAGTGTAACATAATGGCTGTAGATCAAACCACACCTAATGGACTTTTAATTTAAGCAATGGGAGGGAACCCTGTGGGTGCTACAGAAGGCCCCTGTGGGTGCATGTGCACCTGCAGGCCCCACATCAGTGACCCCTGTGCTGTAATAAATGCTTACTACTGCTACTTTCTGGTACTAAAATCCAAAAAGCCAATATAATGCTGGTAAAGCATAATAGTTATCCAAATCAGGCCATTTGCACTCAAGGAGTAAATCTTCAAGGAAGAATTAATCTCAAGGAAGTTGCCATCTGTCTCCTTACTGCTCTGCTACTGCAACCGCCACTAACCTACCTGCCCCACCCCCTGCGATGCAATTGAGCATACCTCCCATAATCTCAAACCACGGATCATACTGGCTGAGGCTGATGGGAACTGAAGTCCAACAACAGCTAGAAGGGAAGACCTCAGAGTCAGTGTGACAGGTGAGGCAGGGTTGATTCTGTGCCTCAAGCCCTCTCCTTCCTTCCCTGTTGTCTTCAACGATGCTGTTGGTTTGCCTGCAGGTCTTGCATCCGGGCGAGTTTGAGGTGATGCTAAGCATCCTTGTCCCACAGGACGTCCAGTACACCGAAGTGGAGGGCTATGGTGGCCTCTTTTATACCCTGGCTCTCTTGAGAAAGTCTCGCAGCTTCCCAGCAACGCTCCTTCTGGAGGATGGGAAGACCATCTCCCCACGGAACATCATGGAGGAATTCCGGAAACACGTCGACCAGTTTCTTAAAGTTTCTTATTCAGGTGTGGCCAATCAGGGATTTGGGGTGAGGGTAGGAGGAAAGGATGAATAGCCAGCACCAGAGTGGGGGTTTGTTTATAGACCTGAACCACTTTATACTGCACCCAGGCACCACACATTCCTGGGAGGCTTGTAAACATTGCCAGCCACAGCTTGCTGAAATATGCAGGCACCCCAAGCAACTCCCTGGGATTCTTGGGATGCCCAACACACATTAAAAGCATATGACTTCCCCCCCAAAGGATCCTGGGAACTGTAGTTTCCACCTCACAGAGTTATAATCACCAGCAAACCCATTTTCTGTAAACTGCTTAGAGATTTATTTATGTTTAAATTAAGTAGTTTATAACTCCTGCTAAATAAATTCATAGATTTGCTGCACACATGTACACCTGGAGGTGTACTGCATTTTTGGCTTGCATTTTTGGCTAGCGTTGCAGGCTGTTTGGCCCCCTGAGCTGCCTCAGTTGTTCACCTAGCTGTCCATCTGGTCTCTCAGCGCCTTTTCCAGGTTGGCAGATGAGGCTGGAGAAGAAGAAGTCAAACTGTCCAGCAGTTCAGCTTGTAATGCTGGACAACCAAGGCGCCAAGTTCATGTCCTTGAACCTTGTCCCTGCTCTGGAGATGACTGGCCAATGGCCATGCATGAAGAAGGCGAAGGAGCTGATCAAGGGGAAAGAACTGCTTCACTTGATGAGGGTGTTTTATTTCATAGCCGAACAATCCCCCGGGAGGCACAACAAAGGTAACATACCCCTCTTACCTCTGTCAGCCAACCTGGTGCCATCAAAGGGTTGTTAGGGGTAAATTTCAGGCTGGAGATAGAGGCAAACTCTTCCAATATGTAGGCTAAGCTAATGTTTCACCTAGGATCCCACTTACACACGAACACACACGTGCCCATTAAGGATTTTATTTTTGTAGAAAATAACTAAACATGTCAGCAAAGCATGAAACTTTTTGAATTTCCCTCATATATGGTAAATCTGGATTGTGTGGATGCTGTGAAAAATGTGCATGCATTTGAGCATTGATCCCATGCAACAAGCCCCCACCTGGAACCAAGCCTGGACTGTGTTTAGCCCAGCTGATCTTGGATTGCTGCTGGGCGGAAATTGGGGTCAAGACAGCCAGGGAAGGGGCTAGGTGCAAGGAGGAATGCAGCAGCCATAGGAGCCAACTCCAGGGGACTGAGGTCCCTATGGCCCCCCAAAAAAATATTTCAGGGGAACCCCCCCATTGATGGGCGTTGCCATTCAAATGGTGTGTGTGCACCACATCTTATGATTGAGGACGGGGCTTACCTGGGACCCCACAATATTCAAGTTGGCACCCCTTCTCCACACCCTGCATAATTTAATCCACCTCTTTCATAAAACATGTCTCCTGCCCCTAATTTTTTTTAAAAGCTGTACACCGCCAAACATTTCCTTGTAAGGAGGTGTCTCCAGCTCCTTGATAATATTGATTACTGACACAGAGTGGTGTGTCTCTATGTTCTGTATATTTCAGAGACCTGGAGAATTTCATTCTCTCATGTTGAAAAAGAGATTTTGAACCTCAACAGCAGCTCCCAATCGTATCACAAGACGAAGTGCTGCAGGTATGTGTGCCTGGCAACATTGTTAGGGTTTGTGATTAATGAGGGCAGCACTTCGTTTCTGAGATAGGTGCTGGGGGGGGCATTGTGTATGCATGACTTCACGCACATGATACCCTTGCCAACCTGGCCAGGCCAGCTCAGACCGCCACCCCCCTCCCCTGCCAGCCGTCTTGCCTGTGTGAAAGGGGTGTGCGGAACAAAGATGTTTCGCCCTGCTATGTCCCTGGCAATCCTCAAAAGGACGTGGCAGGGTGAAGCATCTTTATCCTGGCACATCCTTTTCAGGATCGCTGTGGATTTGGGGAGGGAGCTGCCCCCTTCTTGAAAATATTGGGGGGCTGCCCCCCGGTAGATGGTGTCCCTGGCATCTGAAATGAGATGGACAGCTGTACCAGCATTCCACAAATGGGGAGCCACTGCAGAAAAGACCTGTTCTCCTGTTGTCACCTACTGGTGGAGTGGGCACACAAAGAAGCCTCTGTTCCTCTGTCTCAGCCTCCTCCCTCATGTCATCCTCCTGTTCCCCCCCCCCCATCCTTGAATGTCTGCCTGCCGTTCCATTTTTGAGCTCACAGAAGACTTGAGACGCATAACAGAAAGCCTGCTCTTTGGCAGGTGTCTTGGCTGAGATCTTGCAGTGCAGAAAGGAGTGTTGGACCAGGAGTGGCAATGTTTGGCATGGAGTGCCTTTGCGAATGGAAAGCTTACCTGCTGCATGTAGGGATGAGTGCTGTGTGTGTGTGTGTGTGTGTGTGTGTGTGTGTGAGAGAGAGAGAGAGAGAGAGAGAGAGAGAAACTGTTCCCTGATGTTGGGTTACAAGAGAGTTAGAGCAATATAGTGTACAGACAAGTTCCAAGGCATAGTAGTCATATATTAGTAAAGGGAAGAGCAATTGCTCCGCCATCACTTTCTCCACCACCTTGCCCACCAAAGTTTTCTCTTTTCCATAGTTCCCCTCAGCAGATATCCTCCATGTATGCTCTTGTGTGGATGACATACTGTATGGCCAGAGAGATATACCTCATGCCACAAGCCCTATTGTCAAGTGACTACCCAAGTTTCAGAAATGATAACCATAGTTCATTGTATACAGAGAGATGGGGGGTGGACATTGTTTGGGGAAAAGCTCTTAAGAAAAGATCTGAATGGGTCAGGCTAATGACTGGGGGGGGGTCTGTTCTAGGAAAGACTGCTTGAAGATGCTGGAGGACCTTGTGAATGCTCTCAAGATGGAATATCCTCAAATGTTGAGTCATCTGAGTTCCTACCACAGTCGGACGTCCTTCCTGCACACCCTGTGGGAGTGGAAGGCCGATAAAGACTGGAAGCCTTCTGAAGTCCCTCAGTGTTTTGAGAGGGTCTTGACCAATTTCATCCACAAGGTGGCCACTGCTCACCTGACCCACTTCTTCCTACCCCAATGCAACCTGTTTGGGGCAAAGTTCTTCCCGCCCACAAAGCTGAAATTCTTATGGGCGCAGCTGAAGGAGAAGGAAGGAACTATGAAGTCGTTCACTGTGTCCCGCAAGAGACGCTGTTCTGCCCTGATTGTAAATCCTGATATGACTTGGCCTCTCATGATTACCCTTGGCCTGATAGTTCTAGTATCAGTTGTTCTCCCACAAACTGCATCTTAAAAATGTAGGGTTATCAGCTTCCACTGTTTGGTTTCTGAACTGAGAGAAAATGTGTTATAGGATATCTTTGTTAATGGCCAGTCGTAGTCATCTCATCCTGACCCAGCTAGCAACATTTTGATGTATTCTACAGCAGTACTTTAGAGGCAGTGTTTTACAGGATGGAATTTGTGTGGGAAATGTGTCACTGGGCTGGAAAATCCACACGGAGTTTTGGTTAAGACAAGAGATCTGTGAGCGGGATAGCAGATGATTGTCAGCTCCTCATCTTGGTCCTTCTTGCAAAATCTGTGGGGATCTTTCTCTTGCACATTTTTTCCATGGAAGGGTGTTTGTTTGTTTGTTTGTTTGTTTGTTTGTTTGTTTGTTTGTTTGTTTTGCATCTCAAGCACTCCTGACTTTCATCAGAGATAGGTTATATGGTAACAGTGGTAGCACATGCAATGATCCTTGATATTCCTGTTACACATTTATCCCTTGATGATTTGACCATATGAGGAAGACAAAATATGTGAGTATATGGTGAAATAATATACCAGAGGAATGTAAATAGATGGCCTTATTCCTAGTATAAGACAGGCCAATTCCATTACCACTTTTGAACAGATCTCTGTATTCTGTTTAATTAGGAAATTGCTTCTCCAAAAATGTTGATTTGTGGGTTGGTGCTCTGTCCTGAAAATTAATTTCTCTGTGTGTTTATGCCCATAACAGCTAGTTAAAGCTACATCTGTGGCTCCAAGTTGCTTGGTCTTCTCAGTCACAATATACAGGATTTGATAATGTACTAATTTGGCATTCAGCCTTTCCCAATCTGGTGCCCTCCAGATGTTTGGACTGCAACACAATCCCATTAGTCCCAGTCAACACAGGCATGTTTCCATCAGCCTCAGCATTATGCTTGCCAGGGCTGATGGGAGTTATAGTCTAAAACATCTGCAGGGCATCAGGTTGGGGAAGGAAGGCTAGTACAGTATCACCACCTTTTGCTTGCCTGGGTATTACTTCAGCTAGAAATGGGATGCCTAGTTTGGTTTGGAGAGATCTCCGAGTTAATGAGTGAGATGAAAATAGTTTGTGTTTCATTTCCTTCCTCATTGTTTTGTTTATTGGTGAGCTGTGTTGGTGTTCTGATGGATGGACCTTGTTTATTTCAAAACCAGAGAAAAATATAATAAATAGATTTCCTAAGGTTTATTTATGTGTTTGTCTTATTTATTACCTTTTTATCTGGCACAAGCACATCCAAGAAGCTTCACGGTGGAGTGGAGATTTGAACCCAAGTCTCTTTGGTCTTAGTCTCAGTGTACCACACTGGCTGTCTATTCCTTCACTGCACACCTAAAATTCCTCGAGGGGGAGAATGCCTATTAAATCAGATGCTGCAGCTAGACTGCTGACAAGACACCTGCTTATTTCAACTTAGTACTCCAATACTGCAGCCTCTTAATTGGCTTCTCGGAGTTTCCTGTGAAACAGCATTTTTAAATCTCTATAAAAATTGTAGCTCTAGGAGAGGACTAGAGGTCTCCTAACAACTCTCAGCACTAGTAACAACCTACAGCTCCCAGAATTCTTTGCGGGAAGCCATGTTTGTTTAAAGTGGTATGATACTGCTTTTAATGTATGGTGTTAATGTGGCCTTAGTTGAAAACAATCCTTAGTCTATTACAGCCAAAAACTGCAGAGTTTTGTGTCGGGTGGTCACAGTCTTCTGTTTAAAGGACTTTTCAGGTTGAAAGGCTGTTCAGTCCTAAGGATAAACTGTTCAGTTTAACAATAAAAAACCCTAACAAGGGAGAGCTGGAGAGGCCTGGAAGTTGCCCATCCACAGCTAGCAGCACCTCGACAGCACACTGAGCAGATACAAAGGTTGCCTGGTTGCTGAGATTCCTGCATTGCAGGGGATTGGACTAGATGACCCTTGCGGTTCCTTCCAACTCTACAATTCCATGATTCTATGACAATCTTCTCTTCTGCAGTGAGATGTATCACATTTCTGCTGAAAGTGTAGTAATGATGTCTAAATTTCCACCTGCACATATAAAGTACTGAAAGCAAATCCTATTCAAATATGTTTGCATCTGCACATATAAAACAGCAGATGCAATTTTCATGCAAATCCGTGTCATGCTTTTTTGGCGATCAGTAAGCGACCGCACGCGACCAGCGGCAGATTAACACAGCGTCGTTATCCAGTGATGGGGACCGCGTGCAGTTCCTCCCTCCAGCCTCCAGAGGGCAGCAACGTCCCCTTCAAGCAAGCCTTCTAGCTCCCCTTCTCTGTGGCAGTCTAGCGCAGGCGTTTAAGATCCCGTTCCGGGGCTATCGCGCTCTCTTCCACGCCTCCAAGATGGCGGTGAGTAGCTTGTGTTTGAGGAGTTGCGCGGAGGGACCCCTTGAATCCGCCGCCATCCTTCCGAGTCCGAGTCCTTCTGGGCAGGAATTTACTCGTGCGCGGCGGGGAAGGGCTGGGGGCTTTCCGTGGGGCCGTTTTGGGAAACGGCGAGAGTCTCCCCGGGCGGGGAGGGAGGGCCGTAGGAATAGCTGGCCCTGTGGCTAAACCAGGCCAAGGAGTCGAGCTTCCTCCTTTGGAGAGGCCTTAAACGGGGGTCTGCAGATACTGTGGTCCTCCAGGCCCTATTATCTCTGACCATTGGGCAAGCTGACTGGGCCTGATGGGATGTTTCATTCCCATCCTCCATTCCACACTCAGTTCTCTTTCGGGTGCGCGCTCCGGGAAATCAGTGCATCCCCCAAACTTCACTTTCTTTGGGGCTGCATTTTCTTACCCAAGATGCTTTTCCTTGGGTGAGAGGTGGTTGCCAGCTCTCCCTTCTGTTTCTTCTCCCCCCGCCTCCAACTTGGGTTCTTTGAGAACAGCATGATAACACAAGAAAAGCAGCCAGTGCAATTTGCCCTGTTGCTTTTGTCTCCATGCTTGAAAAAGCTTCGCTTGCTGAATTCTGTAGATGTAGTTCTCTCTCTTAAGGCTGGAGGGTTTTTTTTGGGGGGGTGCTGGAGGGCTTGAGGGATAGAATACCTCATGGAAGAAAAGTTCATTGCACACAGAAAGTTGATATGTTGTTTGAAAGGCTAGTTTAGAATATTTCTACCTAGCATTCTAGAAGTCTAGGGACAGGGAATGTGTTTGCCATCTTGTTGTTTTTGTTGTGCTTTTTCTGGGCAAAGCCAGTCCAAAGTAGTTTACAAACAACAAAAATGGCAGGTATAAAAAGTCAATGTTACTAAAAACAGGGCTAAAACAAATTCATGATGTTAAAAACAAACCAGGACCTGTTGGGCTGTCTGCATGTCTGGTTCTTGTGTTTACCTTTGTGTATTGGTCACCAGCCTCACTATATTTTAAAGATAATGTAAGTTGCAGTTACCCCTTGTAAAGTATCACTCAGTATTGTATTTACCTTGTGCTGAGTTTGGTTTATAGCCATGCTTATGAACAACCTATTAAAACTCTACTTAGGGTAGCTACCAACAGGTTTTTACAGAAACACCACAAACTTTGAAACAGACATCCAGAATTAGGAACCATCTTAACAATTACTGTGTTTCTCACGGTGCTGCTTATTCTACTCTATAAGGTGCTCATGTGATAGCGGAGAATACCACAAAGGGGGGGGTGGAGTGGCCACTTGAGGGCCTTTTAGGGTCCAGGGCAAGGATGGGGAACCTTTGGCTCTCTGGCTGTTGCAACTCCCATCATTCCTGACCATTGGCCATGCAGGCTGGGACTGATGGGAGTTGGAGTCTTAACATAATGTGGGGTGGGGCACACATTCGCCACCCCAGTCTAGGGTTTCATGCTAAATTGCCAACATGGGGACAGAAGATGTGATTGTAAACGTTAAGTGTCGTATGAAAACTTGTCCCAGCCCAATACGTTGCTCCTTGTGTTATGCCATGTGAGTTGGGTATAGGGAAAAGCTGTCACTGGTTTAACTGCTTTCTTTTCCCCACCATTGCACAGCAACAAGACAAGGGTGAGAAGGAGAACCCCATGCGGGAGCTGCGCATCCGCAAACTCTGCCTGAACATCTGTGTTGGGGAAAGTGGAGACAGGCTCACCCGGGCAGCCAAAGTGCTGGAGCAGCTCACAGGCCAGACTCCTGTTTTCTCCAAAGGTAAGCTTTTTTGGAAGAATGTTACTGAGGTTTCTAGAGCAAGAAGGCTGAAATTTTATTCATACCATTTTATTTTTATTTTTTGAAAAACGAAGGAAGGATCAGCTTCTGTGCAGGATGTATAGCAATGTTTCCAAAGTTATTTAAGACCATCAGTGGCCTGGAAACTTCATTTGCTTCCCCTTGCCCAGACTTCTCTTTTTGTTGTGTGGGTGGGCACCCTGGTCCAGCTTAACGCATGCACCGCATGGTGACTAGGGCAAAAGAATAGGGATAGGTGATTGCCCCAGGGCAGGAAGTCAGGGAATGGGTTGGCCCACCTCACAGTTCTCTGTACACCTAATTGGATTGATTTTGAACTGGAATCCACATTTCATGCTTTCTGTTCTCTAGTGTCCAGGTCTTTGTCCTTTGCAGGCTTCCCTTTAACTATGAATGCTAGAAATCTTTTAAAAAGAGAGCTGGATTCTTAAGTTAGCCTATCAGTATTACCAAAAGTAGATTTTAGCTCAGGCCTCTCTGTCTAGTGCTCTCTAGAAGTTTGGGCGGCAACTTCCAGCAGCCTCACTAAGCACAGCTAGTGGGTAAGTGTAATGGAACTTGTCCAAAAACATATGGTGAGTACTAGGTTGGGAGAAGTTTAAGCTATTGACTGGGGCTGCTTACAGCTGGTGTTTTTGTTGGGGAATTGCCACTCAAACCCATTTCCTGATCAGCAGTGATGCATGCCTTCCCCTCTTTGTGCTTGCAGTCACGTGGCCTGTCAACAAGTTTTCTGTATAGCTTGTTTGCAGATGTGGACCTACTGTTTGGAAGTTGTAATCTTAAATTGGAGCTAGGTGTTTGGTGGACATTTCTGACCACCATATTTTTGTTTTCGTTGAATATGGCATGTCATATCTGTCCTTTTGCTGACCCTTTGAGCAAACTTAAGAGAAGTTGTGTTTCTTCTTCAGCTCGATACACTGTCAGGTCCTTTGGGATCAGGAGAAATGAGAAGATAGCCGTTCACTGCACTGTACGCGGGGCCAAAGCTGAGGAGATCTTGGAGAAAGGGTTGAAGGTGAAGTGCTGTCCTTGCTGTATTTGGATGCTTTCTTAAGAGAACTTGGCACATGCAAGGCGGAAAATGTCAAAGCTTAAAGCTGATGTCCATGTTTCAGGTGCGAGAATACGAGCTGAGGAAGAATAACTTCTCTGACACCGGCAACTTTGGCTTTGGAATCCAGGAGCACATTGATCTGGGGATTAAATATGATCCTAGTATTGGTATCTACGGCTTGGACTTCTATGTGGTTTGTATACTTAGCTTACCCTTTTGCATTCTTAGGCTGTAATCCAGAGGTCATGTCTGTAGAGTTGTTTTGTCGGTCTTACTAACTCTGAGCCTAGGTGCCACTGCAGTGGTAGCTGCCATTTTCTGCCTGGTTGGACACACAAGAGAGGGGCTGTTACCCTAAAACAAATCTGGGGAGCCTGAACTTAAGCTGTAGCAAGTGCACTTGGTGCATGCATGCAAGCAAATATTTATTGATAAAAGTAAACAGCTGCAAAGACCTATTGGTATAGAAGGTTCTTCAAGATATGCCTGAAAGTCAGAAGCAAGGATGCCTGCTGAATCTCTCATGGAAGACTATTCCACAGTGTGAGAACAGCAACACTGAATGCCTGATTTATAGTTGAGGCTAGTTGGGCCTCTGTAAACACAGGAGAAAACTAAATGCTCTCCACAGAGGGTCTCTGTGATTGACCTGGTATATAAGGGCTCAGCAAATCCTTAAGGTATCCTGAGACCAAGTTGTTCAGGGTTTGTAAATCAACACAAGAGCCTTGAACCTGACCAAGTAGCATAAAGGGAGTCAGTGCAGAAGTTTTAGCAAAGGTGTCTCATGCTTTCAGCTCCCATCAGTGGTCTAGCTCCTGCATTCTGCACCAGCTAGAGCTTGTGGACCAGAACATTCAATGATATTTTATTGTTCCAGTCTGTATCTAGTTAACATTTGTATCTATGGACACCTGAGTTACATATGAGGTTAGGTAGGCCCAAAACATGTGGTTTGATGTGCTTGGGCCCTCTCCCAGCTCTCTGCCCCTGTGCTATAACAACTGGCAACAGCTGTAGAAAGTGAACCATGTGGTTTGACCAATTAACACTTTTTACTTTCTCTGGAAACTTTGCCATTGGATATGCTCATGTTCAAATTCCCACTTTGTCAAGCTTATTGGGTGAGAAGAGTCTCCTTTCTCAACCTATTTTAGCTGACAGGGCAGCTGTGAGAATTGAATAGGAACAAATTGTAAAAGCATCAACTGAAAAGCACTACTGGAATGACTGCTGCTGTTCTTTACTGCTGCAGCCATACAGGCCTGCAACAGAATCGTTTTTTGAATAGTTTACTGTGTGTTCCTGGGGTGAGATTGACATGTATGTCCAGTGAAGCACTGCTGACACTGCTCCTAAGATAATTTTAATTGACTTGCTGAAAGTTGTCTTGTTACGCTTACTGTTTTAAAAATAGATTGCTGCTTTTATTTATTTATTTCCCAGATTTGTGTTTTTTTTACAAAAATTAAACACAGAAAGTTAAAAATTATATAAAATAGTTTAAAAGTAATTAAACTATACTGGAATCAAAAGGATATTGTCAGTTTTCTGCTCTGTTTTTTGATAGTCATTTTTGGGGTAAGTCTCTTTGTGGGGGCCACGCAGGCGAAAAAGTGGCTTTACAATTAACACATTAAATAGCTGTTCATGTAACATTGTGTCTATAGATTCTTTAAAAGGAGCATAGGAATTAATCCTAAGCAAGTGTTGCTCATGATGGCTTTGCTTATCTCATTAATGTTGGAAGGTGGGGTATAGCATTTTAAACTTCAGACCTACATCTGAGGTAGGTTAGTCTAGGAGAGTGACTTGCATCAGATCGCCCAGCTCTTCCTTGTTACCCAGGTCCTGCATCCAAATTCAACACTAGCAGCTGCTGCAGTGTGTTTACTCTGTGAGAAGCTGTGAACCCCCTTCTTGGGTGCTATGGATAACTTGGGTGCTTTTCTTAAATTTCTTTCTCGAACACTATGAAAGATGGAAGTCTATCTGAAAAGGCTTTCTAAAGGTAGGTCTTCAGGACTCAATGAGGCTTGTGTTTCTGCTGCAGGTTTTGGGCAGGCCAGGCTTCAGCATTGCTGACAAGAAGCACCGAACCGGTAGCATTGGGGCCAAGCACCGAATCAGCAAGGAGGAAGCCATGCGTTGGTTCCAGCAGAAGGTAGGTTTTGCTGCATTTTAAGCTGCAAACAAGTTTGCAAAACATGTTTAGCCCGCTTTGTTGACCTCTTTGTGTTAGACCAATATATCTAAAAGAAACTATCGCTGCCCCCCCCCAAGTGTACAGTGATGCCAAAATCAATTGGAGGCTTAACAGTACAATCTAGTGCAATCAACAGTTTCTGACCTTAGCATCTTTAGGATAGGGTTTACAGTTAGCTTGGCCCATGTCAAACGGTCAGCGAGAGCAGAGGTATGTTGAACTTTGCCACCTGGCCAAGCTCAAGGTTCTTGTGTTAATTCACAAAGCCCTGAATAACTTCGGCCCAAAGTACTGTAAGGGCAATTATGATATCTTATGCTCCACCTAGATCACTGAGGTCATTTGATGGAGCACTTCCTGGTGTTTTGCATACTTCTGAAGCCCAATCAACCTTCACTAGGGACCAAGCCTTTAGTGTGGCAGACACTGCCCTGTAGAACTCCCTACCAGTAGAGGTTTGGCAGGAATCACCCCTGCCTTCTTTTAGATGTCTCCGAAAAAGGATGTTGTGAAATGTGAATTTTTCCAATTTGCAATTTATTTGTTTTTATTGTACTTTTTGTATGGTGTAAATAGCCTTGTATTTTTATGGAAGTGCTGTTTATAAGTATTTAAGTAAAATAATTGTGCTCAGTTCTTACCTTCCACTTCTAAAAGAATCCCAGTACATAAGTCTTCAGCAGTTCTGATAGTTTGGAACAGTTTTGGAGAGCTGCATTGAATTGTTAGTGTTTGCCTACATTAGTCTAATTGAGCCCTGTTTAACAAATGTAAAAGATGTGTGTGACCTGTGCATTCTGCAGCAAGGTAGATGGAGATTTTGGGGGTGGGGGGCAATTCACAACAGTTCTTCACAGTATTGGGAAATGTTGTGAGCAGCATCTCAAAAGTATTTGGAATATGCTTCCACATGGCAAGATCATTATTTACAATGTGTAAGCTTCTCTTTTATAGCACTCTTCCTGCTTAAATGGCTTGTAAATATACTCTTGCCTTTCAGCCAGTCAGAAATTGGTTCTTTTTCTGTGTCACAAAAAATCACTAATGTGTGGGCTGGTGTAGTATTTATAATCTGCTAACTTCTGAGTTTGTTTCCCAGTGCATCAAATCACTTTGCTGTAGACACGATGTGGGAGAAATTTCCAGGTGGTGGCTATGCTTTAAAGACTAGTCTTTCTTGCACAATTATTTTGATAATCCTTTCCTTCTCTTGCAGTATGACGGCATCATCCTTCCTGGTAAATGAAAAGTTTCCAGTATAAAAAATTCAATAAATTTTTCCACCATTTAACTTGCTGCTGTGTATTTTGTGGTCATTTATCCTTTGCTGAGCCACTATATCTGTTTGTCCTTTCCATGTTGTGTCTCAGGAGCTATTGTCTGCCTAATCCGGAGGCATGGCAAAAGCTGCTATAGGAGGAGGACTGTGTAGACATACAACATGATTTCAAACAGTTCCTGAAGCCTATCATTTGGCAGGATGGGGGGTAGATGGAAAACAGGACAGAGACACTCCACAAGTACAGAGGGTGGGGTGAAAGTGGCAATATTTCTGATTCTGCTTTCTCTTTCACTCTTACAAAAATAGCTTGGAGGTGTTGCCTGCGGTTGTCTTGGCCATGGAGAGCCTAGTTTCCCCAGCCTAGGCCACTGGCCATCAAAGACACAGGTGATCCCAGTAGCCGTCTCCTCATTGCTAACAATACATGTCCTTACTCTGCTTCGGAAGATCTTGTACCTCCTTAGATAATTGTATGCGTGATAATCCTTTTCCTGTACTAGGAAAATGCTCCACATTATTTTGACATCCAAGCCACCACTTTTATCTTAACATTTTTCTTCTAAGGAACCAAAGTGGCATATAGAGGACTCCCATCCTCTTGCGTCCAAGCACTGACAGTCGACCTAGACCTAGTTAGCTTCAACACGGCTGCTGCATCACATGTCTTCAGATCGTGCTCTGTCTGACATTAGTAACAAATTAAATTCTGTAAAAACTTCAATTCGTATTCTCTGTGTGGAGTGGAGCAGAGTCTTTGCTCAGACTGCCTTTTAGCATATTCTATTACTAAACCCCTTTCTCCAGTTCTGATCTGTATTCAATATTTGATAGACAGCTGGAGTACCGTGGGTGATTCTTTTAGTTTTGGGTGGGTTGTAAATAAAAAACCATTGGCCTTCTTGGCTGGGACAGCCAGCCAGAAGTTTCCTGAGATCAAATTAGTAGCGCTCCTTGAAAAGCACAAGGCACAAGTGAGAGCATGAAGGAGAATTAAATATATTCTGAGTTCACAAGATGTGCCATCCAAAGACACACAAAATGACTTCCTTCTCCCCAAATGGAGCTAGCTCAGAGCCAGTCTAATGAGAAATAACTGCTCTGACCTAGGAGCCAAATGGGTAGATGAGAGGAAGGGCCCGCGGAGGATGGCTTTTAGCATGTTGTGTGTGCACTTACTGGGGAAAGCTGAAGGCTTGCTGTGATAACAGCGGAATACAGTGGTACCTCGGGTTAAGAACTTAATTTGTTCTGGAGGTCTGTTAACCTGAAACTTCTTAACCTGAAGGACCACTTTAGCTAATGGGGCCGCTGTGCCGCTGCTGCGTGATTTCTGTTCTCATCCTGAAGCAAAGTTCTTAACCCAAGGTAATATTTCTGAGTTAGTGGAGTCTGTAACCTGAAGCGTCTGTAACCCAAGGTACCACTGTATACCACCTCTTGGTCAAGGTGGGGACAGACAAAAGTGAGCTGGCATGGAAGATTTAATTTTTTTATGGTAATTGAAGGGGCTGTAGCTGAGTGGCGGAGTACCTAACTGGACACAGAATGCCCAAGTTGAGTGGTGAACTCTCCAACTAAATGCATCATAGAAAAATGGCTCTGGAAAGACCTATCTTTTCTCTCTTTTTTAGGACAAATGTTGGCACCAAAATTACACAGTGCAGGAATTTCCACCTATTTAAACTGCAAGTAGCAATGGGAGTTGATCCAGATAAGGACTGCCAAGGGGAGGGATGTTTTCCTTCCCGTTTCAATTGCTACCTGTAGAAATTTTAAAAAGAAATCCACATATTTCCTGTTGTTGCATCCTTACTTAGTAGATACTATTGGGTTAGATGGACCTGGTATAAAACAGCCTCATAATTGGCACGAGGCAGACCTGTGTGAAAACAGGAAAATCTTCTGCCTTCCTCTGTAATGGTTGCACTTTTTCTTGGGAGGCTTATGCTGCCTTGTACAAAAGGCTGTCAGCACAATTGTACAATCCCCTGTGTTTGATTCAGCTCAGTACAAACACTTCCAAGCACACGTGCCCGCTTTGCCCAGGGTGGTGGGGGAAAGTGCTGTCAACCACCCTGCAATTAACTCAGCTTCATTTGCCTCTCATAATTATTCTGTCCCCTAGCAACCTACTTCCTTGAGGCATGGCGTGAAAGAGAAATTATTAATGTAAAAGGTTTGATGAAGTGTTGAAGCTAGGTATGAGAGTGCAGGATTTGCAGCCTAAATCCCTTCCTTGAAAACTTCGTCATTGGTTAACAGAACACACTTTCAAAGTTCCACACCACATAGACGACACAACACAAATTTGTAAAGTGTACTTCAGATTTTTAATTTAGACCTCAGGGATCCTATATCTCAGTGACGCAGTTCATTCAAAGTAGGCCTTAAGGGTCACACCTTTCTTTTAAAAAACTGGTGGTGATATTTGGGGGTAGAAGCTGAGGGATGGGGAGTTATATTTCAGCTCAAATGACATCTTCAGGTTTCGCTTGAGGGACCAGAAATTGTGCTTTAAAAGTGTTACTAAAGTAAAACCATGGGAAGGAGGTGCCGTATTCAGCCCTGTTACTTATTTTTCTGTGAGGTAAGCTATAGTACATGGGTAACTAATTTGTGGCCCTCCAGATGCTCTTGCACCCCATTAGCCCCAAGAGTCAAGGATGGGGGTTGTCCAATAACACCTGGAGGGCTGCAGGTTAGCCTCCCCTGCTGCAGTAAGACAGTGCTAATTCTCTAAAGCAAGTTTGGGGGACCTTTGGCCTAGTGTTGCTGAACTACAATTCCCATCAGCCTCAGCAAGCATGGCCAGTGGCCAGGGATGATGAGGTTTGTATTTCTGCAACATTCAGAGGACCAAGAACTGCCCACACCTGCTCTACAGGTAGAATATTTATCTCCTGGAAGCTGGCAAAACCAAGGCTTAAATGAGATTTTTAAAGAAGTATTTTGACGTTCTTGTGAACCCCCTGATCATGCCAGCTGAGGCCAGTTCTGACTGTTTCCTCCATTCCATCCAACCATCCTCTCACCCTTAAATGCTGACCGTTGCTGAGGCAGCTGAGCTGGCTCTGGAGCCCCTGGTGCTTGAGTGCGGAAGGGCGATGGTGCAGCAGGAGACCCCCACGGTGCCTTCAGAAAGTTCTCCTTCCTCTGTCCATTCGTTCAGGTCCGGATTGTAGGCGTGGATGCTCTTCTGATACTTTTTCCCACTCTCATTCCAACCACCGACAACCAAGATCTGCCCACCAAGGGTGGCCACCCCTGCCATGCTCAAGCCGGTGGGCAGGGGGGCCATGTGGCTCCACTGGTTCGTGGAAGGGTTGTAGCACTCCACAGGGATGACGTCCACCCTCTCCCCCCGGGGACCCAACTGGCTGCCGCCCAGGACGTAGGCGCGGTCTGCTAAGGTGGCAGCGCAGTGCCAGCCTCGGGGGCTGCTCAGCCATGCCCCGTCTCGCCATGAATCTGTGGCGGGGTCATAGCTGCAGACGGTACGGGAGTAGGCGTTGTTGACGTAGCCGCCCGTCACCAGGATCTTGCCATCGATGACCACGCTGGCATGGCAGCAGCGGGGCAAGTCCATGTTGGCTTTGGCATGCCAGGTGTTGGCAGAAGGGATGTAGCATTCAAGAGAGACTAGGGTCCCCTTGGCATTACGTCCCCCGATGGCATAGAGGTTCCCATTGAATGCGCTGAGGCTGAAGTGAGTTCTTCTGTGCGACATGCTGGCCAAGTGCAGCCAGGTGCCGAAACGAGGATCATACCTGCAGAGGGGAAGAGAGTTTGTCATTGTCGCCATTGAGTGTGATGGCTATGTTCTGTCTCCATAGTTGGAAGCAGTAATGCGCCTGAATACCAGCTGATGGGAACTGCAGGAGGAGAGAGTGCTCTTGTGCATGGGGCCTGCTTGTGGGTTTCCCATGGGCATCTGCTTGGCCACTGTGAGAAGAGGATGCTGTACTTAATGGACCATTGGGCTGATCCAGCAGGCTCCACAGGTGTTGCTGTGTTGGCTTCTTATGTGTGGTTGAAGCAGGGGATCTGAACAAAAAATTTTTTTTCTTCCAGTAGCACCTTAAAGACCAACTAAGTTAGTTCTTGGTATGAGCTTTCGTGTGCATGCACACATCTTCAGATACACTTCAGTGTTTCAGTGTATCTGAAGAAGTGTGCATGCACACGAAAGCTCATACCAAGAACTAACTTAGTTGGTCTTTAAGGTGCTACTGGAAGAAAAAAAAATTTTGGTTTTGACTATGGCAGACCAACACGGCTACCTATCTGTAACAGGGGATCTGAGTTTGCCTAGCGAGGCTTTCAGGGTAACAGTTTGTGGTCCCACTCCTCAGATGGGGCCACTAGCAAACCTGAGACCAGGTAACTTAAGCAGTCACCGGTTATACATTTTCTAAATACAGTCATACCTCGGGTTATAGGCGCTTCAGGTTGCGTACTGCGCCGAACCCGGAAGTACCAGATGGGTTACTTCTGGGTTTTGGCGCACACGCATGCGCAGAAGACCAAATTGTGATCCACGTGTGTGCAGACGCGGCACCACGGGTTGCGAATGCTGCGGGTTGCGAACGTGCCTCCCGCACGGATCACATTCGCAACCTGAGCATCCACTGTAAATAAATGCAGCAGGGCCATAAGACCACTAAGACCAGAGTCATAGAGAACATTCCTTTTTTCTAGGTGCCCCTGGGGGAAAAGACCTACTGACTCAAAACACATCTCAAGTTCCTCTGCCTGTTGTGCCCCTTAATTTTTTGGCTCAAACGGATGTCTATTATAATGTCTCTCTCACCCATGAAATAATGTTTTGTGACATGCCTTAGGCTTCTGTCCTCAATAAAAATCAGGGTTAGAAATAAGTACCTTCCCCTGTCCATAGGAGCATAATATAAGAAGAGCCTGGCTGCTGAATCAGCCCAAATGCCCATCTAGCTCAGCAGCCTGTTCCCAGTGGCCAACCAGATGCCTATGGAGAAAGTGTAAGCAGAACCTGAGTGCACTAGCAACTGTCCCCACTTGTGATTCCCAGAAACTGGTCTTCAGAGGCATCTTCCCTCCAATACTGGCGGCAGCATGCAGCCCTAGCACCCAGGAATAGCCTTTTCTTCCACACACCTAGTCCATCTCACCATCCAAACCCTTCCAGCCTTGTTAGCTGTTTGCCCTGAAATAGACCTTTTCAGTAGTGAAACACGCCCCGCCCCCCAGCTTTAGGATGCCTTGACTCTTAAAGTATGTAAGACATCTACAGGACTGTCATTAAGAAGCCAACTTAAAATATGGCTTCTTACACAAGCATTTAGAGATCAATACTGATATTCAGATCTATCTGTCTACCTACCTATATGTGATTTTTATTTAGTGATGTTATTTTTTAATTGAGGTTCATTTTCTCTGCCCTGTGAGGCAGTTTATACATCTGGTGTGGAGAACCTCAGCCCCAGGGGCCACGTACAGCCCACTGGATCTCTACTTGGCCCGTGGGACGCTCCCCAGGCCACACCTCTCACCTGCCCCACTTCATTCTGTCTTTGAATTATTTTTTCTGGCTGGAATGTGTCTTTGAGCTTTGACAATGCCTCTTGCTTGCCTAGACAGAGGATAGAGAAGGCTGGGTGTACAGAAACTAGTCTACTGTACAAAGGTAAAATTCACATTTGTTGTTCTGCCTACTTGTGCCTCTGGCAGGTGACCCCAGTATATCCAGGGCTGGGAAACTGCTGGCCTCTTCAGATGTTGCTGGACTACAGCTCCCAAAACCATTGTCCATGATGGCTGGGGATAATAGGAATTGGAGTTGGGCCATGGATACCCCAACATGGATTTAGAAGATTTCAGGCATGAGGAAGACCCCTGCTTGGGAACCCTCTAGACAGTGTCAATCTAGGTGCAACCTCCCCATTACCTGCACAGGTTGTTAACTGCATGCTTTGCCTGGTTCCGGGCATCAGTTTGATCCTCTCCGCCAGCCACGTAGAGGAAGCCATCCATCACCACAACACATTGGTTAAAACATTTGGTGGGCATCTCTGTTAGCTTATTCCAGTTTCCTTCTTGATCTCTGTAGCTTACATCTTTGCTAAGAGCTTTCTCGGCCGAGCACGGCCGGCCCCCAACCATGAGCAACACTTTACGGCTTCCTCGAATCTTGGTCCTTCTGGACTGGAGGTCATTTTGCTGATAAGGTAACAAGTGGTAATTCATAGCGTCTACCAGGAGCTTGTGGCATTCTGGGTTCTGCATCATGCACGGCACAGGCTGGATGTAGTTGATCAAGTCGTGAGCCGGGATCGTGCCAAAGCGGACATTGTTCAGGAGGTCGGCGGCATATTTGATCCTCTTGGGATCAAACTCGATCCATTTCATGACAATCTGAAAGACCACCACCTCATTGGGGAACTGAAGGTTGTCATCCATCAGCAGCTCGTTGAGCTGATCAAAGGTGAGTTTCATGAACTGTTCAGTGTCAGAGAACTCCAGGAAACATTCCCGGATGAACTTCCTTGCAGCATCCTTCGCTTGGCTGAGATTGTAGGTGTCTGCCAGGTTGGCGATGTACATCCAGTTTTCCACATTCATCTCCTGGATGAGGAAGTCGGTGCACATGTTGAGCAGAGCATACATCCTCAGGCGGCTGGCTATGGAAATGGTGCTCCCAATGGTGTACAGAGAAAGGTTCAGCTTTCCGGTGTAGGTGTAGGCAATGGCGGTAGCCAAGCCTAAGGAGGAGGCATCTTTGAGGTCCACTTGTTGAAGGTTTGGGTCTTTTTTCAGCAGGCTTCTGAAAAACTCACTGCAGGAAGACATGACCAACTTGTGAACGCTGAAGGATTTTGTTTTTGTGACAATAGTGAGGTCACAGAGGAAACGCTCCTGGTGCATGAGGCTCATCTCCTCCAGGACACTGGTTCCGTGGCTAGGATTTGTGACTTCTGTGGCAGTGCAGAGGAAGCCACCTGAACCATTTTCAAACAAGCCGTCTAGTTGCTGATGGTGGTCAATGTCAAGAGAAGAGTCCTCTACCATGGTGACATTCGTAGACGTCTCCGTCTTCGACGGCTTGCTCTTCTTTGGGGCTTTCTTCTTGGGTGCCATTGGAGCGGAAGCGTGGCCTGTAAGGTGTATTAAGGAGAACACTGCTTTGTAAAGAAACATCATAGGTGACATATATATTGGCCTCCAGCACAAAATGGATGGAGGAATTTGAAAGAGACAAGAGTGGGGAACCTGTGGCCCTCCAGATGTTGCTGAACTACAATTCCTATCAGCCCCAGGATGCATGGCCAATTGCCAGGGGCAATGGGAGCTGAAGTTCAGCAACATCTGGAGGGCTAAAGGTTCCTTATGCCTCTACTATCAACTGTAATTGCATTTAGATGTGGCCCTAATCTAGGAGCCAAATGCATTCTACCCGCCCCCATTTCTCTAAGGCCCTTGGGACTGTCTCGAGGCCACAACCCATTCTTAGCCACACCTCTCACCTGCCCTACTTCATACTCTCCTTGGGTATTTTTGCCTAGCTGGAATTCATGGGCGTAGCCGGGGGGGGGCGGGGAGCTCCATGGGTGTAGCCAGCATTTTTGTTGGGGGGGCAGGCCTTAAGAGGGGCAGTACCTCAGTTTGCTATGTATTTTCATTGATTTAGGGGGGGGCAGCTGCCCCCCTTGGCTATGCCTATGGGGAGGTCCCCTCCCCAGATCAAATAAAACAATAGAACTACTTAACTTCCTGACTAATCACGTCAGTTCTGCCACCTCCCAACAAAAGTCTTCCTGCCTCCCAAAAAAATCCTGACTACACCCATGCTGGATTTTCTTTGACTTCTGCGAATGCCTCTTACTTACTTGGATGGGGGCTAGAGGAGGGGTTTGTGGATGTACTAGCCTATTTTACAAAGCCTATTTTTACAAATATTTATTGCTCTGACCACTTTTGCCTCTGCTACCACCCCCCACTGGTATTTTATTTGTTGCATTTATATCCTACCTTTCCCTCCAAGGATCTCAAGGTGACATACACAGTCCTCCCTGTGAGGTCGGTTAGGCTGATAGGCAGTTTCTGACTCAGAGTCACCCAGGGGGCTTCATGGCTGAGGGAGATCAAAACCTGGTAGTCTGACACTCTAACCAAGTGACCCACCAGACTAGCTCTCACTTATTTGTGCCCCCCTGGAAAGTTGCCAGGAAGGGAACATGGCCTTTGGGCTGAAAAGGCCGATCCCTGGATCAGCCAATACTGAGCTGGTTGGACCAGTGGGTTGACTGGGCAGAAAGCAGCCTCCTGTGTTCCTGTAAAGTAAAGGTAAAGGGACCCCTGACCGTTAGGTCCTGTTGCGGACGACTCTGGGGTTGCGGCGCTCATCTCACTTTATTGGCCGAGGGAGCCTGCATACAGCTTCCAGTCATGTGGCCAGCATGACTAAGCTGCTTCTGGCGAACCAGAGCAGCGCACGGAAACGCCGTTTACCTTCCCGCCAGAGCGATACCTATTTATCTACTTGCACTTTTGATGTGCTTTCGAACTGCTAGGTTGGCAGGAACAGAGACCGAGCAACGGGAGCCCACCCTGTCGCAGGGATTTGAACCGCCGACCTTCTGATTGGCAGGCCCTAGGCTCTGTGGTTTAACTCACAGCGCCACCCGTGTCCAGTATTATAATACTGTAATAATACTGGGCCAGTATTATTACTGTCCTAGCACTGTTAACGGAAAAATCCGAGGGCTCCCTGGGACAAAAAACAAAGACACCAACCAGGATTACTTGGAGCAAATCAGTAGCCTGTAGGCTTGGCCTTTATTGATCTGTTGCTACAGGGTGCTCCCCTCACCTGCAGGAGAGAGGAGACCCAGAAAAATGGCGTGCAAGGCCTTATAAAGACTTTTGAAATTGCCACCCCCAGAAACATCATACATACATCACAGAAGGGGTGTAACCTAAGACCACCCCTCAGATACATCACACCTACATCACAGAAAAGGCAGTCCAAAATAGAAATTTTAATATTGTTTTTCTCCTGTTTTTGTTTATCTCCTGTCTGGCAGGTTACTTGATTGGATTTCCTGGGTAGCCTGGCCAGTCTTTTGTAATGATAAATACTTAGTTCCTGGGCCAGGTCACAGGCTCACACCCTATTCAAACACAGACATACCCTTAAGACAGGATTTGTGAAGGAAAAGACAATGGGGAGGCTTTTCCATTTTGACCTTGCAGAGAAATGATTTGGTCAGTTTAGGAATAAAAATGGTTCCAGGTTGGCCTTCCTGTGCTGATCTATGTATGTGCTTGGTTGGTACGCTTATGAACATTACCATATATCTAAGACCATAAAATTCCTATCACAGCACAAAGCTGGCAGGGTGGGCCTGAGGCCCAGGTCACTCAAGGGAGCTCATAGCTGTGGTGTGATTTGAACCAGGGAGTTGCTCCCTCACTGCCCAAACCTCCAGCTACTTAGCTACTCCAGCTCTGTACAGTTCTTTTTGCAGAAACCCATCGTGGGAGAATAGAGTACAGTGGTACCTCACAAGACGAATGCCTTGCAAGACAAAAAACTCGCTAGACGAAAGGGTTTTTTGTTTTTTTGAGCTGCTTCGCAAGACGATTTTCCCTATGGGCTTGCTTCGCAAGACGGAAACGTCTCGCAAGTTTATTTCCTTTTTCTTAACACCGTTAATACAGTTGCGACTTGACTTCGAGGAGCAACTCATAGAATGCGGTGTGGTAGCCTTTTTTGAGGTTTTTAAAGACTTTGGTGATTTTTGAAGCTTTTCCAAAACTTTCCCGACACCGTGCTTCGCAAGACGAAAAAAATCGCAAGACGACAAAACTCGCGGAACGAATTAATTTCGTCTTGCAAGGCACCACTGTATACGATTTAGGCTGTTGCGTGTAACTGAAAGCATAGACTGTGTCTCTGGGCAAGACAGGCACCTTATCTTCCACAACACAGAGAAAAGGTTGGTGTACCCTTCTGTAATAATCTCTTCCATCAAGGCCTGCCACGTGTGGACTTCATGACTTGGGACATGCTGCATGACTGCATTTGATATCTGAACTGAGCGTGCATACAGATTCTCACCCTCCACAGGCAGGACGGCTTATTGCTAATGTTTCTCAGCTGTTTCTGTCCACCTTCCCTTCCCTCTGCTGGGGGCGGGGAGAGGAGGGAAGGAGATCTGAGCTCCTGGGTGACAAACCTGTTTGTTACAGGCCAGAAATAGCCGAAGTGCCTCTCTGTCTTGCATCTCTCAGAGCTGGACATAAAGATCAAATTTCTGGAGGGTTAAGCAATTGGCAATTCTTAGAACAGGATGGGGAGGAAGCAAAGTCCCAGGCTAGGGTTGCCAACTTTTTTACCAGCCTTTGTAGCTGTGCCTTTAATAGGAACTTGATCTGCGGACATTTGTAAGCGTTAAGGATCTAGATGGAGTAGCACACCCTCTGAAAGATCAGGCTTTCAGTCTGACAGTGTTTCTGGACCCAGCCCTGCTGCTGGAGGGCAGGTTGTTGCTGTGGCCACAGAGTGTGCTTTGTGCATCTGTGACTAAGGTGCTAGCTGTGACCCTTCTTGCAGAAGGCAGATTGAGCCACAATTACACATGCTTTGATTACATGTAGGTTGGACCACTGCAACATCCTCTGCTGACTCTGAAAACTGTTGGACAACTATACTCTGCTACTGCCACAAACTCCTTATTGACAGACTCTGTATCTACTTAGTAAAGGTAAAGGTGGCCCTCAGTGTATTTTTGAAGCCCAGTTCTAAGTACGCAGCTTGGGTCTGTGAAGGACTCTTCCCCTTGCTCCCTCCGCAGGACTCTGCTCACCAGTGAAGACTTTCTGAAGAGGCTTTCCTCTGCATCTTACCACCATCTGATGTGCAATTGGAGAGTACACAGAACGGGACCTTCCCAGAGGTGTGCCTAGGCTCTGGAAATTCTTCCCTGCCTCTTTCCTCCCAGTCTTTAGGAAAATGTCCCAAGCGGACTTATTTAGACATGCTTTCCATGCTGTCTGTTTCCCAAGGTTGCATTTATGATGCTACTGGTTCCCCCTTCCCCACACACTTTTCCTAGTGGGGTTGCCTGTTCCTAAATTGATTTTATTGTTTTGTGGTAGTTGTACTTTGGTCTGGGGACAAAAATGGTGTGCAAAATCTGTAAAGGCAATGCGAGTCCAAAACTGGGATGTGCTAGTGTGCCGCAAGCAGGATCTGAGACTGCAATGCTAAGGCACTTTCCAGGGAGTAAGCCCCTTGAACTCAATAGGCTGTTTAAAAAAACCAAAACACTTCTGAGTAGATCCATCTACAATTGCACTGTAATGTGTGTTTTGAAAAATATATGGTACAACCTGATATGTACATAGGAAAGCCACCTTATACTGAATCAGACCATTGGTCCATCTAGCTCAACATTATCTATACTGACTGGCAGTGGCTCTCCACAGTTTCAGACAAGGGACACTCTCAGCCTTACCTGGAGATGCCAGGGACTGAACCTGGGACCTTCTGCATTGAAAGCAGATGCTCTACCACTGAGCTACATCCCTTCCCCTTCTACTTAAAAGTAAATTGAGTTCAGTGGTATTTACTCCCAGGTAAGTGTGCCAAGGATTCCAGCTTGAGCCATTACATTGGATGCCTCCACTACTCTGTGTCCATTGAGCAGCAATTGGGAGGAATAGGGATGCACTTTTCCTGACAGGGTCCTGCATTACAGGTGTACATCTGGCCGGTGATGTATAAAACACTGTGGACCAGGTGGTTCCTTGATCTGATCCAGCAGGACTGCTCTTATGTGCTTATATCATAGAACATTAATTACATTCATGGAGATGGTGCAATTGAGCCCTAAGGTATTAGCTATGGCAGCTGAAGAGAACCTCCCCATCTAGATATAGTCTACCTATTAATGAATAACAGCTGCTGGGGTGGGGGGCAAATGACAGGTGAGGATTCTTGCTTCCATGTTTTGCTTGTCAGTGTTTGTCTGGCCAGTGTAAGAAACAGGAATCTGACCTAGATGGACCCTTGCTCTGATCCAGCAGAGCTCTTATTAGCGTTCTAAAATGGATCCATATTTTTAGTGGGAGTGAGTGAAGTGTGTGCCTCCAATATAAGCCAAAAAACAAGCTAACTGCGATCCAGATAACAAAAATTTTGGAAACACTGTAATGCAATAACTATTAAAAACAGCAACAGCAGCATCAACTATGTGAAGTTCATTGTAGGCTTATCTATGGGGCTACTAGCTGACATACCATTCACTGCTGCACAAACCGTATGGCTTGCCTAAGCATTTGCATGGAGATGGGTGCTGATTCCTGCCTTGGAGGAAATGCTTATATGAGCCATCATTCTCATTTCCCAGGGATTCCCCCTTTCCTTTCCAACTCTCTATTGAAGTTTCTAGCCAAAACAAAAGCAAAGCCCAATTGAAAATGTCACTTTCTGAAAGCAAATGCACTTTTGAATTACACTGCAGAATACAGGCTTGGATCCAGCCTAACCAAGTGGCACTTTGGTCTCATTTAAATCAATATGAAAAGTTTAAGTCAATGTGATTGACTTGCAGACTTAAACTGCAATCCTGTGCCTCTTAACTGGAGAATAAATCCACTGAACTCAATGAGACTTACTTCTGAGTATAGGAACATGCCGTTAATCTGTATCCAGCACATCCAACTCAATTTGCCAGTGTAAATCCCTATCAGTAGCAGAATTATGTGCAAAGTTACTACTTTGTTGACTAAATATCATATACACACAACACACAGTACAAAACCTATTGCACCACAATGTTTGGAATCTGAATCTTTATTCTGTTCATGTTTTAATAAAATAATAATTAGCATTTATCTCCTGCTTTGAGTTTTCAGAGCACTGTAGGTACCCGTCTCAGGACATCCTCAACTGTTCTATATCTATATTCCTTCTCCCTCCACCTGCTGCCTTTTTGGACATTACCTTTGTTGACCATTTTTAAGCCGCACCGGCAGATTAAATCAGGGTTAGAATAATCTGTTTTATGTGTTGCAGTCCTCCCTCCCTCTGCTTAGAATCCCTCACTCATGGCCACCAACATGTGTTAAATTTATAAAGCGAGAGTGCACACTCAGTATCTCTTAACAGTTAAGGCATAAGTAATCAGTGTCAGGTGATACTGAGCATGCTAAATGATACGTTTACTTAGAACATAAAGAAGTGTCTTGCTAGATCAGGCCAAAGACTACTGAGTCCAGCATTCTTTGCAAGAATCCTAAGAACCAGAAATTGTCCATTACGAGACCTTCCCCTCCAATCTATTTTTTTCTGCCCACCTCTAGCTTAGCTAAAATACTGCTATGGCCATTCTGGGTCATATTTACTTTTTGGAGTGATGACTTTGTGTCGATAAATAGCCTGAGTTTGTATTTTGTTCCCCCACCCTGAAATCATGAAAAATTGTAGGTTTTAGGCAACGGAAATCTAAGCCTTCTCCTGTTGTTTTTTCCACATTCCAGTCACTCACACAGCTAATGTTTCTTTCTCTTAAGAAGGACTCGCTTTGTTCCATCTTCACCCAACTTTTTAAGAGCTCAAGTGACCCGTAAACTACTCTGCAAATATTAAAGTAGAAATGGGCAAGCTGGTTGGTTCAGGACAGACAGACAGACAGACAGACAGACAGACAGAAGGGCCTTTGCTCCCTACCTTGGCGTCAAGAGGCTGATCCAGTGGAGGGTATAGCAACCAATGCCTGTACGCTGCACAAGCTAAGAGGCACTCGGGAACCCAGGCAGACGTCCAAAATGTAGCAGCTACCCTGTCCCTCCTCCTCCTTTCCCAATTCAGCCTGGCCAGCTGACGACCCTTATCAACTCACCAGTTGCATCCAGCTTGATGGGAGTGACGCACTACTGCCATACAAGTATGTGGTTAAAAAAAAAGAAAAAGACACGGGACTCCAAATGAATGTTTGGGCTCCAAGTGGGTCTGAGGTTGAAGACTATTGCATTCAGTGGTCTTAGGCAAGCCACCATTCTCTGTCTTAGCTGCTATTTGTTATGTGGGGGTGATGATTATTATAATTAAAATAATAAATAATAATAGATGGATGTCAACCAATAACAACTGACTTATCACCTTTGCTGTGCACACACTAAAGGTAAAGGTAAGGGACTCCTTAAAGGACATAGCTCCCCCCCCAAAAAATACTAGGAACTGCAGTTTACCTCTCACAGAACTACAATTCCCAGCACCCCTTAACAAACTACACTTCCCATGATTCTTTGGAGAAAGTCATGTGGGGTGTGTACATAGCCTTGGTCTGTTGGAAGGATTGATTATGCATGCTTGAACTACATATTCAGCAAAATGACATGGTGGGAAGAATTCTGGTGCCAAACTTTGGGGAGCCCTTGGCACTGTGCTGCTGCTGCCCTTGAGTACACACATCCACTTAGCAGGGAAGAACGGCCACATGCCTTGGGCAGGTGGGCCGAGTGCTGTTGTACTCATGTCCAGTTTGCAGGCTTTCCACAGACAGTGGGTCAGCCATTGTGAAAACAGGATGCTGGACTAGTTGAGCCTTTGGCCTGATCCTGCAGGTTCATCTTATGTTCTTAGGCAGCAGTGGCACCGCACATCTTCCTGGGTGAGCAGCAAGAGGCTCATCCTGGGAAAAGAAATAGAGGGCCCTGCTTCTCATAATTTTATCATGAACAAAGTTCAGTTCATAAGAAGTGTCCCACTGGATCAGACCACAGATTCATCGCCACATATTGTGATGGTGAGGTCTGTAAATTAATTTTGCATCATATGAAGAAGTAAGAGGTAAAATCAGGGATAAGGAACCTACCTATAGCCCTCCATATGTTTTAGATTTGTCTGTCTTATAAGGTAAAAAGATAAAGGACCCCTAGACGGTTAAGTCCAGTCAAAGGCGACTGGGGTTGCGGTGCTCATTTCACTTTCAGGGAGGGAGGCTGAGGGAGCCGGCGTTGGACCACAGACAACTTTCCAGGTCATGTGGCCAGCATGACTAAACCACTTCTGGTACAACAGAACACCGTGATGGAAACCAGAGTGCACGAAAACGCCATTTACCTTCCCGCCTCAGTGGTACCTATTTACAGTATCTACTTGCACTGGCGTGCTTTTGAACTGCTAGGTTGGCAGGAGCTGGGACAGAGCAACGGGAGCTCACCCCATCATGGGGATTCGAACCGCCAACCTTTCGCTCAGCAAGCTCAAGAGGCTCAGTGGTTTAGACCACAGTGCCACCTGTGTCCCTGACCTGGTTGCGGTTGATGGAGGGTATTAGGTTGGGGAAAGCTGAAATAAGAGGCAAATAAAGAATGAAGAACCTGTGGCTCTCCATTATTGGATTCTCCCATCATCAGCCATAGCATACCCTCCAACATTTCTCCAATGAAAATAAGGACACCCCATTCGGGCCATTCCATAATGACAATTTTACTATTTATACCCCACATATCTTACTGGGTTGCCCCAGCACTCTGGACAGCTTCCAACATATAACAACAACAACAACAACAACAACAAAAACATTAAACATTAAGAAAACTTCCCTATAAAGGATTGCCTTCAGACAGCTCAGGGGTTGGATAACTCCATACCCTCCAACATTTCTCCAGTGAAAATTGGGACATCCTAAGGAAAATCAGGACATTCTGGGATCAAATCAGAAACCAGGACGGCTTCTGTAAATCAGGGACATTCCTGGAAAATAGGGACACTTGGAAGATGACTGACAAGAGTTGGAAGGCCACACATTTCCCATGCCAAGGATAAGCGCTGTTGTTTAAAAAGGAGTAACCAGTCTTGCTCTTTCCTTACATTGGTACCTCTGGTTATGAACTTAATTCGTTTCAGAGGTCTGTCCTTAAGCTGAAACTGTTCTTATCCTGAGGCGCACTTTCGCTAATGGGGTCTCTTGCTGTGTGCGCGCCAGCGCACGATTTCTGTTCGCATCCTGGGGCAAAGTTCACAACCAGGATTAGCTACTTCCGGGTTAGCAGAGCTCGTAACCTGAAGCGTTCGTAACCAGAAGTGTTCATAGCCAGAGGTACCACTGTACTTAAATTCCAGTTTTGGGGTTTGTTGATGCAGACACAGGACCAGCAGTTGGTCTGGTTGGGAACTATCCAGGGCTCAGCAGAAGGACTGATCACTGGCCTAGCCCAGCTATGCTGCAGTTCATTGCTGTTTGTGTTGGGGGCATGGCTGGCTACTTTAGGGGTGGGTGGTAGATCCACTTTTGAATAGGAAATGAGGTCGTCTACTGGTATGCAGTGGGAAAAGAGTATGTGTGAGAGTTGGGGTCTGGGTAGGGCCCCATTGGCAGCACTAGGCTGAGAGCTCCCTGAATGGTTCTGGCCCTGCAGAGACAGTTTTGTTTGCTCCTGATGCTTTGGGAGAGGGATCCCCAAAAAGGGATTAGGATGGAGAAAAGGCTGATATGCAACAAATTCTCAGTTGATAACAGATGGAGATTCCTGGAAGCATTTCCCACAAATTGCAGTGGAAAAAAGACTTTTAAAACAAAACACCACCCCATTAAAAGTATCTTTTATAGTAATTTCCTTATTTGAGCTATTTACTCAGTAAAGCTGAGATCCTGGCGTGTTCATACTATGTGAAAAGGCACGAAAAACCTCAGCGACCGACTCCAGACTCAGAACATATGAGGAGAGTAGGTTCTTGCCAGCACGCAAGATGGCGGCTGCACCTCAGCAAGGAAACTTCTTGCCCTTCTCCAAGATGAGAGGGTTCCAACCCGTTATCCCTTCAGCTGTTTTTCGAGCTTCGCCCTAATCCGAGATGGCGATTTTTGTCCCTCTCTACCTTTCTCGGTTTCGAAGCAACTTGCCAGCTTCTAAGATGGCGGAGCCGACCTATGGAAGAGAACGGCTTACTGGCCCTTCTTTTGACCACCGTCTTCTTTTTTTGCCCGGAGCAAACATGGCGGCGCGAAAAAAAAGGAAGCGAGGGAGTAAAGGTTCGGAAGGAGGGAAGCCCCGAGTGCTCCTGGGTAGACGGTGAAGCAGCAGCCACTTCCGCCGAGGAGAGGCCTCGCCAGCAGTAAAAATGGCGGAGTCGGTGCTAGAAGTTGTAGGGAAGCTGCAGTCGCGGCTCACGGGCAGTTCGGAGCCCAAGAAGGTAAAGGACCCCCTGAAGGGGAGGGCGAAGCAAAGGTGGCGGGTGGGTCCTCTGGTAGCCGAGTGGTTTGGGGAACTCTGGCTAACTGGGTGGACAAAGAGGGGGCCCCGCTTGTAAGGGCCACACAGCAAAGGAGACGAGAACTGGGGAGGGGTCCTTGAGAAGGAGGTGGGGGGCGACTCGGAGGAGGTCGGTGGGATGTGGCGGGGTGGCTCCCTAGTATGGATCCAGGTGATCTGGAGTCAGGGATCCCACCCCCTACTCAAATTATGAATTTGGGGCAGGCTTGGACTTTTTCACACCGGGAAGATGGAAAGACCAGGAGATCCAACGTCTCTTTTTCCGAAGTGGGGTGGCAGTCAGCAGAGCTCCGTTTCCAAGGGCATGTACCTTAACGTGTCTTAAGTTATTCTACGCCTTCCCCCCACCCCGCGCCGCCCCACGACACCCTGGTTGAACTCTGAACCGGGTTGGTTTCAATGAGGGCTCCGATCTCAAGCCCCTTTTCCAGTGTGTTCCCTGAACCCCCTTTTCAGTGTGTGCTGATGAATGGTGTGCGGGTTGTCGCTGTGGACCTATGAAAGGGTCGATCTGTCAAATAAAATCATCATATGTGCAGTGTAAAGAAGGAAGCTGGGAGGTTGTTGGGTTTACCCCCACATCGAGCGGGTTGCTGGAGATATCTGAAGCAAGGCAGTCCTCAAAATTTTATAAATCCCTCTGCACAAATGTGGAATCATAACCACCCTTTGATTTTGTAGTTGCAACTACTTTAGGTGTGCTGACCAAAAAGTAGAATATATCCTTATTAATTTTAAACAGTGCTTTTTTCCTGGGGTACTCAGGGGGACACATATCCCTAAACATTTTGTGAATCTAAGTTTGGCTTCATTGAGGGGCAGTATTTCAATATGAGTAGGAAAACGAGAGTACCCCTAAACATTTTAAAGAAAAACACTGATTTTAACCATCATGTTTACATGCATCCCCAAAATGGTTAAAGTGTGCAAAGAGCAGCTAAGCTAAGTGATTTTCATTATGTGCAGATTGGGGATGTAAAGCATGGGGGGGGGCAGGCATGGGATATGGTGAGTGGCTCTGTGAATAATTTAGAGGAAAGGGCTGGATTTCTTTTTCCTGGACTCATAAAAGAGGGTTATTCTGGCAAATCAATATAACTTTGGTGTCTGCTGAATACCTCATCATGTCTTTGCATTGAACTGATTTAAAATAAGGTTACGGGAGAGATCAGATGTATTGCACTCCATGTACTGGAGCACATTAAGTGCTAGAGGGAAAGCACCATATCTGTGGTGCACAGCATCAAACCATGAAGTGAAATCAACTTTGTATCTAGAAGTGCTTCCTGTATTTTATGGGTTTTAGGTTTGCTCAGCAATGTGAGTTGCATTTTTACCTAGAAATTCCTTAAAATCAGATGGCCCTGCTCCTTGGGAATTCTGGGAACTACAGTACAATAGGCTTGGGGTTTCGAACCAGGTCAAAAATGCTTTTTGATTTATATGTAAAATGTTATTTTTTTAAAAGTGCCTGGTTCTTGCAACAATTTATAAAAAAGAAATTCATAGGTAGGTGTGAAAAGGAGAGTTCCAACCCCCCCAGCTTAATTCTTATTAATCTGCATGTCCACAAGTATGCTTTTTGTATCATCTGCTCTGTGTATTTGTGAGAGGGGGTGGGAAATGGCATGCACAGCTAGAATCTGGTGCCTGCCCTATAAAATATTGGCTTCTGCTTAAATAAAAATATGAAGGTCCTAGACCTCCTCATTAGGGGGTGGGTGCCGACCGTCCAAAATGGCAACTTATCATAGTGTACCTGTTACCATGTGAGACATCAGGGTGGTCTGTAATATCCAGGCAAATGATAAGAAGTGTGTGTCCTTTCCTGTTTTGTTGACTTTCTGAATGGGTGCAGATGTTTGGCCAAGGTCTTGTCATACAGGCAACTAGTTGTGCCATATGGCAGCATGTGTACCGTGATAGCTGATACCACTTGGTAAAAGGACCATCTGTGTTCACCCTTCATCCTTGAAAAATTCTGTGAGCTTTGTCCAGGGCAAAGTCCAGAAACCAGTAATATAAGCTTCTTGGGAAGAAGCTTGGAAAAGCAAAATCAAATAATTTTGCTGCTTTTAGCAAAAACTTGATTTTATTCTTGCAACAGTTTTTCTAGTTAGAGTCTTCATAAATCATCAAGGTGAGAGGACTGCAATTTAGAAAAAAAGGGACCTACATACTCATGTAGACCAGTGTTGAACAATCTCGGGTCTCCAGACATTACAACTCTTGTCATCCCCGGCTAGCTTAGTCAATGGGCAGGAATGATGTGAGTTTTAGTACAATATCTTGGGACCCAAGTTTGAAGAACAGTGTGCTGAACTACATGGTCCTGAGGCTCCCAGGTGGGGATTTTATTGAAATAATTTCTTCTTTGCCTTTTAGCTAATAAGGCTTCCAGAGCAGTTAGAAAAATCAGTAGTAAGTGGTTCACTGCCCTCAGGCTTATGACACATGAGGAAAAAGGGACAGGAGGGCACTCTTTCTACTTCCTCTCAAATGCTAACTCCTCAAGCAGACCCTTGCCTCTCCTCCCCCCCGCCCCATGAAGCTTTATGTCTGTTGTCCAGGAGATAGGGATTTTGCATGTTTTATAAAACCCAGGGAAGTGGAAGTGTTGTTGGAATAGAACTCACACCAGCCCTTAGTTGGTGATCAGGGCTGATGGGAGTTGTAGTCCAAAAACATCTGGAAGGCCACCCCTGCTATAAATGCTCTTTTCTATTGCCCTTTTGTTGTTGTGTCATTGTATTAAATCCCCACCCATACTTTATTCTCATACTTTTCTTTTTAAATAAGCTGTTTGTATGCCTTTATTCTTCACTCTGTCAGATTTTGCCTAACAGAAACTCTAATTTTGGGCTTAGCATAAATGATTACACAGTTTGTAGTTTTATTTTTGCTTCCAGACAGTTTTCAAAGATGTTGATTTCTCTTTTGGGTGAAAGGCTGAAGTGGCAAGGTGGCAAAAAGGACTGAAGACCCCGGAGATGGGTGTTCTTTGGCCAGTCGGGGGTTGTGGGTGCACTGTGGTCAGGGGGAAGGAAACTGGGGTCGGAGAATGGCCCTGTTCCACCTCCGTGTCTGATCCTTTATGAAGCATTTTCTATTTGTTTCCTTACATGCCCCCCCCTTTTTTCTGTTTTGGAGCCATGCTATTAGCTGCAGGTCTAAATGCTAGACACCAGACTGACACCAGACATGCTTGACCTGCTGCAGAACACATGCAGCCCTGGCTGCAAATAAAAGTCTGAAAGGAGTTTGATCTCTAACTGAAATTTTGCCATTGAGCTGCTAATCCAGGGTTGGGCAAGTGCATTTGTGTACGTGGATGGCTCAGAAAATGTTGCTCAGTGGTCTGAGTTGCAGAAGTTCTTTACGGCTTGTGAAACATTTTGCCTGACTCTGGTCTTTTGCTTCCAGACTGGTTTCTGGAAAAGGTAGTGCTCTGGCTTTAGCCAAGGGGCTGTACAGGGGAAGATAGGAAGTTGACATATGAAGTCAGACCATTGGTCCATCTAGCTTAGTGTCATCCATACCTATTGGCAGGTGCTCTATGGTTTCAGGCAGGGAGTCTCTCCCCCTTCTACCTGGAGATACTGGGGAATGTTCTGTGTGCAAAGCGGATGCTCTGCCGCTGAGCCACGGCCCTTCCCTTAAACAAAGATAGCGTGCACTAGTGGCAACACCAATGTTTTCTTTTTTGCTTTGTTAGTTTGGTCTACTTTCTGAAGAGAGGCAGAGAGAGAGAGGTTGAGCAGCTGCAGGAGAGAAAAGGAGCAGATATCTGGCCGCACCGAGAGTAAATAATTTGGCACGGCACATTTTAACTCGTGCAGCTCTTCTTTGGACCATCTATAAACAAAACTGCAATAAAAGAACAAATTACAAGACAATTGGATGGGCTCCCTTTGTAGTTTAGATCCATTTAGTAAGCGAGTTTGTACAATTATCCTGTTAAAATATCTTCGCATTGTAACCAGTGTTGGTCCGACTCGGAGTAGATCCATTGCAAGTAATGGACATGGCTAACACATTAATTTCCATGGGTCTTCTGTGAACATAACTTACAACCCCCTTGCTGAAGAAAGAGCAGCACCACATTGACCCAAATGAGACTCTGCACCTTTGAGGCCATGTCTCCCTTTTGTTTTTAGACTTGGCAGATGGGAAGGAGGTGGGCGGAATTTTTCCCAAACAGTTGTGTAAAACAGGAAATTTGGATAGATGCTGCTTTCTCACCCACGAAAAGGCACTCTGCACTTGGAAGAATTCCCTCTGCTCCACAATTGTTATAAATACAGGAGCCTTGCCTTTGGGGATGGGTTGTAGCTTAGAAGCAGAGCATCTGCCTTGTCTGTAGGACACCCCAGGTTCAATCTCTGCCCCCCAGCAGCCTTAGCTGGGCAAAAATAGCCTGGCTTCAGTTATCCATTCTATGGTAACCTTCAGGTTAGACTACTGCATGGGATTGCCTTCAAAGATTGCATGGAAATTATTAGTGGTTGGTGGGGCATAAATAGAATATATTTGTGGCATTGTATACAGTGTTAGTCTTCCTCAGAGTAGCCCGTTGAGGTTACTGACCTTACTAGGCATCACAGTTTGAGTCATAGAATCATAGAAGTGTAGAGTTAGGAGGGACACCAAGAGTCATCTAGCTTAACCCGCTGCAATGCAGGAGCCACAGCAAAAGCATCCATGATAGATAGTGCTTGATTCGAGATGGTGCAGCCCTTAGTAGGTCTCTTATTTATTTATTTATTTATTTAATTTCCATCTCACCCTTGCTCCGAAAGGAGCCCATGGTGGCAAACAACAAAGCTGCAAAACAACACACGTAAAGATAAGTAAAAAAAGAAACAACCCGTCAGAGACTCCATCAGCAATGCATACTGTCCTTGAGGTTGGCCCAGAAGCTGCAGCTGGTGCAGAAATTGGCAAGCTGACTATCGCCACCGTGTTTCACTGCTGCTGAAAGAATTGCTCTGGCTGCCAATTTGCCAGCAAGCTTAAGTTCAAGGTACTAGTGTGCAAAGCCCTGTACAGCTTGGGACCAGGGTGCCTAAAAAATAGTCTCGCCCCTTCTACACCCAACCAATCACTGGGTTCTGCAGGAGAGGGCCTCCTGTGGATACTGTCTTATTAGGAGGTCCATTGAGCATGATAGAATTCCTTCCAATACATACTAAGACAGGCACCAACTATGTTGACTCTTTGGCGCCTACTGAAGACATTCTTCTTTCAGCAACTCTTTTAAGTGGAGATCTTTATCCCAGCCTATGACCACATTGGAACTGTTTTTATATGCGGATTTTTAAAAAAATGTTCTATACATATGGAACTGGTCCCCCCCCCACACTTTTTTGTTTTACAGCTGTAACTCTTTTATTTGATTTTTATTTGTATTAATTTATTGTTGCTACCTTTCCTGGGACCTTGTGGTAGAAGGTGGATTTAATAAATAAATAAGAGCATAGAAAAACATTTTTTTTTTAAAAAAAAGTTGCCTGTTCTCGTGGCTAATAATTTCAAGGCTGCCAAGACCAGTATCTTTCAGCCACCAGATGCCTGCTTAAACAGGAATGCGCTAAAACTTTTCCTGAAACTTAATAATGCGGGGAGATGGGCATGCCTCACCAGGGAGGGCGTTCCACAAATTGGAGAACCACCACCGAAAAGGCCCTGTCACGAGTCAGTGGCAACCTGGCAGCATCTAATGGTGATACTGCCACCAAGGTCACAACTGCCAATCATCAGCTCTGAGATGGTTTATATTGTGGGAAGGTGCTCTTTTAGGTACCTGGGTCCTCAGCCAGTTAGGGCTTTTTATGCTAGCATAGACATCTTGAATTGGGCCAGGTAGCTCTTGGGCAGGCCGTGCAGCGCATTTGGGACCAGTGGCACATGGTCCTTCCCACTAGCTTAGCTGCTGTATTTTGCACTAGCTGCAGCATCCGGACCACCGAAGCAGGTCTAGGGTTGGCAACTCCTTGACTCTGCCAGCTTCTGGTCCTGGCCATGCTGCCTTTGCAGACAAGCCACAGCAGTGGAGGGTTAAAGTCAGAGTGGCACCTGCCTTATGAGATGCTAGGAAGCTTCCAGTAATTCAAACAAGAGGAGAGCTGCAATGGGGCTGCCTTTGGCTGCATCTTCAGGATTCCTTGGTCTGCATTGTTTGCCCACAAAAGGTGTGAGTATTCTTGTTCAGCAGGACTTAATTTCCCTCTGTGTAGCTGCCATCATAGAAGCTGGATGGATTTGCTTTCTTGTGCCCTTCCTGTTTTGCTGCTGCAAAACAGAACTCCCTTTGATTGGCGGGCGCCTCACTCCCTTTTCGTTTTTGTCTCTACAGCTGATGAAGAGTTTGAAGCGGCTTTCAGAGTTGCCTATTACGGTTGATATCCTTCTGGTAAGACCTCTTTTGATAGCAGCACTTCTTATTCCCAGATATGCAGTGCATCACTGAGGGTATGCGCCACCTTTAGGATGAAACAGGTGGAAGCCAAAATGAGCTCCGGTGGCTTTTTGTCTGACCCTTAGCATCATTCCTAATCTCACAAAAACCCAGTAATTTCTCCCAAATTGAGAACCAAGCAAAAGATTCTTTCATATTTTATTTTTAGTGGTTTTTTTATTTGGTTGTGTTCTGATGTTTTTAATTTAACTGTTTTGGGCTCCTTTTTGAGAGTGAAAGGTGGGGTAAAAATAAACAAGTTTTATTTTATGTACTTGGGGGATTGGACATGTTACCTCCCAGGGTGAGACTGGATATACACAAACCTAAAAGAAATACACATTGGCAATCAATGATGGTCAAAACTTGAGGTTTTCTGTATCCCTTCTGCAGGAGACTGGAGTGGGGAAAACTGTGAACGGTTTACGGAAACACGAACAGGTTGGAGAGTTTGCCAAGAATTTGGTGGCAAGGTGGAAAAAGCTAGTGCCAGTCCCACAGGAAGTGGAACGGTAAGCTAGACTTATCTCCTAATTCTGTTCTTTGATGACCTTTTATACCAGATGACATCTGGGGACTTGTAATTCATCAGCTGAAGTCATTTCATGCCTCAGAATAATTTGAAAGATTCCCACGTTTCTTGCGTTGATTGTAGCTGACCAGGTAGGGACCAAGTAAGTAAGCCCAAAGCAGTGTGGGATAGAGTCCAGGAATCCCTGCTGTTTTGGGGTACTTGGTGGTACAGCACATTCTTGGGGTGTAGAGTTTCCTGGCTCTCAATCTCTGGCATCTCCAGGTAGCACTGGGAAAGGACCTTCTCTATTGGAAACCCTGGAGAGGTGCTAACTATGGGTTATAGCCAATGTTAGTCCTACTCAAAGTAGACTCATAGAAATTAATAGGCATGACTAACTTAGGTTTATTAATTTCCATGGGTCTACTGCTTGAATATCACCCATTCTGTGTAGTGACAATATGAACTTGGTACAAGGCAGCTTCCTTTGTTCCATAGCACAGGGGATTCTGGTTCAACTCTGATCTGCTTTGTAAGCATTAGGAAGGTTAGAAGGGGCCTGTTGGATTAGGCCACTCTAGCACAGCATCCTGTTTTTGCGGTGGCCAATCAGATGCCTATGGAAAGACTATGGGAAGAAGAACCCAAGTGCATTCCACCCTTTGACTTTCCAGCAATGTCAGAAGCATACTGCCTTCAATACTGGAGGGTTGTGCATAGCGACCAACAGCTTTATCCTCAATGAATTTGTCTGAATGGTTTTTAAAACCATTCAAGTTGCCCCCCACTACATCTTATGGTAGTGAATTCCATACTTTTAACTTTGTGCCGTGTGAAGAAGTACTTCCTTTTGCCCGTCCTGACTCTTCCAACGTTCGGCTCCTCTGCATGGCCCTGGGTTCTAGAACCGGGAGACTGGGAGAGAGAAATGTCTCTCTGTCCATTTCCCCAACATCATGAATAGTTTGTCCACTCTGGTGTTTCTCTCCCTTTTGATCGTTCATAGAACTCCTTGCAGGCATTGTAGTTAAACATACATGCCACTCTTACAGGAAAGCTTTGGTTTGTTTTAGAGAACTTCAGTGCAAATACGCTTTTAGTTGGAAGGCAAGCTATAATATATTTTTTAATGGATACCTTCCCTCAGAAGAACAACCCTCCTGTTACTAGTATTTCTGCAGGAATTGGTGATCTGGGCATGTCTCCTGATTAGAAGGACACAGTGGGTTGTATCTCCCCACCAGGAATGCTCGAATGGTCCAATTGCACCCATTCTAGAGGCAGGCAGCAGAATTGTCCCCCTCTAAGTGATGCTGCATAGCAGGAAGTGAGGCTAGCTATATGAGACTTATCCAGAGGGATAGTAGGCATCTTCCTCAGAGGCCATGTAATCTGTTGAATCTGCATTGTGTGCAGTCAAATAATCTGTTGTTCCCAGTCTAGATTTGGGTCACAGCAGGAATAGCCCACCTCCAGGAGAGACAGGCTGAGAGTTGGCATGGGCATTTTCATGTAGAGATAGCAGTAGGAAACTTCTTCCATGTGATTGCCCCTTTGGGCTCCTTGGAGTCTTTAATTACTATTTTTATTTTTATCGTGGCTTGTTGACCGCTTTCTCCTAGCAGTAAGAATTACTGGCCTAGCTGCTGCTGCTGGACAAAGAACAGGCACTGAGAACTGCTGGAAACAAAGGCAAAGTTGACTGACCTCCCCTCCCTTATGCTCAAGGAGGGCAGTGACTAAGTGTGTGAGAGTGAGGCTGTAACTGTAACTCAGACCCCAGAGAGTTGCACCATCTGTGTTGCCTTTTCCTGTGCATTGTATGTGATCATGGAACCTGGGTGCCAATTTTTTTGGCTCTTTTGAATGATGACTGTAGAACACCAGTTTAAGCAAACATGTTCACTTGCATTTTGTCTTCTTCTGCATTATCTCAAATGACATAGTCTGTACTTGGACTGTTGGCATGTGAGAAAGTAAATAAGGGACTGTCAAGGTGAAGAAAGAGATACGTTGTGCTTCTTGAGTGCAGGGGTATTTCATAGACACACGTGGAAATGTGCAAGCTCCACCTTCAGCCATAAGGACTAGAAACCTGGCCTCAAAAAATCTCCAGCATTCTGCATATTGTAGAATTGGCATGGGGAGCCTCTGGCATTCCCAATGCTCTTGGTCTGCAACTCCCATCACCCTTGGCTGGGGCTGATGGGAGTCATACTCTAGCGGTGCTTGGAGGGCTGGAGGTTCCCCACCCTTGTTGCAGAGGCACTGAAGTCAACAGTCTTGGCTGGATTCTTTTTCTACCTCAGTAAAGGGAGGGAGGCCAACCTCAGAAGTAACTGGATGCTTCAATGTCAGGTTTTTATGATCTACTACTTCTTTCCTTTTCTATTTTGCAAAGGCCTAACCTCGAACCTGTAGAGCGCAGCTATGACCGAAGCATCTCTAGGAAACGGCAAAGGGAACCTTCCCCCAAAGAGGATGAAGAGGTTGACCAGGACTACACAGAGGCGTACCAGCCTTCCTGCAGCCAGTCGTACGAGCCAGACAATGGGGCAAAAAAGCCCAAGAGATATTATGAGCCCGAAAAAGCCCATGAGACGTTGAGCTATGGTGTTCCAGAGGACAGGACGTGGGGCAGAGAGTCCCCGGTTCTCTCCTCTGACCAGGAATGCTCTGACTATGGACATGCGGCCTCACCCGAGCCTAGTGATAGCCCTCAGGACCTGTACATGGACCTCTGTAGAGCTGAGGACCAGGAAAGGGAGCAGAAGTCCCTTAATCGGAAGTCCAATAAGGGCCATGGCTTTCAGGACAGGCAAGAGGGAAGCCAGAGTAGGAGCTTCAGTGACTCCCAGGAGAAAGCCGGCTTGGGTCGGAGCAAAGAGCACAAGTCTTCTCACAAGGAGAAGCTGCGGCTGGAGGCCAAGGGGGAGGAGAAAGGGCCTGCTTTTAGCCCGGAGAGGCTGCTAAAGGCTTCCTCCAAAGAGCCCCTGCGAGACTCTTCTATGGTGGGGGGCAGCAAGGAGAGGCTGAAGGCCTTGGATGGCACCAAGCGAGAGAAGAAGAGGGAAGGCAGCAGCAGTAGCAAGAAGGAGAAGCCACACGTGGACTTGGAGGAAACGCTGGACAACCACTTGAGGAAGCAAAAGCACCAGGACTCTGAGAGAGTCAAGCCAGAGAAGGTGAAGCTGGGCAGCCTGGAGGCCTTGCCTGGAGATCGGGAGAAGCGCAAGCCGGAGGGCGATCCCCCCAAGAGCAAGGAGAAGAAGGCTTCGGGCAGCTCCAAGAACTTGGAGGGCAAAGCCAGGGCCTCCGAGTCAAACAAGAGACCAGCCAACTTCTCTCCTCCAAACGATGGGGAGGGAGACGCAGAGGATGAGTACGAGAAGCCGAAGATGTCCTTTGAGTCCTACCTGAGTTATGACCAGCCGCAGAAGAAGAAGAAGAAGAATGTGGTGAAGCCCACAGCTCCCGTCCCGGAAAAAGACAAAGGGCACGGCAAGCAGAACGGTTCCAAGTCCAGCACCAAGAGCTCTGACACGAGCAGGAAGACACACAAGCAGGCCAGCGAGAAGAAGCAGTCGGGGGCTTCCAAAGCGAAAAAGGTGAGTGCGATGTTTTGGGGGTACATTGCACCTTCTCCCCTTGAGGGATCACTTGCTCATAAGTGCCTTTTACAATAAGGAAAGGGGAGATGGCAGGCAGAGAGCATCCAGAAAGGCAGCAAAGAGGTGGATCTGCCTCATGGCATGGCAGCTCTGGAGGAAGTTCTCTGGGATGCAAGGGACCTGGAGTAGCATTCTAGGGTGCTGCTGTTCATTTCAACGAGACTTGTGCAGAGACAGTCTCCCAAGGGATTACATACACCCTGACCTTCTTAATGAGGAGAAGAGGGAAGACCATTTATCTTGGGGTGGTTCTGCATGTGCTCCATCTGTTTGTGAAATATGGTCTCTCTTATCTTTGTGGTCTAGCGCCTTCTGGGCAGCCCAGGACCTCCATACATACTGCCCAGGCTTGCACCCCAGAGAGGTCACCGGTGCTGCAAATGCAGCAAAAACAATGTGGGAGGAAGCAGTGCAGTGCAATTACATCTCGAACATTTGCACACTTATCAGAGGCTGTACTTTACTTTATTCTTGATGTTTTACTAAAAGGTGTAGCTCACCTTTTTATTTCTATTTAGCTGTGGGAGCGGCCTCAGCTCAGTGGCAGAGTTTCTGCCTTGAACCCAGAAGGTCCCAGATTCAATTCTCAGCACCTCTAAGTAGGGCAGAGAAGGACTCTTGCCTGGGACCTTGGATAGTTGCTGCCAGTCAGTGTAGACAATGCCAAGCTAGATAGGCCCATGGTCATTGGTCTGACTCAGTATAAAGCAGCTCCCTAAGTTCCCTATGTCTTCTTGGTGACTCCAGCCTCTGATAAACTTACTAAAAAGCAGCTGTTGGAGATTTGATTTCTCCTTTGCAGCATAATTGCAAGTGGTGCAGGGCTTGTGACACCTCTGCTCCTCAATGCCTCAGGGCATCTTGCTCTCTGTTTTGCTCCTGTGAGTTCTGAACTCCCCAGATTCTGAATTAATGAGAAAGAACTCCTCTCTGCTTGGTACCTGATCTAGCTTCAGCACACTGAGGGGCAAGCTAGCTTTAGTAAATCAGAAGGAGGATAGAACTTCTTCATGGAACAGTTCTATAAGAATAAGGAAGACTATCCATGGAATTGGGATCTGCCTTGTCTTCATCCCAGACTTATTCACATGTAATGATGATCCATGGTTAGTGGATAATTGCATGTATGGGGAAGCTTTGGCCCTCCAGATGTTGCTGAATTACAATTCTCAGCAGCCCCAGCAAACATAGCCAATGGCAAGGATGATGAGAGTTGTGGTCCAACAACATCTGGAAGGCCACAGATTCCCCGGCCCGGCCTGCACAGTGCCACCTCCCTCACCCTGAAAATGGCTCATCAACATTGTGTAAAGCTTGCTTAACTTCTGTATTCTTGGGGCCACTATATTCTTCAGGCACTAATCCACAGAGACCAGAGCAAGCCAGCCTGTTGGGCAATGAAATAAAATTGACACTGCCTAACGGTGACAGGTTCAGGTGTATGGAGTGCATGAACTGGCATGGCATGAGGTCATGGGGGCTGGGCAGAGCGCTGCCAAATAAAAATGCCTCCCGTGAGATCCCCTTGAGTGGCAGCACTGGCAGGGAAATACATGTCTGGGTAGGACTTGCTGTATCTTTCCTTTGAAGAAAATTTCAAACAACATTTTACTGAACTTTTATTTTAAAATGCATGCTGCACTGATGCCAATCTCTGTTGCTGGTTTTATTCCGTGTTAGATTTTCTTTTCATACTGTATTTTATGTTTATAATTTTTACTTGTAAACCACCCAGAGGACTGTAGTCATTAGCTGGTATATAAATATTGGAAATAAACAAGCAACTCCCTTTGACCTCAACTTGAACTGAAAAGAAGACTAAGTGCATGTGATTGTATTTGCTCTCATTTCTAGTGGCGGAAGGGAGGTGATCATAGGTCACTGGTAGTGAATGTGCTTTGCATGCTGGGAATCCCTGGTTCAGTTCCTGGCATCTCCAGTTTAATGGATCGAGTAGTAGGTGATGTAAAGAAAAATACCCCTTATGTCTGAGACTCTGAAGAGCTGCTGATAGGTTAGTATAGACCAAGGGTGGGGAGCCCCAGGGCCAAATCTGGCCGTGGAACCCTCCCTCAGGCCCCAGGCCACACCCTTTACAGGCTGCTGCCAGTCAGTGTAGACAATACTGAGCTAAATGGACCAGTGGTCTGATTCAGTATGGTTGCTTCTATTTGGAGGGCAGAGAGAACTGCCTTTAGGCAACCAGGCAGACAAGTGTTTGCACTCTCCCCACTCCTGCCCACCAGCCGTCTTCCTTCAGGACAACTATTGGCCACAAATGACTATGTGTGAGAAGAAAGGCTAGTAAATATTATAGCGGATTAGCAACACTTTCATGAACTTTATTTTGCAGAGCTGCCTTAACTTAAACACTTTATTTTCTCCTCTATTCCAGATGATCATTGACGTGGTGCCAACGCTTCCTGACATCCCCTTGCCCCCAATCCAGGCCAACTACCGCCCTCTTCCTACAATTGAATCGATGCCCCTTCCCCAGCCAAAAAGGAAAGGTAACTTCTGAGCTAAGAACAGGATGGAATCTGCTTGAGAAAATCCTTTCTAAGACTAGTGGGACAGCTCCATTCTTTTAAAACCATCAACAGCGAAACCCCTATTAGAATGTAAAAAGCAGGTGCTGAAAATACCCAATACAGAGATTATTGGAGGAATCTTACCTCCCAAAGGCTCTTGGAATAGAAATGCCCCATAGCTCTTCCCCCAAGGCCTCTAAAGAGCTCAGCATGCAGTCCTCCTGGGGAAGGAGGTTTCACACCTGGGTGCCACTGCTGGAAAGGCACTGCCCTGAGTCACTCTCAAAGGGTGTAGAGAACGGTGTCATGTGAAGATCTTAATGTACAGCAGAGGTGGAGAATGTGTGGCACTCCAGATATTGGATTCCCAGCTCCCATAAACCTTGAACGTGGGCCATGCTGGCTGGGGGTGATGAAGGTTGAGGTCTCACAGCATCTGGAGTGCCACACGTTCCCTACCCTTGATATATTAAGGAAAGGTGCACTCAAGTACCTTGGACCTTAGCCCTCCAATATGCCTGCTGGATTGAGAAATAGACGGACTCAAAATTTAAGTAATCAGGATCTTGTGGAAAAGGTATGCCCCTCTGAACATGCTTGGAGATCAATTCTTGACCTCTGTTTGGCTTTGAAATGCAGGCATGGATTTCACTTCATTGATCCGTGATTCGGTTCATGCGAGGCTTATTTCCACTTCTGTCAATATTTTGCCGTGCAGCATGCTCCTTGTTTTCTGTGTTGCTTTTGGATGCCTGGTATAGAGAACCATCATTCAAAAGCTCTTTGCTTCTCAGTCATGTTAGTCATTATGATATTAGTGGAAGAAGGGCTGGAGCTCGGTGGTAGAGAATCTGCTTTGCATGCAGAAGGTTCTAGATTCAATCTGTGGCATCTTCAGGTAGGGCTTGGAAAAGGCTCTTGTCTGAAATGCCGGAGAGCCACTGCCAGTCTAGCACTAAGCTAGATCGGCCAGTGGTTTGTCTAGGTATGAGGCAGCTTTGTATGTTCTTAATACCAACCCCCTGAAATGCAGTCTACTGACATCTAGAACACCACTGGTTTCCCATCCCTGTAATAAATCATGGTGATTGCTATGTGGAATCTCCCAGGTTCACCAGCACACCTGAGTTCCTGATTCAGGAGTTGTCAGCTTCCCAGTTGTCAGCTTCCCAACTTTTGGGCCCAGGGCTAGAGAAGGAGTGGTATCTAAGGCGGATCATTGACCTGCTGCAATGAGACAGCAGGTCTTCTTGGGAAGGACTCAGCAAGCCGTCTGAGCTTTGCGTTGTATTTACCTAATCTCTGTACTGGATCCTGAGAACTGACAGTGACTTGTTTCTCTGCTTTTATCTCATTTTCCTCCTGTCCCTCAGTACTGTCCTCACCCACAGAGGAAGACGAGGCTGGCTTCACAGGACGCAGGCTGAATTCCAAGATGCAGGTGTACTCAGGCTCAAAGACTGCCTACCTCCCAAAGATGATGTCTCTGTATGAGCAGTGCATCAGGGTACTCAGCAATAATATTGACTGTGAGTATTTGCCACCTGGGCTCCTTTAACATAAAGGGGTGGGTTTTGCAGGGAGGAGTTTGGGGCCTCTGGATGGCTGAGGAAAACTGCCATTTCTGGTTCCCCATGTTGACTGAGTATTTCTAGTGGTGGAGGGGATGGCTGCTTAGGCCTTCTCCACAGCTCCTCACCCTTGACTTCCTTCTGCCCCACCTTAATGCAACCATGTTTATTTCCTGGCTCAAATGCTGGAGACCCTCTGTCGGGGTAGGCAATATATACAGCATATATATTTCATTTATTTATCCCAGCTTTCCTGTAAGGAGCTCAATGTAGTGTGCATGGCAACTCCCCCCCCTTTATCCTCACAACAACCTTGTGAGGCAGGTTAGGATGAGAGTAAGTGACTGGCCTGAGGTCACCCAGTGAGCTTCATGGACAAGTGGGGATATAAACCCTGGTCTCCCAGATCTGTTCTGACTCAAACTAAAGCAGTTTCCTGTGCTCCTATTGGCTTGCAGTAGCAGCCACTCTAAGTTGTGAATGCCAGGCATATGTGTCTTTCACTAGAGATATGCAAGGCTACAGGAACGTCCTTATTTGTATTCATAGAGTCATGACCAACAGCAACTTTCACTTTATTTATTGGAAGTTCTCTCTGCCTGTTGCTCTGGCTCCCCCCCCCCCCGCCTCTAATTCAAGATCCTCCTGCTCATTCAGCGATGGGGAACTTGTGGTCCTTCAGATGTTGATGGACTACAATTCCCATCATCCTTGATGCTAGTTGGGAATTGGAGTTGATGACAACACCTGGAGGCCGGTTGGTTCCCCATCCCTGTGCTAAATAGTGGTTTGAAATAGAAGTAGGACGTCTCTCCATGACCTTTTTTTGTTCACTTTCTTCCTTATCCTCCTGCTTTGCCTTCCTCAAACCTTCCTTATATGGTCTATCAAAGCCCCACTGGGAGAATATTCACACCCCACTCTCCTGGTAAACACTCCTGATGTGTGTGCCCCTCTACGCCAGTTTCAAGCACCCCTTTCTACATATTTGTCCGTTGCCACCAATGGGCTCTGTGACTGGTTAAGTACAAAGCAGTCTAGGTCTTGCTTCTGCTTACTGCCCCCTCCCCAGCTGGGTAATGGCCTGCAGGGAACATTTGTTATGATCTATTTCTGCCTTTAGGGACGCGGGTGGCGCTGTGGGTAAAAGCCTCAGCGCCTAGGGCTTGCCGATCGAAAGGTCGGCGGTTCGAATCCCCGCGGCGGGGTGCGCTCCCGTTGCTCGGTCCCAGCGCCTGCCAACCTAGCAGTTCGAAAGCACCCCCGGGTGCAAGTAGATAAATAGGGACCGCTTACTAGCGGGAAGGTAAACGGCGTTTCCGTGTGCGGCTCTGGCTCGCCAGAGCAGCGATGTCACGCTGGCCACGTGACCCAGAAGTGTCTCCGGACAGCGCTGGCCCCCGGCCTCTTGAGTGAGATGGGCGCACAACCCTAGAGTCTGTCAAGACTGGCCCGTACGGGCAGGGGTACCTTTACCTTTATTTCTGCCTTTGCCAGCCCTTCAGATGTTTTGGAATACAGCTCCCAGCCAGCACAATAGCTGTGGCATTCTGACACCTCCCTGAGTTTCAGAAGGTGCTACAGTGGCCTGTGCTCTACAGCGAGTCAAATCAGTTGGGTCGTTGACTGCTCTTGGGCGCGTTTTCATAGATCTGATGGGTCGCCTTCTCTCTTACAGCAATCTATGAAGTAGGCGGTGTCCCTTTCTCTGTGCTGGAGCCTGTCTTGGAGAGATGCACCCCGGAGCAACTGTACCGCATTGAAGGACTGCAATCACGTGAGTGTTATGAGATGGCGTGGGAGAGTCGGGGGCAAGAAGTGTTTGCATCTGTTGCTGCTGCTGTTCCATCACCGGCTGCGATTAGTGTGTGTTAGTGGAGGCTGGTCCATTAGGGGAAGTGTCACGCTGCCCCATCAGCCTCTGCCTGCCCCCATCCAGCCCCCATTTGCTTATCTTCCTACTTGCAACCAGTCTAGGGTAGCACTAGCTGTCGGCTTCCTTCTCCGTAGCCTCAGTGTTGCCCTTATAGAGCTCAGCAGGGAGGGAGATGGAGACAAAACAAGAATCACTTGGCTCTGGCTTCACCTACTGTTGTTCTCCCTGCCTTCTGCCCTATTGGTCCCAATGGGCACTAGCTTCCACTTCCTTATTCAGCCGTGCCCCCAGCTGCCAGTGCTTTACTGCCTTCTGCAGTAATGAAAGGCAGCCCCATTTACTTACATTGGGGGCACAAAAGGGTGACTTGAACCTGCCCCTGGTTATCCCATGCATTAGGAAATGCTCCTTCCTCTCTGTGTAGTTTTGCACCCTGGATTCTGTTTCCTGGGATCTGCAACGAATTTTTGCAGCACAGAATGTTCCTGTTCAGGTGCCAGCCAGTAAGTCATGTCCATCTGTAGGATATTCCTTTCTCCTTCAGCCAAACTTGCAGAGTCAGCATTCCATGCCACAGAGCATGCTCAATTCTCACTGGTCATTTTTATGAGGGGGTTCCATCCCTCCCCACCAATATTAGTATATACTAATATTAGTATGATGAGTTCTTCCATTTATCTGGGTCTTTCTTCCAGTGAGCTCAGGCCAATGTAAGTGGCTCACTTCTCTCCCCCCAACCATTTTGACCTCACAACAATCCAGTGAGGTAGGTTAGACTGATGATCACTCAGTGAGGGATTTAAACCCAGGTCTTCCCAGTCCCCCTCTGACACTCCCCAGCCTTCCCCAACCTGCTGTACTCCAAAAGACTTGGACTTCCAACTCCATCAGTTCCAGCCAGCACAGCTAATGGTCAGGGATTTGTGGAGTTTTAGTCTGGTAACATGTGGGTTACCAGGTTGAAGAAGGCTGCTCACAGCGTTCTTTGCATGGGTTCCCAGCCACCCTCTCAGGAAAGGCAGCCTTGGAGCTGAGAAGGGAGAGCAAATCCTTTCCCATGGGGTAAGGGGGAGAGGAAGTCGGGTCTCCCTCCTTTAGTATCGACGTGCTCCATGGGCAAGATTGATAGGGCAGCTGTTGTATCTTATCTATAAAATGCTTACTCATCTGAAGCTCCCACAGGAAAGCTGACAAAACAAAAACTCTCTTAATTGCAGTTAGCCACAGTCTTGTCTGCTGCTTTTCCAACATGCAAAAATAGTTTGGTTTAAAAGAGTTTAAAAAGGCATAACTAAGTTTAAAACTAAATTTAAAGGCTTAAAAAACTACTGAGCTATAAATCTAGCTGCCGTTCCTGTCCTCAACTGGAGCCAGAAGGCTGCTCTTAATCATTATGTTGTGTTTGCTCAACATTGGACAAAGTGGTGTCCTAGTTGGACAGGATGCAACTGATTTCACCCGTATGAAAATTATCTGACTTACTCCAAAGACACACCTTTCCTTGCTTCACCAACCTTACTAAGGGTGTAAATCATTAACTACTTAACGTTTATGTCCAGTATTGAATACAATGAGCCTGACTGCTTTTCAGGAAAAGGGTCAGTTGAACTACATCTGTGTTGAATAGTAACATTTTAGTTCAGAACTCATAGCTTTAAAGTTGGGGGACGCTGGCCAGCATTTCTGGCACCAAGATCAAATTCTGATGTGAAACTTGAAGTTCTAGCTGTTTAGGCTTCCTAATTCAGATTTTGAATTACAAAATCAATCAGCCTCTTGGGTTTTTTTCTTTGTTGATGGCTTAAAAAAAAAAAGGCAGCACAGATTTATCAGCGTGCATGTGTGTTTCCTTCTTAAGGCAGCAAGCACTTTGTTCAACGTCATACCAGTTGTGTTTTGATGAGAAACCTTAATACAGCTTTCCCCAATCTGGTGCCCTCCAGAAGTTTTGGAGTGCCACTACCATCATCCCTGACTGCTTGCAGTGCTGGATGGGGCTGGTAGAAATTGCAACCCAAAGCATCAGGAAGGCATTAGTTTGGGGTGGGCTGCTTTCATAGTACTTGTGGATTTTGCTACCTTCCCACAAGGCAGAATCTCTTAGAGCTCAGCTGGATTAGGGTTCCCTAGACTGCGATGGAGCGGATGCTGCGTTTTTCATTGAGAGTCGTGCTCAGTAGAGGCAATTAGGTCTTGGTTAGAGCAGCGCAGGTTGGTCAGCAGCTGTTGCTGCTCTAAATGAGCCTCGGGGGTATAAACAGAGGTGAAAAAAGAGAGAGGTGTCACATGTTTTTGGAGAGCGAAAAAAACACACTCAAGAGCCCTTCAATTTATGCTCCGAGGGGGAATGAAATGCAGCCTCCCCAGACAACCAGGAGGCAGGTGGTACAAGTGGTCTCTCAAGAGCAGTGCAGAGAGCTCTGCCTTTAAGAAGCCTGCCTTTAGAAAAGCAGTTCCAAGTGGATGTGTAGAGAATTAATTTAATCCCCCGCGGTGTTTGTCCAATGTTTTGCCTTCTGTCTTTCCCATTTGCTGGGCTCAAGCCTTTTCTCCGCTCATGGCTTGCAGGTTTTAATCGAGGACACAGATCAGTTGTGGCACAATCACTGCCTTCGCGACTTCAAGAAGGAGAAGCCAGAGGAGTTCGAGTCGTGGCGGGAGATGTACTTGCGCCTGCACGATGCCCGTGAGCAGCGGCTGCTGATGTTGACCAAAAACATCCAGTCGGCTCATGCCAATAAACCCAAAGGTAGAATGTGAAGGCCAGGGATTTGAGGGGGAAATGCTAGCCATTTGCTTATGAAACTGAAAGGAAGTGTGGATGAGAACGGCCAACTTTCTTAAAAATAATAATAATAGTCCTGCTCTTTTGACTTCAGCAGTAGCCTAGGTGGACAGAAATTTAGCATCAAGCCTGGAAACAATGAGAAGGAAAATCTGCTTTATTTACTTTCATTTGTAAATAGTTCCCTGTGAAACATATTTAAATGATTTAGCAATTTTAAAAAGTCAACTAGTAAAACCTATATAAAATCATTTCATAGATAAAAAAAATATGATTTAAACAATTTCATATATAAACACAATTTTGAATCCAGTACAGGTACACACTGGGGTAAAAATCTCCACATAAAAGGTTTGTTTAAAAAGGAAAGTATTCAGTATGTGCTGAAAAGAGAGCCAGCACCAGTCTGATGTGTAATGTAGGGTTGCTATATTTCAAAAAGTGAAAATCCAGGCACAGATTTTTTTACAAAATATCAAAAAATAATGAAGTTTTGAGCTATTTTTAAGGAAATTTGCCAAAACCTACACTTCCGACATGGGTTGTCATATGTCCACATTTTCCAGGACATTTAAGCGATTTCTGCCTAGGCACTGTTTACGAGGAAATTCCAGACGTATGGCAGCCCTAATGGGATCTTCACTTATATAACTTCCTTGTGCCTTTGTTAAAGGCATAAGAACAAGGACAAACAAGATATGACCATTTTAGAAGTATTTTTGCGTCTTGAGTCAGAGCTCCTTCAGAGGCATTGCTGTCCATGATAACATGAGTTATCTGAAGGCTTTGGCTCCATTCTAGGAAATGAGAATCTGTCCTGTAGCCCTTTCATAGGTGACTCTCCAAGGTTATTAACTAAAGGTGAAGTGCTCTGGCTCTCTCTTGTATCTTTTTAAAACCAAGAAGCTTCTAATGGAATGGAGTGAAATATTATTGCCTGCTTACATCTACAAATCAAGGAATGACTACAATAGCCAGCAGAAATGTTGGCAGCACTACCTTGTTCTACAGAGTAGGGTTGCTGCACTCCGTCTGGGATTGGGGCCCCTGTTCCTTTAATCCAGGGGTCTGCAACCTGTGGCCCATGGGGGTCGTTTAACCGGCCCATGAGCCGCCCCCGAACCGAGCTGCTTGCTCGGCGAGTCCCCACGCGCTGCACTAAACCAGCACAGCACGGCGCAGGGGCTTGCTTCCATGGCGCTGGAAATCACGTCTGCAGACGCAGATGCTGGAACTCGCGAGTGTGCGCGCTCATGTGATCCAGCCCACAGACGGATCTCCACTGGAGTGAATCGGCCCAGGCAAGGTAAACCTTGCCGACCCCTGCTTTAATCTGCCTTCTTTGGAAGGCCGATTTCCAAAGAAATAACTTTTTCCTATCTCCAGTGTTTTAGTGATTGGGGGGAGGAAACTTTGACTGCTGAATATTTCCCAGAGTTGGTTCTTTTAAAGAGGCCGTAGCCATGTCCTAGATGTTAGGTGCCCTCTGTCCTAAAAGACTGTGAATCTAATCATGTATGCTTGAGTTGCTCTTGGTAGTTAGCAGTGAGATGGTTGGATGTGTATTGCATGTTGTCAGAGGGAAGATGCTATCACTGGGATCATTCTGGAATTTCATGCAGGAAAAGGTGCAGCAGGAGGAAGCTTTCATCAGAGAGGATGCAAGCTATCTGCTTGATGTTGGGAGAAAGCCTTCCCCTGCTCCATGAACGGCTTGAGGCCATGAGCAAGGAGAGGGGGGTGGATATATGGGGTTTCCTTGCAAAGCGCTTTTTGTTTAACCCAATCCTTCTCCATTTGCTCGCCCTTTTAGGCAGAGTAGCCAAGATGGCTTTCGTCAATTCAGTGGCCAAGCCGCCCCGGGATGTGCTGAGACGGCAAGCAAAATTTGGGACTGGAGGAGCTGCAGTCCCAGAGAAAATCAAGTGAGTCTGAAACCACATAGTCACTCTTTTTTGTAATATTGAGGAGGAGAGGACCTGGGGGTGTTAATTTGGTGATCTAATCTGATTCCCAATTTGCACTTTATCAACCAGTGGGTTTCTGGCAGCTCACTTTGACACATTCCAGCATTTCCCCTATACAGTCCAATAAAGTTACAATTCCACATTCGCTGAGATGCCGTTGTGGTTCTCCTTAGCATCTTACTGGGTATGGCGTTGTCTTTTAACCGTATTCTGGGTTCTGATTGCCAAAGAATTGCAAGTGGGAAGTGTTGCTGTTGCCCTCAGGTCCTGTTTTAGGGCTTTGGGTTGGCCACTGTGCAAACAGAATGCTGGGCAAGATGACTGCTACTCCCGGATCCAGCAGGGATTCAGGAAAAGTTCCAAGCAGCTTACAAGATGCGTACATTTCATTCCTCTCCTCCATTTTGGCCCATTGTGGCTGTTCTGGTGTTTGCAGAAGCTGATGATTCCTTGAACCTAGCAGGGCCCAGACTAACAAGAGACAATTTGTAGGGAGAGGGAGCAAGCGTCCGTGAGGCTGAAGTGTACAGTTCTGATTGTTTTTTTGTCTAGCAGTTGCTTTCACATAGCAAGTACAGTGGTGCCTCGCAAGACCAAATTAATTCATTCCGCGAGTTTTTTCGTCTAGCGAATTTTTCGTCTTGCGAAGCACGGTTTCCCATAGGAATGCATTGAAAATCAATTAATGTGTTCCTATGGTCAAAAAAAAGTCCAAACAAAGCCAAATTTGGTACAACAAGAGTTTATTAAGTGCTTTTTAAAGTCACACATACTGTAAAGAGCATTTCAAAATTCAAACCCAGAATTTTTTAAAAAAACAGCAGAGTGGCCCAATGGTCACAGAAAATCATAAAAATGCAGAAAAACACACACAAGCTTCCAGAATCCTGCAAACCCCTCCCCAACTGTTCCCCCAGCCACCCACCACACAGAAATTCAAACCCAGAATTTTTTTTAAAAAAAACAGCAGAGTGGCCCAATGGTCACAGAAAATCATAAAAATGCAGGGAAAAAAAACAAGCTTCCAGATTCTTGCAAACCCCTCCCCAACTGTTCCCCCAGCCACCCACCACAGAAATTCAAACCCAGAATTTTTTTCGTCTTGCAAAGCAAGCCCATAGGGAAATTCGTCTTGTGAAGCAGCTCAAAAACGGAAAACCCTTTCGTCTAGCGGGTTTTTCGTCTTGCGAGGCATTCGTCTTGCGGGGCACCACTGTATGATGGCTGGGGCTGAAAGGAGTTGTGTTACAAAACATCTGGAGGGTACTAGGTTGGAGAAGATTGCTCAAGATGGTTCAGATTTAGCAATGGTGCTATAATATCTTCTCTTCCATTCATTGTTAGTCTGGTGTTTTAATCCTTGCAACCTCCCTGTGAGGGATGTTAGGCTGAGAAAAAGAGAGCTTCCACTCTCCCTGGTTCTAAATTGACACCCTCTCGTCTACATTCTGCCAGCTTAAACTCAGAGTGATTGAAATTGCCTCACTTATTCCAGTGGCAGTGTGATTTCTTGGGTGCACACAGAGCAATCTTGTGTCTTTTCTCTCTGTCTAGGATCAAACCAGTGTACTTCACGCCAGCTAAAAGCAGCACTGTTCACACAGAAGAGGAACAGTCCTACGATGGACCCAGCACTAGCAGCGGCCACTCGGGGCCATCCCTGGGCAGTGCCTCCTCTGCTGGCTATGACTCCAGGAAGCCTCCTGTGAAGAGTAAGTAAGGCCAATGTGGGAATGCAGCTTTCTCTAGGGGTTATGCTATGCTTGAACTCATAGCTGTTGGTATACATTGTAATACAGCCTGGGAACAATGCTGGAGCTGTAGGGCATCTTGATTTAAAGGGCTAGAATCATCATTTTGGGGCAGCTGTATTCCACAGGCACTAACTGGAATGCGATCAAGCACATTCTTGCACGAGATGGTCTCAACTTTCCTTTTCTCTCTGTCTTTATTGTGTTGTTTCAGAGATTGCACCTATGATGGCGAAGACGATTAAAGAGTTCAAAAACCGATTTTCTCGGAGATAAAGACACCCATGCCTGAGCGAGAAGGGAATTATTCTCCTCCTCTTTTGATGGAAGCAGTGCTTAATGGGAAAACAGGGAGGGGTTGGGGTGGCTAAGAATCCCCCCAAGCCCAATTTTAAGACCAACAGCACAGTATTGTTCAAAGCAGCCCTCCAGTTCCTTCCTCGGCTCCTACAACCTGGTCTGTTCACCCAGCGTTTTTTAAAATGTGAAGTCTTGGCACTTGCTGAGATAAGAAGGTCCACAAACTGTTGCTCTTCCTTCAGTCTCTTTCTCTGAACTCCAGAATGGAAAGGAATACCTTCTTCCTCTATCTACAGTGTTCTTTTCTCAGTCCCAATATGTATGGATCTTGATCTCTCCTAGCATCCAGTTTGGAGAGTTCTTTTTTGCTGGTACTGTTACGAACAAAGGCCTTTACTTGTGACTGTGGCAGCCACTGCTGCTTCTCAAACCCCATTTGGAATCCCAGAGCCCTAGATCCACCCCATGGTTTTGCCAGCCCTCTATCAAATCATCCCTGGTGCAGCACATTCTTATCCCCTCAATTCTTAAATCCCCATTTTCCCTTTTATCCCTAAAACTCTCATGCCAGATATGTGTTGATTAGGCCTTTCTACATATGGACACAAAACTGTCCCTGCCCCCTGCCATTTCTCCCTTCTCTTCATTTGGCAAAAAACACATGATAAAGCTCTTCCACTTCTTCCTCTTCCTTTTAAACTCATAGGAAAAACAGCACAGGATCTGAGAGGAGGAGCCTCAGGAGGGGAGAGAAAATGGCAGGTTGCAGAAATCTAAATTTAAAGCAGTCTGATGAATTGGAGACTGATCTCTGCTTTTGAAAGCCAAATTTATTTTAAAAAGTGAATAGTGATGTTTAAGGTTTTGTGTCCCTGCTCCTAACACCTCTCTTGGTGGGTTTGGGGGTGTTGTTGTTGTTCTAATACCCACTTCCAGTTTTTGGTCAGACTGTTTTCTGACTTTTTAAAAAAATGATGACAACAACTGGCACTTTAATCAGTTCCCTGCAAGGAACTTTGGGAGAGATGCATGGAGTAGCTTTACAGCCTGTCTTCATTTTCACATTGAGCTTCTAGATGGGAAGATGATGAAACTTCTTTCGCCCAAGAATCTTGGACGGCACCTAATCTTAGAAGGAGCTCCAGGGCAAAAGATGCAGGTGTTTTGTCTACCTTGAAGCGGCAGCTTGTGCAACTGAGTAGAATCTGGACCTGCATTTTCCCCATGCAAGAGGCCAAGGGAGAAAATCCACTGGGAGTTACATCTTTCTTGTCTGTCTGAGGAGTTTGAGGCAGCTGTACTTTTGGGGGCCTGCTTTTTCAGCAGCTGAAGGGAGCACAGGCTTTAACTATTATTTATGCTGATGGTGATGGGGGTTGTTGGTTGGGCAGGTCTGAATCAGTTTTGGGAGACTTGACGGTGTGTTTTTCTGGTTGCCAAGGCTGCATGAAGTACTGCTAGGGCGTGTATGAAGGAGCCTAGCCCTTTCCTGATCACGTGAAAGTGGAAGATGGGAATCTCTTTCTTCAGTGGTTTTTCAGCCTCGCTCTTGTAAACTCAGGCCTTGCAAAGATGTTCCACAGTTTGACTGACACTCGGTGGTGTTAACCGAATTGCAGCAGCTGAAGAAGCCCTGCTACCTTTACAAAACCCTGCTGCTAATTCCTCAATGCTTGGGGCTCGATGGGACCTATGAAGTGTGTGCCATGCAAGGTTTGAAAACCTTGATGTTCTCTCTCTTCAAGCTGAAAAAAGCACCCCAATGTCCCTCGAAGTTCCAGTTTTATACACGTGCACACATACACACACACATGAAAATTTTAATGATGATGGTGTTCGAAAACGGGACTCTTGGTCTCTCTCATGCTGTTTGGAGCTGATTAAAGTTCCGCGGAAGCTTTAATGACATCGTGTAGCATTTCAAGGTGTGTTGTGATGTAAAAAAAGAAAAGAAAATCATGCTCCTTTTTGCTTTTTGCTGTACTTCATTTTGCTGTATTAATTTAGTTTATTATATAGATAAATCTTCTGCCAACTGTTGTACTTAATGTATTTTCTCCTTGTAATAATTGGGATCGGTGGTGTGGATGGGGGGGGGGAATTGAAGAATTATCAATCACTGAGGAAAGAGCATTTGACCCTGGAAAATAGCCCTTCTGTTAGCCACAAAGAGTAAAGGAAACATGGGTGGTTTCCCTGTTCTTACTAACCAAGGAAGCATCTGAGGAATTGTGTATTTGAAATGGTCAGCTGGCTGTAGTCCCTCCCACCTTGCAGTGTGTGATATCATTAGTCTGCAGCAGCCCTGGTGTAGGAGAAAGCTCCATAGTGTACAGCACACAATAAGTTATGGCAGGGGGGCGGTGACTGTGGCAGCCACTGGACCGGAATGATGTGATATCAGGCTTGCTTGACTGAAAAATGGGCAGTTGGGTGGGCTAGTTCTCAGAGATCAGGGTTTGCCCCTTAATTTCTGGTTGTTGCTATTGCCATCTTGTTGGTAGAGATGAGTGTCTAGATGATACTTGCTGCTGCTATCAGCTATGCCATCGGGTGTATCCCACCACTGAAACTGAGCCATCGAGTATATTCCACCCTTTGTGTCTAATCTGAGACTTCAGCTGTCTTATCAGTATTACGGACTAGTTAGGTGGCATTGTCTGATGAAAGTTGCAGTGCAAATACTGTGACGTCTAGCTCAGTGATACTGGAACAAATTTTCTCAAATAGGAAAAGCGGACCCAATGAAGAATGAACTAGCACATTGTCACACCCCTCTATTTTACAGGTGGGCTTTTTCTCCAGCCAGATGCTAGATCAGTTGGCTTAAAAAGCATTTTTTTAAGCTTTTCAGTGCCTGGGTGATACACAAACAATCTCATGCAGAGTAAAATGACTCCAATTCTGATTCTTCTTTGGGCTTCCCACACATTTTAAAATGGGTACAATTTTCAGAGCTATTCTACATGCAAAGGAATTGAATGAAAGTGCCCTTCCTCCCCTTTCTTCCTTTTTTTTGCATACTACAAGGAAAAGGTAATGCTGAATTGCATTTGTCTTTTGTTTCCCACAGCTGTAAATAACAGTTTTCTATTTTACTTTTTTGTGGTAACTATATGGAGATGAATATTTTAACTAGATAAGTTATATGAAAGGAAGAAAATTGTGTCTCAATAAAAGCCAAACACTGGACATTTGTGTCTGTCTCTTCTGTGTTGTTTGTTGAGGTGTATGCTTTGCTTGCTGGGACTTGGGAGTCCAACAACATGTGGAAGGCCACAGATCACCCATGCTTGCCACAAGGCAATAATTTCCAAACGTGTCCACAGGGCCATTGTAAATGCCATGAAAGTATGGCGGGTGGACTACTAAGAATAAATGAAATAATTCAAGGATTCTGTGAGTTCAAGATCACAACCTGCATATGTGTCTTGAGTGGCATGTGGCAATTCTGTTGTGTCTACATGTAAAGCAGAGCTTTCCAAACGGTGTCCACATTAGTGTGTCGTATGAACACTCTCTGCACTCCTCCCAGAGCTGGAAAGGGATTAATTTAACCTCTGGTTTGCTAGTAAAACTGAATTGCTGTGTTGTGAAATGATGGATGTCTAAAAAGTGTCACCAACATGAAAAGTTTGGAAAGCTCTGGTATAAAGAGTGTGACTTAGTTTCAGGAGACACTGTCTATGACCAAGTAATGGCACATGAATGTCACTTACACCTCAGTTGCTTACTGACACTTGATATTTGTACGTTTAAGACTCATATTGCTGTTGGGGGTTGTAAGATGTTTTGAACTGTTTTTTTATATTGTGTTTTAATGTTGTAACTTGCCCTGGGACCTTGGGATGAAGAGTGCGTAACTAATAACAATAACATTAATGATAAATGCTCTGGTGGTTAGGGCGTGGTGCTGATCATGCCAAGGTCGCAGGTTCGATCCCCACACGGGCTACCATCATATTTCTTCATTGCAAGGGGTTGGACTAGATTAGTTCAGTTCGTGCGGGGACACTCTATACTTTTTCTAGCTCTATTACAAAACGGGCACCGTGTTTCAAGAGATGCGGGAGGAACCAAGGGAGGCCGGCCTCATCTCTCACAGGGCCGGGAGATGCCTTTGAAGGCGGCAGTGCGCATGCTCTGCCGTTGTTGACATCCGGGTTCTTTCCCTCTGCTCAGTGCGTGTGGCTGCGTGTTTGCTGCTATCGCTGCGGGGAACGGGGCGTGCGGGGGGCGTCGCCACGCGCTCGGCCATGTCTCACGGGCACAGTCACGGCGGGGGCAGCTGTTGCCATAGCGGCGACCACGAAGAGCCTCCCGAGCGGCGCGGCCAGGCCTGGGGCCTTTACCTGCGCATCGACCGCGAGCGCCTGGAGTGCCTGAACGAGCGGAGGGAAGGCAGCGGGGCTCTTGTCTTCCGCGCCTGGGAAGACCGCGGGGACCGCCAGAAGGTCTGCCCTCCTTTTTTTGTCTCAACTCGCGGAGGTGTTGTGGGGAGGAGGAGCTTGTGGACGTTTCGGTGCTGCTGAGCTGCAATTCCGACCAGGCCTCGCCATGGGCTGTGCCAGGGAGTTGTAGCTCGACAACACCTGGAGGGCGTTGGTGCAATGCACCAGCACAGGTTGCAATACTAGACCCCGTGTTGCTGAAGTACACTCCTGACATCCCTGCATGGGAGCACCCAGGATTTATTTTTGGGGGAGGGGCAGGCTTTAGGTTAGGGGGTCTGAATCGAGTTGTCTTCGACGCAATTGTTCAGTTAGTTAATATTTATTTATTTATTTATTTATTTACTTGATGGGGGACACCTGCTCCTCCCCCTGGCTGTACCCATGCATCCCTATCATTGGCCATCTGGCTGAGTCTGATGAGAGTTGGAGTCCAGCAACATCTGGAGGGCCACAGGGCTCCCCATACCTGGCGTAGATATCGACCCAGCGAAGGTGCTGGTTACGGGGAGGGGCAGAGGGAGGGTCAAGGGTGTGTGTCAAACGCCCAGGCACTCACCCGCCCATTCATTGTTATTGGATGCATGTGGTAACTGCGCAGAAAGGTATTTTTCCACGTACAAATTATAACTCAGTTATGAAGTGGAAACTTTTAAAAAACCCTAAGCATTTTCCAGAGAGGTAACGGTGTTTATTCTGTTGCCGTAGAAACAAGGCTTATCTATTTAAGATATTTGTAAGCTGCCTCTTAGGTAAGCTATCTGAAGGTGGCTTCTTAACAGTATAAATTGAAAACCGGCATGCTTAGAAAACAAAAACTAGAGTTTTACCCGGAAAACCTATCAGGGAAAGTTGCAGCACTCAGGACTTTGTCGTTAGAGAACAGGCGAGTGTGAGGTGACATGATAGAAATTTATAAAATTATGCATCTCATTCAGGAAGTGGATAGGGGGGGGAACCATTTTCTTCTCTCAAAGCATTAGAACTCATGGACACCGAGTGAAGTTGAATGTTGGAAGATTCAGGACAAATAAAGTACTTTTTCATGCAACACATAGTTAATCTCCAGAACTCGCTCCCACAGGAGGTGGTGATGGCCACCAACTTGGATGGCTTTAAAAGAGGATGGGACAAATTTATGGAGATAAGGCTATCAGTGGCTATTAGCCATGATGGCTATGCTCTGCCTCCATGCTGATGCTTCTGTATACCAGTTTCTGGAAGCTGCAGGAAGGGAGAGTGCTTTTGTTCTCGGGTCCTACTTGTGGGTTTCCCACAGGCATCTGGTTCTCTACTGTGAGAACAGGATGCTGGACTACATGGGTTATGGGCCTGATCCAGTAGCTCTTCTTATGAGGGCTCACAAATTTAATATGGCAAATAAGATTGACGGGAGTCTGCATGCTTACTATGAAAGTTAACTCCATCAATATAAATATAAATTACTTCAGAAGGCATACAATATATTTAGGATGGGAACAGTAATGTGAAGCATGATGCTATTTTCCCATTAGAACTTGAACATATAAGACAAAGTGTTGAGGATGTCCAGTGTACTTTTCAGGTCAGAGAGAGATAAGACAGCCCTACTTTTAGAAGCAAAAACTTACTGGTTTCCAGTACTGTCTGTCAATGTACGTAATACATTGACTGTGAAGGGACAGGTCTTGTTACACCACCTGGTCCAGTCAGTTTGTGTATTGACTGGAAAGGGTCAGAGAGGTGGCTGTGCCATCTGGCACTATTGCTTATGTCTCCTGATAGATTCCCAGTGCACACTATGTTATAGGACTGTTTTATAGGTAGTTAAGTTGTACTTGCCTGTATTGGATTTAAAGTGCAAAGAGGTTTGAAAGAAGACGGACTTAGATTTGTATGTGTTTGCCTAGATGTCCAGAATTCTGTGCCTAGAAAATTACTGCATTCTGCAACTGAGATGAATTAAGGCAAATTATATATTTTCTGTCTGTGCACTTAAAATTCAGGTTTTGAAGTCACATAGAATTATCTGGGCAAGAATGGTATGGGCATAGAGAACAGAGTTAGACTGACAGCAGGTGTAGTCTGTGAGTCACAGTGCATTAGTTCTGGGAGGCATAAGAGATGGCCTCATCCCCAGGCTTCGAAATAGCCACCTGCTTGGGGTGGATCATTATTGCCTCCAGGAAATCCAAGAGGGTGGTCTTGCAGAGTGGAAGCAGATTCCTCCTCAATTTTTCAAATAGAAAATGAATAAGTAGCATAACTTTGTGTAGGTTGCTGAAATGTGCGGGCTGATGTAACATATGTGCATTTATTTGCAAGGCTTTCTTTCAGTTTATGTTGCTACTGCCCGGCTTACATGCATCCAGACTTTTCTTCTTAGCTGTGATGGCTAGGAACTTGTTCTTTAAAAATTACAACTTAAAAGTAGCCTCTGGTGTTCTCAAGGTGCCATGCAGGACAACATTTTTATTCACTGGATATAAATTTCCTTATATTAAATGGAGTTTTATGTTTCTTCTAGTTTGTAGAAAGCGATGATGATGAAGAGCTTTTGTTTAATATTCCGTAAGTACCTATTTTGCATGAGTGCATGATTTATTGACATTCACGTCTCTCCATGTTCAGTGCTGTTTTTTCCTCACTCTTGAAATGTAACTTGAAATGCAGAGCATCTGGTTGGCAGTCAAGCTGTAAGAGGTAATTTTGGAAGATGGCTACTATAATTTTATTTTTGTTTCTACCTGATTTTCAGGAAAGACTGGCTTTCAAAGCAGGTTGCAATTAAAAATCCACAAAAAGAGTGATATGTTAGGGATATGTGAAGTGTTTATGGCACTCTCCAGCAGCTGATGCCATAATAGACATTTCAGAGGGGGGTGCGGAAGGAGCTGTGGGTAGACTGGGTGGCAGTATGACTGGTGGTAAAGATGGCAACCCACAGCAGCAGTCTTTCCAATGTTCTGAAGAGTCATCGGACAATGTTGAAGGTGTGACATTTTTACTGCAAGATTTTAATCATATGAGTACAGATTTTGTTACACTTTAGTACACCACCTAGGAATCTTCTGGATTGTTAAAAAATGCTTTAAATCTACTGTACTTGGAAAACTAGCAATCTGTCTCTTGTTGCAGTTTTACCGGCAATGTGAAACTAAAAGGGATAATTGTGATGGGAGACAATGATGACACACACCCATCAGAAATGAGACTGTAAGTGGGGCTGAAGGCGAAATATTTTGTGGAGGAACTGTTGTGCTGTGCAAATGCCTAATCCTACCAAGACAATAACTGAGTGGTTATTCTTATTTTTTTTTGCTTTAGCTCTTCTATTATTCTAGTCAATACTGGCCACTGTGTAGCTTGCAGTAAACGGTTAAGTTCAGTAAATTTGAAATTGCCCATGCCCAAATTCTGTGCCCGAAGAACTGTCTTTCTTTACTCTCATAACTTCCAGGTCATCATATAGCAGTGACAGCAGAAGCTACAATTGGCAGAATTTGTCAAGATCTGGCTTCTATACTAATACGTGCTCCTCCCTTGCTTTCCTGCCACTGCTGAATGGTCCCTGTGCCCCAGTCCTACGTAGGAGAAAGTAGGAGAGTGCCTCCCATTCTTCAGCTCCTTCTTTCCTCTGGTGTCTGCTTTGTCCCATTTCCTTCTAACCATCTTGCCACTTGGCTAGCCTTCCTTCCACTCCCACCTCACCTTGGTAGTACATAGTGTACTTAATGTTTCCCTCTTCGCACCTTTGTCGCCTCTGAACAAAATACAGGATGCTAGTTCTTAGGTGGAGCCCATAAAAATAGGGCCATACAAATAGAAGCTTATGATATGACCTGTGGTACCCCCTAGAAATCATACATAGATCCCTCACATTCATCAGGAAGAGTGCATGTTTTAACACTCCTGTGTACAACTGTGAAGACTGAAACTGTAGAATCATGAGAGCCGTCTTTAGTGTTGCAGTGGGATATTGTTGCTTTGGCTATGTGCTCTAGGCAAATTGGCATTTGGCTTTGCTGTCATGGCATTTGCAGGTTGGTGCCCTTAGCAGTTGGGTGCAGGAGCTTCGCAAGTAGCTTGCCATTCTGTCATCTGTGGTGGTTTGAGGGCAGAGTCGCAAAGGAACAGGAAGTTGGTGAATTGGGGATGTGGCTGAAGATTCATAAATTGCTAACATTTATTAAATCAGTATTTCCCCTAGGTAGCAATGTTGGTACTACTGATCTACCAGCCCAGTTACTCAGAGATCCATGAGTTGTAGTTCCTTTCTTTTTCAATAGGAGGAGCAGTTTCCTTTTCTAAGCAGTACATTAGGGCTGTACTGTAGTCTTCAACTATTTCAGACCTGGGACTCACCTTCAACTCAATATGCATTTGGGGACGTATCTCTTATTTTTTTTTACTACATACAGGTAACTCACATCTATGCTAATTTTAATTACACTATCATAGCTTTGTGTGGGTTGGTAAGGGAAATGATTAAGTAAATGGAGAGCGGAGGAAACCCACTCTCCATTTATTTATTCCCCCCACCTGTGCAAAGCTGCATTTGTGGGCTTACCATGCTTTGGGTAAGCAGTGCAAGGGCCCTGGAAGCATCCCAGAGCCCTTGCACCTCCTTCCCAGAGCCAGATAAGTGAGGCACTGGGCTTTGGGAATGAGGCATGAGGGCTCTGGCAGGGTCCTAGAGTCCTCCCACCTCCTTCCCAAAGGTGGGCAAGTAGTGCTGGAGCTTGCAGGGGGGCTGACTCTGGGGGTTCATGACTTAATTTATTTTTGTGTATATGCATAGCCCTGATATAAGATGAAAGTTACCTGTACTTTCAGGGTAGTATTTCAGCTGTTGTGACCTACCTTAGATCTGTCTGTGACCCAGCAGTGGATCCCAACCCACCAGTGGAGGACCAGTGGAATGGAGCAGGGTATCCATTGTAGTGCCCTCCAGATGTTGACAAACTACAGTTTCCATCATGCCTGATTTTTGGCCATGCTGGTTGTGGCTAATGGGAGTTGTAGCTCAAAAACATATGCAGCTCCAAAACACAATATTAGGCTGCCTTTGCAATAGATAGACTTAAAGCATGTCAATCAATCAATCTTTATTACCGTCCAGAGACCCAACAAATCATTACAAATACACAGTTCATACTTAGAGCATGTCTTAAGCCAGCCTTCTCCAACCTGGTTCCTTCCTGGTGGTGGTGGGTTACAGATCTTGCCCCCCTGACCTTTGGCCATGGTGCATGGGAATGATGGCCATAGCAGTCCCAAACAGTTGGAGGGCACCAGGATGTGAAAAATAACTTGTTTTTGTCTTCTGATTTTTCCGTTTGTGTGGTGCTCCTAGCAGTTGGGCTATGTTTCGCAGTACAAAGCCAAATTACTACAGTGGTTGGGATATGTAAGCAAACTTTGAATTTGTGCAGGATGACCTTTGCTGTTGTCTTGTATTTATTTCAGCTTTAAGAACATTCCTCACATGTCTTTTGGTGATACTGCCAGAGAACCAGATCAGATGTTCAGCCTGAATCGTGACGTTACTGGAGAACTGGAATATCCTACAAAGTGAGTCATTGCTCAACTCTCACAGGGGATGTGCAGAACTCCCTTGTTTTGAAACTGGAAACAAATATTCAACCTGTGCCTCAACACCATCTCTCTTATAGTTCTCCATGTACCAGATGTCAGGACCTTCTCTTTTGAACTATAATCTGTCGTGTTCTTGAGCATAAGGAGCCATGGCAGTTAAATTGGTTAATATTTCTACTGTGCAGACATGCTTGGTGTAAGAAACGGAACATAAAGAGAAGGGCAACTGTTTTATTTCCAGACTGATTCTTAATTATATTTTATTTTCTGGTATAGCTCACAAACAGCATTTTTGCCACTGCTGTCAAAAATGTGGTATGGTGCTTAATTGCTGCTCCTGAAGCGTATGTGTTGGGTGGGAACTAAGCACCACAGCTGGATACATGCAAATTAATAAAGAAGTCAAAGAAGGGAAGTTAACTTGATACCTAGACTGTAGAGAAGCTTTTTCCTTACCCAGCTTCTTCTTGAGCTTTCTTCTGCAATTGAGGATTAGAGAGTCTTTTGTGACTGGAGAAGACTTGAAATGTAGCAAAAGCTATCCATCATGGGGCTTTGGCCTCCTGTTTGTGTGACACCCATTAACTGTCATCATTTTCTCCCATTTCCTTTTGTGATATTATAATTAGTTATTATTGATGTGATGTTTTGCCATTACAACAGAACAAAGGTGATACGTATTATTTTCTGGAACAAAAAACCACAGGAAATTTAAGGGTGAGGAAAGTTGCAGCCCTGGTTTTGAAGTAATTCAATTTCTGAATTAACTTCCCAAGGTGACATAATCCCCCATGTGCCCCAGAAGAGGAAAGGCAGGAAGAAGAATATAGTAGGTTGGTTGTGTTGCTGAACAGACAAAACTGGAATTTCAGAGAGTTGGAAGCCTTCTAAACGGGGCGGGGGGTACTATGACGCATAAATAGGCACAACGGTCTCTAAATGTGATCGGTAGTGTAGTCACTGAAAAATCCCAACGATCAAGAAGTGAATTGAGTGGCTTTAAGGGGCAGAATCTGATAGAGGAGTATTTCAGTAAGGGATCAGGCATTGGTAGGTCTCTCCCAGAAAAGAAAGATAGCACCAGTGACAAGTGTGCCCTGATTGGTTTGCTGAAACAGCCAAAAATGCTCTAACTGCTGCTGCAATCCAGGAAGTTAAGGTGATCCCTTTCTCCCTTCAGGCTTTGCCAGTTCCTGAGCTTGTGTCTCAGTCTGGAGTTGGTAGAGACAGTGACCCCAAAAAACTGTTTTTCTATCCCTATGTGATTATTACTCCAGAGACCAGAATGCAATCTCTTGCGTGTGTGTAATGAGAATTGTATATTCAGAATACCAAATTTCTTTTTTGTTTCAGAATTGCTCGCTTCTCAAATGTTTATCATCTGTCCATCCACATCTCCAAGAACTTTGGTGCTGAGACAACGAAGATCTTTTACATAGGCCTGAGGGGAGAATGGACAGAAGTAAGGAGCCAAGATGACAAATGGAAAAAGTGTGCAGTTATGAGGAAAGAGGGCCATGCAGAGCTTCTTAAATTTGTATAAATTATCAATAGAGATAGAAAAACAAGACAGTCCTAGCCCACGTGCTTCTAGATCAGTACACAATAAAAAAGGAAAAAGAGATGTGGGGTGGGGGGCAGGGAAGGGAAGGGAAGGGAAGCAAACAAAGATAGATCTTGTGCCAGCAGGAAGGCCACCAAGGATACTGTTACTTATTTATAAAATTTCTATACCGTCCTTCATCACTGGAGAGTTTATAATAGCAGGATACAAGTCAAATTACATACAATTCTGTATGTAATTCTGTCTGGGCAGAGGCTCCAGGGTGGGTGCAAAATCAATGTGACAACCTTGGATTTTGTATATTTGAATGACTTCTAGCTGTTGTCTGCTGTTGTTAGTGGCTAGTGGAAAAGAGCATATGAAAGTCTGTGCTTAAGGTACATCCATAGTAAAACATTAACAAGGTTTAAATGCAACTATTGCATTCTAGTAGGTGCCCACCACTTATGGTTCTTAGTGCTATTTGCTGTGGTAATGATGAGGAGTATGACGTATACCCAAGCCATGCAGATGAGTCCACAAAAGCTGCTATCCCGTTGAGCTTGCTTGACTTCCTGAAGGTTACTTGTTACTTTTAGCACGTTGTATAAGGGAGCCACCCTTCTGTTAAAAAAAGAAGCTTTCCTGCCTTGTCACATCTTGATGCATCTTATGTCTCACAGATGACTCAATGAGTGGCTGTTTGCAGAGATGCCACTTTTATATACTTGCCACTTGATTGCTACAAATCTGGCCCCAGGCTCTCTGTGCAGGATGTGTTTCAGTTATGTGGAAGATCTGTCCTAGGATCTAAAGCAGAGATTCCTTAGATGGGCAGCTTGTCTTCAATCCCACCTCTGGGTTGCTCCAAATTAGGGTATGGTTGTAAACAAAGCAGTTGTAGCTGTTTTGCTGGTTTTCCCTAGTGCAGAGCTCTGCCAGGTTAAAGCAGCCACTGACTTGTCTTGACAATCCTGCCATTTTTCACTGCACACAGCATACCTGAATGATGATAAGGCATGCTAGACTTTGAGGGGACAAGACATGAAAAGAGTCATCACTGCATCCCCAAAGGGGTAGGTTAGCATCATCTTAAAACTCATCAAAGCATGCACAGGTCACTCAAGGAATCTTTGCGTAGTGAGTATTCTAGGGAAAACGTATGGTGGAAGAGAAGGTCCTGCTAAATGGAAATTGTATCAAAGGACTGCTCTGGCTTTCGCCAATTCTCAACTTTACTGCGTTGCATCTTAGCAAGTCTTTTGTCTTTCCTGTACAGCCTCATCAACATGAAGTGACCATCTGCAACTATGAAGCAGCAGCGAACCCAGCTGACCACAAAATTGATCAGTTCACACCGGAGACGCACTTCATTTCCTAAGTGGTTTGTGCACCACCAGACTGCTGTGGAGGCTTGGAAGACTGTCAAACACTTGAGGCTATAAGGAGCATTGTAGTGTTCATTCTTTTGTGGGTGTGGGTGTGGCTGCTTTGGTAAAGCAGGGCACTAAATGCTGGCAATTAGGTACCAATTATTATACCATTGCTAAGGACAATCATGGCTTGAGATCTTACAAATATTGAAGGGGTAGGTTTTGGAAATATTGGCCTTTGCCTGCCTGTAACACGGTTGTCTCAACTATGTTGTATCTGTCAGGGCAGAAGTTGTTTTTTTCAGTCAGTGATCTTCCTGTTCAGTTGCTGCTTCTGCTGGCAATACATAAAGGTGTGAGGCTGGTTTCTTAACTTACTGTATCTTTCAGTTATTATGTTTCTAATTCACAATATTATATCCCAACTTTGTACATTTAAAGTTAACATAATAAAATTGTTTCATATTTACCACCTCTTTTTTCTTGTCTTAATTTTCAGTTTACCTAATCAAGTTGCTAAAAGCAAAAATTTCCTAATCGTGCGTATTTCTTAGCATTCGTACAACTTATAATGTTTTTGCAAATAGTCCTTAAATTTTTTCCAGTCCTCTTCCATTGTTTCCTCCCCCAAATCTCGGATTCTGCCAGTCATTTCAGCCAAAGTTATTGGTGTTCTAGATGAGCTCTTGGCTAATTTCAAAAGTTAATGTGACTTGTACATGGCAGTATTCATTTGGTTGTGCTCCAGAGAGTGCACCAAAGTACTGCATGCTTCTCCATGAATATCATCCAGTAAGCTGCTTGCCAAAATGCAACAGTTTCAACTGTGCATCTAAAACCTGAAGAGGGGTGTCTCTCTCCTGGGCTTAACTTTCTAACCAATGTGGCTTAATTTTTTCTAATAAACATGGCAAAGAACGTGTATGTCCCTTGCTTATATCATTTTTTATTTTTTTTACTCTCCAAGCAGGAAATCTGCCCTTAGTGCCTGACACAATTGACTGGTACAAAATAAATGTGGAGGAGTACAAAGAGCACAAGAAGAGCCCTGCTGGGTCAGATTAAAGGCCTGGCTAGTCCAGTTTTTGGTTCTCACAGTGGCCAACCAGATGCCTCTCGGAAGTCCACAGGCAGGGCAATGGGGAAATAAAATAGTACGGAAGGGTGAGATTTATGGCCCGCTGTCAGCATTAGAGTTTTGTTGACAACAGTAGATTTTTAAAAAATCTTTCCTCCCTGCAATGCAGGAATCTCAGCTAAAGCATCCATGACAGATGTCCATCCAACCTCTGCTTTAAAACCTCCCTATCATCACAACATTTATATTCCACCTTTCTTTCAAGGAGCTCGAGGTGGTGTATGTGGTTTTCCCTCTCTCCAGGAGGCTAGGCCAAGAGAAAATGTGTAGTTCAAGATCAGTGATCTTCATGGATGATTGGGAATTTGAACCCTGATCTCCTTAGTCCTAGTCCAACATGCTAGTAGCCAGTTCTTAACTAAGGCTCAGCCTTAAACCCTTATAACAGATTATTCTCCATTGAACAGCAGGACTAAAGAGCACAATCCTGTGCATGTTTCCTGGCAAATGTCACTTTACATGTGCCAAAGTAATAAACCCTTTGTTGCCGCTGGGTATAAACAACAGCCAATCCAGTTTCCTGTACATTTTCAAAATATGTGTGCATTCAATGTCCACTTTATAGGCTAAAGATGTCAGCCCTTTTCCTATTACACCTTAACATTTGATGAAGGGAGGGAAGAGGAGTATTTGTTTCATTGGTAGTGGTGGTTGTGAGCAAGTCCATTTGTTGGCATCCGTCTCAAGACAATGGAATGTGCCTCTGAGAGTAAAGTCAGACCATGGGATGCAAGCCTGTGCAGTGTGTATGAAGGTCCCAGGATGCCAAGACAACAAGAACTCGCTTTTGGTCTCACTGATGTGGTCCAATGGAAAGCAGAGCAGTACGTTTGGCACCAGCTTGGCTGCAGGAGATGCTGGAAGGGAAGGACGTGTACAAGGCACTATCCTGCCACCTTAGGGACTCCACTCGTGATTTGTGTAGGGTTTACTCCTTAGCCTTTTCTTCTCCCGAAGATATGCTGCAAGGTAACAGAGGTTTAGGATCAGTGTTTTCCTTCTAGATGGGCTACCTTCCCAGGTTAATGAACCCCATCTACCCCTCACTTTCCTCTACTGCGCACGTAGAAACTGTCTTATTGTCCGTTGGACCCACTTTTGACCTCATCCACTCAATCCACTGTAGCCTGTCTTCACATGCAGAGGAAGTCCCTAACTCAACAAGGGTTTGAGACCCATGGGCTACCCTCACCTGGTTTAGCCAGTCAGTGGAAGCAGTTCCCAGGGTGCGGCCACTGTTGCATGCTGACAGCTTCTAGCAGCTATGAGAGCTAAGTGCAGGGTGGGGACCAAAGGTGGACAAACTACCCACCACCCACTACCAATTAGCCTTTTTCATCTCAGCACATAAATGAAAATAAGTAATCTTGTTACTGTTGAACAATTGTGTCAGAAGTCCTTGCCGATTCCCCATCCCCTCTCCTCTTCTTCCTAAATGTTTAAACCAATTCATAAACCAAGAACTTATAAATTGACCACTAATAATGAAATACGTTGTAGATATTTTTCCACATTTATTATGCTATTTTTGTGATATACAAATGACATGAGAAAACTTGGTATACTTGTTTGTATAACATTATTCTTGTTTATAAAACCCAATTAAAAGAAGTAGTCATTGCCGATCTACGGTTGCACCAGCAGATCCTAATCTATCTTTCGTGGGCATACCCATTGCGAATAGGTGTGGGATGTTAAATTCACAGGAAAGGATCGCCCTCTAACCTGGTATGCTCAGTATGGTCACCTGGTCAGACTTTCAAAATCAAGTCAGGCAAAATTTATCCTGCTAACTCGATACAGTTAGCAGGCACGTGCTACCATTAAGTACAGTATGTATGACGTTATTATGACTAACGGCTGATACCAAGAGCGCAAAAATAATTAGCAACGCCAACGCTGCTGTTCACCATAATAATTATGAATTGGCCATGGCATCAAATGCTATAATCCCCATTACCAAGACCCACCCAAAAAAAGAGCTGCTATTTCAAATATAGTGGTACCTCGGGTTAAGTACTTAATTCGTTCCGGAGGTCCGTTCTTAACCTGAAACTGTTCTTAACCTGAAGCACCACTTTAGCTAATGGGGCCTCCTGCTGCTGCTGCGCCGCTGGAGCACGATTTCTGTTCTCATCCTGAAGCAAAGTTCTTAACCCGAGGTACTATTTCTGGGTTAGCAGAGTCTGTAACCTGAAGCGTATGTAACCCGAGGTACCACTGTAATAACAGCAAAAAGCCATATGAAAATACTGAGCCATTTAATTTATGACACCGGCACGAAGAACCCCGCGGGTCGTTACTTCAGCCAACCAAGATGGCCGCGCCCCTCGAGGCTCCTCTTCCGGACTCAGTTCTTTCCAGCGGGATAGAGCGGCGCGCGACACTTCCGGCGGGGCCGAGGCTTGGGCGGACCCGCCCACCTCGCGCGCGCTGGCGGCGGCGGCGGCGGAAGTTCCGGAGCCGTCTGGTGAGCTCGAGAACTGACTGAATCCTCTTCAGTTGGAAGCCGGGTAGAAAGAGACAAGAGGAAGGAGGTGAGCGGGAGGGGGGAGGGGAGCAATTAGAACCGGGGCCGTCCTCGAGGGGAGGGTCTCTTCGCCAAGGGGGCTTCTGTATGGGGAGAGGAGGAGGGTGGGCCGGTGTCTGCGTGAGCGGCGGGCTGTTGGTAGAAGTGGGGGGGGGAGCGAAGGGGCCCAGGTCTGTGAGGTAAAGGGTTGGGGGAGGGCGCGGAGGGGGCGTGGGCTGGAGGGAGGCAGAGGGTGGGGCGGGCTGGAGGGAGGGTGTGGCCAGGAGGTGACACTCGCGAGGAGGGAAGGGGAGCTGAGAAAGTGGAAGAGGCTTTGAGGTACTGGATTTTTTGGGGGGGTGTCCAGGGGTTGCAGATGGGAAGAGGTCAGTGATGGAGGGTTAGGAGCACGAGGAGGTGCTAACATGGCCCAGATGCAATGGAAGAGATGAGAGAAAAATATGCACCTGCCAGGACTCCTTGTCAATCTGATAGTTGTGTGTGTGTGTTCTTAAAGGTGTCCTGGCAGGTGCATATTTTTTCTCATCTCTTCCCAGTTTACATTTACAATTTCCTTTGATGTACAGGAGCTGCCCACCCTTCTCTTCCTTGGCATGGGCTCATTCTAAGAGGACGGGATGAGGAGGGGGAATGAGTGTGGGCAGGAAGATGCAAGCAGTCGTGGGTAGAATGTGTGTGTGCAGATGAATGGGGGTGGGGAGGAATCTGGGTGGGATGCTAATAAGAATAAGGATAAGAACCAAAGCTGTGCCAAATCATAGGAGAGAAGTTAATTGCATGCTGCAGTATCTCATGCAAACTGTATTTTTATTGTGAGCAGTGACCTGAGGACCTTTAACTGCTTACAACCTTTGCATATATTGTAGGTACCCTTGCAAATAATAGATGATATTCACTCAGTTTCTATCTTCTACCTTATTCCGAGAACAAAGGTGGACAACACATTCATTATTAAAAGCATATATTGTCTTTTTTCCATTGCATAATAATGTCCAAAGTGAATTGCAAGTATCATAATAAAACAGTATGAAATAATAATAAACTAAGCAGCATAAAAACATAACGTTGATAACTAAAATAATATGATTCACCTGAACTCAAAGGCTTGTTGAAACAAAATAGCCATTACTACAATGTTGTATTGTGTAATAACTGTAGATTACATTGGAACTTTTGCCAGCACACATCAATAGAAAATGGGTGTCTCTCATGGACTGGGTTCTTTAATATTTAAAGCGGGAGAGAGACATACATTCGTTAGGAAGGAATAATAACTTCGTTAGTTGTAAGTTGACCACAAGTTTGAATGTCTTAAACCTTAGTTAACCTACAGACTGATCTAACCATGTTTCCTTGGCATTCCAAGATTGCCTAAGATTGCAGTCAGCATGCCAGAAGTTATAATTTGACTTACACAAAAACTCAGTTTGTGAAAAACACATCGGAGTGATTTGTAAGTTAATTGATTCAGCAAGGCCAGAGTTTCCTGAGCAAGTTATAATGGAATCAAGCTGATGAGTTGTGGTTTTGGCTGAAGATGCACAGCACAGTGTTCTTCATTACAGTACACACAAGTCACATTGCTAGATCTGACTAGGAGCCCACTAATCATGCTGTCTTCAGCCAACTAAATGCTTCAAGATAGAACATGAAAGCAAGAGCCTTATCCTTTTGCCTTTCCAATTATCTGGTGCTCAGTTATACTCTCTTTAAACATGGAGGCTTTGCTGAACTTTTGTGGCTAAAAGTTTCTGTTAATCTTATCCTTCCATGCGTTTGTCTGATCCTTTTTAAAAACCATCTCAGTTGGCTATCAATCACTACTTCTGGCAGTAGCAAATCCTATCAGTTTATTTCATGTTGTGTTAAGTACTCAGGTCCATTTGCAAAGGTTGAAAGCACCACAGCAATAAATAGAATGTGTGGGAAAGGTTTGAAGGGAAGAGGATTTATTCTTAATACGTATAGTCCCTTTCCCCATACATCTCAGGCATGTAAAATGCTCCACATTGTAGCATGGAGGTTTGATAAACCATTTCCAGCTTGTTGGGCTATGTGTCCTATAAGAAATGAAGTATCTTTTTTACTATAGCATAGGAATTGATATCAGGGAAAGAACAACATATTTGTGTGAAATAGTGCTTAAAGAGTTGGCTTCTCTTTCCAAGCAACCATCTACTTATGACATCCTGTTCAGGAGGCACTAGGGAGAGACTTCTTTGAACCAGTAAACAACAATTACAAGTAGTTGTTAGGTCTTCTAGAAAAAAATCCAGAAGCAGTGTCATAACACCTTTATTAGGGCTACCTCAAACACTACCAAGTAGTGAGCAACCTTTCAAATTGTTTGAAACTCACTCTTTTGTAGTGTTTTAGTTGGTCCTAATAAAAGTTTTATGCTACTGTTGCTTTTGGACTCACTCATGTCATGTATTTTGGGAGCATGTTGGGACTGATTTTGTTAGCAATGTACTTAGCTCTGAGAGTGCTGTTATTACTGAACAAGCATTATTATTAATATTGCATGACTTCTCTTTGTTACTAGAGAATGAGCAGAGAACACAAATGAAATTCCATTTGCCATTTGAATAGCTTGTTTCTCTTGCCCCATCACTCAGATATGGACAAGGAATGTTCATTTCCACCAATCCATTCTCCTAAAGAAGTGCTGGTCATAAGAGCATATAATTGCCTTGCAGAAAGTCTCTTTAGTCCGGCTTTCTTTTCCAGCTGTGGCTAGCCAGATGCCTCTAAATGAAAATCATGAGCAGGGTATGATGAGAACCATCCCCTGTTGTTTGTCCACAGCAGCTGATATTCTGTAGTATGCTACCTCTGAACATGGATATTCCAACTGTTCCAGGGTTATTGGCCAGTAGCTTTATCCTCCTGAGAATATCCCTTTTGAGACAGAGCAACTGGTAACCTAGTATTCTAATAGTAGGTGCACCACAGTTTTCTATATATGTAATGGCTGTTTTATTTCCAGTCTCTTTCCTTGGGATTCTTCTATCCTGTCTGAAAATTGCTTTATCTTCTACTGCTACCTCATTGTTTCCCACAGCTCCATATAATTTATGAATAGGTGAAATAACGCCATTCTCAATTCAGAACTGAGGGAGTTTAGTTTGCTTCCCACCACTGTGAAAACTGACAATTTATTTCTAATGTCTGTTTCCTGTTTTTTAACCAGAATGCTAAGGTGTTTTTTTCTTAGCAGCCCTTGATAAAAAGTTTTGTCAAAAGCTTTTGAGATGTTGTTGTATTCTTGAATTTTCTGAAATCTTTTGACAAAATTATATGTCTGGCAGGTCTCATGTTTAATGCTCAAGGAATTTTCAAAAAATGGCTAGAACTATCCTTGAAAAAGCTGTGCTGAATCTTCCTCAGCATACTAATTCCTCAGCTGATTTTTCCTCTCTATATGTTTAACAATTCTAGCCCTTAATAAGGTTTTCTATCAGTAGCAGGGACAGCAGTTAGCCTAATTAATCTGTAGTCCCTTAAAAATAAATGGTGTTACGCTGGCTGTGTTCCAATAAGGAAGCTGATTTCCATGATGCTGTAAGTGTGTGCTAAGTGGTGAGTTCTCTTAAATTCAAGCAAAATTGTCATTGTTCTTGAAAACTACCTAGCTTATTCAGATTTAGCATGGTTTAGCATGAGGTTCTGTAAAATGTTTTCCCCTGTCCTCATTTCTTATATTTGACAGACTTTCACATCTGTTCCTCAACTAGGAATGAATGGGCCCTACATGCAGGTATGCTTTCCTTTTTTTAAAAAAAGGAGGCAAGCCTAAGTAATGTATTGTGTAAAATTGGGGGGGGGGTAATTAGATTACAGTACCAGTGTTAATTTTAAGGTGAGTACCTTGTATAGAGGTGGAAATGTATGCAAGGTACTAAGATGCCAGTGTCTGATTCTAATTTTTAAATGCACAGATGACCAGGTTTACTATCTGACACATTTCTTTTACACTCCTTCATATAAATAAGGCCATGGCATGCATTTGGGGGAGGAGGGGATTATGATTTCTTAACAGTTAGGGATTGTATTTCTCATGGCTTTTTTCACATGAGCCAGGGTGCCTTGAATGAGGGAATCCTGCTATTTTCTGCACCAACCTTTTCAACATCTTGTGCTCAGAGATCATATATACTAGGGATAGGAAATCTGTGACACTCTAGGTGTTACTGGAGTTAAACAACCTATGCTATGTGCATAGCAATTTAAATATTTTGGTCACCGCCCAACATAGAATTAGGCACCTTTAAGTTCTTTGCTTTTTGGTGGATTTATGTACACATGGCCCTTGCACAGGTTTGTGGCCCTGATCTTTGCCTTTATGGAATTCTAACCTTGAATACTGTACTGTGTAGTCACTTTTTTTGGTAGGCTTTAAAATGATGGTATGGAATAAACAAGCTTGGTATGTCCTCATCTCACTCAATTTGTGGGCAGGTTACAGGACTTCCGGGGAGAGGAATGGCGGTTTGGCTGCCTCTCTGTTAGCTCCTGCTTACAGAAGATAATTATGGTATGTAGTAATTGATAATAGACAGATAGTCTGACTATTAATCATTATGCAGATAAGGGTGATCTGGGAGTTGACCTCAAATGCTTTGATAGAGACTGTTTTTATATGCCTGGTGGCTTGGACGGGAGTTATAACGAGCTGGGAAACTGACGACTTGCCATCGTGCCCAAACTCCACGTAATCAATTTTCACAGGTAAGAAAGACCCACACCCTCTCTTTTTAAAACACTTCTGGGACAAGGAAAACTGTAACAAAAATTCCCTCCATCAGCTGGTGAAAATCTACAATCTGAAAATCTGTAAGTAACACCTTCCGTCATTAAGGAAAACAGAAAGGAAAACGGATTGTTGTCTAAGGCAGAGTGTCTACAGCAGAGCAAAATTCCAGATTTATGGCTGACAATAATGATTAAATGGACAAGGGGAACCTCTGTGTGAAAAATCTTTAACCCTTTTTCTCTTTTCCTACCACTAAACAACTGAAAAAACTGAAAGTAAAGTGGCCATTGCCAGCTGTGGGTTAGAAGTTAATATGAGATAAGACACGTTGCAGCTGTGATTTTAAGGTGGAAATATTAAGCTAGACTGAGTTCTAATAATATCCAGAACATCAAAAGCATCCATTATGGTAAAGGCACTTTTGGATCTTCCAGTGACTGTTGGTGTAGTTCAACAGTTGATGACTGAATAATTTGAAATGATCGGATCAGAGATTAATGGAGAAAATGGAGAAGGGCTTCAGACGGGCTTCAATTTAGGCTTCAGACTAAATTGATGAAAAGTTGGGAGGACTGGATCATGAAATAGTTAAGCAGATGGTGATGCTGAAGTGGAAATGACTTCCATTCCGTGATTTGGATGAGAAGGAGAAAATAAAAGTGAGGTTACAGGGAACCCGACAGAGGGCCTTCTCGGTAGTGGCGCCCGCCCTGTGGAACGCCCTCCCATCAGATGTGAAGGAAATAAGCGGCTATCTTAAGTTTTTGATATTTAATGCTGTATTGTTTTTAACACTTGATTGGAAGCTGCCCAGAGTGGCTGGGGAAACTCAGCCAGATGGGCGAAGTATAAATTATTATTATTATTCAAAATTATCTGGATATGGTATTGATGAAGTTGAGGGGCAAAAAAAAAAAACTTTGAGAAAACTTCAGTCCTAGCCTTGCTTCAGTTCTAGTAGAAAGTATTCTGCATACAATCTGAAGTGAATTAAGAAAATTATGCTGCTAAAGTTATGGTATTCTCTGTGGAAAAAGACTGGGAAAAATGAAAATGGGCATGGGCAGAAGAATTTACTATCACTCAATATGGAGTAATGGTGGTGGGAATTAATGGGGGTAATGGCAAAAGAAAAAATATGGTTGACATTTATCAATAGCAATAACAATTAGAGAACCAATCTTGGACTTTTCATGAGAAAAAGAGGCACCTTTGACAAAAAAGAAATATTGTTTAACAGAAAGTGGAGAAGATGGATGTTAGCGTGGACTGAATGTTTGAAATAATCCTTTTTTATGTAACCTGCGGGGGGGAAATCAGAAGTTTTCTTTTTGTATCTTTCTCTAATGTTTCTTCTTTTGTCTCCCCCGCCCTTCTCTCTTCTTATTGTTCCTTTCTCTTTTTGTTTCTCTCTTTTGTTTTTCTTCTTTCTTTGGAGTCTTATGTCTGGGGCCTTTATTAAGGTCCAGAGATTGTATACTTATGGGAGTGGTAGATGGTGGATGGAGAACCCTGGGTGAGAGATAGGGAAATGTCGGTCTCCCAGGGTGCTTAGTTGTCCTCTGTGGGTGGTAAGGGCTAAGAAGAGAGAACTCTGTAGTCTAATTACTTGATTTGTATTTTTTGTAGAAGCTATTTTATTGTATTTTGTAATAATAATATTATTATTATTAATAATAATTTCATTCAAGGAAAAAATTGTGGGCAGGTTACTGTTCAAGCATTCATGTGCAGAATGCAGTGGATCAGTCTGTGTCTGGACTCTTGGCAAATGACCTTATCTGAACCATTCAACTCGATTGCACGAATAGCTCAGGATGGCATTTTCAGTGGGGAGGTAAAAAACTGATGGACCTATGAAAGATCAGCTTCATCCAGATAAGAAATAAGGTGCAGGAAATATAGCAATGCGAAGAAGACTTGGTTCCTATGTATTGTTGATATCTAGCTTGGTGAGGATGTTCAGGTCTTGAATCAGGGTGTGAATGATTTGAGGGTCATCTGGTCCACCTTTCTCTCTCCTCCCTAACAAAGATAACTGGACCCCTCTCCATACCGCCCTGTCCAGTCCACACCACACTGTGACATAATCAAATAACAGTTGTTTGATGAGGGGGGGAAACAAGCAGAGCTAGCTGCTTCATGTTATTCAAGCAACTGGTACCCTATTGCAATAGAGATGGAAGACTGCTTGAGCTGGACCTCTAAAGATTCTGTGCTTTAATAGCCAAAATCCTTCAAGTGGGATACATTTATTGTTACCATTATTATTATTATTATTATTATTATTATTATTATTATTAATTGAATTTATATCCCTCCCAGGGTGGCAAACAGATCTACAGTTTAAAAAACAAAACCCTTCTAAAACAGTTAAAACCTTCTAAGAGCAGTTACAGTTTAAGCATTCTAAAAGTTACAGTTAAAACCATTCATTCATTCCAGTGATCTCAGGGTTGCCAAGAGCAGTGTTCATGCCACCAAATGCCTGGGTAAACAAGGAATGTTATAGTATTCCTTCTGAAAATTAATAATGATGGAGACAGATGTACCTCACTAGGGAGAGCATTCCACAAACAGGGGACCACCACTAAATATGTCCTGCCATGGGCCAGTGTCTGCTGAGCTGCCATTGGGTGGGTGGTTGTTTGGTGTTGTTGATGGGGAACATCTCTGTTGTTTGTGTTAATTTCAGGGAAGCAAGGGATGGGCTCACAACAAAGACAAGGGAGCATGGGCTAAGAAACTGGAGTGTGGCTGATAAGTGCAGTAATTAGTGAATTACTTTTGTCCTGACCTTTTGGAATTCTCATTCCAGCTTCCTTCCTAATCTTTTTTGGGCAAGTTTCTTTGCATAGCTACAGTCACAGGAGGCTAGAAACTTGGTGTTTATTTTAAATAGAAGATCAGATTCTGGATTGTATTCTTAGCCTCTGCTCTAAGCTTTTGTGGGTAACCATAGCATTCAACTTGCCGTTGCTTTTGGCTGTAACACTGATGTGGGCTTTTAGGTGATCTGGTGGCAATTGAGTTATACAGTGGTACCTTGGGTTAAGTACTTAATTCGTTCCGGAGGTCCATTCTTAACCTGAAACTGTTCATAACCTGAAGCAAAGTTGTTAACCTGAAGCACTATTTCTGGGTTAGTGGAGTCTGTAACCTGAAGTGTATGTAACCTGAAGCGTATGTAACCTGAGGTACCACTGTAGTATGATGATTTGCACTGCGTGATTAGGTTAATAATAGGCTTCCAGATGTACTGGCAGTGTGGCAATGGCTTGATACCTTCCTGGCTTTTGTGGTCATAGTTACACCCAAGTGGGCAGCCATCGGGCATAGCTCTTGTTTTTCATGGTATTGGCTGCATCAGTACATCTCCAGTAGCAGCCGAGGCAGCACAGACTCTTGAATCTTTATGCCCCTGCACTGTTATCAGTGGTTATATAAATAGCCTTGTCCTTTACTGGTGGCATTGGAGTAACAAAAACTACTTTTAAACCTTCAGCTTTTTGGTTGCAGGAGGGGTTTGCTGGGATGTGAAATCCCAGGCTTAATATCAGGGTCTTTATGCTGCAGTTTTGTAAAAGCCACTGACTCCCACTCTCTCCTTAAGCTGTGCCTCCCAAGGCCTTTGGCAGGATGTTACAGGGAACCCTTATCAAACCATATCACTGAATATAACAGATAAGCAGCATTTGAAAAACAAGTCACGGTTGCTTTGAAAACCCTCAGAGTTGGGAAATACAGAGTGGGAGCTCAGCTACCATGTGGTAGCCAATTCTTAGCCTGTTCGAAATGTGTTCACACACACATATACATATTATTTTGTGCCTACGGTATATTCCTCTAGTTGCATCCTGGTTTTGAATTTTGCCTTTTATGAATGTAGCACTTCTTACTCTTATATTTCTACATTAAACGGGTTCATACTTAATTTGTGGTAAAGTACCTTGTGATTAAATACTCGGGGACAAACCCTCATGGTTGTTTCAGTATAGGATAGGATTTTGCTGACTAGATAATCTGTTACAGACCTCAACTCTGTAATTCATTGATGTGTGTCTACTAGAGGACAACTATAAAAGGGTACAGAAATGTTTTCAGAGGTATTAATAATCTGAATCCTTGCATGTGTCCTTCAGAGGAATGTTTGTAGGTCACATTTCAGGCAGCTCTTTGTGTTTCACGTTTTATATTAAATAATGGTCTAAAGAAGAGATCCATGGCCTGAGATAGGTTGGAGTTTAAAGTATTCAAGGCTTTTAAACATTGTGTATGTTAGTCTTTTTGCACCTGGCCTGTATGCAGCCTTCTTTTTGTTAGTTCATATCTACCGGAAACTTTCCCAGATGAACTTTTTAAGCAAATGTAAAGTCTCCTTGGAAACCAGACTGGATTTTTGCTTTGCCTAGAGATGGAATATTCTCTTTGCCACTGTCAACTGCTGGAACTAGCTGATCCAGGTTTTCCAGGTGGATATTCCACCTTGAGAGCTAGTTGTTTGTGGCTTTTGGTCTTGGGTGCTGGTCTGAAGCCCAAGGTTTCTGGGTTGCAACCTTTGCTCTGAAAATCTTGGTTTTCATTTTTAACCCAGGAGCAAGCTTCTAGCCCTTATGTAGGACAGGGAAAGAGATGGAACCTGATGGGCTTCAGAATGGGAACTTGTACATCATGCACACATTTGAAGAGAGGCTTTCGCACCCCTTTTGATTCTGTACCCTGCCTGGTTATAAAAGTGACCTAGCTCTTCGCATAGTTGTAAGGTCCAACAAGATTAAGCATTGCAGAGCGGCTCTTAAATTAAAAGTGCTATGCATATAATAAATGTGTGTGTGTTTCTCTATCTCTGTCTTTCAGGCGTGAGCTGTGAAACCTCTATTGGTGTATGTGCGGTAACAACATGTCTGTCCCCCTCCTCGCCGATGCCGTGACCATTTCAGGGGCAGAGCGGGAGACTGCAGCGGTAAGGGCTTTCTCTGTCTCTCTCCTTGGCTTGCCATCTGTCGGGATCCAGAAAGATTAGGGGAATTAACTGGATTTCTTTCCTCCACCCCCCTCCTCTTGGTTGCTGCTAATGTCAAGGGGCTGCCCTCCCTTTAACTCAGAAGCTGTTTGAGAGAAAGGGGTGGTGGGGGTGGTGGCAGAGGAATTGTGCAGAGAGAAACTTTGGTGAGGGGAGGGCTGCGGGAAGAGATCAACATGGTTTCGTTCCTTTCCAGTAAACAGCACAATGTTGTTTGTGTAGGACCTGCGCAAAACACCACCGCTGCCTCTGGCAGGTAATTAGCCCAGCTGTATCAAATTGTGTTGGCCTCGATGCTACTACTCTTGCACTAACAAGGAAATAATAGCCAAGGCTTGCTTTCTACCACCCCCTTAATGCAAATGTGGGGCTGCTGTGGTCAACCATCATGGCCAGGCGCTTCTGCAGAAATGACACTGACACCCACCAGACTCCCGAGCTCCTATAATCCTCGCCCTTGTTGCTGGCTCTGCCTACATTTGCACCATCAGATGTACCTTGCAGTTTTATTTCCTGCCTATCTGTGTGAACCATGCCCTCCCCTTCACAAAGATCTAAATTCTGCAAGGAGAACACATTACATAAATCAAACACATTTTGCCTAGATGGGCTTATTTGTATATAATTCTTTTTCCGTATTTGGTCTCCTCAGTGCTGTGAGAGTAGAGAGATGAGTGGTCTCCAGGGGCTTGGCTGTGAGTGATCAGGAGGCAAGGAGACACCGGAAGTGCTCCCTTCTGACCACTGGTTAGTTCTGCCAACCCCCAGAACACTTTTTTTTTTTTAAAAAAGTTTGTTTTCTGCATTCCTGAGGACCAGTAACTGAGCTTTTCCGCACATATGTGCCCAACAGACAAAAGATGCTAAATTTTGCCACATTCTGGCCAACAGAAATTATTGCATTCTGGAATTCAGCAAATATTACTTTGTAAAGCCCAGCTTCTTGTTCTATTAAGCAAATGACTCTTGATTAATTTGCAGGTGTAATTGTGGCTCTGTTTCCTTTTTAAAGGGCAGAGAGAAAGGTTGATGGGATATGAAGATTTGGAGTAGGGTATTAAATGTTTCAGAACTGTGGGAAGGAGTGAGATTAAATTCTCAAAGAGCCAATTCCCCTTTGCACCCAAGTTCTGTGGGGTGGGGTGGGGGGTTAAATCTGTGAAACAACCCTCGGATTGTCGAGAACTCTGTGGGATTGAGAGTTTCGTTGTAATGTGTGCTGATTGAGATGTGGTAGGCAGAGGTGTTTGTAGAATTTGTAGCCGTTTTGGTGAGGGTTAGACATAAGAGAGAAGAATGGATGTTTTAAATGAAAGATGGAACTAGGACAGTAATAGGTTTTCTGGCATAACCATTTGGAACCACAGGAAGGGAAAGGAAACTGTACAATTTCCTCTCCCAAAGACCACAGTGATAATGGCTAGGAACTTCCTCTTCCGCTAGAAATGAAAGCCATGTTTTTCAGAGCTCATAAGCAGCCAAACCATATATCAAGATCTGCAACAGAAGCAAAGCTTTACAAGTCTCTAGCTTTCCATTGGGTAAATCCTGTGAAGATATTCACGAGAAGTTAGTTTGCACTAACTTCTCTGCGAGGGTCTCTGGTGGTCTGACACATGGGGAGTGGATGTGAATACTCAGGTGTAAATATTCGGAGTATGCCTCCTCAGTTAACTTGGCTTGTGAACAGTCTTGGCTTGTGAACAGAGATTGAAGCTGCTCAGGAGACATGACTGAGGTAACTGATGGTGCGAACAGGCCTGTCTGCCCGCAAGTGGATCTGTCACTGCCAAAATACTGCTGGGTTTAGCAGTGTGGTAACCTGCTGCAGAGATGTAGCCATGGAGCTGGTTGATGGAAGCTTTTTAACCCTCTCACCTGGACTGGAATTGCTAACTTCCCTGACCTTTCTAATGAACAACTCTGTTTTTCTTCAAGAAGGCTGGAACTTGTGGTTGCCAACAGAAATGGGGAAGCAAAGCACATCCAGCTCTGCTAGGGGGTGTTTGGTTTCCTCTATCTGGGCTGCTGGTCAAGAATAACATTGATAACAGAGGGGTGCAAGAAGCTGTGCACCAGCATTTCTGTGTGAATTTTCGAAAGGCCAGATTCTGTTGCATGGAGAGCCTGCCTTTTAAATAGGACCTTTAGATCACTGTGATTCTCAATGCTAAGATAAATTGCCCTGTTCTTCAGCAAGAAATGCTGAATTCTTAAACCTGTATAATTTTTTGCAAATTTGTGCAATATTTCTTTATTATACATAATTTACTGCACAACTTCTACTGTTTCCATTCTCAGCAAATAAATATACCGTATTTTTCCATGTATAAGACTAGGTTCCCCCCCCCAAAATAATGTCAAAAATTAGGGGGCATCTTATATACAGATACATCTCTTCCCACCCCCCATTTTCTTAAATATGCGCCCCCCAAAATAGGGGGCATCTTATACATGACGGCATCTTACAGATGGAAAAATACGGTGTTATGCAGAGGGGGCAGAGGAGTTATGCAAGGCTCAGAAGCCTCAACCACTAGAAACCAGACTGGGTCACCTCTATGGTTTTTGAGACTTTGCCGATCATACCCACTTGGCCTCAAAGCCATAAAGGCTAGAAACATCTTCTTTTTGAAAATGGAGATTCTCAGGAAGCCAGATATTGTGATCCTGCGAAAGCTTATACTTTCTTTGAGGTGAAATATTAAATGCTTGAAATAGGCAAGGTTTAGGAGAGGAGGTGGTAGCAGCCTGTCAGATTAATTCACAGAAAGCAGTAACCTTGACCCAGAAGTTATTGGGGGTGGGGCATATTTTTTAAACAACATTTATATAATGGTTACTCAAACAAAAGACTTCTAAGTGGTTTACAAACAATCTATAATATTCATTTAAAAATACCAGCAAAAGCAAACATTTAAAAAGTTACATCAAAAAGTTCAAAATACAAAAGAAGATAAGTAAATTTAAAAACACAAATTGCAACTACATGCCTGAGTAGGCTTGAAGAAATGAACAAATTTTTAGCAGGCACTGAAAGTATTACAGTAGGTGCCTCCTACTGTAAGTGGGCAGGGAAGTCCAAAGTTCTGCCACACTAAAGGATGGATTTCTCACAAGTGTGGAATGCATGTTTTGTGGCATTTCTAGAGTGCTTGTTCTGGAGATCTAAGCAGTCAAGTGGGCATGTATGGGGTGAGCTTATCACAGTGCCTAGGTTTAGGAATCCTAGATGATGGTTTAGGAATCCTAGATTCCTAGGTTTAGGAATGCTAGATGATGGGCCTCTCTGCATGGCTCAGCTTACGTCTTGTGTTTGCCTCTGTCTTCCAGGTGCAGATGTGTACATGATGTGTTAGCAGTCCCTTTTCAGTGACGTGGGGTGTGGTTGAGGCATCTTCTCTTATTACAGCTGGGGCACACACATGGTGATGTGCAGGCTCTTCGTTCCCAGCCTCTCCTCCTCCCTTTAGGTTGGGTCCTTCCTGCTTTTCCCCTTTAGCATAATTCACTGCTGCCCCCCCTTTTTTTTTGGCAACTAATTGGTCTCACAGGATGCTCCTGATGTGCTTTGGTAGCACTTTTGCACTTGTTGTGCTGCCTAATGTGTTATTTTCTGCTTGATTTCACAGGTCATTTTTTTACATGGGCTTGGAGACACAGGGTGAGTGTTTGGGTTGTGTTAGTAACTGAGGCAAGAAGGGAAGGGGGAAACCTTCTTTTTTCCCAGCAGCCTGGACCCAAAAGAGCTCCTGTTTCTAGTTGGGAAATGTTGAATGTTAATATTCTAGCCAGCATGAGCAGCGGCAGGATTGGAATGAGGAGATGTTGAGACAAAAGCAATAGTTTACCAATCCAGAACACATTTTCACATAGGAAAATGCCTTATACCAAATCAGATTATTGGTCTATCTAGCTCAGTATGTCTACACAAGCCTTCTCCAACCTGGTGCCTTCCAAAAACCTTGGACTGCTGCTCCCATCAGCCCATTCCAGCATGGCCATTGGTCAGGGATGATGGACATTATAGTCCAAGACATCTGAAAGGCACCAGGCTGGTGAATGCGGGTCTGCATGGACTGACTGCTGAGCTCTGCTGTTGGGATTCTGCACCAGGTGGAGGAGGCCTTACCGACTTTACTGGATTGCAGTTACTCATACAGGGTATTTAAATTTACTTGAGTCTTTATGCATAAATGCTTCTTAGCACAGTTGGCAGCTATGAAAATGTCCCACCATAGCTTTCCAGTAGAATGGCTTTTGGTGGGGGAGACAGGCAGTGGAAAATGCTTGCTTCTCCATTTTAGTTTGTCTGCTGTGCAGTGCAAGTTCTGATCTATGTTCTTTCTGCCTTCCCTACTTCAGGCACAGCTGGGCTGAGGCCCTGTCCTCCATCCGGCTTCCTTATGTGAAATACATCTGCCCTCATGCGTAAGTGTTGCCTCTGCCCTGGGTTACAATTAAGGCTCGCATATGTTTCAGGAAACAGGCCTCTGCTTGGGGGGGGTCCCCTTATCAGTCTGGTTTCCCCCAGCCAGAAATAAGCTTCCCTTACAAACTCAGAAAATACACTCACCATCCCCAGCCTAGTGCCCTCCAGTCATTCTGGACTGCAGCTTCCATTAGCCCCAGCCAGTGCAATCTCATCATCCCTCACCAATGGCCATGGTAACTCTGGGCTAATGGGAACCAAAGTCCAACAATGGGGAGGAGGTGCGGAACACAGGTTCCCTTAAGGCCTGTGTGTGGTTTTAATCCTAGCCAAACTGGAAACATCCTCTTCACCCATGGAAACTAGTTTGCAGGCATTCTGACAGCTTTGCTCTCATGTAATTTGGTACCTTGTAGGTTGAGAGGCAGGATAAGGTTGTTGCCTTACGTCATTTTTGTGAGCTTTTCTGGGCTTCTGGTTGGTTACTGTAGGGAGCAGCATGCTAGAGTAGGTAGCCCTTTGATCTGATCCAGCAGAGCTCCTCTTATGCGCATCATTGCCCCAGTGCCAGAGACTTCGCTTCCTTAAGCACAATACAATATATATTCCATTAGTGGAATTGGGCTGTGATGTTTTTCCTGCCTGCGTCCACTTTTCCCTTTTTAAAATAGAAATCTATGTATGTGCTAAGGCAGAATCTCAGCTGCATCCCAGTTCTCTTTCTTTTTGGATCAAGCCAGCTCTGGCTGTCTCAAAGTGAGAATAGCACTTAACCTATAGCTTTTTAGGGACTATGGCTTAGGTTTTTGCTGCCCGCTTAAGATTCTGCCCTTGAAAAAACACACAACAACAACCCATCCCCACCAATCATTGTGTTATCCCTGATATTCTAATCTTTTTCAATCAATTTTTTTTTGAAGATTTTAAACTGTAAAATACTACAATCGCACGAACATCACAACAAAAAACAATAATTTGGTGTTTATGGTAAAACAGCCATATTAAATATTACAGATTGAGGTTAGTACATTAATATCATAGTGGTGACCCAATCTGAAAAATAGACATCAACATGATGTTGACTTTTGACCAAACCAGGTTGAACACCTGGAGGTCAGTTAGTGCAAACTTCTTGACCGACCAACATTAACAGAAGCCACCATTTCTCCACGAGGATGTCAGCCTTAATCAGCTGATATTCCAATCTGAGGAACATAAGATGATCCTGCTGGATCAAGCCAATGATGCATCTGATCCAGCATCCTGTTCTCACAATGGCCAACCTGTTGTCTCTGGGGAGCCTGCAAACACTATTCCCTCCTGCACTTTCCAGCAACTGGTACTCAAAAACATTACTGCCTCTATGACAGTGGCTGGAAGGAGCTCAGTAGATCTTGCTAGCCAACCCAGCACTCTGCCTGAACTCCCTAAGCTCCAGCTCCCTATAACATGCATGGATTATCCAGTGTCAGCCATTCAGGGTATTCTACACCACACAGCAGAGGTGCTTATTTCAAAAAGCCTTCAGTAAATTAGCCCAAGATCTTTGAGGCACAAAGCACACTGCCTCTTCACCTCAGCCCTTAGCACGAGTTTGCTTGCTTTGGACAAACATAGTATCTGCCAAGCACATACTAAGAGGGGCTCACAAATAATTTTGCCCTTGTTACAAAACTTGAGAGTCTGTTTGACCTGGTTTTCCCTTCACCAAGTCCCCACCCCCAGCAGCTCCCAGGTGGAACATGGACAGATAATCATACCCCACAACTGGACCATCGTGCCCCCCCTTACACTGGGGAATCTTTAGGTTTGCCACAAAGAGCATGTTGACAAGCAAGGTGGGGATGCATCAGCTGGGGTGGGGCTAAAGGGGTGGGTCTGGGTGCCATACAAGATGATAAACAGGCATCAGTTTCCCTTCCTAGCACCTCTTTGAACCTGGACTTGCAGTGGTAATGGCAGGATGAGTAAAATAGGCTCCAAAAGAGCTGATGTTTGCCTTCACCTATATTCTTTCTGTCAAAACACTGGGAAGAGCCACGCAGTTCTGCCTTCAGCCTGCAATATCTTCCCCCACCCCACCCCCCGCTTACCTTGCAAAGCAGCCGTGTCTGTTTTTGTGACGCCACCTGGGTCAGATTTAAGACAAAATGGAGCGACTTGCAGACTGTTCCTACTTGAGTCCGGCTCTTTTGTTGGTAGCAACAGGCAGACACGCAAAGCCCTGTGCCCACTGTGGTGAGTGCAGGCTCGTGAGCCTTTCAGCCCAAAGGAGATAGCTGCTGCTTCCTCAGCAACTCTAGCCAAAGCACCTAGCTCATGCTCAAGTCAGTCCCCAAATGTCCAGGTCCCAGGGTGGGCTGCTTGGCAACCACACCAAACGCTGCCTGATCCAGGAGGGACTGTGTGTATTTCTTAGAAAGGAAGTAAGGGCAAGCAGAGCAGGCTGTGTGTGTGCGCGCATATGTAAAGATCTTTGTCACCTGCTTCTTTGCAAAGCTAACCCTACCTGGGCAGACACTGAGGTTGGGTACTTGGGGGAAAACAGCTAGCAGTTCTGTAGCTGGAACTCAGTCGCGTTTATCTCATACCTTTTGGAGTCACATTGTACAAGTTCAGGATTTGATAGAATGTGCAGCCTTTGCAGGTTTTTGCAAACTCCGCTATGTCTGGATGAGTTGAGGTTTCTTAGGTTTGTGAGGAGCCTCATGTCCTGTTGTCTCTTCCTACTGGAGCATAATTGCCTGCTTCTCTCTCTTTCTTTCTTTCTCTCTCCCTCCCCCCACCCTCTCATATGCTTGCAGGCCTAGGATCCCTGTCACCCTCAACATGAAGATGGTCATGCCATCCTGGTTAGTATAAACCAATGTTAATTTAATTGCTGACAGATAAGTGACGTGCCCCGGCCTGCTGCCTCCCAGGCACTTCTTTTTCTGGCCTGCACGACATCATAAGGAAATATGGCAGCCAGGACTGGGCTTGTGGCAGTCACCAGGAGTGATGGGGAATGATACAGATGAGAGGCTGGTGGGAGGGGGGAAATTAAAGGCAGCAGCTGTGTGCAAAGGTTTAGTGGACCTGAGGAAGCTGGCCGATGCTTTTTGGCTAGGGCAGGTTGGTGCATGATTTGTAGGGGGCACGCCATGACTACTCCTATAAGGCTGGGGTTCAAACACTGTAGAGGATGAAGAGTGCGTCTTTAAATAAGACATTTGGGCCATGAGGTCGAGGGGTACTGCCTACCAGGTAACTTGCCTTGCCTAGGGTTCTCATCCACAGCCCTTTAACAGTCTTTTAAGAAATGTATATTGTTTCAACACCCACAGGTTTCACTTCTAGATTTTTCTACAAACTTTTCCTGTGTCTCTGGTTACTTTTCTGGGCAATGGGCATTAATGTATATTCACAATACAGCCGGGGAGCATAGGCAGGCTTGCTGCCTTTTAAGACCTGGTGGAAAGAAGGTCTCTGAATTGGTGCATGTCTGCAGCCAGCAGATAGTCTGTCGGGTAGAAACCTCTCCAGCTTCCCAGCAGAGTCCTCCCTTAATCACTTTAATTCTTTCATACAGAAGATTTTGGAATGGCACAGCCAAGCTGCCAGGACACTATATAGTCATATAATGTGCTTGCTTAGCCAGCCTCATGTAGGCTGCTGGTGGACCAGAGAACAGGGGCTAACTTGCATTTTTTTCTTCCAGGTTTGATTTGATGGGCCTGAGTCCTGATGCACCTGAGGATGAAACTGGAATTAAAAAAGCTGCTGAGAACCGTAAGAAAAGTTTGCCCAGGGGTAGTGTTAAAGCTGGTCTACATTTCTCCAAATTGTAATTGACATTTGAAAGCCGGAGAGAAAGAGAGAGACTTGGGTTCTGTCATAAAGAGCCTCTGCCCTTTTTTACATTCCCTGTTCAAAAAGGCCCACTTCCTAATTCTTGCAAAAAGTAAAGTGAGTGAAGCGGTTTGGGATATTTACATTCTGAATGCATGGAAGGCTCATTTTAAAACACTTCCTCCTAGTGCAAATGTAAGAGAGGCATCCTGTAGACAATGTTTTGCATATCTTAAGCCATCCTCCACTCCCACACCATATTTATCCCTTCTCCAAGAAGATTTTACCCCTGCCTGCCCTTTCCAATTTTAACTAGTTTTGTGCAGGTGCAGTGGTTGCAAGCCATAGTTCCTATCCGAAACATATGGAAACCATGGTTATGAGGAAAGCTGGTTGTAGTAACCATGGTTTGCATTGGTCTGTATAATACCGTATTTTTCGCTCTATAAGATGCACCAGACCATAAGACGCACCTAGTTTTTAGAGGAGGAAAACAAGAAAAAAATAAATCTGAATCTCAGAAGCCAGAACAACAAGAGGGATTGCTGCGCAGCGAAAGCAGCGATCCCTCTTGCTGTTCTGGCTTCTGGGATAGCTGCGCAGCCTGCATTCGCTACATAAGACGCACACACATTTCCCCTTACTTTTTAGGAGGGAAAAAGTGAGTCTTATAGAGCAAAAAATACGGTAGATCCTTGGCTAGCAACATGGGAAATTACCTTACCTAGTCAGACCCTTGGCTGGGTGCTGCTAATGCTGATGGGCAGCTGTTTGACAAGGGTCTGTCCAGCCCTACCCAGATTCTGGGGATTGAATCTAGGATCTTCTGCATGCAAAGCAAATGCTCCACCACTGATTTGCAGCCATTCCCAAATTGTTAATGTTGGCAGGAGAAGAAGAGGAGATGAATCACTCCAGCAGGAAAGACCCAGAGAGTGGGAATGTGTGCTCTCAAGGCGGATTCCTGATTTGCAAATGTGTGGCATCTTAGCACTGTCTGCTTTTTTAAACATTTCAACACCAAAGAAGAGTGGTTTCTGGGTTTAGCAATCTCACACCAACTCTCTCCAAAGCTGGTGTGACATAGTGGTGAAGGCTGTGAATTGTGAATTCACTGAAGAGGTCTTGGGCAAGCTTCAGATTCCAGAGAAACAGCCATGTTGGTCCACTGCAGCAAAACCAAGAGTCCTGTGGCATCTTAAAAGACTAGCATGTATTTTGTGGCATCACTTTTCATGAGGGAGAGCTGAGCCCAATGCAAACGTTGATTGTCCTATGCTCCCCCCCCCCCACTTTTCAAACTCTACTCCTTTTCCCTTGATCTCTGCCACCGGAGGCCTTGTCAGAAAGAACATCACACTCCTTTTAAAAACATGACATTTTGAAGCAGAGGAAGCTTTGTGAAATAGATCTGTGCCAACAGACTTTTTGTAATTATTGTGCACCCAGCATATTTGGCACCTGAGATGCAAGGCCTATGATATTATGCCACCTTGAACTCTCTCCCTCTGCATTTCAGTTAAAGCGGTGATCGAACATGAGATAAAGAATGGGATCCCAGCCAACCGTATCATCCTGGGAGGCTTTTCACAGGTGACTGGTGTGTGTGTGGCAGGCTGCATCCTCAGGACGGCAAGCCGGTGTGTGGACGGCGGGGTTGGAAATGAGGAACAGGACATGAGCACTGGTGCTGGGGGAACATGGAGAACTAGCGGCTGCCACCTTGCTAATGGGGGGGGGAGCATGGGAGATGAGGTATAGCTTCCTCTGGAGCAGCAACTTGGATGTGTGCAGTTGTTCCAACAGTCCTGAGGTTAAGTGGTATCCTGAGTCATAATGCTTTCACTTTTTTCCATTCAAAACACATTTCTAACCCTTATTGTCATGGGAAACACATGCTTTGGGGCAATGTCTGGTAAAACCTTACAACCCAAGGATGGGTGTGGGGACAGAGTTAGACTTCTGGAGTGGAACTTCTGCCCTCCTAACTACTACAGTGGTACCTCGGGTTACAAACTCCGCTAACCCAGAAGTAGTACCTCAGGTTGAGAACTTTGCCCCTGGATGAGAACGGAAATCACGTGGTGGCAGTGGGAGGCCCCATTAGCGAAAGCGCACCTCAGATTAAGAATGGTTTCGGGTTAAGAATGGACCTCTGGAACGAATTAAGTTCATAACCCGAGGTACCACTGTACTTCCCTGTTTCCTTCTGGCAAGCTGAACATTGCATGCAAAAAAAGAGAGGGAAGCCTTTGAAATTTGTGTAGGTAGAATATAATCAAGTTGCAGAATTTGGTTCTATATTTTTGAAAGGTTTAGGTTGCACCAGGTCTGTTTTTTCCCTCAAGCAGTTAAGTGGGGCAGGAAGCGATGAGGGCTCTTCTCTAACGCTGTGTATTGGGAGTGTGGCCTCCACTGACCTGTGTGTCCCCCCCATACCATTCGTGCCATAAGAACCAGGAAATCTCCTACAGAGGGGTGGGGTGGGGAGGGCTGTTCACAGGGGTGGCAGTAGATGAGAGTTGTGTGCACCTTTGCATTGGTAGAGGGTCTTTTCTGGAGCAAGCTCTGACCTGCTTTCTAATCTTGGTTGCGCTTCAGGGTGGCGCGCTGTCCCTCTACACGGCGCTCACGTGCCCACACCAACTGGCTGGCATTGTGGCCCTCAGCTGCTGGCTCCCCCTGCACAAGACCTTTCCTCAGGTACTGCAGCCCCCTCTCCCCCTTGAATGTGTTGCTGTGGGCCCTGTGGGCCCTGTGGGTTGGGCTTGGTGCATGCCAGGGTGGCTGCTCAACTGGGAAATGCCTGTCTGGTAGAGCAGTTCCTTCACAACTAGCTTGCCCAGGTACTGCATTTCCCAGAGTGCAATGGGTTGTTCACAGCTTGGTGTTCCTTCCCCTGCTGCTGTCCCCCCCCCCTTCCTCCTGCAGGCAGCAAATAACAGCATGAACAAAGACATCCCCATCCTACAGTGCCATGGGGAGATGGACCCCATGATCCCAGTCCGCTTTGGAGCCCTCACTGCCGAGAAACTGAAGGGCATTGTGACTCCAAGCAGGGTCCAGTTCAGAACCTACCCAGGAATGATGCACAGCTCCTGCCCTCAGGTTAGTTGGCAGCCAGTAAACCCATTTCCTTAAGATGACTAACTAGTCTTAGTTGAGTGGTTGCAGCCAGGGTGCATGCCAGGATATTAGGGTTGAGATGCCCTTACTCTGGGAGTATCTGAGAAGGTCCTATGCCTGGTGCCTCGACCTTCAGAGGTTCGGTGGATGGCATCCAAAAGCATCCTTTGAGGTACTCCTTGAAGTGCCTTCTGCCATGAGCCCTTATTATGGCTTGTATGCTCCAGTGTCCTAAGGCAGCTTTGCAGACCTGGTGGTCTGAGGCAGCCTCTTTTTGATCCCCACTTAATTATATCGTACTGCTGCAATCAGCTGTCTTTAACTGGATATGTATTTTTTTTAACCGATTAATTCAAAAGAGATAACAGTGTTAGTCTGGAGTACTGAAAATAGCAGGTGCCCTGTGGAAGCTTAAAGGTTGTGGCATCATCTTTCATGGGCCAGACCCCCAAACTCCTGATAAACTCCTGATAAAGCCAAGCGCCAGCATGACACTTTAATTGTGGCTTTTGTTTAATCTCAACTTGCTTCAGTTGACTTTTGATTTTATATGAGCAGCGAAATAAATTGCTGTGAGCTGGCTTGGCAGCCGCCTCTTGTGGCAGCCAAAAGACTGCTTGAAGCTTGAAAATCAGTGTACATGTGTGGGCAGCAACTCATGTAGCATAACAAGGAAAGTGGCCAGTTCCACCCCCCCCCCAGACTCTTGATAAGCTCAGTTCTCATTTCAGCTCTTGAATTTTTTTCTGTTTTATGACCCTCAGTTCAATGCAGAGAATCTTGTCACTCCCGGAAGGGAGCACATGAACTGTTTGAGGCTGTTATGTCTTTGAAAGGGAGGAGAATGAGCACACGCACAAACAAAAACCACTACTTCTCTTTTTACTCTGTGCAGGAGATGATGGCTGTGAAAGAATTCATTGAGAAGCTGCTGCCCAGGATTTAAACAAAGCTACTCGAGACTGTTGCAGGGAGAGGAGACAGAGTTCACCACCTGTGATCTTTAACCTTGACCTGCCCAGCTGCAAATGGGGAGCCACAGCAATCCACCTCCACGTCAGCCAGTTTCCTTTCTCTGGCCTTTCCCTTCCTCCTGCACCGCCCCCCTCCTGTGCATAGGGAGGGTTGCCCCTCTCTCTCCTGTACATGGAGTGAAGGTACGGAGCGGTTTTAAGGTACAGCTGAGAACCATGTGGCTGCCTCCTTGCAAATTTAGTATTTTTGGTCATCTGATTTCCGCCTTTCTTTGCTATCTCTTCCCCCTTCCCCAACCCCACACAAATGCTTGCTGTGGCAATGAACTGGGTGGTAGCCAAAGGCTTAAAACAAAGGTATTACGAGACTGTGTTCTGCGCTGTTACAGTATTTGCAGGGAGCATCTGCAAAGGTATCTGAGCTCCCTGATGGGTTTGCAACAATCCCACCCACAGTCCCTGTGCCCCCCCCCTTTCTGTGATGCAGAGCCTGAGCCTGTCCTGGTGGAACCACCTTAGAGGTGCAGGTAGGGTCAGGGCCCCCCTCTCGAGTTGCCAGTGCTTTTTGGGGGCAGGGGAGGCAGGTAAACTGCCCCACCCAGGCAATCATTCCATCCCTATTCTGCCATCCCATCCACTCTGCCAGGCGAAAGGAGGAAGGTCTGGCTGGCTGACGGGTTGCTGTACATCCTCCAAGCATGTCCTGGGGCTGCTCCTCCCCAGTCAGCCACATGCACCATTCAGTGTGCTAACAACTCCCAGCTTGGGCTGGAGATACCATCGGTTGGGGCGTTAATGTGGTGGAGGGGCCCCCACCTCACCAGGAATTGCTTCTAATGTATGTTCTTTTAAAAATTTCTTTGTTTGTTTCTTTCAAAATCATCTCTGCTGTGGTCCCCTCCATTGGGTCTATCTTGTTTTGTACCTACACAGATAGGGTAGCGTTTGTCCAGAAGGTAGACACGCAGCAAGTTCTCTGCAGCCTTTTGGGCACCGCAGCTCTCAGAAGCACCACTCCTCCACTTCCTATCCAGTCTGTATCGAGTAGCTGCAAGCGGCCTTTTTGTCTATGGGGTGCAGTCTCCCTCTTATCACTCCCCACCCCGCTGGTCTTGTTAGTGGAATGGGCAAGCACGGTCCCCCTCTCTCCCTTCTAGCCCTGGTGGCTGGCGTATTTTTTGAGGCTCTCCCCTAAGTCTCTAGTCTGTTTTATTTCAGTAACTGTCCCATTTCACCTCAAGCAGAAGGCTCTCATCCTCATTTCTGGCAGGGGGCTGTGCTGCTGAGCAGCCAAGGTTCTCTTACCATCACCCCTTCAGCATCCACACCCAAATTATCCACCGGCGTGGGCTGACACCAGCACTGACAGCCAGGGACAAGATGTCTCTTCAAGGAGCTTTCCACTTCTTTTTGTGTGAAGGGCTAAATGTTGCCTCCCACATTGTCCTACTGTGTTGCTCTTTGTGAGGGATCTCTCTGCTCACTTCCTTCCCCTGGCTCTGTATGGTCCTCGGTGGTTGGTAGCAGCAACAGCAAGGGAGGGGCTTGGGGTCCCCCAAAGCTAGGACAGCCCTCCCTCTGCTACACTTTCCAGTGCTTTATACAGCTATGTGCAGCAAAGGGGGATCTCAGGATATCCATGTAGGAATACATGGCCTGCCCTTCTAGAGCTTGCATCACAATGGCAGCCCCAAAGGAGATGTTGCTCCCCTTCCTGCTTTCAGTGCAAGGCTTCCTCCTCTGCCCTGAGCAGCCGCTGCTTCCCCAAAAATCTGCTTTTTGCCAGCCTTGGGGATCATTTGGCCAAGGCCAAACTTGGCTTCTCTAGAAGGCAAAGTGCCTTCACTGCCAAGCGGAACGCCTCCCACTTGGGGGACTTTCCTTTTTAGCAGCTGGCAACTTGCTGGGTCGTCCTCCAGGCCGCAGGGGCTTCCCAGATCTCACTGGAAATAGGGCCAGATTACACGGCTTGGTGCCGGAACAGCTCACATTCACAGAAACATCAGGAATGGTTGGAGAGATTTGTTTGTAATGGGCCGGAATATTCTGTATGGCCTCTTTTAATCACCAGAGAAGCAGAAAGCACTAATCCTTTCATAAACTAATCTGCATTAGACTCATTTTGAGTGACTGCTTAAATGGCAAAGCTGCCTCTTGCTTGCTCTGTGGAGGGTTTGAATCCTCCGATATTCTGCTTTGGGTTTGGACGTTCTGGTGGTTGGGAGGACTGTGGCTGGTCTTGGACATGCAGCAGAATGAAGTGGTAGAATCCCAAGGTAGTAGAGGACTGTACAACTTCACAATTGCAAGGTGGGTTTTGTGTGCACTGTTCTTGAATGCTCCCTGACGTAAAACTCAAATCCCTGTAAGTAGCAACACACCAAACAGATCTGCTGGGTTTCTACCTGCAGGGACCTTTGTGTGTTGTATGCTGCTTTTTTACGTAGGGAGTATTTAGGCATGTTATCCCACCACCACTTCAGCCTTCACAAGGAAGTGTTGTGGTGACAGTCCTTTTCCTTCTGCATTTTGCTCCATCTGCAGACCAGGCCTTGGCTTCCTTCTCTATAGTGAGCGTAGGCAAGCAGACATGAGGGGCGATGCTCCTCCTGTGCTTGTGGCTGCCTGGCTGCTGCTGCTGCTGCTGCTCTCTCCTCTTCTCTGACCATTAATTGGATTGTTCTGTATAGGAGTTACACAGAGAAGTGCCCTGGACTCTGCTGCTGTTGCCACTGCCAATTTTGACTAGATCCTTCTCAAAGCAAATTGTCAAAGTGGCCTGCAAGTCTTGGGTGTCTCTGGAGGGACTGTGTTAAGAATATGGAAGCCAAAGCAAAACAGTGGCTTCTGTATGTTCCTGCACATGAATTAATTCTCTTCCCCAACCCCCCTTTCCCTTTTGTCTTCCCCATACATCATTTTTATTTTTGTGTTCCACTGAGATTAAACAAACACAACCATCTGTGCCTCACCTTGTTGTTTCTTCAGTGTAGTCAAGATGTGTCAGTTTCTCCTGCAGTCGTTAAGTGTTTAAAGCACTGTGTACGCCTCTTGGTTTAGATGAATAACAAGCCTGTGCAATAGCTCATAGGCCAGGGGCGGCTGGTATGTGACCCTCCAGATGTTGCTGAACTACATATCCCATCACCCCCAACCATTGGCCATGCTGGCTGGGGCTGATGGAAGTTGCAGTTCAGTAACATCTGGAGGGTTGCAGATTAGCTACCCGTGTTTATAGGTGACTTTCCTACACGATGAGCAGCAGGGGAAAGAGAAACTCACCTAAGGCCACCTGTGGGCTTCATTTGTGAACTAGCATTTGATCACAGATATTCCCAGTCCAGGCCCAAATACCTATTGCAACACTGGAATTCTACAAACTGCAAGTTACCATCTTTGATTTCTAGAGTGCAACATGTGACCCACAAGACAAACTCCCTAGAAAAGAATGGTTTTGTCTACTAAATTTTAAAAGGTTCTAGCCCTTATTGTGGCACAAAAAAGCCTCCCGAGGCTAACTGCTGAATGGCTCTGAATCCAAATACTGTATGTACAAAAGGGCTTTATGTAATAGAGAAGCAGAGTGGGTGGTTTGGGTAGGAGATACTATTCCCATGTAACACCCTTGGTTTGAAAGGGGTTTTTCTTAACTTCTCCTCCTCATTGAGTCAGGGCCAGCTCTACTGTTAGGCAGGTGTTGAAAAGGTAGAGAGCAGCAATGAAGTGTCGGCTAGCGCTGTGTGCTTGTGCCTTGTGATCCGCCTTGCACCCCCTCAGCTGGCCGCCTGTTTCACCAGTTGCAGTGGAGAATGCTGTTCCATCACCAGCACTGAAGTAAGGCTGAGATGCCGCTCGGGGTGTGCATCTGTGTGCATGCATTATTTTGTCTTTCTGGCACTGGCAGCTAGATCTCTTAGGCTGGCCCTGAGGACGGTATTGTTTACTCTGCTTAACACTGGCTCTTCAAGATCTCTGTTCCTTGAGAATTGTTTCAGCTGGAGATGTTTAGGGACTGAAATGGGAACATTACATGCAGAGCAGGAACTCCCACCTCAATCACACAGGAAACTTGTAACCCAACCAAGGCAGCATTCTCATTGCAATAGATCTTGCTATCGCCAGGGTGTGTGTGGTAGGCATCTGTCTTAAGTGAGGACAAGGAAGTTCCTGTTGCCTACGTTTTGTCTCAACAAAGAGAGATGCCTTGTGCGTCTTGAGGTGGCAGTCTAATCTTACTCTGCTATCTCAGAGTATGTTAGGCAAGGCCTTGTAAATACCTGGCTTTGGGGCAGGAAGCCTTAATCCACTTGTTCGCAAACAGTCCCATTGACGTCGGTGGGTGCTGTTTCACCACCAGGATGTGCTTGCATGTTACTGCTGGTGCTACAATAAAAGCTGGAAGTGAGCCTAGTAATTATTACTATGTGTTAATCATTTCGTGTATATTTTCCAATATCTAAAAATATATCAAAACACACCTTTTAAAAACCTCATCCCCCTTAGTCTCAAGCCACCAAATTTACACTGGCAAGATTTACATTTTTCTGGTACCTTCTGGGATGTGTTCCAGGCAGATGACCCTAAGAATAACATAGTTATATATAATCATTCAATTGCATTTTCCCCAATGCCCTTCTCTATGTTTTTTTTAGACCTCAGAAAATCTGGCTCCTTTTAGAAGGATCAGTGCCACCTCTGCTGCTACTTGGCCATGTTTCTGGTGGCGGTGGCTATCATTATGCTTCACTTACTCGGCACAATTTTAATAATGTGCCTATTTTTATTGAACTTCTAATTTGCCCTAAAATACTTCTGCCTACATTAAAAATTATATGCACATTCAGATGATGGTGCTCAAATAAAGAAGTGTTTCAGTACAGATTTTAGAATTCTTTAAAAAGCTAGGCTGCTAAATGGCCATTCTTCAGGGCACTGTAACTCACTAGGGCAGAGGTTGCCAACACGCCGCACACAGGTGCTAATGTGCCAGCCAGTATCACCTACGGTGCCTGCAAAAGGTCTTGGTAAATATATATAACATAAGAGACTGTTTGTTCTTCCTGTTCAAATTGTGTTTGCACTTGGCTTGGTTTCTCCTACGTTGAATATGCCCCTCCGTTGAATATACCTACATTTTTTTGGCTGCCCAGGAGTGGACACCTACCATCTCAGCTGCTCTGAACAGGTAAATTAGGCTACCCCCCAGCAGCCATTTTGACACTTCCTCAAAATATCAAATACGCCACACAGGCCCCAAAAGGTTGGCAACCCTTGCACTACGTTATGTTTCCCAATGTAGTTGGAATATAGCATGACACTACCCACCTCCCACCAAAATTGGGAAAAATCAGCTGCAATTCTACATGTAGCTTACAGTGGGAGCAATGAGCTTTAAATGAAGTTTTCAAACATTGGAAGATGGTAGCCTCAAATGGATTCTCCTCTTGTTCACTCCAATAGGCAAGGCTATGCAGCTTCTAAGCCCCACAGAACACATTAAGAATTGCTTCTGAGTAGGCAGGCACAGGGTGATGCTTACAGTGGGGATAAAAAACTTCTAGCAACAGGCATGGGAGTTAAAGCTTCACCTGTAAACCGCTTGCCCACAAGCAGGGTGGATCATAGATTATTAGCAACACAGAGGTGCAAAATCTGGCCTTTTTTTAACTTCAAAAAATCAAGTATTTAGTCCTTTTTAAGATGGAAGGAACACAATGGCAACAATAGCACTGCAACAGAGAGACACAAATAGATCAGAAGGGTAGAAAGAGTAATCTCTAGTTCTTTGATTTTGTAATCCAACATCTGGGGCTGCATCTCCCATTATCCCTGACTATTAACTATGCTTGCTGTGGATTATGTGAGCTGTGATACAACAAGGGATAGGGAGCCATGGTTGAAGGACATTGCTCCAGTCAATCAGGTAGAGGTCTTTCCCTCAAAGCTTTCTGCCCTCAAGTTATACACTAATAAAACATTCCGTACTCGTGAAAGCTGCTATATACACAATTTCTTCTAAGTGCACAATCTGGCTTTCCACTGCAGGAGCTACACACAACTTTGCTACTGGAGTAATTTATCTGCTGCAAGATGACTGCAGCAGGATTTTGATTTGGCTGCGACAGAAACTGCTGTGTGAATTCGAGTTAGTTGTAACAGATAAAGGCAGACCAGAAAGGGGAACTTATTCCACCAAGCAAATCCTAGCTGATGCTCCATTTTTGCAACTGGTTTCTTTTCTTCTTTAATCCGTACACCACCAAAAAATTTCATAATGCTTCAGAGATTGCTACTTATAAACTTCTGGTGGATGATCACTAGAGAGGCCAAAATAATTGGTTCCAATGGGGACAAGAAATGTGGCTGGTTTAGGAAAACATGTCCTGCCTCAGAATACATTAAAATATAGAAAGAGGAAGGCTGATCTCTGGTAGTAGGGATGGTACACTGATCATCAGGCATTGCAGGAGGGCAATTGCAAAGAAATCCAAGTGTGATGATGAGCTGAGCTAGCTGGTGCAAGACTAGGCTTTTGAGTTTCCAGGCTGACCACAGCCTGTGTCTCTACTTGACCAAATAAATGAACGGATTTTTGCATCAACTGTCACAGTTACAATGAACACCAAAGAGGAGCTTAGGAAGTGCTTCCCCCCCCCCTCCAGTTAGGGATCTGGCCCCTATGCCACACAGCCTAAGCTCAATGAACTAGGAGTGGCCCATTCTGTGGCGCACCTGAATTAAAACGTGAATGTGCTGTCCCCTGCCCTGCTCCACCACCATACACTGCCTGCCCCTCACTTCCACTGCCACCGGATCGGCCCGCTTCTCACCAAAACTCTGCAAGAAAGGGCCATTCTGTGAGTCCTTGGCACTCATCTTCACCCTAGGGGAAGAGTAATAGCAATATTGTAGCCAGCTCTGAATTTTACAGGACTCTCTGGATTCTGGTTTTTATGGGGCTACACAAGCGCAATTATGCTTAATGAGAGGTCAGCTATTTGCCTCATTATCTAGTGCAGTTCACGCTGGGATTCCACCTCCTTCCGCATCCACTGCAGCTACAGCCCTAAAGCCAGCATTAATTATAGTTTGGGCTTGACCTTTACAGCGACCATTTGCTTAGCCTCTGTCTGCTAGAAGATACTTCAAAAGGTTACTACATTCCTATTCAGCTGCAGTATTTGTCCCCTCCAAGTTTGCTTAGGAGCAGCCCCTTGCCCTGTTGAAGAGTAACAGTGCAAACCAGATTTCCCTATCCTGGTGGCATCCAGCTGTTGTGGACTTCAGCTCCAGGCAGCACAGCCGATACTCGGGAATGATAGGAGTTGCTGTCCAAAGCTTTCTGGGGGGGCACCCCTTGATCTAATCTGAAAAGCACATTTTCCCACAGTGGTAGACATGCCCTCGGAACTGACGCCCCTCTTTCTCCTCTCTTGATTTTCATCCCAGCCTCACGGCCTCAGTGACGCCTGGCAGTCTGTGGACCACCCTGCAAAGGGTCACTTGACCTAGCATGGCCTCAAAGCTGCACCAAACTATAAGCCTGAAAGTTCACCTGCCAAAGAGTTGGTGTACTTCTCTCCTGCTACTGCTTTGTCACATCGGTATTAGTGAACCTGCTGGACGGCTAACTCCCAGCACAGCCAGTGGTCCAGGATGATGATGAGCTGTAGTGCAGCCACATCCAAAGGGCCACAGGTTCCCCACCTCTGATTTACAGACGGCATTACAATTTAGAAATGGGAAGCCAGGGAGCAAACGACAAGGCTCCATGGACCTAGCTGTCGTTTTCCAACTACATTTTAACACTTGTACCTCCATGCAGCCTCTTCCCACAGCTCAGAACCTCATGGAGCAGCCTGCATCCATCAGGACATCTCAAGAACCTGGCAGCAGAGGGTGGACTCTTTAAAACCAAAGAAACCAAGTTTGTCCCCAGTGAGGGGAGCTTGACATCCTCCATGGGCTCCCATTGACACTTTTTATTTGTCAGTCTTCCCACTCAATGGGAGGGTCAGAGCTCCTTGCTCCCTGTTTGGTACCAACCTGGCTGGCAGAGAAGGTTCAGGGAGAAGGCACAAGAGAGTTAAAGAAATGGGTACAGCAAAAGGCCAAGATAATCTTCCCCTTCCTGAGTCTATTTGGTCTCTTATGAAAAGGGAGAAGAAGGGCAGGGGAAGGAACGAGCAGGAACCACCATCTTCCCTGAGTGAAATGCAAAACAGCCCTTGGAACTGTCCTTGGGTCATGGCAGCCACGCACTGGGGAGGACAGGCAACATCTTCCAGGCGCTAGTTCTTGCTGTAGCCAGTGGGGTTCTGTGACTGCCACCTCCACAAGTCCTCACCTGGAAAAGGGCAAGAGAATAACGGCACTGAGTTAAACTGGAATTCGCTACCACGCTGTGGGGGTGGGTGCCACTATGGAGAAGGTCCTTTCCTTGATTTGCAGAGAGATTAGACAAATCCGTGGAGGATAAAACTAAAAATGGCTACTGGTTGTGATAGCTATGGTCTACCTCCAGTGCCAGAGGCTGCGTATAGCTCTGAATACCAGTCGTTGGGAATTGCAAAGGGGGAGAGATGTTGTTGCGCTCAAGTCCTGCTTGTGGGCTTCCCATTGAGGCACCTGGTGGGCTGCTGTGAGAGCAGGGTGCTAGGCTAGCTGGGCTGAAGGCCTGACCCTGCAGGATTCTTTGCATGCAGATGTCAATGCAACACCCCACCCCATGAGACTCCAGGTGAACAGTGGCGAGTGAAGCAACTTGGTTGAAATGAGGAGGAGGGAATGGAAACCCATTTATTTCTCCAGCTTCCGCCCCTAGGAATAAAGAAGGGGGAGGCAAAGGCTGGCAGAAAAGGAGCAGGCAGATGGCCCTCTGTGGGGAGGCTCCACTTACACATTTTGTCCAGGCCAAAAACAGCTTTCCAGCCCAGCTCCCGTTCAGCTAGGGCAGGGTTGGCGTAACAGGAGGCGATGTCTCCTTCCCGACGTGCAACAATCTTGTAGTTTATCTAGAACAAAGACAGCAGCCTGTCATTAAGTGGAGGGAAACCGATCAGGGGCAGCAGCCAAGATGATAAGACACATTACTACAAAATAAAACCCTCTCAGACATAACAAATTAAGTGTCACAGGCAAAGAATGAAAATGAAAAAATACGCATTACAGTGAAGCAAATCGCCAACAGCAATAAACAAAACGTTTATCATAAGCCATCAAATGCATGGGAGAAGAGAGTTGGAAGGATGTTAATGATGGTGCCAGGTGGACCTCACTAGGGAGAGCATTTTTTCATTTATTTAAAAGCAATCATTGGTAAGCTGCTTAATATTCAATTATCTGCAACCTAATCACAATGGCATTCCTTCCAGAAGACTAAAGCGCTGGTTGACGTTCTCTACTCTAGTGTGAGGCTCCTAGACCAAAATGTTGGCTGGTCCCCTCAAAAGCACCCTGCATTCTGCATAGTAGGTGGGCTGGTCGTGCCACTGGCAGAGGGGAGCAATGTGCCTCTCTATAGTCCCACTATTAAAATGTAAAGGTACACATTCCAGCCCCAGTTTTATGCCAACTCTTTTTAAACAGGGTCACAGATCAAAGAGGCCATGTTTGCCTCATATCAAAGGAGGCAGATTTTGGATCCCAAAATACTGAAAGCTACCTCAGGTATGGCAGGCATTTATTATTTTAGCACAGGCTAAACAGCCTATGAGCCCCTAAAGCAGGGGTGGGAACCTGTGGCAAGTCATTTGCTTCCAATTGCCATCATCCCCAACATCATCTAGAACAGTGTTTCCCAACCACTGTTCCGCGGCACACTAGTGTGCCGCGAGATGTTGCCTGGTGTGCCGCGGGAAAAATTAAAAAATTGAAAGATTTTTTTTTAAAGTCAAATTTTCGATTGGGGCGCCGTCACTAGATGACCCCTGGGGTTCCCTCCCTCCCTCCTGCTCTGCGCCTCCCTCCTCCTCCTCCGGGGAGGCCCTTCCTGGCTCTCGGCCAAGGCTTGGCGGCTGCCACTCACTCACTCGCTCGCCCACCCGTCCCTCCATCCCTGCACCCGGCCTCTCCCCCTCCGTCCCCGGCGCGGGGGCTGCCGGGATCCGTAGTCCCCTCGCCCTTGGGCTCCGCGCCCGCGCGGGGTGCGCGAAGTACGTTTCCCAGCGTGGCCTGGCGGGCCGGGCGTTTTGTTTGAAGCGCTCTTCTCCCGGCCATGGAATGAGCGCAGCGGCGGCGGCCGGGCGGGCAGGGGCTCTTCCGCGCATCCCCCGCGCAGCCTGCCTGCGCCCCCCCGGAGATCGGGCGGCAGGATGGAGCCCGGGGATCCCCGCGGAGGCGGAGCGGCGGAGGCGGAGGCTGCCCCCCAGGTAGGGCTGCGTCGGGGGTTTTTTATTTTTGCAGTGCTGCATCCGCGCCGGAGGGGACGCATCGGACCGCGGGGAGACCCCTTGGCGGGCGTGCAAGGCAATGCATGCGTGCAGGCATTGCATGGAGTGCAGTGCAATGCAATGGCAACGCGGCGCCCTGCATGCATGCATGCAACTTCCACCGGCGCTCCGGACTTGGCAGGTGAGGGGGGTCCCCAGTGGGCGGCAGAGAGAGCCGGGAGGGCGAAGGGGAGCCGGGGGGGAGCAGCGCTGCTCCCCGAGCCGAGCCCGGGGGGAAACTTCGGCGTCGTTGCGCCGGGTGTTGGAAGCGGAGGCTGGCGGGGGCCCCTCACCTGCAAAGACTGTAATGGTGGTGTGCCTCGAGATTTTTTCATGAAACAAGTGTGCCTTTGCCCAAAAAAGGTTGGGAAACACTGATCTAGAAGGCCACAGGTTCTCCCCAGCCCTGCAGAAAAGTGGATGAAACCCACCAGCCATATATGGAGACCTGGCTTGATAGCCAACCTGATCTTGCTGTCATAACTAGCACTGCGAACAGAACAGCCTGGCAATGGTCTGGTAAGTGCTAAAATGTGTGGGGAGCCTTCAGTCCAGGGGCAAAATGCAGGACTTCTCCAGGCCACTCCCCTTCCTGGCCTTGCTCCACTCTCAAGTGCTTTTGCATTGCTGGAGTGTGTCCTTGAACATCTGGAGGGCACCAGGTTGGGGAAGGCTGAACCAGACTCCTGCTTCGTGGTGGGCCCAGCGAGGGTTGGCCAATTGGCAATGCCTTCCTCTCTCTGGTCCCCTTTACCTAGACCCTAACAGGAGTTCAATCCCCCCTCCTGGAACCCAGGTTGTCCCGATACTCTACCTCTCTTCCCGACGCCTTCTCCATTGCCTTCACCATTTGCAGGACTGAGCAGCCGGTGCCGGTTCCAAGGTTGTATATCTGCAAAGATGCAACTCTTGTGACAAAGGCTTTGTCGACCTTATTGCCCAGTGCGGCACTTTCCAGGTGCCTGTCCCAAGGAACTTACAAATATAAGAAAAACTGCACCACAAGGGAAGGGTCTATAGGAAGGAAATGCATTCACTTTTCAGGTACACATCCCTAGAGCTTAGTTTCTGTAGGTTGTGGGAAGTAACTAAGGGGCCATGCCAAAGTCTTCATGGAAAAAGCATTCTGTGAAATGGGAAGTATGCGTAATAATATAGGGTGGTGGAACTTTATTGGCACAAAATTTTGAACACACCCCTTCCTAAACTGAGCCCGTCTCCTGAACAAATTAGGAGAAGTGGCTGGAGTCTGCAAGCAAGGATGCTCCCAAAATCCAGGTAACAGAGGCTCAGTTGACGTGGGCTCCAGCAGAACACAACATGGATGGAAGCAGTGCTTCTGACCAAGTCTATGCACTTCCCTACCTTGCAGCCACAGTTCTCCTTGAGCTTCTTCAAAGCCGCAATGTGGCCTTTGGCCAGGTCCACCACGTGGATGTAATCCCGGACGCCTGCAGAAGAAGGAGGAAACCCATCAGCCAGCGCACTGGCCACCCCCTCTGGGTAGGCCTACATCTTACTTAGTTCAACCTTTGCCAACCTGGTAGCCTCCAGATGATCCCATCAGCCCAGCTAGCTGAGTCGCCACCAGGATGGCGAAGGCTGAACTGGTTTATCATCAGAAGGGATAAATACAGACGCTATCCTGCTATGAAATGAAAGGAACAACCCAGGGAAGATTTTCCAAGCAGATCATGGACTTGCCAAGTTTGATTTTAAACAAGGCTTCCAAAAAAGAATTATGGGGATTCCGGTTTGCCAAAGGTGCTGGGAGCTGTTAGAAGACCCCCTATTCCCCTCCCAGTGCTTCAATTCCCAGAGTTCGCTGGGAAGAGGGATTGTTAAACCACTCTGGGAATGAGACTCTCCCCAGGCAACACCCCTCACAGGCTATGGCTTGCAACCAGACTGCTTCCGCTTGGCTGGAAGGTGCTCTGCTTCTTGGTTGCCTGGATGGAAGACAGAGACGGGTGTTTCAAAACTAGCCTATTGTAAAGGTAAAGGGACCCCTGACCATTAGGTCCAGTCGTGGCTGACTCTGGGGTTGCGGCGCTCATCTCGCTTTATTGGCCAAGGGAGCCGGCATACAGCTTCCGGGTCATGTGGCCAGCATGACTAAGCCGCTTCTGGCGAACCAGAGCAGCGCACGGAAATGCTGTTTACCATACAAAAAGAGAAAACACCCCCGTGCCTATATGTGTCTATAAACCACTTGGGTTAGAGGCCCATAACCACTCTGGCTTCCATATCTCCAAACTTCCCAGTGCCCAGCATATTTCAAGTAGATTTGGGGGTGGAGGCATCGTTCCTTTCAAGCTAGGGTGATTCCAAGCAACTCACCAGTCCCATCCACTGTATCATAGTCATCCCCAAATACACTCAGGTACTCTCGGCGCCCCACAGCCACCTGGAGTGAACAGAAGGAAGAAAGGACAGGAAGGCACAGGAGTTAGCAGGAGAAACTCGCTGTGCAAGAGGTGGAGCAGAGCAAACTCTCTCAGGGGGGGGGTCTTGCATACCTGAGCAACGTAGGGCATCAGGTTGTTTGGGGTGCCCTGGGGGTCCTCGCCAATCCTCCCCGACTCGTGGGCTCCAATGGGGTTGAAGTATCGCAGGAGAACCGCGTTCCAGTCCTGAGAGAAGCAGCACAAGAGATCGGATCAGAAAATACTGCCCAGGAGAGCTGTATGGAGGACTCTGGGACTTGCTTTCCAGTTCTGCCTTGCACAAGTCTGACTTTAGTATTTATAGTTGTATCAGAAAAAGTAACACGTCACTCAAAGGTACAAAGAGGTAAAGCCACTTCTGAGGATCTGGCCACTGTTTGGTGGCCATGGATCAATGATCCACTTAAATATTATATGCCCAGATACAATTCATTTATATGGAATTACTTGTAACCAATCTCTGGCTTATGTCAATTATATTTTAAATATATGTTTTTATATACTGAGACAGATAAATTGAGCTAAATGTATAGGCTTATGCTGGTATTATAAGGCCATGTGCTTGTGGATTCTTAATATATGCCTTTCTTTCCATTAGTTCCAGAAGTAATGAAATAAGTAATACGTATTGAAATTAATGCTATATGAGTTTTTGCAAAAATGACAATAAAGATTATTTTAGAAGAAAAAAAGAAAAAAACCCCAGAAAATACTGCTGAGGACAATTGGACCCCTGCATTATAAGGGGGTTAGTAGTGTGGTATGTTGCTCACTCACCGGCTCTGCTTTGCACAAGTCTCGGATCATCTCCTCGATGAAATACTTGGATTTCCCATAAGGGTTTGTGCAGCCTCCCACAGGGTGGTTTTCGTCAAGGGGGAGGTAGGCCGGGTCCCCGTATACTGTGGCTGAGCTGCTGAACACAATGTTCTTGACCCCGTGCTCTTTCATGGCCTGCGGAGGAATGCAGACAACCTAAGCTCAGTGCTCTTCCTCCAGACGTCTCTGGATGTTGTTGGACTGCAACTTCCATCATCCCCGACCACTGAGATGGCTGAGGATTATGGGAGTCCGAGTCTAACAAGAGTCGGGGAGCGAAGGTCGAAGGGCACTGAGCTAGCCAGGCTCCATTTAGCAGGGGTTCTGTTTGAAAGTGATTCCTCAAGAGCAGGAAGAAGCCCTGATGATGGGTGAACAGAACTTCCCCAGGCCAGGGCGGGCCAGCGGATGGACACAGCCAACCCCTGCCCAGCCTTCCTCCAGGCTAACATGGTGCCTTGAGTGACACTATGGAAACATCCTCAACTGCAGGGGGAACTGGTGGAATAAGCCATGTTCCTGCTCACCTCCAGCAATCGGATGGTCCCAGTCAGGTTCACTTTGTAATATTCCAGCGGCATCTGGACAGACTCTCCCACAGCCTTGAGGCCTGCAAAATGCATCACGGCAGAGAAATTGTGCTGAGGGGAAACAGAAGGGGGAGCTGCGTTAGGAATACTTCTGTGGAAGCTACAGTACGTTTTCTTTTATACGTGCCCATTTTTATTTTATTTTTAAATGTTCCCCTAATGAAAAGCCGGAAGAGGGCAAAAAGCGCCTGTGGTGCTTTTTTTTTATGAGAAATGCCATTTTGTGTACTAATTCAAAGGGCTTTTGGCCCAAGCTTGCAAACACACACACACACCAGAGCCTGATGTCCTGCATCTCTGGCAGGAGAGCCAGATGCCAGCCAGACACAACCCACAACAGGGCTGCGTGGCTCCTGAGTGGTGCAGATGCCACTTCTGAGTTCTGGGATTGACAGGCGTCACTCGTGGCTCCCCAGCAAAGCCCAAGGAGGCACATCTGGCGCTTTTGCCACATATCTTTAGGCGCCAGGCGAAAATGTTTTTCTAGAAACAGGCCTTTGGCTAATTAACATCCCATGTGTTTGTGGGAAAGGGGGCTATTGGTTTCTTTTTGTTCTTGTTTTTACTATGTATTTACAAAATACAAAATTATCATGCTTTGAACCACCCTGTGATCCTTCAGGTGAATGGCGGTATACAAAATAAATAAATAAATGGGCCAGAAATAAACACAGCAGGGGTGTTGGGGGAGCAGCATGGCAGCGACACAAAGATGCAAGCACATTGGGAACAATAAAATCTCCCCAGAGGCAGAAAGGAATGCTGTGGGGAGGGAGGGGGGTGAGCAGACAGCAGAGGGAAGAGAGATGGAACCCCTTTCCTGCCAGCCCAAAGTGTAGTCCAAGACAGTGAAGACAGGAGATCTAGGGGACCACCACTGAGGAGGCCCTGATGCCACCCAGAGAGCAAAAAGTAAGCCAGAATAGTGCCCCCATTGGTAGGGCAGAGGGGGCGATGCTCTCAATAGGTGTGATGGGGAAGGAAACATTAAGCTGTAGGATCAGGCCCTCACCTTCTTGAAGAGGTTGTGGAGACCTGCCTCATCGAGGACATCCAGTTCCTGGAATGGGATCTTCTTGCCCACGATCTCCTCCACCCGCTGAATACTCTCGGGGACCGTGCTGCCCCCTGGGGAGAAAGACTGTTTTTGACACCATGCCAGAGTGGACCCAATTCCCAAATCATTGCTGTCCTCTTCAATGAGGAAGACTTAGTGGTGCCTTTTGGGGGGCAGAAACACAGGGGCCTCCACTCAGCAGAGTAAATAGTTGGGGGACCCTCAAATACGGAACGGCTGGGTTAATGTTCACGTTGTGAGGTAAATACATGTTTCCATCTAAGGACTTAAATTATCCTAACAGCACTACTGAAAGGACTCACACATCCAGATCTTATGACCCCCTTCTTAGGATTGGAATAGGCAACTGGTGGTCCAGGAGCTTGCTCTGGCCCTCAGGGACTTTCCATCCACGTTCCAGCCTAGAGCAGGGATGGGGAACCTGTGCCCCCCCCCAATTGTTGGACTTCAACTCCTATCAGTCCCAGCCACGATAGTCAATGGTTAAGGAATGATGGTTGCTGTAGTCCAACAAACATCTGGAGGTTTCCCCTCCTTGTCCTAAAGAGTTAAATAAACCTCTGTTTTTGTGAATGGGTGAGTGCAGCCAATGTTGCTGCTCTTGATCGCTTCCACAGGGGGAGCAATAGTGGCCTGGTCAGATGACTGGCTGAGGTGCAGAAAAGCAAAATCCTACCACTGACCCAGTTGCTGTTCATGTGGGGAGGTTGGATGAAAAAAGGAGAGCTTTTGTCTGTATCTCAAGTGAGTGAATGGGGAGGCCTAGGAAGAGGAAGGCCAAAGCCTGTGTTGCCACGCTGGGAAAGAGAGGGTTAAAGAGCCCCTTGCCTCTGCAAATCAGTGGGTGGAGCTAATGTTTCTGGCCTATGGGGCTTTGCTCAGTTATGAATCTCCCTTTGCTGAGTTGGACTATTGGAAGGGCCATAGCTCAGTGGTCGAGCATCTGTCTTCCATGCAGAAGGTCCCAGGTTCAATCCCTGGCATCTCCAGGTAGGATTCCTAGAGAGCTGCTGCCAGTCACTGTAGACAACCCTGAGCTAGATAGACCAATGGCCTGAGCTCAGCTGAAGGCAGCTTCCTGCATTCCTAGAGGTCCATCTAGTTCATCAGAGCTCAACCTCAGGTCCCCAGATGTTACTGAACTACAACCCCCATCATCCCCAGCCACCTTTGCCAATGGCCAGGGATAATGGGAGGTGCAGTCCCAACAGAATCAAAGGACCCACAGTTGAAGAAGTCTGGTCTTCATGAAATGGCAGCGGCTCTCCATGGTTTCAGGAGATGGGACTTCTCCATTCTTCTGGATACGCATCAGGTGTGATCTAGCAGGCCTCTTTTGCCAGGGATTGAACGTGGGACCTTCTACATCCAAAGCAGGTACCCTACCACTGAGCTATGGCCCTTCTCTAAACCCCCATCAAACCAGTTGCTGCCAGCCCTGGCCTTGGCTGCCTCCTTACCTCGGATGGCATTGTGGAAATTGTCAAGGACCACAGGGGTGTATCCGGCCTCAGCCAGTTCCAGAACGCAGTGGCTCCCGATGTAGCCGGCTCCGCCCGTCACAAGGATCTTTTCCGACATCGTCACCTGAAAGGGGACATGGAAGCTGTTTCAGAGAGGAGGGATGGGGGCCTTCATGGGAACCTCAGGGCTGCAGAAGCTTTCACAGAGGACCTAGGAAGGATGTCGGTGCCCCCAACTGATATCTGCCTGGACGGCACAAGAGGTGAAAATCCAGCCTGAGTCAAGGCAGGTGTTGCACGGCATGAATGCACACAGGTTTCATATATCACGACTGCACTGGGGAAGTCGTGACATTCTTTTCAGGTCCAGAAGTCAGCAACCTGAGAGTTTTGGCTCATATTTAATAAGGGAACATAGCAAGTTTCTAGTCTTTAAGACTGCAACGGCAGACTTGGAAATCAGACAGTGCCTGGTGATGTTTCAGAAGGTGGGCTTCCAGTGGTGATAAGGTACTCAGGACACTAAAACTGCGCTAAGACAGTGCGGGGTTGTTGTGAAGAGAACCATGATGCCTTTGGGCGCCCTTTGCATGCTAAACAGAAATAGGGGAGTGTTATCTTCTCTGAAGATGTGACATTAACCCCACAGGATGAAACCCCCTCCAAGCCTGCCTCCTTCCTTCCCACAATTTCCCTCCACCTCAATACAATGTGGAGTAAACTGCAACATTTACTTCATCATCTATTTCCCACTCCTTTGTGTGATAGATGCCATACAGAACCAACACTGTTCTTAGCCAGGGACCAAAGAAACTTGCAGTTTGTGCGAGTGGCGAAAATGTAGTCATCTGGGAGAGGACAGGATCAACCACTGGGGGGGAGTTGGACTCTGACCAGGGCAATGAGTCACTTTGTTGAGATCCACCCTGCCCAAAGAGTGGGTTGCCAACACCACAGGGCAGCTGCCCAAAAGCACACCTCTGGGCATGTGAGCCTCCTCGCAGTCAACAGACACATGGGTCAGCCCCACCTTTCTGCCCACTGAAAGAGGTTTCTGTCCTTCTGCTCCCTGGAGAGAAAGGAGGGGCTGGAGCAGGAAGGGGTGGAGGGGTGTTTCATCCTCCCAAATGGACACATTTTTTTTCCAGAGAACAGACAAGCTTTTAGTCTTCTTGAGCTGGCAAAGTTCAGTGTCTTGCTTGGAATAGAAGTCCTCAGAGTAGCAGCTGAGAAGACTAAGCCAACTAGACAAACTGGGCTCACTCCAAAGGCCAACGGAAAGAATATCCAAATACACATACACAGAGAAAAGCATTCATGTGGGGGGAAAATCATCGCCGAGATGTGGCTGGGCTGTTAGCCTTGGACTAAGGTTCAAATTGAGCCTCAGGCATGCTCCTGAGCAGCTTGGGCCAGATTACCCCAGAGCCTCAGTTGTCTTCATCTGCAAAATGGGAACACATTGGGTCTCTGTCTATTTCTGGATCCAGCAAGAGCGCCCTGTCCTTAGCTTCAAAGCCCTTCTTGGCCTTGCCCCCTCCTCATCCCACGGCTCATAGTATTCAATAAACCCTTGTCCGTAATCTTCCCTCCTTCAGTTCCACCACCCTCAACCAACCAAACGTTTTCTCAAAGTACTCCATCCTTTCTCTCTCTCTGCTAGAAACTGCCTCCTACAATGCCAGCTTGATACCACCTCACCCCCTTCAAAACCCACCCCCATCTTTTCTGTGAAATATTTGGCACAACCCCACCCCAATATCCTACTGAAGCCACATGCAACTGAAAGAGATACATATTTTATCCCCATTTCCTCCCTTCCTCTGTTGCATCCGCTGCCCAGTGAGTCAAATTACAGATTGGAAATGCCATGGGGGCAATGACTTATACATTGTAAAGTGCTGATACCACTATGGAAACGAACGTTTAAAAACTAAACTAAAAACAAGGTGGGAACAAGGTCATGGAAGAGATGCAGAGCATGACAATCTGAAACCAGAAACATGCCTAATGCCCAGGCCAGCCTCCCTTAACCTCGTTCTCTCCAGATGTTTTAGGCTAGGCTGATGGAACCCCGAACATCTGGAGGAGAGCACCTGGTTGAGAAAGGCTGGTTTAGACACCCAGCAGAGGAAATAGGAAGGACCCAAGTGTACATTTGAGGCCCATTAACATAACTCTTACAAAGGCATCCGCCACAAAATCCCCACCACTTCCTAAAAGAGAAATAGGAACAGGCGTGAGGAAATGGCTGGCAAATGACTATGACTGTAGTTCAGCGGATGAGCGCCTTCTTTGCATGCCAACAATCCCAGGTTCAATCCCTAGCATCTCCAAGTGGGACAGACCCCCATACAAAACCCTGCAGAGCCACTGCTAGTTGCAAGAAGCACCAGCTTCCTGTGTTCATATGCTCCTATGATAATCTCAGTATATGAGCCTCTTCCAGGGCCTGAGGCCCACTTTCACACCGTAATAAAGCAGTTGTGTGGACTTTGGCACTTCTGCAAGCACATTTGATCCAATATAGTATTTGGATTATTATTTTTACTATTTTAAATTGTGATTAGCCAAAACAGAAGCCCTGGTGATAGCCAGCAGCTATGATGCTTTCCCCCTGCCATTTCTCCTGGCTGAAGAGACCATCTGCTTAGCCCCTTCTGGGACTGCCCTGGCGTAACCTCACTTGTGCCTCCGCCCAAAACCATGTTTTCAATCCGTTTCTGCTTTATAATCTGCAACCTTTGCTGCAGGGTGATTAACGTTTAAGCTTTGATTGCCAGGACAGGCAAAGGATATACTGTGCTTCCGACAATCGTGCAGTTCCCAGCACCCTCCAACTTAGCCAACTTTTAAAAATATGTTGACAGGTTCTGCTCCTGCACCTTTAACAACAGCCTGAAAAGCACAAATGTAACAGAGAAAGCTTTTCCAATTTCTGTGTATCTTTATGTCTGGAAAAGCTACACTTGCTAGCTGTTGTTGTTGTTTGCAGGAGCAGGGAGGTAAAAATGTTGGCGGCTCAATTCCTAGATTGCTGCTTTTGCAGGGAACAAGAGAATTAAGCTCCGTGCCAGTTCAATCTACTTTCTGGCCCCCATCGCAGGTATGTTGAAACACAGTCACACCCTGTGGGTGTGCAGAGTCAGTTACATGGCTGGGAGCCAACCTGCTTTAGAAAACAGGATATGGAGACACCAAAGTCACACAGTTCCTGGTCAGACATAAAAGGGGGAGTGGCATGATGGACTGGAACTCACCTGGGGAGGCCAGATACCTGCAAGTGGAAATAAAGCCTTAGGAGGAACGGCTGAGGGAGTTGCGTAAGTTTAGCCTGGAGAAGAGAAGGCCGAGAAGTGATGATACCATCTTCAAATATCTGAAGGACTCTCCTTCATTGGGGGGTTTTTAAACAGATGTTGACTAGCCATCTTTCAGGGATTCTTTACCTGTAATTCCTGTATTGCAGGAGTCTGAACTTGGAGTCTCCCCCAACTCTACAATTCTATGATAATTAGACTCTCCTAAACAGTAATCATTAGAATAGTACAGTGGTACCTCGGGTTACAGACGCTTCAGGTTACAGACTCCACTAACCCAGAAATATTACCTCAGGTTAAGAACTTTGCTTCAGGATGAGAACAGAAATCGCGTGGTGGCAGCGGGAGGCCCCATTAGCTAAAGTGGTACCTCAGGTTAAGAACAGTTTCAGGTTAAGAACGGACCTCCAGAATGAATTAAGTTCTTAACCTGAGGTACCGCTGTACATGGATTCAGGCATGGACTTTTCATATTATTATTAATTAGATATATTGGTCACTTTTTTTACCACGGTAACTCAAAGCAACTTACGGTATATAAGCAAAGAAACACATACAGTAAAACCAACATAAAAGAAAAACATTTGAAGCAAAATCAAAAGGGCGATCCTATCAAGGAGACCACAGATAATTAACAGCCAAATGTTTTTCTAAGCTATGTCATGATGGTGCCAGGCAAGCATCCCTGGAGAGAGCATTCCACAAGCTGGGAGCCACCACAGAAAAGACCCGTTCCTGTGCTGCCACCCTCGGACATCTTGAGGAAGGAACACACGATTAAAGGCTTCAGATGACACTCACTGGGTCCAGGCTGGTTCAGAGGGGACTTTAGAAGATGGTAGGTATACAAGCTGTACTGTAGCTACACCAGCAGTGCCACACCAAGACCATCTGGCTCTGCTGGCACACCTTGAGTACACACAGCCCTCTCTTCCACAATTTGAGTGCAACTCTAACAGCCCAATGAATGAGGACAAGTTAAGGTGACTCAGTTATGTGAGAAGAACCACAGGCTGTCAACAACTGTAGGAGAAGCAGGAAGAAACCTGATTTGAGTCAGACCTTGTACAAACAACAGAAAGAGACACTGTGATGGGCAAGATGCAGAAATCCAGGTAGTAGATCAACTAGCAGGAAAACAAAAGCATGGATAATACAGACAGGTCTTTATTGGCATGTCTGTGAATTTTGACAGGTACAAATTGCTTTAAACCAGATTGTGGAGACATGTCTAGAAAATTTATTTATTCTTGTAATGACCAGAAAAATATTCTATCATATCATTAATTAACCCTGTACAGCTTCCATTTATTAACTGGCAAGAGCCAAAATTTATCCTAGGACTGTGAGTTACAAGGGTGCTCGTAGCTCACAGCATCTGCATCGCTGAAGGAGTGCTACATGAGGGAAGTTTGACCTTCATCACTCATGCCTTTTCCTTATTCTGAAATCTCCCCCTTCCAACCACTATTCATTCTGAAACCTGTATGCTGGAGGGGGCAGGGACAAAGATTTAGATCAAGGAAATAGCACCAGAGGGAAATTTCAACCACTTCCCTTATCTTCAAGGCAGCTATGCAGTGTTGGTAATTAGTTATTCAAAGAGACAAGCCATAGTTTGGCTTGACATGTTGTCTGAATCCAGGCTCATGGTTTAGCTCCCCCGGACTAACCATGAGCTGTAAACCATAGGTTCAAACCACCAGCCCTGTTCCAGATAACATGCTAAGTAAGGCAAACACTAGCTTGTCCCAGCACATCTACAGATTGACTGGCAGGGAGCAAAGTGAGCTCAATCTCCTCTCCCACAGCCCATGCATTTGCGCTAAACCATGGCTTGGCTTAGCATGATGTGCAAAGTCTTTGTTGGCCATAGCATCACACCAACATGATGCAAGAATATGAAGATGAAGGGATGGAGCTATGCAGGTCCAACTTGCTCATTTCTCAGTGGCACTCACTCACCCAGTTCTGTATGTGAAAGCTCAGTCTGGGATAAAGTTGAAAGTGCACCAAACCTTCCTGACAACAAAAGGGCAATGGTGGGGAAACTGTTAGACTCCAGCTCCCATCATCCTTCACCTTTGGCCATGCGGGCTGAGGCTGATGGGAGTTGGAGTCCACCACATCTGGAGGGCCACAGGTTACAATGCCAAGTATGACTTCAATATGATATCTTTGATTTTTTATTTTATGGTCCAATTTCAAATACAAGGGAAAAGTGAGTATAACATGAAACATATCCTGCACAGAACTTATGTTCCAAAAACCTCACACATATACTTTGTAAAAGAATGAAAGTTTACTACCCCCTTCTCTCCCCATCTCTCTCCCCCCCCACCATATACTGTATACAGCATTAAAATTTTACATTGAATAAAAACGATCTGTAAAAAAAAAAAGACTTTATGTTCTGAAAACATATTTGTGATCCAAGAAATTCTTTAATAAAAACAATTTTTAAAAAAGAACTTGCATTCCAAACAAAGCACACAGGTGTAGCCTCAGGGGGATAGGAAATGTTTTGCCACACACCTGAATATCACCCCAAACAGCCATCAAACCACAATATACTCCCAGCACAAGTCACGTGCAGCAAGGGGCTTAATCCCAAGTACATAAATTTTAATGAAAGAAAAGACATGAGAACCACATTGCTTCAACAACAACAGCATCCTCTAGTCTAACAAACCCTTTAGTAATCTGTTACAATGTATTAATATGCCAAACTCAAGAGTAACAGCTTGTATAGACACAACTTTGAGGACATCGTCCACACTCCAGATATTTCCATGCTGGCTGCTACTAGAAGGAAATTTTTCCTTTACAGAAACGTTCATCACTGCAGAGAAGCAAAATCTTCCTCTATATGTGATGCTAGGCGATCTGAAACCTACAGACAGAGATTATGCAATGGGGGCTCCCTGCAACACACTGCTTTCTCCTACTACTGCCTATTCTAAAACATAGGTAGTTGCCTTCTGCAGACTACTGGTCTATCTAGTTTAGTATTTTTTACACTGACAGGCAACTACAGTGGTACCTCTTGTTACAGATGCTTCAGGTTACAGACTCCGCTAACCCAGAAATAGTACCTCGGGTTAAGAACTTTGCTTCAGGATGAGAACAGAAATTGTGTGGCAGCAGCAGGAGGCCCCATTAGCCAAAGTGGTGCTTCAGGTTAAGAACAGTTTCAGGTTAAGAACGGACCTCCAGAACAAATTAAGTCCTTAACCCGAGGTACCACTGTAACTGCCTTGCAGGGTTTCAAACAGGTATGCTTCCCAGGTCTACCTGGAAATGCTGAGCACTGAACTTTGGACCTTTTGCATGCACAACATGTGTGCCAGGCACTGAACCCTGCCCTTTCCCATAGCCAGCATTTAGCTGGTTATAACTTTAGAGGAAAAGCACAAAAGTTATTATGGCATAAGCTTCCACTGAGTAATTTGTTCGTCTTTTATTAGGTGCCACACCAGTCGGTTATAAATATAATGTTTTGTCCACAGTTTGAAGTGATCCTGACCAGCATGTGGAAGGAGCAGATTATCATGCCTTGCGTTGATTTTAATACACAGGTGTTTACTTGCATAGTACTAGAAGCAAGATGCCAGCCCTGCCTCCAGATATTTAATTTATAGAGATTCAGGAGAAAGCAAGAATGGGAATGCAGACTAACCTCTCCAAGCTCATAATTACCCCAAAAGCAAACAGGAAATGTAGGAATACGGAGAACTGCCTATACTGAGTCAAATCATTCGTGCTTCTTGTGTACCTGGACTAACAGTGGCTCTCCAGGGTTTCAGGCACAGGCCGGCCCCCAACCCTATCTGGAAATGCCAGGGATTGAACCTGACACCTTCTGGATGCAAAGCAGATGCTCCACCACTGAGTTATTGCCCTTAAGGTGGTTTACGACAGGTATCGGGAAGTAAATGGAGACAGCTGTATCGTTTCACAGCAGGTGGACACATGATGGAAACGATCAGGTGAAGGCTGTCCTTTGCATGGAGGTACAGCAGGCCGGGAAAGGCTGCTCATTTGCTGATACTCCAGCCTGCTGTTAAAGGCACACGAGCAGAGCCATCAGGAAAAGGTGGCAACCTGATTGCACAGAGGCTACCCGGGCTGCCGACCTCCCTCGCTGAACACCAAGAGATCCTATTAACCCCCCGTAAAAAACTCTCCCCCACCCGCTTTTAGGATGAGCAGCATCCCTCGAACAGCATCGCATGTATTAAATCAAAACCTCAGTCAGTAGCATCTTCCTCCCTATGAGGTTTCAAATTGCCAAGGCCCTCCATTTCATTCACAAATACATAAAAATGCACACGCACTGCCCGGTACCGCCTATCAAACTCCCACACTCACCAGCAGCTCTGAAAGCGCCTCCAATTCAACAGGGGCGCATTCTTCGACGCGTCTCCTTTAAGAGCTCCTGGGTCCCCCTCCTCCGCTCTTCCCTCCTGGCCCCGCCCCGGCCCGTAGCGTGGCGACACGCAGCAGCTTCCCCATGGAAACGCGTCACTTTTCTCCCGCCTCGTCCCCGCCCCCCGCTACGGGAAGAGGCAAGAGCCAAAAACAGCCAAGCCATCAGCCATTGGATATAGGCAAGTCGGCGCTGTCCTTCTCCCAGCCAGGCACCGGCTAGGCAGAGACCTGCTCAGCTCCAAGCTGCATTGTGATTGGCCTTGAGCACCTTCTCTGCTTGGCTTCCGAGGCAGCCTTCTCCAACAACGGATCCCCAGATGCAGCTGGGCTACCCCATCATCCCTAACCAGCAGGGCCAGCGGTGAGGGATGCTGGGAGTTGTAGTCCAACATCTGGAGACCCAAGGCTGAGAAAGGATGCCCTAAGTGCACCTTGCCAACAAAGGTCCGTATAGTTAAAGCTATGGTTTTCCCAGTAGTGATGTATGGAAGTGAGAGCTGGACCATAAAGAAGGCTGATTGCCGAAGAATCAATGCTTTTGAATTATGGTGCTGGAGGAGACTCTTGAGAGTCCCATGGACTGCAAGAAGATCAAACCTATCCATTCTGAAGGAAATCAGCCCTGAGTGCTCACTGGAAGGACAGATCCTGAAGCTGAGGCTCCAATACTTTGGCCACCTCATGAGAAGAGAAGACTCCCTGGAAAAGACCCTGATGTTGGGAAAGATGGAGGGCACAAGGAGAAGGGGACGACAGAGGATGAGATGGTTGGACAGTGTTCTCGAAGCTACCAGCATGAGTTTGACCAAACTGCAGGAGGCAGTGGAAGACAGGAGTGCCTGGCGTGCTCTGGTCCATGGGGTCACGAAGAGTCGGACATGACTAAACGACTAGACAACAACAACAAAGTGCATAGTTGCTGTTGTTTTTCCTCTCCTTTCAAGAAGAATATCGAGGTGCAGAATAATAAACATGTCTTCCGTAATACAGATATGTGTCATTTTAGAATCAATTATTGCAAAGCTTGATGAATGCAATACATCAAGTAACAATAGAACAAATAACTATTGACTCCCGCACGACTCCTCCCCACCCAACAGAATTCTTTTTGCTGTTGTTCATGAAAATAAGTTTATATTCAAAAAGTGGGAGAGACACCGTTACCTCTTCAGAAAATCACATCACAAGCATTACCTGATTTAAAAATTTATTTCACTGATTGGATGCGTTGTATCAGCGGCTGCTTCTTAGACCACACTGCTCCCTAGTGGCCGAATGTGTGAACTGATATCTACCTTCTTGTACTTAATTCTCGAAGTAGAGGGGTTGGGAACGCCTGGCCCCAGGGGCTGAATGGGGCCCTCAGACTCTACCCCAAGCCATACTCCACACTGGTCCTACTCCAGGCCCTCCTTGACTGCTTGTGCCTGGTTGGAATCTCATTTCCTTGACCTGTGATAATGCCTCTTGCTTGCCTGGATGGAGAAGGGTGTGTGAGTGTAAAAAGATTTGGCTTTTGCACAGCTGGGATGTAAGAAACAGTAAAGAATCACACCTGTTACCCCATTGCCCTTGACTTGCCCACAAATGGGATGTTCCACCCCCAGCAAGGTTGCCCACAAGGGAATGTGGTTCTCAGGCTTAATGCTTTTAACATATTATCATCAGGGTAAAAGAATCAGATGACAATATATTTAAAGAATGTAAGCCCACCCCTTAAAAAGCAGAGAATTCGCCTTGCCAACAAAGGTCCGTATAGTTAAAGCTATGGTTTTCCCAGTAGTGATGTATGGAAGTGAGAGCTGGACCATAAAGAAGGCTGATCGCCGAAGAATTGATGCTTTTGAATTATGGTGCTGGAGGAGACTCTTGAGAGTCCCATGGACTGCAAGAAGATCAAATGTATCCATTCTTAAGGAAATCAGCCCTGAGTGCTCACTGGAAGGACAGATCGTAAAGCTGAGGCTCCGGTACTTTGGCCACCTCATGAGAAGAGAAGGCTCCCTGGAAAAGACCCTGATGTTGGGAAAGATGGAGGGCACAAGGAGAAGGGGACGACAGAGGATGAGATGGTTGGACAGTGTTCTCCAAGCTACCAGCATGAGTTTGACCAAACTGCGGGAGGCAGTGGAAGACAGGAGTGCCTGGCGTGCTCTTGGTCCATGGGGTTCACGAAGAGTCGGACACAACTAAACGACTAAACAACAACAACGGCTCGAACCCACAACATTGAGATTAAGAGTCTCGTGTTCTAGCGACTGTCATCCAATCTTGCTCAAATATTTGTGTATCACTTTCGTTTCCCTCCTTCTCCTCAGAGGGCTGGGAAATAGAAACCTAAAGGTTTGTGGAATGGTCCCTGGACGTTACTTAATAACTGGAGCAGGGCTGCAGCATGGAACTAGAGTCCAGATTCTGTTTACATTGGTGGAGAATGCTGTCAGTCACTAGCCTCTCCCCACTACAGAGAAGGATATAAACAAGAGGTGGCAGTGGCTGCAGCTACACAAGAAGCGGAGTGGGTGCGCAGGAACTTCTCGCAGGGTTACCCAAAGGGTAAGCAAGGGAAGTTGGTGACTCCATCAGTTCCTTCCCCAGCAGCTGAATATTGAGATGTTTCTATTTCGGAGAAATATTTCTTAATGCGCAAGACCAAGTATCACTTCTCAGAATGTATATTTTCCAAGAATTGCGTAGCTTTTAAGCTTATTTGGTGGGGATATAATTTATATCTATTTAGAAAATTAGAATGTTTTTGCTGCAGGTTAGCTGTGAGATCAATAAATTGTTCTTATATATTAAAGGCCTGAGCCAAACTGACTGAGGATGGGGGTGGGTGGGGAATAAGAGGGCAAAGAACAATATAGGTGCATGGAAACGTGAATCAGGATTCCTCACTTATGAACAGGAAGGCTGGGCATGCAAGCTAATCCCTGAAGCCCTGCGGGCTGGGAGCCTCAATGACACCCCACTGGATAGGGATTATTATGACCTGAATGTAATTGACATCAGTAGGATTTTGGAACACACAAATAAAGAAAATCATCAAATCATCAATTCCAGCACCTGGGGGCCACCTTATCTAAATTATATAATTTGATATCTTAATGATTGATATTATTAATTGTACTATAAATAGGTATTGTTATAATGAGGCTATTATTGGATTATGATTGAAAATTAATAAAAAATATTATAAAAATAAAATAACAATGACACCCCTCTGGAGGCTTCACCCACAGCAAAAAACGTGGCTACCCACCCTCACCCTCAACTAACTTTTTATCCAGCTAACTTTTTCCACCAGTGCCCTTCTTACTGGCTCTTCTATGCCTTTTAGCAGCAGCCTGGCCTGCAGAAATGTCTCTGAATATTTTCCTGCCAGGCGGATGACAGAGTGAGGAACCCTCTTCCCAGCACTTATCTGAATGCCTAACTACAAACTGACAAACTACAGTTCCCAGGATTCCATGAGGGGACACCATTTTCTAAGTTCCCTGGGAAGAGGGATTGATTGCTAAACCACTTTATCAGATACACAGAATTATCCTAAATTGGCCAAGTGATGTACATACAAATGCTTGGGAAGCAGAAGGTATGGAGAGGTCAAGAAAGAAGCAAAATGAAAAAAAAATCCCAGGCAATTGGTAATTGTGTAAAGGGAAATAATAATAATACTCCACCCTTCTGGGTATACAGTGGTGCCCCGCAAGACGAATGCCTCGCAAGACGAAAAACCCGCTAGACGAAAGGGTTTTCCGTTTTTGAGTTGTTTCGCAAGACGATTTTCCCTATGGGCTTGCTTCTCAAGACGAAAACGTCTTGCGAGTCTTGCGATTTTTTTCCGCTTCCCCCCCCTTTTTCTAAGCCGCTAAGCCGCTAATAGCCTTTTAGCCGCTAAGCCGCTAAGCCTTTAATAGCCGCTAAGCCGCTAATAGCCTTTTAGCCGCTAAGCCGCTAAGCCTTTAATAGCCGCTAAGCCGCTAAACCGCTAATAGGGTTGCTTCGCAAGACGAAAAAACCGCTAGACGAAGAGACTCGCGGAACGGATTAATTTCGTCTTGCGAGGCACCACTGTAAATACCCAGCCACTCTGGGCTGCTTCCAGCAAAATATAAAAACAATAAAATGTCACACAGTAAAAACATCCCGAAACAGAGACCAGCAGAGGATGATAATTGTCACTGTAACTATTTAGGGAGTGATTGTTAAACCACTTTGATACTTGTTGCTCTCAAACAGGAACAGGGATCTCCTAACAACTCTCAGCACCCTCAACAAACTATAGTTCCCAGTATTCTTTGAGGGAAGCCATGAGGACCATTTAAAGTGGTATAATACTGTCAACCAGTATTGACGGGGGGGGCAGGATTTGGTTGGGGGGGTCAGGACTTTTGTTGGGGGGCAGAACCGACGTGATTGGTCAGTTAAGAATTTACAGTATATTGTTTTACTTGATCGGGGGGGGGGAGCTGCTCCCCCCGTTACACCCATGAACCAGAGTCCTTTTTTAACTCATGGAAGCTTATGCTGGATATAATTTGCTAGTCTTTATGTTACCATGAGACTCTTGGTTGCTTTTGCTGTGAAACAGAATTAACACAGCAGTTTCCCACCTTGGGAATTGTTTTAAGCAAATCATTTTAACAGTGCAGTGGCGTAATGCGCGAGTGGATTCTGGACGCAGTGGGAGTCTGAGTGGTTGTTAGTTAAGAACATAAGATCTTGCTGGATCAAGCCAATGGTCCATCTAGTCTAGAATCCTGTTTTCACAATGGCCATTCAGATGCATCTGGAAAACCCTCAATCGCAACTCCACTGGTTTCCAGCAACTGGTATTCAGAAGCATTGCAGCCTCTGAACTGGAGGCAGAGCACAGCCATTATGGCTTGTAGCCACTGATAGCCATGTCCTCCATGAATTTGTCCAGTCCTCTTTTAAAGCCACCCAAAATTGGTGGTCGTCACTGCCTCCTGTGGGGTTGAGTTCCATAGTTTATCACACGATTGTACACTGCATTATCCTAACAAGAGTTTCTGGCACCTCTATACAGGTCTTTAGGAAGCCAGGATGGTTGATCCAGGTAAGAGAGCCTGTTTACTTTCTTGGGGATTGGGTAACTGCAACCTTACAGTCCAAAGCAGTTGTCTCAAACTCTCAGTCAGTGACACAAACTCTCCTCACCTCCACCCCCACTCAGCGCAGATTAAAATTGGAAGCATGCTTCGCTGTTAAGATCTGTTGACACTATGGCATTAATGTGTACACAGGTAAGGGGAAAAGGTAAAGGACCCCTGGACGTTTAACTCCAGTCAAAGGTGACTATGGGGTTGCAGTGCTCATCTCGCTTTCAGGCTGAGGTAGCCGATGTTTCTCCACAGACAGCTTTCTGGATCATGTGGCCAGCATGACTAAACCACTTCTGGTGCAACGAAACACTGTGACAGAAACGAGAGTGCACGGAAACACCATTTACCTTCCCATCGCAATGGTATCTATTTATCTACTTGCACTGGCATGCTTTCAAACTGCTAGATTGGCAGAAGCTGGGACAGAGCAATGGGAGCTCATCCCATTGCGGGGATTTGAACCGCCAGCAAGCCCAAGAGTCTCAGTGGTTTAGAACACAGCACCACCCACATCCCAGTACACAGACCACTGTTTCTGTGCATGTATTTGTGTGCCTTCATCTGCATAGGAGTGCTTTTAATTTTATGTTTCCAAAATCTATCTTAATATTCATGCACACTAGTAGGCAGTACTTGGTTAAATGTGTGTGTTGCCCCACACTTCAATTAGAACTTTCCCGTTCCTGAAACTGGAGGTCTCTTGTGGGTATGAATGCAAGTACAGTGGTACCTCGGGTTAAGTACTTTATTCGTTCTGGAGGTCCGTTCTTAAACTGAAACTGTTCTTAACCTGGAGCACCGCTTTAGGTAATGGGGCCTCCTGCTGCTGTCGTGCCGCTGGAGCACGATTTCTGTTCTCATCCTGAAGCAAAGTTCTTACCCTGAGGTACTAGTTATGGGTTAGTGAAGTCTGTAACCTGAAGCGTATGTAACCCGAGGTACCACTGTATTTCAAAATCTTGTACAACTGTATACATAGTGACCAAGACTAGATGAAAGAATTGAACAAATCTGAAATACTTTTCTTCTAGTTCTGCATGAGCAGTTACATGCTCTTGTAACATCTTAGATTAATGTAACAGACCACATCTTAGGCAGCTTTTGAAGGCAGCATGGAAACTGAAGCTGGTTAAGAAATGCAACTGTGCCATTATGTTGGAAAATGCCAGTTTGAAATATATCTTGCCCAGTATTAAAAGATTTGCACTGGATAGCAGTTCATTTCTTTATATATATATATAATTTTTATTAATTTTCCAATAAAAACAAATTCATAACACAATTAAACATTTGGAATTCATCACACGTCTTTTTTCTTTAGACTTCCACCAACATGTCTGATATTTTTCCGTAGTTATTACATATCTTCACAATTCTTCATTTATATTGCACTATGTATATCTTATCTTACCATGTTATTTAAACAATATTTCTACCAAACCTTCTTACAGAGCTTCTTGGAAACTTACAAAGGTTATATCATTATCACAAATATTTTTAATATCTTCTGTAAATTTATTCCAGTCCTCAGTGAATCTTTGGTCCCGTCGGTTGCGAATCCTCCCTGTTAATCTGTCCAGTTCTGCATAATCCATTAATTTCGTTCTCCATTCTTCAATCGTGGGCATTTCTTCTTGTTTCCATTTCTGGGCCACAAGAGTTCTAGCTGCTGTTACTGCATACAAAAATATTTTCTGATCCTTCCTTTTTATCTCACCACCTAAAATTCCTAATAGGAATGCTTCTGGTTTTTTAACAAATGTATATTTCAATATTTTCTTTATCTCATTATATATCATTTCCCAGAAATACTTCATTTTTTACATTCCCACCACATATGATAAAATGTCCCTTCTTTCTCCTTACATTTCCAACATTTATTACTCACCTTATACATCTTACTTAATTTGACTGGTGTTATATACCATCGATATATCATTTTCATAACATTTTCTTTAATTGTGGTGCATGCTGTAAATCTCATCCCTTCCTTCCATAATTTTATCCACTCATCAAATTGAATGTTATGTCCAAAATCTTTGGCCCATTGAATCATAACAGATTTAACCTCTTCATCCTTCAAATGCCATTCTAATAATAATTTATACATCATAGATAATTTTTTAACTTCATTATTCAATACTTCTCGTTGAAACCAAAATTCTTTTTCAAAATAACCTCTTTCTGCAATCTCTTTTCTAAACATGTCATTAATCTGAAACTAATGCAGGCCAATCATTTACATGTTCTTTCACTTCTTCATATGGTTTCATTTTCCACTTACTTACTTCTTTCTCGATTAAACTCCCATATGTTATCCACCTCCTAGTCATAGACAGCAGTTCATTTCTGGGCCAGTGCCAATTGATAGCTTCCACTTCCCTCTGCCACAGGTAGCGATGGGGGAGAAACTCATTTCCTTTCAAATTGAAAGGTGAACCTCCCTAATTTGCACTTTCAGAAGCAGTACAAGAACCAAAACAACAACCCTTTGAGATGTGCACTTCTCTGAATTTTGCAATGCAGTTCTTCAGCCAAGCAATGTGTACAAAAAGGCACACACTGTCCTTAATAATGAGTAGATTAGTAAAAATAACATTTTAAAAAATGTATTGTTTTAGAGAAATTGCTTTGCAAAAAAAAATGTGTGCACTAGGGAATATTGCATAAAAATGTATATATTAGGAGAAATCAGCATTGAAATGTTGGTAAATTTTCATGAGAATTTGTTTGCATTTGCTTTTAAATCAAGCTGATATGGAAATGTGAACTGAACCTAAGACTGAAAAACATGAGGAACAAAAAGTAAATGAAACTGACAAATATGCCCATCACAGTTGTAGCTCACCTGATGCTTTTTTGCATTTTACAGTCATACCTCTGGTTGCAAACGTGATCCATGCAGGAGGCACGTTCGCAACCCACAGTGTTCGTAGCAATTCTGAAACCTGAAACTAACCCATTCCGGTACTTCCGGGTTCTGCGTGGTCTGCAACCCGCAGCATTCGTAATCCGAGGTATGACTGTATATGTACTTGAGATCCATTATATCTTATTAAAACAAGTCTCTCTTTCAGTAACTGCAGTTTTGGGAGGTGCAGCCGGCTTGGGTAAGTTTTTACCAATATGGATTTCCAGTTGGGCAAGTTTGGGTGATTATCTTGCTTGCAGCAGCGTGAATGAAGCTTGCAAGTCATTGGAAATGGTGGAGTTCACAATGAAAGTCTGGCTTGATGAGATCTGTGAAATGGCTTTGACAGAACACCTGGCATATCAAAACAGAATAACCGAAGGGATAGCCAACAGCATTAAATTTAACAAAATTTGGATGCCCTTTCTGCATTAAGCAAATACAGTGGTACCTCGGGTTAAGTACTTAATTTGTTCCGGAGGTCCGTTCTTAACCTGAAACTGTTCTTAACCTGAAGCACCACTTTAGCTAATGGGGCCTCCCGCTGCTGCCGTGCCGCCGGAGCACAATTTCTGTTCTCATCCTGAAGCAAAGTTCTTAACCCGAGGTACTATTTATGGGTTAGCGGAGTCTGTAACCTGAAGCGTATGTAACCCGAGGTACCACTGTATCTATATATGGTAGTCAGTTCCCCCACCTTTTTTTCAAGAAGAAAAGCACTGGTAGCCGGGATAGCCAAAGCAGGAAGGATGGCAGGGGTGGGTGGGTGGAGGAGAGAAACAAACTGCCTTGACTGTCAGAAATGCAGCTGAAGTTATGGCAAGTTGTTGTGAGCAGGTGCTATCAACGGAGGTACCTAGGGCTGGTGTAAAGGTTTGTCCCCCCTCACTCCACTGGTCTCAGAAACAGTGACTGGTCTAGGGATACTCTGATTTTTTAAAGCGAAAAAGGGAATTGAACCAAATTCTCCCCAAGCCCAAGTTTCCAGGCACCTGGTTGCCCGGCCCCCCCCCTCCCAAAATCAATGAGGTCTGGACGCAAAAATATGCATTTGCTTGATTGGGCATATTTTTAGAATCCACCTTATTCATATGGCATTTAGTTGTTTTCTATTGCCTTTAAATATTGTGTTTTAATTGTTGTAAGCTGCTTTGGGACCTTGGGGTAAAAGATTGATGATGACGACAACGATAGGTGGAGAGCTTTACACGCCAAGTCGTCTGAATTAGGCGCTCCTAGTTTAATTATTTTAGATCTGGCTTCCTCAAACTCAGCCCTCCATATGTTTTTTGCCTACAGTTCCCATGATCCCTAGCTAGCAGGACCAGTGGTCAGGGATGATGGGAATTATAGTCTCAAAACATCGGGAGGGCCAAGTTTGAGGAAGCCTGTTTTAGATGATAAGCAACCAGGAGCTGCTTCCCCTTTCATCCTAGCAGGGCTCCATGAATTCGCCCCATGGAGCAAGCAATTTGCATTCTCACTCTCTCCTTGTACCAATTGCAAGAGCCATAAAATGATGTCAGAGGTTTTCCCCCAATCCCTACTGTCTTGCCATCCAGCAACTTTCCCTGATAGTGTGTGGAGGCTCAATGATCCACAGATGGCTTTCACTCCCCAATTAGCAAGATAAGCAAGTTCTCTCGGGGGGGGGGTGCAACAGACCACCCGCCCCAATTGGAAACCACTGCCCTAAATATCCAAGCCCAAGAGCCTTAGCTTTTGAAATTAGAGTCTGTCAGTCAGGGCCCCACCATCCCAGGCCAGGTGGAAAAAGGCCTGCAAGGTCTCCTAGGACCCACAGCCAAGACGGTTAAGCACTGTGGTCTAGGCAATTTAGATTTAAGGCTTCTATCATGTAACATATTCCTAATTCTGTGTTCTTGCAGCAGTGGCCACAATTGGTGTCCCAGTAGCACTGGGAGCAGCAGGCTTCACTGGAGCTGGAATTGCAGCTGGCTCTCTGGCTGCAAAAATGATGTCGGCAGCGGCCATCGCCAATGGTGGAGGAGTAGCAGCTGGGAGTGCTGTTGCCGCGCTTCAGTCACTCGGTATGTCTGCTGCTCTCAGGACAAGAACCACATGATTGGCAGAGCCAGTCTCCGTACCTTGAGCTCTTCGTTACAATAATGGTGTGCCTTGATCATCTTCTAGGTGCTGCTGGGCTTTCCACTGCTACCACAGCTGCAGTGACAGCTGGTGGAGCACTGCTGGCTGCCGTCGCCAATGGTGGAGGAGTAGCAGCTGGGAGCAGTGTGGCCGCGCTTCAGTCAGTTGGTATGTCTGCTGCTCTCAGGACAAGAACCACATGATTGGCAGAGCCAGTCTGCCCACCTTGAGCTCTTCATCACAATAATTGTGTGTCTTGATCATCTTCTAGGTGCTGCTGGGCTGTCCGCTGCTACCACAGCTGCAGTGGCAGCTGGTGGAGCACTGCTGGCTGCCATCTTCCGTTAAGAAGAAGACACACATACGCAGAGGCCATATCTACGTGGAAAAGCAGTACTTGGAAGATTATGCTTTGCCGTCAACGGCATAAATGACCTTAAGCAAAATGTGATTTTAATCAATGCTACGTTATTCCTACTGGCCGAGATATGCAACAACAAATAAAGCTTTGAGAATTATAAAACAACAAGAGTGTTAGCAAGAAAGCTGATTGGTGGCATCACACAACGCACATGTAAAATACTTGCTGTCCCATGAGGAAAAGATCCATGTTTTCCTTAGCAACAAATGGTCCAAGGCCATGGAGACTATTACTGCACGCTACTCCCTCCCAGATCTTGACACGCTGTCATCTTGGGACCAACATAAAATCTGGGCCTGGATTCTTACAAGAGACGAGGCCATGGACCGGGCACAGTCCACCACAGCTCGCCTCTCCATGTGGCTCCCTAAAGTGAAAGTGGTAAGATCACTTGCCAACTACTTGACAGACCTGACAGAGCCCAATTTGAGAAGAGCGTTTACTATGGCCCGTTTCCATTCTATACCCACGGCCTTCTTGCAGGGGATTTACTCTAAGACCCCTATTACTCAGCGTCTATGTCCATGCACAATGAATGTAGTAGAGGACTTCATACATTTCTTTTTCTACTGCCCTATTTATGAGCTAATAAGAACTAAGCTCCTCCTCTTGATCCCGTCCACCATCACATCTAAGGAAGACTGTTTGAAATCGCTTCTTGTGGACGCAAATCCCCAAATTTCACGGGGGGTGGCAATCTTTATAGTGCAGGCTTTGAAACTCAGGGCTACTCTGACTGGGTAGTGTGTCCTAGACCTGGACCTGTTTTAATTCTTTTTAATACCTTTTTTAACCTATGTGCCGAGCCTATTTTGGGGCCATTATATGCTTTATATACATCTGATTTTTTGATTCCCGGCGCCGGCAACTAAATCTTTACATCATTGTTTTAGGGTAATTTAAATGTCATAACGCCAGCAATATCGTTTTGAACTTTGTTTGGTTGCTTGTCTCTAGCATTTTTGTCTTATCCTGCTATGGCTGTATGCTAATACAATAAAGGTTTTGATTGATTGAAATGGCAGTAGATTCAGAACCAATAGAGGAAAACACTCCTTTGCAAAGTTGTGATAGTCAATAGCTTTGAGGGGACATTAAAAAATAATAGTTGAGGATTAGACCAATTGATGGATGGCAGATATGGGACAGTTGCATATTCCTGCATTGCAGGGGTTGGACTAGATGATCCTCAGGGTCCCTTCCAACTCTATGCTTCTATGACCCCAAGGGCCGTTGATGACTATTAATCACAATAGTTATTTGGAACATTGGGCAGAATAGAGTGGGAAACAAACATGGGACAGGCCTGCCTGTTAAGCTTCACAAAACTTATATTGCCAGCATTCAAGGGTGGTCCTTCAGCACACACCACAAACTACAGTGGTACCTCAGGTTAAGAACTTATTCATTCTGGAGATCCGTTCTTAACCTGAAACTGTTCTTAACCTGAAGCACCACTTTAGCTAATGGGGCCTCCTGCTGCCGCTGCGCCACCACTGGACAATTTCTGTTCTCATCCTGAAGCAAAGTTCTTAACACGAGGTACTATTTCTGGGTTAGCGGAGTCTGTAACCTGAAGTGTATGTAACTTGAGGTACCACTGTTTTTGGAGAACTTTTGAACTTGGGGTATGTGCTACTTAAAAGCAACAATGTTAAATGGAAACACCAGGCAGAATTGGAACACCACTGGGACTGATAAACAGGAGACCTAGGGTTCTTCCAGATGGTCAGTATTTTATGTGTGATTCCAGCACAAAGTGGAACGTAAGGTCTATGTATGTAAGTGGATTAAACAACACTTCCCCTCGTGCAGGGATGTCAAATGGGGCTCTTTTTCCTTTGCGGGGGCAAAAGAGCATCTGGTCCCGCCGCCTTGCCCCGTCCTCCATTTGTGCATAATCACTAGTACAGAAGACAGAGTTTTCACCATGATCCTGAGCGTTCTTTTGGTAAGCGACTTTTACCTTTCCCCCCTAAAGTCAACAAGTTTGGCTTTCCTCCCTAAAACAAAGCTCAACAACTTTGACCTGAACCCCTCCAAAAGGTGTAGATCACTGCCAGTTTTTTATTCTGTAAGTAGATCGCAGTGTCTTGGGAGTTTGACATCCCTGCCCTAGTGCAACAAATCCACTTTATTTACTTCTGAAACTGAAATTGTCCAATTTTATGAAGACTTACAACACCTTCTAGAAATGACACCAAAGAAGGATGTTCTTCTCATTATAGGGGATTGGAATGCTAAAGTAGGGAATCAAGAGGTAAAAGGAACAACTGGCAAGTTTGGCCTTGGAGATCAAAACGAAGCAGGGCAAAGGCTATTAGAGTTCTGTCAAGAGAACAAGCTGGTCATCACAAACACGCTTTTCCAACAACACAAGAGACGACTCTACACATGGACATCACCAGATGGGCAGCATTGAAATCAGATTGATTACTGGTATATTCTCTGCAGCCAAAGATGGAGAAGCTCTATACAGTCAGCAAAAACAAGACCTGGAGCTGACTGTGGCTCAGATCAACTTCTTATAGCAAAATTCAAGCTTAAACTGAAGAAAGTAGGAAAAACCACTGGGCCAGTAAGATACTGTACAATCTAAATCAAATCCCTTATGAATACACAGTGGAAGTGAGGAACAGGTTTAAGGATTAAGATTTGGTGGACAGAGTGCCTGAAGAGCTATGGATAGAGGCTCGCAACATTATACAGGAGGCAGCAACGAAAACCATCCCAATGAAAAGGAAATGCAAGAAAGCAAAGTGGCTGTCCAACAAGGCCTTACAAATAGAGGGGAGAGAAGGCAAGCAAAATGTGAGGGAGATAGTGAAAGATACAGGAAATTGAATGCAGATTTCCAAAAAATAGCAAGGAGAGACAAGAAGGCCTTCTTAAACGAGCAATGCAAATAAATAGAGGAAAACAACAGAATGGGAAGAACCAGAGATCTGTTCAAGAAAATTGGAGATGAAATGAACATTTCATACAAAGATTACCATAATAAAAGACAAAAGTGGAAAGGACCTAACAGAAGCAGAAGACATCAAGAAGAGGTGGCAAGAATACACACAGGAATTATACCAGAAAGATATGGATGTCTCATACACCCCAGGTAGTGTGGTTGCTGACCTTGAGCAGACATCTTGGAGAGTGAAATCAAATGGGCCTTAGAAAGCATTGCTAATAACAAGGCCAGTGGAAGTGATGGTATTGCAGCTGAACTATTTAAAATTTTAAAAGATGATGCTGTTAAGGTGCTACACTCAATATGCCAGCAAGTTTGGAAAACTCAGCAGTGGCCAGAGGATTGGAGAAGATCAGTCTACATCCCAATTCCAAAGAAGGGCAGTGCCAAAGAATGCTCCAACTACCGCACAATTGCACTCATTTCACACACTAGCAAGGTTATGCTTAAAATACTACAAGGAAGGCTCAAGCTGTATGTGGACCAAGAACTCCCAGAAGTGCAAGCTGGATTTCGAAGAGGCACAGAAACCAGAGACCAAATTGCAAACATGTGCTGGATTATGGAGAAAGCTAGAGAGTTCCAGAAAGACATCTACTTCTGCTTCATTGACTATGCAAAAGCCTTTGACTGTGTCGACCACAGCAAACTATGGCAAGTTCTTGAAGAAATGGGAGTGCCTGATCATCTCATCTGTCTCCTGAGAAATCTCTATGTGGGACAAGAAGCTTCATTTAGAACTGGATATGGAACAACTGATTGGTTCAAAATTGGGAAAGGAGTATGACAAGGCTGTATATTGTCTCCCTGCTTATTTAACTTATATGCAGAATTCATCATGCGAAAGGCTGGGCTGGATGAATCCCTAGCCGGAATTAAGATTGCCAGAAGAAATATCAACAACCTCAGATATGCAGATGACACAACCTTGATGGCAGAAAGTGAGGAGGAATTAAAGAACCTTTTAATGAGGGTGAAAGAGGAGAGCGCAAAATATGGTCTGAAGCTCAACATCAAAAAAACGAAGATCATGGCCACTGGGCCCATCACCTCCTGGCAAATAGAAGGGGAAGAAATGGAGGCAGTGAGAGATTTCACTTTCTTGGGCTCCATCGTCACTGCAGATGGTGACAGCAGCCACGAAATTAAAAGACTCCTGCTTCTTGGGAGAAAAGCAATGACAAACCTAGACAGCATCTTAAAAGGCATAGACATCACCTTGCCAACAAAGGTCTGTATAGTTAAAGCTATAGTTTTCCCAGTAGTGATATATGGAAGTGAGAGCTGGACCATAAAGAAGGCTGATCGCCGAAGAATTGATGCTTTTGAATTATGGTGCTGGAGAAGACTCTTGAGAGTCCCATGGACTGCAAGAAGATCAAACCTCTCCATTCTGAAGGAAATCAGCCCTGAGTGCTCACTGGGAGGACAGATCATGAAGCTGAGGCTCCAATACTTTAGCCACCTCATGAGAAGAGAAGACTCCCTGGAAAAGACCCTGATGTTGGGAAAGATGGAGGGCACAAGGAGAAGGGGACGACAGAGGACGAGATGGTTGGATAGTGTTCTCGAAGCTACCAGCATAAGTTTGACCAAACTGCGGGAGGCAGTGGAAGACAGGAGTGCCTGGCGTGCTCTGGTCCATGGGGTCACGAAGAGTTGGACACAACTAAACGACTAAACAACAACAAGCCCACCCCATGCCTCAGCCAAGCACAGCGGGCACCCCTCTCTGCAGGGGGTGGACTCTAGTTCTGTGGAATGGGTTTCAATGGGCTGGAGAGGATATATTGATTGCAATGTATCCCTCCAGACACCCATGCATGTGGGTTGAACAGAGTTTCCAAATCCCATCCTTGGCATCAAAACTAAAAGCATAGGGAATTAAGCTGTAAAACCTTATTTGGAGCAAGTCCAACTCTGAAGTAAGCTGGCTTTCCCCTTTTTACCATGTTTAATTAAGAATCAGGGAGTAATTTAGGAAGTAAGTTTAAAAATATATTTACTTACTTTATAATCATGGATTGGTTCACAGCAACAGTAGCAGTAACAACTATGCAGGCAAAATACTTTTATTTACAATATAACCAGCTTCAGGCCTGGGCCTAAAGGTGGGGCAAGCAGAGGCATGCCTGCATCCAACACTGGTCAAAGGAGGAGAAAGAAGAACAGGAAGTACTATATGCTGCTTCCTCCCCAGTGGAGGAGGGGAAATGACATCACACAGAGCCCTCTCTATGAATTGCATTTCTATGGGCTGAGTATCTGGCTATTGGCAATACAACTCTGTGGACTTAGCCCCTTCTCATGCTAACTAGCCAGAACATGCACTTGTTGGGTTTGGCTGCTAATTTCCCACAGATTGTGCCAATGTTCCTCCTTGCACGGAGGAGCGTTACAGCGTGGCCACTGCGTGCAGCAGCAGTGATAGCCGTTCAATCAATGTTTAAAATGTCTTCAGTGAAGGAGAGTCCGTCACCTCCGAGGGAGTCCGTTCCACTGTCAAACAGCTCTGTCAGAAAGTTATTCCTGATGTTTACTTGGAATCTTCTTACTTGTAATTTGAATCTGTTGGTTCAGCTCCTACCCCCTGGAGCAGCAGAAAACAAGCACTGCTCCATCTTCCATGTGACAGCCCTTTAGATATTTGAAGACGGCTATCATATCACTTCTCTGCCTTCTCTTCTCCAGGCTAAACTTACCCAACTCCCACAGCTGTTCCTCCTAAAGCTTTATTTCCACTTGCAGGTGTCTGGCCTGCCCAGGTGAGTTCCAGTCCATCATGCCACACTCCCTTTTATCTCTGACCAGGAACTGTGTGACTTTGGTGTCTCCATATCCTGTTCTCTGAAGCAGGTTGGCTCCCAGCCATGTAACTGACTCTGCACACCCACAGGGTGTGACTGTGTTTCAACATACCTGCGATGGGGGACAGAAAGTAGATTGAACTGGCACGGAGCTTAAGTCTCTTGTTCCCTGCAAAAGCAGCAATGTAGGAATTGAGCCGCCAACATTTTTACTGCCCTGCTCCTGCAAAAAAACCTAGCAAGTGTAGCTTTTCCAGACATAAGGGTATACACAGAGATGGGGAAAGCTCTGTTACATTTGTGCTTTTCAGGCTGTTGTTAAAGGCGCTGGGGAGCAGACCTTGAAAACCTTTTTTAAAACTGTTCCTCATAAGGCTTGGTTTCCAGACTCTTGATAATATCTGCACGTTTCAGCTTGTCAATATCCTTCTTAAATTGTGGTGCCTAGAACTGGACACAGTATTCCAGGTGTGGTCTGACCAAGGCATAATAGAGCGGCACTATTACATTCCTTGATCTGGACAACTTCTGTTGATGCAGCCTTGAATTGCATTAGCTTTTTTTGTGCTGCTGCATCGCACAGTTGACTCACGTAAGCTTGTGCTCTTCATTAAGATCCTGATACGCCCTCCATTCCACTCCCCTTGCCCATCCACAGCAATTCCAAAAAAGAACAGATTTTATAATTAATACTTTATTTAAAACATTTCTATACCACCTCCCACATCGTCTCAAGGTGGTGTACAATAATATTAAAATACATATCAAAACATTAAAATGTGGGAAGGAAACACAACTGAAAATCTAGGGTAGCTTTATTCTAAGACCAAACAGCACCAGAATCCTGGGGGCACAATGTGGTTTTAAGATGTGCAAAGTAATGAGGTTTAGGCATACTGTATTTTCCACTCTCAGAAGGCAGGTGGTTTAATAGTATGGGTGCCACCACTGAAAAGACTCTCCCTCCAGTGGCTGCAAACTGTAGCTCCATAGGCTGCAGCACAACAAGAAGAGCCTCAGGTATCCTGGTACCAAGTTGCTTAGGGCAGTAGAAGTCATTACCAAAATCCTTAAAAGCCTGGCCCAGCAGCCTGTTTGCAGTCAGTGCAACTCCTTGGATTAGTGTAACATGCGCATGTTGCCCCAGCCTGCAGCCGAATTTCATAGCAGCTGCAGCTTCCAGAACAGCCTTCAGGGCAGCTCCACATTGTGTGTGTTACAACAGTCCAGTCTTGAGGTTACCAATACAGGGGTCACAGTGGCCAAGCCAACCCTGCCCAGGACCAGGCACAACTTGCTTATTTACCTAATAATTCCCTTCCCTTTACCTTCTATATAGAAAACCAGAACAATCCCTTTCCATATATTCTATTTCAGCCCTCCCCCCTTGGGCCAACCAAGTGCCCTCCAGATGTGCTGGACTTCAAGTCCCATCAGCCCTAGCCAGCATGGGTATCAACACATGTGCCTGGCATATTGAACACCACATGTACCTCAAAGGCAAGCATCGCCAATCTTGGCCCTCCAGCTGTTTTGGGACTACAATTCCCATCATCCCTGACACTGGTCCTGCTAGCTAGGGATGATGGGAGCTGTATTCCCAAAACAGCTGGAGGGCCAAGTTTGGCCATGCCTGCTGTAAGGCATGGGCTGTCCGGGGAGTCCCAGAACTGAAGAGCCACAGGTTTCCTACCTTTGCTCTAACCAGTTCTGAAGAATTTCCCCAGCAACAAGAAGAAGCTAACAATCATTTGGCACCAATTCCTCCAGCACAGGTCTGTTAGAATTGCCAGAAAGCTATCAAGCCTTGGAGCCTTTGCTGTTCCTCATCTTCAGAAAGACTTAAGAATTGATGCTGGAAGATTCAAGACAGGAAAAAGGAAGTTCTTCTTCACAAGCTGCAGTTTTTTAAACTAGGGCATTTGCTCCCAAAATATGTAGTGACGACCCCCAACTTGGATGGCTTTAAAAGGCAAATTCATGGTAGATAAGGCTATGAACCACTCTGGCTAGGTTCTCCCTCCCCTGTCAGAAGCAGCATTCCTCTGAATCTCATTTGGAGTGACCCTCGGGTGAGGAGGGCCCCACTGCACTCTGGGCATGCTTGTGAGCTTCCCATAGGACTCTGGTTAGCCACCGTGAGAACAAAATGCTGGACTATGATAGGCCTTTGGCCCAACCCAGCAGGGCTCTTTTTATGACCCCTTGCAACAAATCTGTTCCTTGGAGGCAAGTTGTGACCAGTGGAAAGGACTCAGGTTCTTTGCGAAGCCCAAGATATCCAACCAAGTGCAAATACAGTGCTTTAGACTACTTTTTTTAATGTCTCTTTTCAGGGTAAAATTTGGCTGACTCATCTTCCTGCCGTCGAGTCCGGAGAGTGCTTAAATAAAGTTAGGAGAGGAGACCAAGTGCAAACATGGCAGATTCCAGAGTGTCGCTTGTAGTTTTGCTTCCAACAAGTCCCGTAAAGGCGCTGCTCTGCTTCACAGTTTGCAGGAGGCCTGTGCCACTTTCGAATTGGTCCTCCTGTTCAACGCCTTGCAAATAAAGGTTCCTGCGTCTAGAAGTTTCGTGAGGTCCACACCCTTCATAGGGAAGAAGAAAAGAGACACAGCTGCTTACTTGTACATACAAAGCTGCATTAAATGACGTCAGATCATTTGTCCATCTGGTCTAGTACTGCCTGCTCTTTAGACTGTCAGCTGCTCTCCAAAGATTCAGACACTGGTCTTTCCAGCCCAGTAAACTGAGGTCCTCCCACTTTCTTTCTTTTTTAAAAAAAGGGGAAATGCAGAGAATTAAACCTAAGACCTTCTACACCCAAAAACGTGTGCTCTTCCTCAGAGGTCACATCCGCACCATGAATTTAAAGTACTCCTATACCATGTTAACAACCATGGCTTCCGTCAAAGTATCCAGGGAAATGTAGTTTGTTAACAGAGCTCAGACCCCTATTTCCCCCACCATGAGAAGAGAAGACTCTCTGGAAAAGACCCTGATGCTGGGAAAGATGGAGGGCACAAGGAGAAGGGGACGACAGAGGACGAGATGGTTGGACAGTGTTCTCAAAGCTACAAACATGAGTGTGACCAAACTGCGGGAGGCAGTGGAAGACAGAAGTGCCTGGCGTGCTCTGGTCCATGGGGTCACAAAGAGTCGGACACGACTAAACGACTAAACAACAAATTTCCCCCACAAAGTTACACCTGACAACTATGCACACCCCTAACAAAATTAAGTTCCCAGGATCTGTTGCGGGTGGGGATAGACTTAAAAGTGGCATAGGTAAAGGTAAAGGTACCCCTGCCCGTACGGGCCAGTCTTGACAGACTCTAGGGTTGTGCGCTCATCTCACTCTAGAGGCCGGGAGCCGGCACCGTCCGCAGACACTTCCGGGTCACATGGCCAGTGTGACATCGCTGCTCTGGCGATCCTGCACCAGCGCAGCACACGGAACGCCATTTACCTTCCCGCTATAAAGCGGTACCTATTTATCTACTTGCACTTAGGGGTGCTTTCGAACTGCTAGGTGGGCAGGAGCTGGGACCGAAAGATGGGAGCTCACCCCGCCGCGGGGATTCGAACTGCCGACCATACGACCGGCAAGTCGTAGGCACTGTGGTTTTACCCACAGCGCCACCCGCGTCCCAAAAGTGGCATAGGAGTGCTTTAAATGGATGGTATGAAGGTGACCAAAGATACATCTCTTGCTCAGAAGAATATAATTTTGAGGCAAGTCATGCAGTGGAAAACTTCAGACAATCTGTTTCCACCAGCACATATACAACTTTACACACAGTGGCAGATAAAGCTCGGCTGGATGCTCTAGTTAGGAGAGACATCAAGTAGAATAGCAGCTGATCAGCCAACGAGGGCCACAGACACCCATCTCTATCAAAGCAAAGTCTGGTACTAACTCCCAAAGCCAAGACAAGTGTGTCCCCCTCCTATGACCAAGTACTTACAGTGTGGATGCCAAGACCGTTGAGCATGTACACCATGTCTTCTGTGGCCACATTCCCAGATGCTCCTTGGGCATAGGGACAGCCGCCAAGGCCAGCGACTGAGGAATCAACCACATTCACGCCCATCTGCGAACAGAAGCAGAGCCGTTCTAAGGAAAAGTCCTGCCTGGTCCGTCCAATGAAATAGCAAATTATGGGCTGATTAACTAGACCAGGGATGTGGCAGCGGTGGCCCTTTTGATGTGGGTGGTTCCTAGCTCTCCTCAGCCCCAGCCAGCATGGCCAAAGATGAGGGGAGCTGTGAGCCAACAACTGGGAAAGCCACAGGTTTACCATCGCTGAATTAGACTGAAAATGCAGGTAAGGGGTTCTGCCTCCTTTTTCTTTTGCAAAAAAAATTAAATAGGTTGCCTCCCTTTCTTCCAGGGTATCAGAAATTCTTGTATGGTTTGGGGAAGGTGGATGTATGCTGGAAAGGCTCCTAAGAGCATTCCTTCTGCGTTGATCCTGTTTTATATGTAGTCCGAATGCCTTTTGTGGGGCCAAAACATGCCCCAGGGACCCTTTTATCCATTCCAGGTCACTGAGCTCTTTGGAGAGTCACTGTTAGTGGTCCCCCATGGCTCAGATGCACAGCTTATATGTGCCAGGAGCTGTGCATTCAGAGGACCTGATTTTATAGAACTTCCTTCCAGCTGAGGTCAGGCAGGTCCCCCCTTTGTTACTACTTACTACTGGAGACTGTTTTGTATTCCAGCAGGCATTTTAACAGAATTCTAATCTTTGTTTGTTTCAATTGATTTTTATCTGCACTGTACTGAGTTTCTTGTACATGGCTTACAGGCAATTCTAGTTAAGCGATACATAAACTGCCAAAATAAATAGATAATCTCTATCCCAGGCAAGATTGGCCAATGACCAGGGCTTGTTCATGGCTAGCATGTGGATTGGATCGGTTGATTTGCTCCACCCATTTTAGTGAATTATGTCTTGAGCTATGAAACCAGCGAGGAAGTCACCTGAAGCGCTACCAGCGTGTTGGCGAGTGCCTGCCCGTAAGTGTCATGGCAGTGAACAGCCAGGGCTCCAAGAGGAACCTCCTTCATGACAGCAGAGAGCATGTCCTTCATGTTGCCGGGGGTCCCAACGCCAATGGTATCACCAAGGGAAATCTCGTAGCACCCCATGGCATACATTCTTTTTGAAACCTGCAGCAGAGAACAGAACATTTACAGAATTTCCAACACACGAAGCTGCCTGACACCAAGTCAGACCACCGGCCCATCTAGCTCAGTGCTGTTTAGAGGAGAGTTTCCCAAACTTAGGTCTCCAGCTGTTTTTGGACTACAACTCCCATCATCCCTGACCACGGGTCCTACTAGGTAGGGATGGTGGGAGTTGTAGTCCAAAAACAGCTGGAGACCCACGTTTGGGAAACCCTGGTTTAGAGTGAGTGGCAGTGGCTCTACAGGATCTCAGACAGGGCTGTCCCCAGACCTACTTGGAGATTGTAGGGACTGAATCTGTGACCTTCTGCTCAGCAAAGCAGGTGCTCTACTACTGCCCTTCCCATGCAGACCTACCATTTAAAGTTTGAGCTACACAATGTAAAGAGCACAGGGACAAAGCAAAAAGCGGGAGCCCCTGGCTGAGTTCCATCCTCCCTTTGCATAACATATACTTCCGTTCACCCCATGTCTCAATATTACAGTGTGCGTTTTCCTGCTCTTCGCATTGTTGGCTGCTGGTGGTGAGGATAAAATACATGCAGCTGCCTTTTACTAAGTCAACCCATTATTTCACCTGGCCCAGTACTGGGCTCTTCCCAGCCCTGCACTGCTGTCAAAACACAGTGCAAGGTGAATGGGGTGTGTGTGTGCCTATATCACATATATACACATACCAACTTAATACAGGGCTGCCGTTTGGGATGGCAGCCCTATGCTCTTTGCAAAGTGCAATTCCATCTTGAAAAAGGCACCTTTTGCTTTTTCCACCTGTGCAATGAGAACTGAAATGATGGCAGCTGCAACACGCAGTGCTGATGCATGCCCCTCTACTGACTGAGGTTACCAAGAATATCAAAGATAGAAGGGATGCCACAACATCCAACTGCAACATATACTCACTTCTGCTACTTTAGCAGGAGAAATCTTGCCTTCATATGGGCAGCCAAGGACACAGGAGACATACCTGCATGCATAGGGGAAAGAACAGGCATTATTATACCCAATACATGCAGGAGTTTCAAATGCCTTTTACACAACCAGAACGGCAGCCTCAGACCACCAGCCTCACACGTGACCTATAAATCATTTGCAGAATAAGAATAGCTCCTAGGGATTTACGGCCAAGCCTGTGGAATGAAAACCTCACCACAGCCTGTTATGTACACCAGAATCTTCACTCCATCACATAAAATGTGAAGAGCTCCCTTGCTCACCTACTGGGGAGCGGCAGCTGTTTCCTCACGTAAATGGAAGACAGCAACCGATGGCCACACCCCCAACTATGGCTTATCAGGACCGCATTATGGAAAGCTCCTTCAGGCCATCTCAGAGAAGATCCAGTATTTTGGTTCTGAATCCCCTCCCCTCTCCCAAGCTTCACCAGCCCATTTGTAAATGTAACAATAATAAATAAATCACGGTAGATTAGCAGGTAGAGAGGAACGCTCAACACCTCAGTTAGCACATGGCCCTAAAGCTTACCCTCGGACCGGGATACTGGTTTCTTTAGCTGCACTCAGGACGTCACTGAATCTGTCCAAACTCTCCTCAATGGAACAGTTGATGTTCTTCTTTGTGAAAAGTTCTGATGCTGCCCCGAAGATTGACACCTCCTTCGCTCCTGCTGCCACCTGCCAATACAGGGAATATGCCCTATATATCACTCCCTCTGATAAGTCAACTCAGGTGGTGGTGAGTGACAACAATTTAATTTTCAAACTCAGGTGGTGACTGCAAGCAATCTTGATTTTCTGCTTATCTTCTAACACAGGGGTCGCCAACCTTTTTGGATCGGGGGCACTTTTCGAATGTTGAGAAGGGCTGTGGGGGGCCAGTCACAAAATGGCTAGGGGCGGCGTGGCATAACTCAAAATTAGTTACTGTACTTTTCCGTGTATAAGACTGTGTTTATTTCTTTTAAAATCATACTAAAAAGTGGGGGTTGTCTTATACATGGGTAGTGCATAGGGTGGATGTTTGATTGGTTGCTGCCGCGGCTGTCAGTCACTATTATGCGTGTTATTGGTTGCTATGTCAATGGGCAGTGTTGATTGGCTGATATCTTGGCAGCTGGGTGGGTGATTGGCAGCTTCTGCTGGCGATGGGACAGACGGGAGGCTGACTTAGCATTGCGTGTGGGTGAGCGAATTTTGGCAAAAAAAGCTCAACAACTCTGAGCAATCTACTCCATTTTTCTAAAATGTGAGGGGTAGTTTTATACACGGGGGCGTCTTATAGAGGAAAAGTATGGTACCTCCCCAACAACCTTATGCTAACCATGGGACGTCAGCTATGTCCGGCTGCTCCTGGTTGTGGAAATCACATAATATTGATTCTACACGTATAAATGATGTTGCTGTGTAATAACAGAAGGCATTTCGCAGCACCAGGTGGCAACATCACACTCGCTCTCATTTCACAGAAATTGATTAGAAGGTACCTGAACATTTTGCCCCAAAACTTTCTTCCTATGAGGAATAGAGACTGGATTGTTGTTGTTTTTTTTATAAAAAACTTAGTCTCTGGGACACCTGCCTGGGGCAGCAGTGAAAGCCTTTGCAAGGTGCAGGGTAGGGGACCTCTGCCTTAGTGGGATGGATCTGATCTATTATACGTATTATTGGCACAAGCACTTTACCTTTACCTATTCTTCTTTTCACTTGTTTTTAAAGTTCCTATTTGTAAGTCACCCTGAGTTCACCTTCCTGGAAAAAAATGACTAATCAATACAATCAGCAAATAAATAATGTACAAAAATCGTACCAAAATGGGTCTAGTTGACCCGATTTAAGGCTATATTGAACTAATTGAGATTCTTGTGATGCTGGAGAGGCTTTCCCCAGCATGGCCTACAGGTTTTTACATATACAAGCACCTTCATTGAGTTCAATTGGGGGGGGGGAGAGATGTGCCTCCTCTGTTTAAATAAATGAGCTGCCTGTCCAGGTGCACCATACCTGGAACAGGATATGAAATTAGTCATAGTTGTGTATTTCTCACTACTAAAGCCATGACCTCAGAGCTTCTGCACTGCCATCTTCCTTACCGCTGCTTGGAAGCCTTTGAGGTTGGGAGTCAAAACCGGGTAGCTGATCCCAGGAACCTTCCGAATCCCTTGCATGACTTCAGTATGATCAGCCATCTAAGTTGCAAAATGAAGAACGTAAAAGACAGGATTTTAATTTTCCACTGCAAAAGAGGGGAGCACCTTAAAGCTTCCAAACCCTCGCAGATCAAAATGAGAAAAAGAAATAGGATTGTTAGGCGGCAAATGAAAAGTATTTTTAAACTGTTGACAAGACTTTCCTCAATGAAAAGCAGACTCCTCTTGCAAGCTCTGCTTCCATTATTAGCTGGTTTTTAAAGAGGGACTCTAGCTTTCTGAACAACGTTTTACAATAACAGGCAGCAGCTTTGAGAACAATGCTCAGTAATCTACAAAGATCAGAAACTTTTTATAACAGAAACAACCCCCTCTGCATGCTGCTGTGTTAAATTGCTGCATAGCCACATTACGCTTAGCAGACCGGGGGGGGGGGGGGGGAGTCCTGAGAATCAGAGAGTGGCTCCCGGCTTCCCAGACCTGCACTAAACTATAGTTTGGAATTACCTATATGCAAATGCAGCCTATGAAAGAAACCAAGTTGAGATACAGTAATTTATCTAAGCCACCCAGCAAGGTTACGGGAGAAGCAGGGACCCGCTCCCTTCACTGCAACCCACTATGAGACTCACACGTCAGCAATGTGAATTTGAGGATCACCCATACTGACCTGAGGAATCCATTTGGGAGACACAAAGCTGGTAGCTTCTATGACCGAAAGACCCGTTTCCGACAGCATGTTGATTAAGTCAATTTTCACATGGGTGGGGACGATGTTCTACAAAAAGAGAGAAACACATTTCCCACTTGTAACAATTCCACAATCCCTTCCAGAAAGTCTAATCAAAACCTTCCCTGAAGTAGAATAAAAGTGGCTTCGAAGGGTTGGGGAAGGCCACTGAGGTGGAGAATCACAAACTGGAAGGCAAGAAGGATGCCTCTTATTGGAGACAAGGGAGTGGAAATGGCTGGGATCCTTATACAATGATCTTATTATTATTTTTTACAGATAGGTGAATTACCACAACCTTTTTGCATTTCTTTAATTTTTATACTGCATCTGACCTTGAGCTTTGGAGAATGGAGAAGACTAAAAATCTCCTCTTATAATAAACAATAATACGTAAGAACCGGCTACCCTGAACTCAGTGGAGCTTACATTGTTAGTCAGTTTTGCATCACTGTGAGTATTGCGCACCACACAGCCTGCCAGAGGGACAAAGATTTCCTGTTTTGCAACGTGGTAACGCTGGACAGACTTTGCAATGGGTAAACATTCACGTCAAGCCTTAAACAAACTCCCTGGCTCTGACTTTGTGTATCTGGAGATATTTTTCTCTCTCTCTCCACAGTTACCGTAGGTCAGAACTTGTACTGTTTTACCTAGTTGGCTACCTGCAATGATTAAATAGCTTTAGAAGAGGATCGGAGAAATTCAGAGAGGAGAAGCAGTCTATCAATGGCTGCTAGTCAAGATGCCAATAGGCAACCTTCCAGTTTAGAAGCATTATGCCTCTGAATACCAGTTGCTGTGAAGCAAAAGCAGCAGGAGAGGCCCATTACTCTCATGTGGGCTTCTCAGGGGCACTGTGTTGGCCACTTGGGAATCTGGGTGTGGGGCTAGACAGAACACTGGCCTGAGGGGGACGTATTCTTGGTATTCCAACAGGATTTTTCATTATGCCTTTATGAAGTCAGTATCTCTATGGGGTGCAGGTAAGACTGCTAAAATCCCCCAATGGAACTTCCAAGATATGGTTCACAGGCATAAACAAAACCATACACATCCTACAAGCTGAAAAGACTCCCACTGAAGCCAGAGGCAGACAGGACAATTCTGACTCCAGGCCAGGCTCTTGCAGCTTCTCCTCCTAGTACAGAAATCCTTTGATATTTATGAATTGTGCCATTTCAAGGCAAGAGCTGGTAAAATGTAGTGGCTAAGGAGCTAAGGTTGCTATGAACCAGGAAGAGCCCAGTTCAAATCTTGCTTCTGCTATGGAAGTAGTTTAGGGCAGACTATTCTCTGAGCCTCAATCTCCCATCTGCAATATGGGTACAACACCACTGACCTACCTTACATGTTTGCTGTTTGAACAAAGATAAGGTATGCAAAAGCATTTTGAGCAAAGAAAGAGGGACATAAATACTAAATGTTATTGTCAGCATCACTCATTAGGGTGCCAGTCTCCTCATCACAATGCCACCTTAAATCCTTAAAAATTGAAACTATCAAGGTCTGTGTAATGCAGAGTGCTTTTCAACCAGAGCCTGCAAACATTATACATACTGCTGTGCATGCTCATATGAATCTGATGAAATGCAACAAAGATCACAAAATGTTAGATTAGAGCATGTTATGAAATGTTATCTCTCAAGGTCTCCTTATGATGGTCCATGGCATCTTTGCATCATCTGCGCAGTAGATTGTACCCATTTCACAGACTGATTTAATTTATATAAGCTGCTGTATTGAAATGAACAAATGAGAAATTGAGCAGCAGAGACTGCAGTTTGCCCTGGCGTAAGTCTCTGAGGTGAGTCTAATGTGACCCATCAGCCTGGATTGATGCATTTCTAGTGATCAATATACAGGAATTGCCAGAAACAGACAAAGTAGGGTGAAAGGCTGAGGATGGAATTTTTGAGCTGTGACCCATGTTCTAGTTGGCAGCAAAATCAAAACAGCACAGATGTTGAAAGAGCAGGTTCATGAGAACAAATTACTGTAGGTTTCACGAACAAGACAAATGGCTTATCAGGAGTCATTTACCTTTTCATTTTGCAAGCCATCTCTTGGACCGACCTCAACTATTTTCACATATTTGGGAAGCGTACCAGCTGCTGTGGAGCTGAGCTGTAGAGGGGGGAAAATGATAAATTTATTTATTTACAACTGGGATGAACAATACATTTTCACAACATGCCTAATGAATAAATACATTTTCAGTCAACATGCCTAATGAATAAATAATGAAAAGACATACGGAAGTCCATCTTGGTACAGTACATAGCTAAACTAAAGGATGTAGCGATGGTCCCCGATTTGGATGGCTTTAAATGGGGTTCAGGACAAATTCATAGTGGTTAAAACCAATTCACGGAGGGCAAAAACCAAAATATAGAGTAGATTCAACTAAGCTTGACATCTGCCCTTCTAGCATTTTTGGAAGGGTGGGCAGAATGTAGACCATTATCTACAGTACTGGTGGATCTCTGGGAGATTTACAGTAGATCAGCAAGGACTCCCAATTGTTTCAGAACAGCAACAACAAAATGTCATCCCCGGAGAGGGGCGGGAATCCTAATATCCTGAAATGAAGAAAGCTTAAACTGGAATGGGTTTGTGCGTGGAAGGACTATAAGCCCACCTCCAAATGATTCTTCATGCCTCACAGCACTTTATTCATGTATTTCCCCAGAGACCCCTGGGTAAGTGCATCATTTAAAAAAACCCTATATTCCTGTACATAAAACATGTTCTTGTTCAGTGATTCACAAGTTAGTAAAAACCTTTGGAACTGGTCTTTGTTTTTCTGGAGAACTTGTAAACGAAACGGACCTCTACCATTCTCCGGCAAAGGCGCAATTGTTGCTCTTGCCAGTCTCAATCTGCGCGCCTTTGCAAGTGTTTACCTTGCACACTGGGCTGCAGCTGCTGGAGCTCGGGAGGTTGCAGTGCAACAAGTAACCTGAAGCGTGCCCTCCCCACAGGCCCTAAAAGCAGCCTGTCTGGGGACGCTATAGAAAACAACTGGAGGTGGCCCCTGCCGTTCGCAGGACACCCCATAGCAGCTGCCAGGGCAGCTTAAGGACACCTCTCCCCACGGAGAGCCGCCACAACCGCAGCGCCCGAAGCGGCAGCAGCAGCAGCAGCAACGTCCCACTTCCCAACCTGGACCCGCCCCAGCTCTGCTCTCCCGCTCACCGGCCGCAGCGAAGCCACCAGCCGCGGGAGCGCCCGCTTGGCCGCCACCATGTCGCCGCTTCTCCTCCTTCTCCAGCGAGAGTCAGCGACTGGAAGCGGGTCACGTGACGGTGGCTTTGTTCCTCCACGTGACCCGCTTCCCTCGATGCGCGTGCGGCGGAGTGGGCGGCGCTGGCGCGTTCGCCTTCCCAGGAATGTGGGCAGAGCTTCACCTGGTGAATCTCTGCCTGACAAGTGGCCGAGAATGGGAGACCCCGCCACGGGAGGGAGGCGGTTTGTTTTATGCCCTTTGCGCCTGAGCATGTGCAGAGTGCCTCCCTCGCCCCTGGCTGAGTAGCAGTAGCAGCTGGGAGTGCAGCCGCCGCGCAGCTAGGAGTGCGGTATCCAGAACCAGAGCTTGAGAGGACAGCGTAAGAAGTGCTTTGATGAATTGGGCGAAATGCCTATTGTGGCAGACATCCTCGTGGCCAGGCATAGGCAAACTCCGGCCCTCCAGATGTTTGGGACTACAATTCCCATGATCCCTAGCTAACAGGACCAGTGGTCAGGGATGATGGGAATTGTAGTTCCAAACATCTGGAGGGCCGGAGTTTGCCTATGCCTGCTCTTGGCATTAGTAGCTGCCGCCTCCAAGCAGGCGTTGCCCCTGGGAGGCTTTCAAGAAGGGAATAGGCGCTTCCTGTATTTTCTGACCGGCTACAACTGTTAGAACTCTGTGCCAGATTTACCTATAAGCTAAACAAGCTATAGCTTAGGGCCCCTCTCTCTTGGGGCCCCCAAAAAAACTAAAAGCAAAAAAACCAATGTACATTTCCGAAATATAAGATAAAAAACAAAATAAAACCTATAGCAACAGTGTTTAGTGTTGTGTAGGCTCCTATTTGTTATGTGCATATGGCGTTAGATACCTATTGGGTCCATAAATTACCATATAGCATATATTCAACATAAAAAACAGTGACAATTTGTTGTTGACAAAGGACAGCTGGACATATAAAGGGCCCAGTTACCTTCAGTAGCTTAGGGCCTCATGAAATCTAAATCCGGCTCTCTATGTATAAAATGACACCAGACTCATACAAGCATAACAAGGACTGTTTTTGACAAAGGTAAGCACGACACACAAGCAACATGGACAGGATACTGCGCCATAAAAGAATTCCCCATCAGTGTTTCACATTTTTGCATATTTGAGGTATGCTTGAACCTCAACATCCGAAGCAAAGCCCTCACCTTCAAAGCTCTTCCTGGTCAAGCCTGTTATCTCTCTGCCCCATAACTTCCCCACCTCTTAGCATTAGTCACATGGTTACTATGAGGTTTCCTGCTAACAATCTGAGCTTATGCACAATAGGGACGGCAGCCCTACATGGCTTTTGACCACTCTCAACTGCTGCTGCTCGTACCTGAAAATCCTTTCCAAATACCTGATGCCACCTTTCTGCCCTGCTTTGTGTTCTTCACAACTTAAGAGACTGAAGAAAGCAATGTAATGACACATAATCAATTACACCTTATTTTGCTTGCTACACTTATCAGCCTAACATATTTATAAAGGTAAAGGTACCCCTGCCCGTACGGGCCAGTCGTGTCCTAGGGTTGTGCGCCCATCTCACTTAAGAGGCCGGGGGCCAGCGCTGTTCGGAGACACTTCCAGGTCACGTAGCCAACGTGATGAAGCTGCTCTAGCGAGCCAGCACCAGCGCAGCACACGGAAACGCCATTTACCTTCCTGCTATAAAGCGGTACCTATTTATCTACTTGCACTTAGGGGTGCTTTCGAACTGCTAGGTGGGCAGGAGCTGGGACCGAAAGACGGGAGCTCACCCCGCCGCGGGGATTCAAACCGCCGACCATACGATCGGCAAGCCCTAGGCACTGTGGTTTTACCCACAGCGCCACCCGCGTCCCTATAACATATTTATAGTGGCCTTCGAAGAAAAGAAAAAAAAAAACCCCAGCCTATACAGTATGGTACTATGCATCTTTCTTCAGGTGTACCCAAATTCTCAAGTGGGCATAGAAGATACAAGAGATAACCATGATTTTTTCTAATAGCTGAAACAACTCATTACACATAGTATTTGTACCCATTTATGAAAAGTATACCTGTCCCATCAGGCTTCCTCTTCGTAAAGGTCCCATTTTGCACTCTGGTGTCTCCTGCTCACACAGGGGTTTGACTTAGCTTGGCCTGCACGGGTGACTTGCAGCACTGCCCTATGCGCATTTATACCACTCAAGCAACAGAAGCCTGTGGCTCTGAGATAAGAGCTATTTGTTTTGGCTCTAAAACTGCCAATTTTATTTACTTGAGATATTCCCTTCACCCAAGGGTCTATGGAATGAAGCAGAAAGGTGTGTTACTATTCTCCTCCCTCCCACCAAAGTTCACAATGGTTGCAACCCAGTGCCAAGAGTTTGTATGCCCAGTATATACTCAGCATTTTAGCATCGTGGCATTTTCCTTAGTATGTTGCAAGGGATGATCAATGCCAAAAGCTATTTGCCAATGTCCCCAAGCCAGGAGACAGATGACATCAATTGCATTTTTTGGATCCCCCTAACTGGCACTGAGCTTCAGCTTTTGAGGTTGACTGTTACTTCACAGCACTGCAATTAATGATTGAACCAGGATGTTCATTGGAAACCACCTTTCTTTGGAACACACATAGGTCTTTCCCCTTGAACATGTTAAAAATCATTTTAGAAATGATTGAAGGTACCGTAACTAAAGGGTTGGGAGAGGATTTCCTTTGCTTCAGAGGTAATGGATACCTCTGAAAAGTATTGGAGTAAAACAATGGCACCTCTCTGGTGTCTCCTTCACTTTCTCAAGAGCCTGTGTCCACCACAAAGGGCATTCTCACAAGCCAGTTCTATTGGCTGCCTACCCCTTCCCAAGTTCTTACCCATTTTGCTTCCAACCCTCACTTGTTGCAATGCCTTATATTCAGATCATGCAATGCTTTTACTTCAATTCCAATGTTTTATTATTTTTGCAAAACCAACATTTGAAATCAGATATGAAAAACAGAAAAGGCACTGTGATTGATACATTGCAGAACAACACATCAGGAGGACCACTCATACCATGTGGTTCAATCTAGCAGTTTGGTTTTATATATATAAAAAGATTTAAACATCTGATTTAAAGTCATTCATTTACAGAGTTGCACCGTATGAGTTTCCCTTTGAAATATACTGTCTGTCGTATTTTGTCATGATAGGCCATATGATGGAGGTGAGGAAATCACCTGTTATAGCTGCTAAGAAACTGCAACACACTCCTTAAACTTGCTGGGATCTACTGCATTGCTTGATCATAGTCTAGAGGCTATGGTGGGGGTGGCAGAATGCAGGTGACTGCTACATACCCCTTGCAGCAGAGATAGAGTACCTGTAGTGCTGCAGATGTTGCCTGGCTACAAGTTCCATCGTCCTCAACTGGCTGGTGCAGATGTGAGCAGGACTAATACCTGTAGTGCCACAGATCCCACATCCATCCCTTGCAGGGTCAACATTTCAACCCAATTACTCATACCCTTCACTCAGAGCCACATTTGCCCTCAACTGCATGATTAGCTTGTACTTCCAGAGCACAAGAACATCCCTCAAGAAATGGGGTAAAAGGTCCTGCAATCGTATTCCCCATCTTGTATGTTTATTCATTTAGAAGGTAAGTTTATATGCTATGGAAGGGTTAGCCAACATGGTATCCTCCTGATGGTGGACTACAACTTCCATCAGTCACAGCTAGCATGACCAGTTGTCAAGGATGTTCAAGTCCAACATCTGGAGGGCACCAGATTTGCTACCCTTGACATAAGAGAAGGGACTAGCTAAGGAAAAACGGGGTGAGATGAGCAGCCAACTGTGAAAGTTTCTAAATTTTGTAAGCCATGCCTGTGGAAAAGGCACTTAATGCCATATGCAGCAATATAAATTAACTGGATGTTTCAAGATAGCATTAACTTCATCAATAGAATGCATGAGAAAGGCAAGTGAGGGACCAGCTACTTTTCTTATTTACAAGTGAATTCTTAATTGATTTGTAAGCCTAGACCTTGAAACCCGTTCTAAGAGAGTCCTTTCCCTGTTCTACATGGGCTCACGTTCCACTTTTTGCAAGAGATGAACTTACACAATTCTGAAAACATGAAGGTCATATCATCACTGCCTTCCAAGAACAAAGTTGTTTTGTTCCCCTCAAATCACTGCACCAAAATCTGGCATTTAATTATCGATTGCCCCACAACTGTGATGTATTGATGGCTTGTTACCAGTAATTCTAGTTAATTCTGTGTTCCCTCCCATTGGACTTTGCTGGTTTGTGAACTTAGATACAAGGCCTCTCCTTTCCACTTCCAAGCAAAACACTTTTCAGAAGCTTTCAAAGTTCTAATTAGTACCTCATAATACTAATGGTCTATGTTTTGGACATATATTTTTGGTGTTTATACTTATTGGATGGGGCAGTTATTCATGTTTTTGAGTGATTTTTGTGAATGAACACTTAATATAGTTATTTTGTTTTATACTTCATATATCTGTTTCATTTTGATTTTTTTTTATTGTCGATTGTATGCTGTTGTCTCTGGAAACTGCTTTGTGACTCCTCCTGTGTAAAGCGATACATAAATGGGAGACCTGCTCTAATTCAACTGAGATCAATTGCTGAGCTCTGCTCATTTTGCCTCTAATCGATGGCCCAAGTTTGCATGTCACAATATACCAGGTAATGGTTTGCTGGAATGTGCTTTTCAGAGCTGCTTTTGTCCCTTTCCTGCAAGTGGACCCAAACCATTATCCCTGGCTTAGAATTAGAGCAAAACAAACCATGACCCCAGATTTGGAGGTAACGCTAAGCCAGAAATCATAGTTTCTTTTGCTCTAACAAAGCATCATCAGTAAGCCAAGGACAAACCTTGGCTACAGATCAGGGTATGCTGAGACTGAAACAAACTACAATTTCTGCTTCAGGTGTAATGCTAAGTCAAGGATCACAGTTTATTTCAAGCTAAGTGGCCAAGATCACAATAACTTTGGTGTTCAGTTAGCCACTAGGTATAGTTTCCCATAACATGTGAGTGAAGTGGAACTCACCACAGGCCAAGTTAATTTTCCCGAGAAGTTACTGGAGACAGTTCTCATTCTGTGCAAATGATGCTCAGTGCATTACAGCAGAGTGCTTTTGGACATTTGTGTCAGGCAAATTAAATCCTGCCGGGAGAGTGCCCGTTCTTCGGTTTCTCCCTACTGAAATGCAACACCTGAGGATTGCTAACACATAAACACTGCATTGCATTGCAGTCCCATCTTTTAAGCCCCAACCACCCACCATTTCAAACCCATTCATGCCACTAATCACACCAGCTTGAATGGTTTGTCAATGAGAGAGAAATAGACGTTCCTCAATTTCCTTCCAGTTTCACCATCATGCCACTCCAACTAGCTTAAGAGTCCAGCCATGCTGCAGAGGGAGAAGTGAAGGAACAGCAGAGGGCAGCATGATCTTCAGTCCTTTGTCTGGGGCTACCTGCCATTTCAAAGGTTCAGAGAATCCCAACATAGTCACCTACAACAAGGATACAAAAGTTGTTAATTTGTTACTTTATACAAAAACATTGTAAGATAATTAGGCTGGTTCACATAGCTAGCAATCTCCATATTGGTCTTGCGGAACATGTGGAACCACCAAACAGCTCATAACCTGACTAGTAATGTATATTATGATTGCACATCTTTTCTCAGTGACATGGCCACCCCGCCGCAGCATCCTAGCTGGGCCATGAGCCCAATGCAGGTACTGTGTGTCAATCACGTGGGGAGAACCAGTGAAGAGTAGTGGTTAGTGTTAGACTGGGTGACCAGGGTCCAAATCCCCACTTATCCATGAAGCTCACTAGGTGATCCTGGACCAGTAACAGTCTCTCAGTCTAACCTACCTCACAGGGTTGCTGTGAGGAGAAAATGGAGTGGGGGAGCACAATGTACACTACTTTAAGCTTCTTGGGGGAATGGTGGGCTATAAACATGACAAATATAAATAAACAGCTACTGCAAGAAGGATCCCTATTGCACTAAACAACTCACTGTCTTCAAACCATTCAGAATTAGGGTGGAAGGAATGTTCAGAATAAAGCACAATGATTTCAGAAATATCCTCTGCTTCGTAAGAGTTTCCAAGAGAGGAAGAGTATGGAAATGGCAAGTTTCAGTTAGGGATAAGGTTTTCACTGTGCTCTTTAAGAGAAAACTGTACCACTGTAAAAACAAACTGTACCAAGACTGTAAGGAGGGGACTGCCTTTATCAAGCTTACTGCAGTTAAGAAAATACCAAGAAAAAATAACTTTAAGGCACAGACATCTGCCAAGCACTTGCTTACTGGCTTAAGGCCTGAAGAGTCTAGGGATTGTGGGTAACCTGAACAGGCACAAAACTACCACTGCTTCCATCCCAACAAGAGGACACAGTATCCATCTGCACAGATTGATCTCTTGTCAGAAATGAATAATTAAAAAGTGATTGCAGAGCACGGGGTAGACCACATACACAGGATGCAAGAGGAAGCAAATAACATTCTTATAAAATGGCATTTAAAGATGTGAATTCTGTTTTCAGATGGCATTTGGCTGTTTAAGTCTATTAGAGAACATTCTGGCAAGTATCTAGCTACAATTGCATATTGAAGGAAGGAGCTTCTCTGATTATTTGCAGCAATCTAATTTTCTGAAGAGTCATAGGGCAATTTTAGGAGGGAAAACCTGCGGCTGCCAGATGGCGCAGCAAGATGGGAACATGTGCCAACCCTGAAAGCTCTACACTGCCTGCATGTGTGCTATCAGGTTTGATTCAAGGCGTTAGAGATGGCCTAAAAGCCCTAACCAGCTTTGGGCCCAAATATCTGCCAGAGCATCTCCTCCAATGCCAGACAGCTTGATCTTAAGATTAGCCAGTGGAGGGAGCAGCTCTGTTCACAGTCCCCACCAGGATTCAGGGTGAGGGGATGTATAGAAGGAACTTATATGTGGTAAGACCTCATCTCTGGAATGATCTCCTCTACAAATGAATTTCAGTTCAATTTATTTATGCAGTCTGATAATAGAAGATTTACCCAGAGCAGCAATATATGTGTTTTAATTAGCTATTACAATTTCCACCCTCATTTGAATATGCTTTAGTTATATTTGCTGTATTTTTGTTGATATGGTTTGATGTATATCACCCTGAGCTCTTTCTGAGACTGGCTAATTATAAATATCCCAAATAAATTAATCTCTTGGAAATACTCAGCAACTAGATTGAACAATGACAGGCTGCCTTCCTACACTGTAGTTACTACTTCTCCTGCTGCCCACCTCACCCAACTGCATTACCTATAGGGACCAGAGGCTGCAGCCTCTGTGTTAATTTGTGGCATCCTCACAAAAGGAAAAGAAGAGAATCTAGGAAGGCATGTGACAGGGAAATGCAAACAATGCACACCTATCATTTTCTGGTGTGAGCATCATAGTGACCTGGAGCCAGCTGGAAGACCAGCAAATCTGCAGCCCTAAAGTGGGCAAGAGCAACAAGAGCAGTGTATGGGGTGGGGGAGATGGAAGGAGCTACTTGCCTTCATGCTGGGCAGTTTCCCCTGCCCCTCAGAGGTTAAATCCAGCTAATCAGATAACTGGGGAAGTGTCCTAACAGCATGAAGATGCAGGTTCAACTCCTGGAATTTCCAGTTAAAAAGATCTCAAGAAGCAGAGCTAGGAGAGAGCTTTGCCCAAGACCATCAGCAGCCACGTTCAGGATGAGGGACAATCTAGCCTCCTCTTGGTCAGTCAGAGTTTAAGTTGCCATCATTTAGCAGAAATGGGTACCCATGAATGGAGCACATGAACATGGATGATATGAAGTGATACTTGAATAGGTACTTTTGCCTTTCCAGAGCAATATGCATATGAATCTGATATGGAGATTCCGTGGTGCATTTCCTTTCAAGCGAAATCCAGCACAACAGCTCACTGTATCTTGGCAAAGGTAACTGAGAGGGCACTTATTTGGTCATGCCTGGTTTAGACAGACCAATAGCCAGACTAAGGTAATTTTGTACTCGTATTGAATACGGGGTATTCAGGTTCTTACTAGAGCCATTAAAATTATTCTTTGTAATAACAAAGGCTCAAGAAATGTTAAAAATTACTGAGATGCCAGTAGATGCAATTTTCAGGCCTGCTTTCCCTTCTTTCCTTACTTTAGTAGTTGCAGATGAGACAGGTGATGGAAGAATCAACACACTGCTTTCTGGCCAGGTCAAGAAGATGGCATAGACTGTTTCTCCCTTTGAAGTGTACCTGAGAAAATATATAGCAAAGCAAAGTTGTGGAAACAAACACAAAAGTTCCAAAGCAAAGAAAAAGCACCCATCTTTTGCAGGAGCAGAACATCTGTATCGGAAATACCTTCCCTTGCTGATGTTTGCAGGGATCTAGTGCTTCTTCCACCTTCTCATGTTGTGGCTGCGTGGCCAAGAATGATGAAAGCCTCAAAGTCCACCTTTACACTCACACCCCCTAAAAGCAAACATTGCATGACAGTCTGTCCTTGCTTTTCAACTGCTGCCGTCACCAACATGGAGGTGGGTCTGGCAGGGGCCTGTGGAAACTTTCCATTAGAGTTCTATGCTGGGCCATTCTCTTTTAAATGTTCTCTGCTCCTGAAAGACTTTCAGAATTGGTATTCTCTCATCTCTCCCTCTACTTAGGATTTAGCGCACCACCATGTCATAGCTGATGTATGCAGGGGAGCTCTTAATAGCAAAAATTATTCCTGCATTGAATGAGGGTTGAACTAGATGACCCTCAAGATCCCTTCCAACTCTTCAATTCTGTGATCTACGAAAAGCTGCCTTGGAGATAACTGGTGAAATGACAATGTGTACCTTTTAGATAAATAAAATAACTACCCCCAATGTAGCAAATACCAAAAAGTCAACCAAGAAGATTTAAAAGTGTAACCAGCATTTAAACAAAACAAAGCCATTTGTGGTTTCAGATGTTAAATCTAACACAAACCTTCTCATTAAGTAAAACAAAGCAAAACACAGCAAGAAAAGAAAGCATTAATATGAATAGCAAACCTTCATGGGCTTTGGGTGCTGAAAGAGCAGAGAAGTGCGACTTCCGGGTTGACGCGATCTGGAAATGGCGGATTCCCTCCGAGCTCCGGAGGGAATCGGCTCCACTGAGGATGGGTCTTTGCCGCGCCGGCGACGCGGGGACCCTTAAAAACCGCAGGCGCGGAAGCCTGCGGACTGAAGACTCGGCGGGTGCCTTAAGCGCCCCCCCTGATTCGCAAAGAGCCTTTTTAAAGGCTGCGGAGGGGATACGGGGGTGGCGTGGCACTGAGAGTCGATCGCTACCTCGGTGGAGCGAAGCCGCGAGCCATGACCGGAGAGCGCTGACTTCCTTCCTTAAAAATTTGGACTGAAAGAATCACCCGTGAGTAAGACGGATTGGGACTTTTGAAAAATTTTACCTTTAATTGGAGACGACCGGGGGGTGTGCTAAAAGGAAGTCCGCACCCCCCCCCTTGCAGACCATCTAAGCAACGACACAAGAGATAAGCTGGAGAGCCTACCCTTGGTGGGGTGAGTTAAAAAGGACACTAACTTTCAAGATTTTACTAAAGGAAAAGTTTGTGCAGGAGAGTGGAGTTTTGGAAACCTCCCTTTTGTTTTAAACAACCCCCCCTCCCGGGCTCGGGAACGTCCTGCCTTCGTGCCTGCGTTAGAGCTGCGGAGTTTGACAGCTGTCAAAGCTGCCAAACGGGCGGTTTAAAGTGAGAAATTGCCATTTAAGATTTCTATGGACTAAGACGAGTTATAATTGAGCTGAAACTGTTGGAAACAAAGTAATAATAATCAGTTTAAGGATTGTTGGTGAAAAGGCAAATAAGTAACCAGATTCCCCCTAGGGGGAACTCTGTGAAACTACAATGGATACAATGGCTGTGGAAGGAAAGTTACTAGTGGAAATCGAAAGGATGTTTCAATTGGTGGGAATCTTACAGGAGCAGAGTTTGGCCATGAACAAACAACTTGAGTCTATGACCTTGGGAACAGGCAACTCTGCTCTTTGTATTGAGGACCTTAATGAGAAAGAATCCACAGCTGATTGGGAAACAATATCTACAGAGCTGGAAGAGACTAAACAACAAGAAAAAGAAGAAGTAATCCTGGGAAGTAATAACCAAAAGTTGACATCTGTGGAATACAAGCAAGGAGACGCTGGGAACATATTCACCACAAGTCTGCGAGAGATACAGAAGAAGAAGGAGGAGGCCCCAAGACAAAATGGAGTACAGGAATTTAAAATAAAGAAATATGATTGGGGCCTCCGTTTGGACTTAGACTTGGAAGAGATAGACTTTGTGGAAATACTTCAGCAGCTACCTTTGAATCTTCTTGTTGGAAGAGGACATACTTTGATGATGAAAGAACTTTTCCCAGATCTGACGACTGCTGTAAAGGACTACCAACAGGACAGGCGGAGAGGAACGGAAATAGATTTGAAAGCCTCGGATGTGAGGAACCCAGGCTGAGAACTTCGAATTTGGATTTTTATTGGGAAGGGACAAAAACCGGGGATGGGAGGGAGGGAAGAAGAGACTCTTAAAAACTCTCAAGACCTTTAGGTTTGGTTAAGATGACTTTTAATTAAGATAAAATGAAAATCGATGGAAGAGAACTTAAATCCAACTTATGAAAACTAATTTTTATTATAAAAAAAAAGGAAATAAGATGAATAAGATTGTTAAGAGGAGAAATATCAACTTGCTGACATAATCTTGAAACTGGGATGCATTTGGGGGGGTGGGGGGAAGTCAGGGAACAAGGTTATGAAATGGGGATTTGCTGACTTTATACATGTTTTTGTTTTTGTTTTTCTTTGTGTATGTTTTGTCTTTATAAAAGCAGAAAACCAAATAAAAATTTTATTAAAAAAAAAAAAAAAAAAGAAAGAGCAGAGAAGTGCAGTCCAATCAAGTACTTTGACAGCCTGCGTCACCTGTGATTGACAATACTTTATGTCTTTTTCTAAGGTGAGGCCTCTTGCATTTCAGTTTCCTTTGAACTACTGCAGCACATGCAAAAGGTTTGCCCTTCTTACTACCTCAGTAAAATAGTGTCTAGGTAATAAAGGCTTATAAAGACTAGATCGTCTTTCACACCTGAATTCATGTAAGATACTACAAAAGAAATTTTGTGTAAGTGTGCTCATTCCTAAAGAGGTTCTAACACAGTTTACTCATCACATTAAGGCCAATGCAGCAACCAAATATCCATGAAGACACTGTGACATCTCCTCTTGTTGCTATGCAAATACAGTGGTGCCTCGCAAGACGAAAAGAATCCGTTCTGTGATTCTCTTCGTCTAGCGGTTTTTTCGTCTTGCGAAGCAAGCCCATTGACAGATCAGCGGATTAGCGGCTTATCGGATCAGCTGATAAGCGGCTTAGCGGCTTAGAAAAAGGGGGGGGGAGGAAAAAAACCCCGCAGGAATTTGCAAGAAGGAGATTTGTTTTGCGAAGCACCTCCAAAACGGAAAATCCTTTCATCTAGTGAGTTTTCCGTCTTGCGAGGCATTCGTCTTGCGGGGCACCACTGTAATGGTTAACTACAGATAGCTGAAGCATTAGAGGCTACCTCCCTGAATCTTCAAGAAGAAGCCCGCTTTTGTATTAGTTTTTGCCATACCATGTGCTGCAAGTGCAATTCTCCTTTTGTATTCTCCATGGCTTTGATTCATAAATGGCCTCCCCATTAATGCCTAGCCACTTCCCAAGGGCTAGGAGCCTCTCTTGGAAGACTGGAGCGATCACCCCTTCTTTTGTGGGTCCCACATTGAGAAGATAGTTTCCACCATAGCTCACAGTTTGCACAAGTTCCTGTGGTAAAGACAGAAACAGAACATAGACACATTTTTAAGTCAAGAGAGAAAGAAAGTCATTCCCCAAAGCAGCAATAAAATTGCAAGTGCCTGTTTAACTAGTTCACTCCTTTACACTGAGAAAGGATACTCTAGAACAGGGGAGATAACATGTTCAACAATACCTCAAAGACCGCTTCTGCCCATATTAACCAACCTGGACCCTGCACTCATCCTCTGAGGCCCTTCTTCATGTGCCTTCTCTGCTAGAGGTCTGGACAGTGGCAACATGACAAGGGGCCTTTTCTGCAGGGGCTCCCCATTTGTGGAATGCTCTCCCCAGGGAGGCTCTCCTGGCACCTTCACTACATACCTTTAAGTGCCAGGCAAAAACAGGTCTTTACCCTGTGACCTTTTAGAAGTGAATGGGATGTTTTAATGTCCTTCTCTTTCCTCTTGGTTTTAATGTATCTATGTTTACTGTCTGTTCGTAAGTCGCTTTGGGTTTCACTGGGCAAGATAAAGCAACTAACAAATGTTAATAATAATATTAATAGTAGTAGTAGCAGTCCAACATCTGGGGGGACAACACATCAGCCACCCCTGCTGTAGAACAACCCACAAATGCCTGCCTCCTTTTTCCTGAAAGACTTAGGAAATTCCATATCCTCACAAGTATCCAACATTATAGCAAAATATTCACATTGCAGAATGTATCCTGCTGCTCTTGCAGTAATTTCAACAAACTGACTCTGATAAACATACTGTACACAGCGAAATTTTCACCGAACATAAATATCTTGCATGCTCATGTTGATGCCTCCAACATTTGTGGGGAGGTTTAAGTGTAAGTTGGGAAGAAGGAAAAGGGCCTGTCTGAGCAGGTGTGGTGGTGGCATTTCATGCCAGTTCTTATCCTCTCCTTCGCCTTTTATCTTATGCAGTCCCTTCAAAAGTCAACAAACAGGATGAATGCTTATGGTTTTGCATGGTTTGTTCTCTTTTCAGGTATTCTTCTGTGGTTGTAGGAGGCAGTCGGTTTGGGAAAGATTTACATGTGTTTAAGCTGAAGTACAAAAGTATCTAGCATTTTCCTAAAGAATGTGGCCTACTTTAACTAGAGATGAGGCTCAATTCAAATCTCTGCTCCGGCTGTTGCAACCTCCAGGCAACTCTCTGCAAGCTTTTGCAACATCATTGCTGGATGGCCAATCCTTGGCCTTTGTTTACACTTCAAAGTGCTCACCTGAATGATGCTGGATTCATCCATGAGTTCATTGATTTGCATGTTGCTTCGATACCCCCAAGATCTTCTGTCAATAGAGCTGCACATCTCCCACTTGTGGTCTGGCAGAGTGCCAGGCTCGTATTTATCTTGACAGTTATAGAAACCTCCATGGTGACAAGAGCAATTGGTGCCCCATCGATCATTCACCACTACAGTATCCTAGAGGGAGAGATTCATATGAAATAACTGCAGCTGTTTTTCCTTATGCTACAATCTTCAATAATTACAGGTGCGTGTGAAATCCTCCAGATAAAACAGAGGTTAATGTTTCAGGATAAAAATGGAAGTATCCAGTGTGTTCTGCTCGTCCACTTTGCTTTGGATCAAAGACGGGGGACAGCAAAACGTGGCCCTATAGATGGCTGTAGAATCCCTGTTAGCACTCTGAAGAAAGTGGCCTCATTCACACAAAACCATGACTTGTGCCTGAGCTGGAACGAGCCTTAACAAAGGCTTGGGCTTGCACCCAGCTCCCTGACAGTGCAGTGAGGAAAAAGACTTTGCTACAGTTTAGTTTCAATGTCACAGAATCCTGGCTTGTTGTCTGCCCATTCCCAGATGACTGCAGCATTGGGTGGCAATCTGCATGTGGGAATGAGCCACTGCTGATGGAACTTCTGTATCATCTCACCTTAAGCAAATGCCTTTCAGATGAGTTTGTACACACATTCAGCTGCCTGGTTGCAGTAACAGACTGGATGAGGGTGCTGGATGGGGATACGCTGCCTATGCTCTAGTATAATGTGTTATATGTGGGGCTACCTATGAAGAGGCTTCATGAACTTCAGCTGGTGCAAAATCTGGCTGCCATATTTATAAGTGGAACTGGGATAATGAATAATCTAATAACAGCGCCAGCCATCTGTGCGAGCTTTCAACTGATTTCCAGGCCAAATTCAAAGTGCTAATTTTAACCTATAAAGTGTCATATGGATGAACACTCTATTGCCTCAGAACCCCCTGGTCATCTCTGGAGCCCTTTTCTGAATACCATCTCCAACGGAGGTGCAGAGAGTCACCACGTGAGAAAGTGCCTTTCCTCTTAGAGGCTCTCTGCCTTTGGATTACCTTCCCCAGAAAGGTGCACCTGGCTGCAAATCTAACATCTTTTCACTGTCGGGTTGGTTGCTTTAAAAAAATACTGTACACCCCAATATTTGAATACTGACATCATTCTCTCGCTAGCTCAATGGAAGGTTTTTAGCTGCTTATGGTTTTACGGTGATTGTGTGTGATTAATTTTATGGCAGGAAGTGCACTCTTGGAGGGACACATAGCGTGATCTTTTTTAGTTATTGTAGTTGTAGGTTTAAATATTTGTTTATAAACCGCCATGAGACCTTTGGGTATAATAAAGCAACACATATATAATCATAACCATAAGCTGATCCTGCATCAGAAGCAATTAATACATCTCACCCCGGAGGAAAGGGAAAGGGGCAGAACTTACAAAGGAACACAAAAAATGTGACAATCCCATATACCAGAAACCATTCTAAGAGATTCATCTCAAATGCAAACAAGGAGACTACCCAGTTCTTAACCTATTTAACTGATCAGTAAACATGAAGGAAATTGAGATACCTTGACTGGACTGTCATTGTAAAGCCAGGCGAGGAAAGAGGTTGAGTTCCAGTAAGTATCTGGTGCCTCCCAGTCTCCATCAGACCAAATGAGATCTGGCTTGTATCTAAGATGGAAGTACCATTGCGTCATAAATCCGAGTTGGTATTTCTGCAGAGATGAGCCACTAATAGCTGCTTATGGTATTGAATTATTTTGTAAATGTATTACAACAATTTATACCCCACCTTTCTACACCAAGTGTGCTAACTGCACTTGTCTACAAATGACCGGGTGGACAGAAGCCTATTGTGCCAGTGGTCTGCACGCAAGAAACCTACATTCTTATTACAAAACCGGAGTTCTTTGTGCACTACAAACATGTTTTAGAAATGACAAAGTTATAGGGTTGCATATGTACTGCAGTTCCATAAAGCATAAAATTGGACACCAGGTACAGAACTTGAGTGCTGTTTTTTGTTTTTTTAATGTTCCTAGCTCTCTTGTCTGTAAAGATATGCTTGAAAGTCTGTCAGCATTGTTTGCTGAAATTCTGGAAGCCACTGTGGGCAAAACAAAAGGGGTTGACCTTTACACTCACTAAGACTACAATCCTATGCACCCTTACCTGTGAGCAAACCCCACTGAACACAGTACGATTTCCATCTGAGTAAACATGCCTACAAAGAGCTGAAGGGGATGGGGCAAAGCTTGGCTACCATTTCTAAATAAGTAACCATGACAGGGCCTAAGAGGAAGAGCTTCAGCGGCTTGCCCAGCTATTTCCCCCTCTAAGACTATCAAAACAATACAAGCATATATAGCCCTGGCATATATATCCTGCCCTTCCTCAAGGTGATCAGGACACTGCTTATGAACTTACCCATTTCATCTTCTTAACAACCCACCAAGGTAGTTTAAGGGGACACATAGTGAACCATTTGAGATTTCATAGCTAAGTCATGGTTTCAATGTAGGAAACATGGTGATAGAATGTTGGGACTATGGCAGAGGCGGCCTATGTAACTTTATACAGCCCCATACACTCTGTTAAGTGTTGCAAGAACAATAACAATCTACCACGGCAACAAGTAGCAAGGGGAAACCTCTGAGCAACCCAATTTACTTGAAAGTTTCACTTTGTTCAATGGGGCTTGCTAGGGAGCAAGCATGTAAGTGGAGGTTGTTCAATCTTACCTCAAGACAAGCTCATAAAGCTCAGGCAGGGTCTTGCCATAGACAAAAAACTGACTCTTGAAGCCATTTTTTTTGTCCAATAAATAGAGCGGGTTAAACCATTCAAAGAGGGAGTGGTACAGTCCATAGTGTATGTTCCTAAAGATTAAACAAAGGGGGAAACACAGTAATAGAATTAGATAGGTCTGGATGTCAGCAGAAGGCTGTGAAGCCCAGGACCCTGCACAGCAATAAGCTTCCACTCCCCACTTGTTAACCCACATAGATACCTTTCTCTGAGAGCATCCCCCAGTTCACCCACCAAGTCTCGATGGGGCCCCGTATCTACCGAATTCCAGTTCCATGACACGTTGGACCCCCAGTTGGTGAAGCCTTCATGATGCTTTGTCGTCAACACCACATATCTGTAGGAACCAAAGACACAGGATTAGAAGGGAAGAAAATTAATTAACAATATTCCCAAATCTAACAGGGAGGGTAGGTGAGAGCTGGAGAGACTAGACCAAGATGGGCCTTCCCAACTTTGTTAAATCACTTCATTTTCTCTCACTCTGGCTGCACTTCCAGACTGTCACTAATTTCATGTGAGATTCAATCATGTACCAGCTAATTCAGGTTGTACAATTATAGCTGACTGGGAAGTCTCGCAGCAAATCCGCTTCCCCCAAAGGTCTGACTTTTTGCGATAAGCAACAGGAAAATGAACTGGAAAGTTGGGATAACATTTGCTTTGATGCAATGGCATTCAACCACCCCACGAACAAATCAGAATGAATGCTCATTAAATAGCCAATGGCATCTAATCTCCCTGCAACCAAATTAGGACAAATACTTAATAAACAAGTTGGCCTGAAAGACACTTAAGTAATGCTTCTATTTTGCCTTCTCCCTGTGTACAGTACTCTTCAAGACACTGTAAAAACAACTATTGCTCGTGTATTCTGTTATCTTCTGCAAAAACACAGATCGCTTCTTTTATTTTCCCAGTTTGATGACTGAAATTCTCTTTGTACACTCAGATTCACCCTTTCTCCTCCATTCTTATTTCTGGTGCCTGTACAGCTGGGTTTTTTCCATTTCTTGTTTTGCTGGCTTCTGTTTCTTCATTGCCCTGCATTTTGTCCAGTTACTACTTTTCTTTATTTATTTTCATACTCTGGCCCCTTCTTATCTATCTCTTCCTCTCTGCGAGTGATTGAACTTCTTCCCCAAAATCTTCGACCTCTTGTAACTTCTGCATTGACTTCCCCATTTCACTTCCTTTTGTATCCCTCCCCCTCCCTTTACTGTATTGTATTCTATGGATAAGTCCTTTTAAATCAAGGGTTGTATACAATGCTACTCCGACAGAGTCAGACTCAATGAAGATAATGAACATAACTTAAGTTGATTAGCTTCAATGGGTCTACTTGAAGTAGGACTTAGTTGGATACAATTGTATGGTGCATACCTTTTGAGGTGTTTCCTCAATAAACCTATAATTTTAAATTAGATCATCCCAACAGCAATGTCTGGAAAATGGCTAGCCCAGCTTCGTAAGAAGCCTCACCAAGAGATAGGGTGTGCTAGCTGGTCAAGAACTGAATGACTGAGGGAGGACTACAGCAAAACCTTTTGCACCCCAACTCGATAAGACTAATTGTCTATCTAGTTCAGCATCCTGTTTCCCACAATGACCAACCAGATGCTTCTGGGAAGTCCCCAAACAGGACATGTCTGAAGGCAATAGTTTTCTCATTGCCACATCTTTCAGCAGGAAATTTCAAAACTTAATTATGTGTTTTAGTATGTATTTTACATTTTTGTAAGTCCCAAAATCCACTGCATGTCAATTTTATTGGGTGATGCTGTGACAGAATTTAGGAAAGGGCCATAGCTTTGCAGACATAAGATCCCAAGTTCATTCCCTGGCATCTCCAGGTAAAGCTGGAAGAGGAAGTGACACAGTTCAGTGCAACACCTTCATTCTTCTGCAGGTTAAGACTGTACTCAAGATAGCCTCAAGCCTAGAAAATATAGCTATATCCTAATAATTATGAATGCTATAATAGTTTTGCAATGATTTATATTATGAAAGAGCAATGGTGTGTAGTAACAATAATTTTCTATGCAAGAGTATTTTATCCATCGCAGAACAATGAAAATGCCACGCAATAAAAAATATTGTACTATATATATATATATATTCCTGATATTGTTTCTGACACTGTTGTTTTAAACTGCTTTTGATGTTCTTTTTTATGTTGTAGCCCACCCTGGGACCTTAGGGTGAAGGGCGGGAAATTCATAACAACAACTGCGATTAACACAGTCCTCGCTGTGCTGTTTGTCACATGGATTATTATACACCATTATTATTATTATTACTGCTCAGTCGTGCTAAGCCCCAGGCCGGCCGCTATGCAGAAGCGGCCTCTGCTGCCCGCTCCGCCCGTCTGCTGCTGACCTTGCGCCGGCCTGCTGGAAGAGCCGCGCCCACTGCAGGGGCTGGAAGTCGTGGGCGGTGAAGCGGGGGGCGAAGTCCGCGTAGCTGGTGCCAGGCGGGAAGCGCGCCTGGACGAAGCGGTCGAAGTCGGGCTGCTTCTCGCCCCGCCAGTGCCACCAGAACCACTCGGAGCCCCAGGCCGGCACCGAGAAGACTCCCCAGTGGACGAACACGCCGACCTTGGCGGCGTCGAACCAGCCCGGCAGCGGCCGGGCGTCCAAGCTGGGCCAGTCGGGTGTGTAGCGCTGAGGGGGCGCCGAGGCAGAGGCTGCCCCGACGAAGCAGAGCCACGCCGCCGCCGCCGCCGCCGCCCGCAGGAAAAGCCCCCGGCCCGTCTCCATGTCTTTCCCCTCAGCAATCGCCGCTCAGAACGGCGCTCGCCGATTGGCGCCAGTAAGCGCTTCCCTCGGCCAATCGCAGCCTCGCTCCCATATGTAAATCATGCATAATAAGCGCGCGACCCGCCCGGTGGATGAAAGCGAGCAGCTGATAGCGCGAGGGAGTGAGAGTGGCATACATTCTAACGACAGGAGCGGAACTCAAGCAGTTTTCCAAGGGCTTGGGTCTCGAGAAAGGAAATGGGCGGTGTGGCTTGTACAGTACTTCATTTTTTTTAGAAGACTCGCTAGACGGAAGTCTTTCCCAAGGTGGTTTCCCGTACGAGGTTAAGATAGAAAGGCGTAACAACAGTCAAAAGGGGGGGGGGGAGCTGTCGCATAATGATAGCTTCAAAGGCAAGCCGGATGCACTGACTGCAGTACCAGATCCGAGTTCAAATCCTCAGCCATGAAATGCACTATGACTTTGGGCCGGTCACCAACTCATAGCCTGACCTAGCTTGAAGGGTTGTTGCGAGGATTAAAAAATAGGGAGAATCATGTATCCTGCCTCAACTTCCTCATACATAAGTATAATAAATAAAAGTAGCAATAAAAAAAATCCAACTGGCTTACTAATACCATTTCAGAGCACATAAACCTTAAAACTATTATAACACACAACGTCTCTGCCAATGCCATCTGAAACAGTGTCCTCAGTGCCTATGTGGTGTGTATACACACACACACACACACACATATCCCAGGAGGGAATTTCATAGTTAGGGTTTTGTTTTGTTTTTGAAATAGTTTTTATTAAAGATTTTCATGAATTACAAAAGAATGTGCAATGTCTCTTTTTTGTTGTTCAGATCAGGGAATTTCATAGTTGCACAGTGGTACCTCTGGTTACGTACTTAATTCGTTCCGGAGGTCCGTTCTTAACCTGAAACTGTTCTTATCTGAAGCACCACTTTAGCTAATGGGGCCTCCCGCGGCTGCTGTGCCGCCACCGCCACTGCGCGATTTCTGTTCTCCTCCTGAAGCAAAGTTCTTAACCCAAGGTACTATTTCTGGTAGTCTGTAACCTGAGGTACCACTGTAGTAGGATGACCACTAAGAAGGCAGGTCATATCTGCCAGCCAAACTGGTTGTACTGGTTGGTCTCTTCTGGAGCTTATCTTAAAGAAAAGGCAGACTGGTAGAGCTGGTGGCAACCTGGATCCAAATGGTTTGACAGCAGGCTCTTCTTCCATCTCACACAGCATGAGGCCTGGTTCTTTTTTTTTGGGGGGGGGACTGATTTACTGCTTAACTTTGCTTACCCCTGGGCTGACGCTCCACATGACTGGTTCAGTCATGAATGCTTCCTCCTTCAGCCATGACATTACCACACTATGAATTCTTGGTTCTGGCAAGTGTCATAGGGCAGGGTGTAAATGCTACTCGTGTTTATTTTAATATAACTACATTTATAGACAACCTTTTCTCCAAGGAGCTCAAGCTGGTGTATATGGTTCTCCCCTCCCCCATTTTATCCTCACAAGAACCCTGTGAGGTAGGTTAGCCTTCATAGCTGAGTGAGGATTTGAACTCTGGTCTCCCAGGTCCCAGTCCATCCCTCGATAACCACTGAAGGGTACAACCTTCACAGGTAATCAGTTTTAACTTGCCTGGCATCTTGTATAAGACTTAAGTGAACACATGGAGCTGAATACACATGGGTAGAGATTGTAGGGGTCAAATGGGCTGCACTACTGCAGGTTGGTCACATTTTTGTGTCTTTCTAGATATCAAATATTCACAACCAGCACATGTACACATGATTGCCAATTGAACTGGAGGGGGCGGACAAACCTGACTGTTCATTTATTTTGCTTTTGGACTTTTCAGAAATGATTTTTTTAAAGGTTTTTAAAAAACTAAAAAAAACTTAAGCAGGTTTTTTTTTAAGCTGTATGTCCAAAGCAGCAGCTTTCTTTTCTCCAGCACCTTAAGTCTCACCTTAAGCCATGTGGCACCAACATGATGCCCCAGGGAGCAAAGGTGCCCTTTAGGTCTTCCCCTGACACCCATTAAACCTCAACTCTGCACACACACTCCCTGCCCACCTTGGTCATTTGTTGATGAGAAGGGTTATCTCTTTCTATCCTTCATCTGGAAATCTGGAAGCAGGAGTTAATATGTGTTCTTTTAAGTATAGGAATCAAGAAGTAAGATGGTTTAGATTCTGTACTAAAATAACAGAAAAGTCTAAAGCCGGCACAACATAATTTTCTATTATTTTGCACATTGTAGTTCGTTCCAGCTGTTGCTTGTTGTGGATGAAGAGGGACAGGAAACTATTCAAGGTGAGGCTCTGCCCACAACCACTGGAAATTGCCTGTAGACCTCTCTCTGGATTCAGACATGCCTGCACAAATTTATCACATACTGCCAAGCATAATTTTTTTCAGTCATAAGGACTAGATACCTTTTATTAATTAAGTAAATCTACACAAAATGAAAGCAGAGATTCTTAGGAAGCCAATTTTTGCACACGGTATTTCTTTATTTGTGTATTAGCCTCCCAAACTCTCTTCAGCTAAGGTCAGCTCCCAAAGTGTTACATTCTGCCTTTTTTCCTGCTCTGCCACATAAATATGACATCTGAGTAGCCCTGATTGTGTCCAATCCTGGCCCACAATAATTGGAGTTTGTGTTTGCACAGTGTAGAGAGGTGCTCCCACTGTACTTTTTATTAAATAACAAATAAACTCTCCAAATGCCACCCTGTTGTTGCAAATGGTCAGACTTGATAGTCTGTTCCAGAGGTGGACCACTTTAATGGCCCTGGTTTCATACTGTCTTTGACATCTATTGCTGGCTATTTGATGGTTTGTATGGAGTTGTTCCTGGGATCTATAAACTGGGAAATCATTGCAACCGAAAAACTGCTACCATACTCAAAGGGCAAGTCGAACTCATGAAGAAAATAAGCTCTAGAGTCCCTTCAAACAAAGTATAAAACATCAGTTTCTATGTATAAGTTTTGACGCCATTTGGAGTGCAGACCTTCATCAGTTCTGCCCCTGTTCTGGCGACAAATTAATCGCAAATTGTTTCGATTGGGCAGGACTTCTGAGTGCTCTCCACTTCTGGGTTGCTCTCAGATACACCCAGCAGTCTTCCAAAACAGGAGCAGACTCTCTTCAGGGAGGAGCACAACTCCCTACTCCTTAGGGCATAGATAGCGGGGTTCACCATAGAGTTCACCAGACAGAGTGTGCTGCAGAAGGCAAACGCTTGCTTTATGGAGTCGTCTAGTTCGGCAAAGATGCTGTAAGTCATGAGAGCCAAGGCTGGTGACCAGCACATCACAAGAACCACCAGGACAATTACTAAGGTCTTGGCAAGCGTGACATCTAGTCTCACCTTTGTGTTCTGCTGGCCTGTTTGAATGTGGTACTTTTCCATGTACACCACATGCTTGCGGGCCTTCCAAAGAACATTCATGTAGGCATAGACAATAAATGCCAGAAGGATGGCCACCAAGACAATCCAGCTTGAGAGATATTTGTTGTCGACAAAAGGAAACAGCTCGGAGCAGGGGGAGCTGAGGTGGCAGCAGTTCCATCCCAGCAACGGCAGGAAAGCAATTAGCATGATGATGACCCACAGCATCACCAGGGCCACCACAGCTCTTCTGCTCGTGACAAGGACTTTGTACTCTGTCGGCCTGAGGATACAGATGTAGCGGTCAAAGGCCATCAGCAGCAGGCTGCCGAGGGAGGCTGTGAAAGACGTGTTGACCCCTCCAAGTTTTAGCAAGAAGATGTCCTTTGATGAATCAATCTTATTGAAAACATGGAAGGTGACAAAGCTACAGACAAATATCACGCTGGCTAGCGTGTCTGCCAAGGCCAGGCTGCTAAGGAAGAGGTAGGAAGGCTTGTTCCGGATCTTGGGGGAAGAAAATATGAGGTATAGCACCAAACAGTTCTCCAAGATACAAAGGCTCCCAACGCTGTAACAGAGCACGGCAATGACAGTCTGAGCTGAATTGTCAAGTACCATGTAGCATTCCATGGGCGTTGCACTGGAGCCGCATTGAGAGGTGCCGGCCGTGGTGTTCTTGCACTTCTGCATGCCGGTGAACTCAAGAGTGAGCAAGCTTTCTTTAGAAAGGCGTTGTCTTCTTTTGCAGTATTTATGGTGCAACTGCAAGAGAGTTGGAAATGAGAGAACTTAAATATATAATAGTGTACAAATGCCATCAATGTATTCTGCTCAACTCCACCCTGTATTTACTAAGTTCTATCTGCAACACACATACACCCCCGCCCTTTTTAGCTGCATAGTTTCCTTGGTTGATTCCTTCCTTCATCATTTTACTATATACTGCATTTCATTTCTTTTTCTTCATTTTTTTAAAATGCAAAACTGCACAAAAGTACTCAGTCACATTCATGTCTTCTATTAGGCCTCACAGCAAAAAAGGAGAAATGTATCTCAAAGATGCTGGAGAGGATGGCTCTTTTATTATTCAATTAGCCCCGCATGTTTTGGCTCAAAGGCTTCTATGTTTCCTTTCAAGTTGTCATCTGGCTGTCTTGGGAGACAATGGAGGAGTGTGCCTTTGAGGGTGAAGTGAAACTGTTGGAGAGTTAGAGTGTCTGCTGAAACTGATACAGGAGAGACATATTTTGTTGCAGCTGGGGCAAATGAAGGCATCCAGTTGTGCTGCTGCAGATGCACCATGGCATTTCTTCTCTCTGCAGTCCTCCCAGTGGTCATTTCTCCTCTGGTCACTACTGTGGTCTGTCTCCAGGCACTGTGGTCATCTGCGAGGGATTCCCACATGGCGGGGCTGATGTTGCCAGTCTTTATGTTTTACAAACTGCTCAAAAGTCATCCTGAGGCACTTTTGTCCTGCAAGATCTTTGAAATGGAGAATTTTAAGCAGTTTGTAAAGAAACTAGTAACACTTTCAAAAGGTACCTGAGCCAAAATTCAAAGAGCTAATTAAATGATAAAATAATAATCCTATCCAGCACTTTT